TTCAGATTGACTTATTTACCATTGGTGAACAAATTTGTTGGGAAATAGCTGTAAACATTTTTCTAACCGTTAAATATACTTGAAATTTAATGTTTCATAAGTGAATAATATTATACTCACTTTGTTTTAGTACGTTTAGAAACGGAAAAGATGCAGGGAAGTTGAAAACTGCAGATCTCAACGAAGATTCTTACAATGTTGGAAATCAATTCGATAAGTAATTACTGAAATAGAGCTCTATTCCTGCCGCAGTAAGAAAGAGAGTTTGATGGTTTGGCCAAATACGATTTTTTTCTATTTTTTTCGAACGTAAGCACTGATTCGAGAATCAAAAGAGGTTTTAAAATTGCAGATTTATTAATTTTATTCGCACGTGTGCTTCACGGTAAATCACTTTTTTTTTGTTAAACATAGATAAAAAACATTACATACAGTTATCAAGCGACAACGGCAAGTTACAGAAAAGATAGTTGTTTCATCGCACTACTTCTGTGCGCTCATATAAAACTTAATTTATATAAGGTGATATTTTTTAAATAACTGAAGGTACAAAGCATAAGGTAAAATGATTTGTATATTGTATGACCAAAAGTACTGAGAGCGTGCAAGCTCGTCGAATGCCCTTAGTCAACTGATTTTGACTGAACAATAATCGCATGGGTTTGCTCTTTTGTTTTAAGAAAAGCGATAAGTGTATCGTGTATCGAACTCTATATAGGCGCGCCTAAATGCTTTGAGGAGCCTGACAAACACGTGGTGTTGACTGCAATTCTGCGTGAAGTTCGAGCTACAGCCGAGGTAAGGCAGATAATTAAAAGTGGACTGTATTTCTCAAAAATATAATAAATCGCTGAGGAAAGCTGCACTCTTAAGCCGGTCTTTCTCCTAGTTTTCAAAATAATGTAGTCTTTATTTTATTTTTTCTCGGTAAACTTTGTTATTTGAATATACGTTTCAATTTATATGTATTAATACATTTTGTATTTTATTCATTTAAATAAAAGCCTGATGAGATTAGCCAATCCGCTAACAAAACGTCGCTAAATAGAAAAAATTACTTGTTTTTTTTTGTATTTATTAACATCTACCCAAGCCCTCAATTGATCGTTAATCCAGACATACTACCATGGAAGGTGCTATATACTTCAAACATTAAAAAAAAAATTTGCTAATTTAAATATTATTCGCCGACAATGGTTACTTAATGTTTTAAACACAAAAAGATGCATAATCCGGCATTACTGTAATTTTGAAATTTCAAAAAATATGTAAGTACTGAATTAGTACATTTTATAATTCATTTAACATAATTCTCAAAGATAGTTCTTACATAAATATACGAGATTAAATTTTGAGGATGTTTATTCAAATTAATTAACCAGTGTCTACTACATCTTATAGCGACGAAAGTGCAATAGTTACGAAATATTATACTATTTGCGGTATTTAACATGCTTGATAAAATCGGATTTAACTAATGTGTTGTAGACAATACAATGTTATATTATATCTATATCATTTAGCAATCATGTATTTGTATATTCTTGATTGAACAGCACACGGCGAAAAAAAAGACGAAGAAAAATTTTCACGACTCGAGTTGCTGTATAGCCGCGAGCACTCGAATTGAAAATGAAAAGAGCAAAAAAACGGTCAGGTAGTAAAACCTCTAGATATAGTGGTTGACAGCGCACCTTCGGCATACTTGTCTCAGTTCTTAAACAGTCTTGCAACACGTGTTGCGTTTGTGTAAACTTATCGCGGTGGAGCTTAAGAAACAAAGAGAGCAAACGCACAGACACCCTCCTCTGGTCGTCAAGTGGGGGCGCGCTGGCCACTCCTCTGCAGTCCCTTTTCACGCCGTCGGGGCCCGAATGAGTTTTAGTCTGGCTCAGTTAGCGTGCCGCACTATATCGAGCATAGCACACAGAAGCAGTCGGGCTTCAGCCGGAAAAGTTGAACACTTGCGATTGTGTACTTATTGCAATGGATTTTGAAAGCCTTGACTTGTCGCAACTCTATGCCACGGTCGAACTCTCGGAGGCACCAGGAGGACTCTTCCAGGACGTAGAAGTTGTGGTGTGTACAAAGTGGTTACAGGAATCTGAAACTGGGTATATTTGCTATTGGCCGGTTGACAATTATGAAGACTGCCTCAAAAAGCAGAATGATATCGACTATGAGACCTGGAGATCTATTGAGGTAATACGCATCATTGAAATATCAAGTAAGTGATGGCATAATTTTGTGTCTATTATTATTTCTTTGAATTTTTTCATCGCTAGAACATCTATGAAAGTTCGACTGGTAATTTTATTCCTTTTTACTCGCCAATTCATCATGGGTTCTTTTAATTTGAGGCCGACGGAAAAAAGAAAGGGGAAGATTTTTTTTCAGATTATATACTGCGTACACAGTATTATACGAATGGACATTTTTACTCTGGTTAGCTTAGCTTATTCAATAGCGAGCAAGTGTGCTTCCGGCAACACGATCCAGCTTCTATTTAATTATAACAACGCTTGTTTGTTCGTTTAGAATTAAAAAAAACTAACGGCACCAACTTTACAGCAGCGCAAATAGAAAATAAATGCGCGCAACAATTTTTTGCGTATAATTAAAATATTTACTTGTCACTTATTATACGTTTTTGGTAAAGTTAATTTGTGAAGTTGAATTGAAAAATTATTTAATCGTAAATTTGCTACAAAGTACATACTTACAATTATATTTCAATTTCCAGAGAACATGATTATGGACAGCGAGCAGCAGCAGCAGCAACGACAGCAGATCACCCTCTCGCCGGAAAAAGACAGCATTGAACAAAGTGGTGTACGTCGTTTTAAAAGAAAACTCAAACGAAATAACGTACACAACGATTGCATTGATCCAGCCAACTTGACCGCCGAAGAAGAGGCGATTGCGGTTATAACCTCTTCTCGATCTCACAATAGCGAATCACGGTTTCCATCACCGCCACAGAAAAAGATGCAAACTGAAGGTACAACGAGCCGCCAAATTAACAAGCATTATACGATATTATAATTAATATCTCTCGACCATAAGAACACATCATTCTAGTTTTTTTTTTTTTTTTTTCAATCAACACTGCCCACTATGTAATTTTTACTCTTGACTTACAAATCGACAAGCGTCAACTCCAACTACGCCGTCCGGTCGATCGTCCCCGTCACTTCTGGACGATATTGTGATCGGCTTCGATACACACCAAGAGTTGACGTTGCCCACATCGCCCAACGACAATCGTAGCCAGTCAAACTCAGAAAATTTCCAAGCGATTGAAGAAATTTTGATGAATTGTATCGATGCGGACGTTGAAGACTTGGTTGCGAAACCTTGGAAAAATCTATTAATTTATATGTTGGGTGAGAATATAAATACATTTTTATTTAGTATATGAACATTGAACGTTTTCATCATAGTCATCCAAAGTTATACTTGCTTATTATCATATTCATTTTAGAACTACAACAACAAAATAATGATTTGGAAATAATAGAGAAGGAAACACAACGGGGATACGATAAGACGTTGGATAAGAGAGATACTAAAACTAGTTTTATTGATGCCACTAATTACGTCAAGATCGATGATTTACCACTTAAATCAAAGGACGACATTGAGGCTTTTGAACAAAATCTCAACAACTCAAAAGAACTAGAAAATGACTTTGTGAGTACAAGATACATAAGTTTTAGTCAATGAATTGTCATACTGATTTTTAAAAATCGTAGATGGTTGAAAGTACACTTCACATATCATACTTTTAATATTTCAATTATATTATTGTTCCTTTCACTTTTAATTTTTAGAGTTCTACATTTTTTAAATATAATTTGTAGTAGAAAATATTTATTTTAGAAAACATAACAGATTTTATATGGAGTTTTTTATGAGTAGTTTCTGCATCAGCTAATGAAGCAATATTATTTTTAGATATTCTAGACTAAAAATTCGCATCATAATCATAGCACGATTATATTTATGTATATATGTATATATGTAAAACTATAATTGCCTCAATATACATTCACTCGCAGGTCGAATTATTGAAATACAATTTGCTCGATAATGGCCATAAAAGTATTTGGGCATGTTTACGAGTAGTTCTAGATCATAGTTTTGCAAAAAATTGTATCGTAATGCAAGGGAGACCACAAGGACAGAAGGCTTTAAGGGAAGTGTCGACACTAGGAAAAACCAAATTATGGAAATTAATACAAAGTATGTACGAAGGATTTGAATATTATACATGTCTTACTTTACAGGTTTCTTCCGTATCCTATTTATTTATTTCAATACTTTACAGAAGTTGTAGTATCGCATTTTTACAAGGATCAGTATACTAATGATAAAGCTTTTAAAAGTGCTCAAAGATGGATATGCAACAAAGAAAAACCGGTTTAAATAAAGTTAGTTAAAAGGTTCGGCAGCTATTCTACCTTGCTGTCGGTAACAACGATAATTCACGTGCAGCCGACCCGTGAATCATTTCAAAATGTATAATTCAAAATAAAAATGTAATTAAAATTTTTATTAAAATGTAATATGTAATGTATAGCAATTCAAAATATAATAAAATATCGAAAATTACAACTGTTTATTATTTGTTAAAAACTTTCCAATTGCTCTACATATTTCATTATCATTTCATTCAAATTTCGTTTCCGACATTTTCCGACGTCGGAAAATGTCGGAAATAGGCTACAGCCGTGCAAAATACCGGGACAAATTTCGTTTTTCTGACGTCGCATGGACGTCGCTGAATATCGACTTCAAAAGTTGGAAAAGTTGGAAAGCGACGTCGTAGCGACGTCATAGAAAGTATTCGTGCTACCTGGGCAGTTTCGACCGACAGCGTTGCCAAAGAACCAATGTTTCTACGGATCTAGATCATTTCGTATGCTACTAAGGCAACAAAAATGACAACACCGCTGGCTTCTAGAAAACGCGTATACCTTCAAAACCGTCATGCCAATATAAAAGCTAGCTATGTTTTAGTGTTGCACTGGTTTTTTTAAATGCAATATAATTTTGTTATTGAAAAAATGATTGAAAATACATTGCAATTGTGGTTCAGTAATGTAATTTTAAAGCAGTTTCTCAATTTAGAGCACTCAAACAAAAGATCATGATACTTTCAACTTTCTCTGAGAACCAGTTAGTGCCTTACAGTACAAGATGATTGAAGAGAAGTGGAAGGATCTTGAAAAGGGCACCTGTCCAAATCATTATCAGTTCAAAGTTGAAAATGCTTATGGTGGTAGTGGTCATTGCCCTCTAACAATTAATTTTTCTCAGTGTGCCTTTGATCCTAATGACGAAGCACTGGTTGCCATAGATAATAATGGTATTGCTTACTATGTGGACTTATCTTCAATACCAGCTTTTAGAAAATTAGGCTGCGTAGGTCTAAGCACTTTTTTAGCATTTAATCCTTCAGATAGAAATGAAATTTTGATTGGCCTGAGTTCAACCAATATAAAAGTGCTGAAAATTCATTCCATTAATGATTTTTGTTTGGTGACTGGTCATACAGCATCGCCAACATATGTATCATTTTATAAAAATTATTGTTTAACATGTTCAAACAAAGAAGTTCTCATTTGGTTAATGAAATCTTATACAAAAGTTCATCAATTGAAATTAATTGCTAAGGAACATGTTATTAAGAAATGCACATTTTCAAGTTTAGGAATTGTTGCTGTCTTATATCAAAATGATGTTATTCAAGCTTGGAAATTTCAGAAATTTGACGATGCTCATGTGATAGAGGTAAAAAAGCATGGACTTAAAAATGTTAAAGATTTTGATTTTACAAGAGATGGCAGAGCCATGATTTTATGTGGACTGCAAAATACAATATTAATTTTTAACACAAGTAGATGGGATTTATTAAAAAGTATAGATTTTCACGGAAATTTCAATGGTGGAAGACAAGTAGCAATGGTTCAACTACCACTTGATGGAGGAGCCAATTCTATTGCTGCCATACTTACATCTGACTGTTCGTTAAGATTCATAAGTTTAGCAACATGTGGTATCATTGAAAATTGCTGTGAATCACACAATGGACTGAAGAAAATAATAGTTTCTACAAAAGGCAATTTTTTAGTGTATATAAGTAAACATGGATTTATAGACATAATGCATTTAGATAAAGTACTTAATACAAAACTAAGTTATAGTACAGAAAAATTATTAGGGCACAAAAGATCACAATCACACAAAGCACTAGATCATATATTATGTGTGCAAAATGCTGTAAAAGAAGAACTAAGGTTGCCAAGATTATTGCCAATATTAAAAGAATATGGAGAGTATCCTGCAAAGTATAGAAGACTGATTTGGAGTACCTTGATGGAATTGCCTAATAATAGGAAAGCTTACATCGAATTATCAAATAAAGTTCCTCCTGAAATAAGATTTGATGTGTTGAAGAATCAACATATCTCAGAAAAATACAAAAGTTCATTTTTAAGTTCTACTATTAGTTGTTTAATTTACTGGTGCCCAATTATTAAAGAATGTTCTTATTTGTCAAAGTTTGTTGCACCTTTTGTTAACCTATTCCAGGTAAATATTGCAATTAACAGTAAATAAAAATTGTTTGTTGATTATAATTGATCTTTATAATAATGTTTTTCAGAATGATCCAGTTCCTTCATTTGAAGCTATATTGTTTATTTTATTAAACTTTTGTGATAAATGGTTTGAATATCATCCACTTCCACCTCTTAATATTCTTGGTATGATAGAAAATATTTTGTTAGAAGCTGATCCAACGTTGTTCACTCATTACTGTGAACGAGGTGTCACATCTACTGATTATGCATGGCCTTTACTACAATCTGTGATGAGTGAAGTACTATCACATAATGATTGGATGATTTTGTGGGATCACTTATTTTCTTATCAGAAGCCTTGGTTCCTATTGATGTGTGTAGTGGCTTATAACATTTTATACCGAAAAACTATCATTACTAAGCTTAAAAATTCAGATGATTTCAAACAATTTTTCAAGATCCAAGGACATGTCACTGTTAAAAGTATAATGAAAATTGCTCATAAATTAGATTGTGAAACGCCTCATAGAATTCATCCACGGCGGTATCTTGAGTGAGTAATTTATTTATTTATTTTGCATCAAAGCTTTTTTTTAATTCATTGATTATCAAATGTATTCATGAATGAATGATTATCAAATGAATTATAAATGTTTTAGCGATAAATTCAATTTTATCCCAAACAAAGGACCATATTTACCCTTTATTCAGTTTCAATTTCCAACGTATTTAACAGACGAATTACGAGGAGTAAATTTAAAAAAACTTAAAGAAAAAGAGCGCCGTTTACGCGGATTTCAACTTCATGCTTTGGAGCTTTTAGAGGAAAAAAGACTGCGCTTCGAAAGCGAAAATTTTGTAAGAAATACTCATGAAATGAGACTGAATGGTAAATAAATAATAATAGCTGTAAATTATCATTAATCAATAAGTATCATAATAAATACGATTATTTTTTGCAGAATTACGTAGATGTTATGAAAATCAAGTTCAAGAGGACGAGAGGTTACTTAATTATGTGAAACAAGAAACGAAAGATTTGGATCCCAGCCATTACTTGAACGGCGATAGTAAATGTAGTCATTCGCGTTTGAATGGACGAAAGTCTGTAGAAAGAAAGAGAAGACAAAGGCATTGCAGATCGCTTCAGGAGCAGGTTGATCGTCTGGAATCTGAAGTATTTCACTTAATTGCTACATTACAAAATAAATCACCTCGATCATCGCGTTCAAGGTCAAAGTCAAGAAGTAGATCCTGAAGCGTTATCTTCATAACCGTACAATGTTTAAATTTAGTTTAGTTACTCTAGTCTCTGTAAGATTCTACATTATATTTTTGTATAAAAGTATATTTTGCAATATTTGTAAATAGATGAAAAACTATGAAACTTTCCATTTTTAAAGTTTTTGTAAAGACGACGTATTCATAGAAGTTCTTATAACAGCTACATAATCTTCATTTATACTGATATTTTTTAAATACACGATATTTTGATAAACATACATTTTTGTTTGATTTCTAATGCTTAATTTGTCAATGAAATTAATTCACAGTTACTGAAATAAAAACATTTTAAGTGTGTTAGGTATTAGAATGATAATTTTTATATATCACGTATTATTTCATTTTATTTTGAAGTATTTACTAATACTTACGATTGCAAACCTATATCGACGATTAAGTTCAATTAAATGAAAGACAGATTAGCAGATTTACAAGATAGTATATACTATTTTTGAATATTTATAATATACAATTTATAAAAATATATAAACTTTATGTTAACATTTGAACTACAACTTTTTGCTTTTTTTTTGTTATTTGATTGTTGTAACAATGTGTATAATTTAATCATATTGCAATAAAGAATGAATTGGGGCTTCAATTTTTGAGCGTCCTTTCAAAGACTTGAGTTCTATGATGACCAAACATTCTACAATTTTTACACCAGCTGATTTTAATAACTTTTCTGCAGCTGACATTGATCCTATAATAAAACATTTAAATTATTTTTATGAAAAGAATATTAAATTATACTGTCGGATTACAATTGTCCCAAAACAATACCTCCAGTAGCTAGTAAATCATCCACAATAATAGCCTTGTTATTATTTCGATGTACTGCATCAGCCTGCATCTCAAATATATCCTAAAAATAATTACGCATTACATTATTTATTTTTAAATTATTATAACAAATACTTTTTTATTATAGTATTAGTGACTTTCCCAACCTCTCCATATTCTAAAGTATAATTCTGTTGATAGACTTTTCCTGGAAGTTTTCCTTTCTTTCTAATAGGAACAAATGGTTTTGCTAATTCAAAACTAAGAAGAGGACCCAGTAAAAAGCCTCTTGAATCCAATCCAACAACAAAATCGAAGTTCATGAATGCAATATGGCTTATAATTAAATCTCGCATTGCTCGTGTAGCAGCTACACTCTTAAAGATGCCAAAAATATCTCTGAAAAGCATTTATAAATTTTATTTTTTAAATTAATAATTCATATTTATTAGAAGAAATGTATTCTTTACTTACCGAAACAAGATTCCTGGCTTTGGGAAATCTGGGTAAGTTTTGACAGCATTACTAACTAATTTTAGCTTGTCAGCTTTTTCCATTTTGCTTAAAAATGAAATTGAAACAAAACTTTTTATTAAGATTAGAATAATTTTATTCCATTTCTATTATGCAACTATAGTTATCATTTGTAGCTACATTGAAAGAACGTCAAGTTGTGATAAGAAATGATAAATCAGGTGAAATATTTTGATATACATTTATAACTTGAAATTATTAATAGATCTGGAGATGACAAGAGTATTAAGTAAACAGTTTTAAGTATGCATGTTAGCAAAAGAAGTAACAAATTGAAATTTTTTTCAAGCAATCATAATTACTTACAAATTTTCAAACACGGAAAGAAACTAAAAATGTTATCAAAAAATTACATGAGTGAAAAAGCTGACGATTTAGAATAAAGAGTTAATTTTGATTGTTTTAATTTTGATTTTTGAGGTTACATAATAATTTAATTACATATTTAATTTTTCTTTTGTCAACTTAACTTTATACCTAAAAAGATGAAAAACGCTCTAAAAAATGTATCACATGTTTTTATATCAAATCGAAAGTCACTTCGGCCATTCGACAAAATATTCATTGACTTTCAGAGTTACGTGACGATCACAAACTATTACAAAATTATTAAAAGTTAAAAAAAATTATTATAATTAGATTATTTTATCAAATTAATCATTAGCGCAAGTATAATAAAGTACTTCAATAATAAAATATCGAACAATAATTAACATATAACAAAATTAATGTAATTGTAAAAGACCGTCAGATACCAAGATAATTAGATGAAACAAGCCTTATTCTTGAGTATATGGTGCAAAAAAAGGGAGGGGAACAAAAGTTGGAAAGATGGCTCTTTCAGACAACAGATTAGAATGTTATTAGTCATCCATTGCTGTTTACGAAGACGAAAATCAGCTGGATGCGTAGCCTGGTCGTAAGAGTCAACGAGCTGTTGTGACAGTTTCGTATTTATTAATTGGGAAGGAAGTTTGTAGCAACGTGAGAAGCGTCACCTCAAAGCACAACAAGATGATGAGTTTTCTCTCGGGTTCTCAGCCTTTCGACGCTGAAGTCGGTAAGGACATTTTTTATATATACAGTTCCCTTTTGTACTCGCTTTATTTTCCTGTGATGATCACCTACGTCAGGTGAACGTTTTTCGCGAATTAACTGTTTTGGTGATCGGGCTTCCGCTTTATTCTACTTTGAGAGACAAAACTTCACGGATACGTCAAACTTACTACGTGACATGTTTTTATCTTAAGGACAACGACCTGAAATTATACATTTACTCTGATTATATTCGTGATAATTGAGACTGCAATGTGTGTTTGTTTAATTTACGAGACTATTGTTGTATATTACATGGATGGACATTTAAAATTTATTAAATAGTTAGCAGTAATAACATTCAATGAATTAGTTACATCTCGTGAGTATAGAATGGTTTTGGTTGCAGAAAAGGCAACCAGTGAGAAATGTACGAAAGAGGACTGGGCACTGATTATGGAAATATGTGACAAAATTGGCAGTTCTCCTCAAAATGCCAAAGACTGTCTACGCTCTATTGTTAGGAGACTAAATGCTCAAGATCCTCATATTGTAATGCTTGCCATAACTGTAAGTGAAATGTCATATTGTAGTTTCAATTACAGACATGACTAATGATTATTGAGCACCTCAACGTAGTCATATGTTTGAGAACTTCTTTGGTTGACTTTTATCTATTAGTGTTGCATCAGAAATTGTAAAGTTTTATTGAATAATAAACAAATTTAATCTTATACAATTAAGAGCCATTCAAAGATTATAATAATTTGACATACTAGACCAAACTTTTTCTCATATACTTTCTTATAATCTTCCTTATCTTTGCCTCATGTATCTTGTAATGTATTGTCTAAAATAAGTAATACTTCTTTCAGTTACTAGATGCTTGTTCTAGCAATTGTGGTAAAGTGTTTCATTTAGAAGTTGCATCAAGAGAATTTGAGACACAATTTATCAAGCTTATTAATAATAGTCGTCAGCAACAACAACCAAAAATTTATGAAAAATTTAAGTCTACTCTGAAGAAGTGGGCAGAAGGAGATTATAAATCAGATCCTCAATTAAATTTGATTCCTAGCCTTTATCAAAAATTGAAGCTTGAGGGACATGATTTTTCATCCACTCCTGAAACGGTAATTCATAATATTCTTCAAAACCTGGTACTTTTTTCATGGTCATAATATTGATGTTTTATTACTTTATTTTACAGCAATCAAGGCCAAATTATACAAACAAAGATCCAAACTTTGTTTCTAGCAATCAGGAAGCAGAAGAATTAGCAAGAGGTAAAATATATTTTTTTTGTGTATCAAATATTCTTATAAATCTTATTGATACAATTATCAATGAATTTTCTAGCAATTGAACTATCGCTGAAAGAAAGTACAAAGCAATCAACAATTACACATAACTCTCCATCTACTAAAAAAACAACTAGTCTTTACCCAACTGTAAATGCTCTAATGGCTACCTCAGCAAATTCAGAAGGCAGAAAAGTCAAAGCTCTTTATGACTTTGAAGCTGTTGAGGACAATGAGCTGACATTTTCAGCAGGAGAAATCAGTGAGTTTCTACTTTAGATTAAACAAAAAACAGAAAAAGAAAAACCAAGACATAACTCTGAAAATCATGAATGATATTGTATTTATGGTTTCTTAAAATTTTTTTAGTTCACATTTTGGACGATTCAGATCCTAATTGGTGGAAAGGTAGTAACCAAAGAGGTGAAGGTCTGTTTCCTTCTAATTTTGTTACGGCCGATTTGTCTGTTGAGCCAGAACAGTATACAAGTGAGTGAGATCTTGTTAATGGAATTTATTAAAGAATAATATATTTTGTAATTACAAAATCTACTTGTTTCTAGAATTAGAAAGCAACAAAAAGTCGGTTCAATTTTCGGAAGAAGTCGAGGTAAAAACTTTGAAAAAGGAACCAGAAGTTTTAGAAATTGACATCAATGAGCAAAAAATGGACAGATTATTACACTTATTGCACGAATCTGATCCACAATCGGGCAGTACTGATCCTCAAGAAATGCTCGACCTAGAAGGTAACTTAGTTTCATTTTGAAACCCCTTTTCAATCCCAAAACAAATTTCTAATCAGGAATTATTTCAATCTCTTTATAGAGCAAGTAACCGCAATGGGACCGTTAATAGACACAGCTCTAGAAAAGGTCGATAAGCAGCACGCCCAGTTGACTCAGCTGAGTTCCGACCTTGTCGAGGCCATGAATTTGTATCATACGTTGATGCGCGAACCTGCCATATCGTCCTATACCCTACCAAAAATGCCTCCTCAGCAAATGGTTTATCAATTCCCACATCCACAAGCTGGACCACATCAAGCAGGACACACACAACACCCAATGGCTGGCCATTCTCACACTGCTCATCCGCACTTGCAAGGACCTCATCCCCAAGCAGCACATCCGCAGGCTGGACTTCCACAGGGAGCGCATTCTCAAGGAGCAGCTGCACATGTGCGATACTGTTGAAGATGCTCGAATATTTCTGCAAAAATCTCACTATGTGAATGCTAATGAATCATAAATTTATTAATGTAGATGTTTAACGGTATGACACCTGGCCCTCAATCACAAATGATGTCTGGGCCGCAACCGCGATATAACGCCAACATGCCTCCATCTGGTGAAATGATAAATACACAGGGAGCTACGAGTTTGCCGCCAATGACGTTACCACATCATTACTACCAGATGCATCCGGCCTTACGACAAATGCCTCCGGAGGCTCGTCAAGATTCTCCGCAAGCAAATCAAAACAACATTCCCTATGCGCAGCAAGGGTAATTATTGTTGATTTGTAAAAGAATAATACCCCTGGTTGGAAATGCATGAAAATATTAAAAAATAATTATTTGATTAACCAACGGTTTTCGGCTGTAAATAACATCCAGTAGAACAGCAGTAGGGTAAATTTGGCTATAGCAATAATTTTAAGTAGATTGGAGTAATTTTTTTGTCGATTATTAGTAATTAATATTTTTAATGTATCGCAACAGATACCCTGAACAAACCAATGTAGGACACAATGTTTCTGTGTCATACATGTCGCAAGTGCCGCCTGGTCAACCGATCAGCAATCAGCAGCCACAGATCGCTTCACCCACTGGCCAGCGTATGGCGTAAAACAAAACAAAGGAAAAAAAAAGAAAAACAAAACAAAGCAAAAAAACAATGAATTGATAGAAAGAGAGAATTAAAAAATCTCTGTTTTAAGGATATATCTTGTACTCTAGGAACAAAAAAGAAAAAAGAAAAGAAAAAAAAACAAGTTGTACGATATGGCTACGTTATACAGTTATTTAAAGAAGCAAGTATAAGATAAGCTCACAGTGATTTAATGAGAACTGCAAGTAGCTGTCGGCAACGATTATATTTATACTGTTATATGTGGCTCGATTTTTAAGAAAAGATCAACTGCGCTGCTAATCAGTTTGTTATTTTTCAGCTTACTTTGTATTTTAATTAGTTGTATCTTACTGATACAAAATTTTATCAGTTTTTGTTTAAGCAAAACTATTTCTTTGTTCGTTTCATCTTTCTCGTAGTTTACCTTTGCTTTTTCCACTATTCATTCTTCGTTTTCATTAAAGTTTACAAGATTTTCTAAGGTAACAGTTTTGGTATTGGCAGTAGTTTTTTCTTCAGTTAAAACCAAGAAAATGCCATTATCACCAACATTTATCGTTGCACTGATGAATGGATCTACATTTTAGATAGACAATATATTCCAAGTAGTATGTTTTTGGTTAAAGAACTTTCGCCATGGTCAATTTTTATCAATATTTTGTAATATTTTGAATTTATTTTATTAAAACCATCAAAACTTACTTCATAAGTTTTAGTTTTATGGATTGGTAACCTAGCACTTAGTAGACAGGATCTATTGATGTACCACTTTTTTTAGTTCCAATCGATAATAGAATTTTATCTACCAACATTAGTTTATGCGTGTTAGTCAATGAGAATCTTTTAATTACTGCTTTCTTAGATATAAATATTTTTAGATTAGTTTTTGAATTTTTGGTAAGCAGGTTGAACTCCTAACAACAGTCACTTTACCGATATCGTTGTTTTCTAATTTAGCTTCTGTAAGAGCCGTTTTCAAAACTGTATTGATCTTTGTAAACAAATCTATACAAATGTTCTCAAATTCGATCTGAATAATACAAATTGTATAATATTCACTCTTGAATTCAAATTCTACTGTAAGAAAGGTACTGTAGAAGAGATAAAGATAGCGTTTCGCATCTTTATAAGCATTATATAGTTTAAACAAAGCATATGAGTCATTTGTAACGACCATTTTATTTTGCTTGAAATGTTTTTTTTTGAATAATACGTCGTGTAAAATCCTGACCGTTTAAGTAAGGATCACCGTTTCTGCGTTGTACCTCATAAACTTCATCACAAACTTCTTTGTTTCAAAAGAACAGCTATAGATTCATTAATTAATGATACTGTTGTGATATCCGTGGCAGATTTGCTAACAGCTAAAACGTATGAACTAATGTTTTCTATTGGTAAAATTTGTATCTTAATCCTATGTTGGAGTTCTGTAGCTTTTCTGAAATTATCAACAATAGCCAGTCTACAATATCTTCTTGTGGACTCCATCGTCATTGAAACTATGACCTTTTAAGCATTTGGTATCACAGATAGTATTCCTGCTGTTTCTTAAACTTTGATTTTTAGTAGTTTTGCCGATAACTATTTTATTATTTTCGTAAGTAAAGGTGACATAATGCGGTGCTGTAGATAAACCTAGGTCATTTTCTAAAACAATGCACTATTACGATAAATGTGGTGATATCAAGTTCTGATCTTATATTCCCTTAGCTTGTAGAACTATTGTTATGATCATTGGTTTTCATGATTGGAAGATTCATTCTCATGCATATTAAATGTCCAGATTTCTGAGACTTTTTATCGTTTTTTTAAAGGAATAACTATTTGTGGAAGTTACAACGCGTTCTTTTATCAACAATCGAGCAACATATAGCAATACTATACAAACAAATACTATATAATATAAAAAAAAGTCGTAAGGCATTTATTTGACGTAACGTTTAGAAAGGGAGTGACGATACTCGTACTAATCCGTCTTATTGTTATGTTGGGCTGAGGAAAAAGATGAGGAAAAACCAAAATGGTTATATGCTGTATTTTCACATATTTTACTCGAAAGATTGGCAAAGATAAGTCGGTGGCATATTTAAGGAATCCTATGTAGTTTAATTTTATTCTTAATTGAACGAAGGAAAAGAAAAACGAATAAAAATGTATAGGCAGTTAATAATTAAAATAAAAAAATAACCAAGTGATACGGCGTGGCTGCTTTTGTTATTTGTTTCTAAGTTTTTTCGAACAAAAAAAGTTAACAGATTTCAGATCAATCTATTAGCTTTGACTAATATTGTGCGATATAATGTAACGGGGCCCGTTAGTGATGATAAATTTGATAAATAATTAATCTAATAAGCCTTTTCTAGTTTTTTACAAATGATAAACGAGAAAACAACAAGACCATGCGCAGAGAGCGTTTTCGTCGGTCGGATTTATCCTACGACTAATTTTCGCATCACCGCGTATAATTATTATTGATTTTTCGATGCACTATCGAGCCAACGGAGTTGTAGTATGATAGATAGATAGAAAACGATGAAAGAGTAAGAAAGAATATCCTAAATTACACGAAAACAAAGTATCAACCGCATAGACAAAACGACCTATAACGCGACTGGTTATAAAGGCTGGTCTGCTATTAATGTAAATAATTCTTATTCAAAACTGATACCGTTAAGATTGTAAAATGAGAGAGGTAAATTTTAAAGCATGGTTTATAATTTTTGTACATGCGTTCGTCACAGACTGTAAAAATGCACGTGCAAATATTATTCAACTTGTCGAGTGCAATGTTCTGTGAAATTGTAATTCTGAACAAGTTTTTTCTCTCTTTTCTTCGTTCATGCTTCTTCTTCGAATAAATCTTTTCGTTTTGAAGTGATGTTGATGATGATCGATCAGAGCGGCAGCGCTGTCTTGCAAATTGATTTTGTGTAAAAATCCGAGCAGTGGGAGAAGTGTGAGAGCTAAAGCTGCGGGTACAGCGGCGATAAAAGAAACCTTGTCAAGTCGTCGATTTTTCAGTGAATTGTTTTGCGGTTCGTGAGAGTTACAGTGGGTGTTTCTCCAGCAATATTCTGAACTTGGTATACCTAAAGGATTATAAATACAGGAAAAATGTAGAAGAGGAGAATGAAAGGGTTTTGAACGCGCAAGTGTAAAAAAGAAATAAATATTGTGTGGAAAGGTACTTTTACGAGACGAGGAAAATATCGTAATTAATATTGTATACGTTTTGTTGCCATTAAACTGTCATTATTTACGTAAAAAATGCGTTGCTTCTTCATCAGCCATTCATTTCCATTTCCATCAGCCCGTAAAGACATTTGTTTTCAAAGGATCGCGTTGCTTACAATCCGAACAGAGTACAGTCGTTTTTCTTTCAATGCTAAAATGACTATAAGAAGAAAATAGCCACTGTATCGTTCACAAGTGGAGCTGAGAAATCACATAGCACAGGTGGTAATATAGAAGACGAGCTACTTTTACTCGATCGCTATCTGGCTCAAGGTACCCTCGGCATCTCTTTGCCCCGTAAACGAATCGCCGTGTCCGCGGCGAATCTATAATAACTTGAAAACGTACAGATTGAAGAGGAAAAAGCCAAGCCGACGTTCCAGCTACCAACGAAAGCCGAAAGAGCGGCAAGGCAAAAAAGAAATTTGGATAATCGTCAAGGTGAATATGTAACACGATGAAGAAAGCTTCGACAATAACCCGCGGCGGAAAAGCCGGAGAAGCGTTTCCTAGCGTGGTCGTCGCACGCGCCTCGCGTCCTGAAAGCTTGCGCAACCTTCTTGAGAATTACAGCGGCGAAAGACGGACAATTACCTCTCGCTCGTTACGTCTCGCCATCGGCGCCGGCTCTCGGTGTGCGCGCGCGCGTCAGATATTAAAATTGAATATTAGCTCGTCGCGCGCTTTCTTCTCGCCGGCTTATCATCGGCGCGATCCTCGGGGGCTTAAGCGTATTCCGCGCGCCCGAGATGTGGACGCTTTGCGCAACCGCGCGACGTGAGCCGAAGCTCGGAATGCCGAGCAGGTGCCAGTTGGAAGAAATAAAAAGAAGAAAAAATGCGTATCGATTGTCGAAGCCGACGACGCACGTACGGCGCAGTATAATAATCGAGTGGAATTTTTCCCGGGTGTAACGCCTGATATATGTAACGGATCGATATATGGACTAAACGATTTGCTGGCGACGGCGCCTTGCCACGTCGCACGCGCGCACCCGGCGATTCGGCCGCGCGCGAGACGGCGGAGCTTTTTCCGATGGAAAAACGCGCGAGCCTGCATCGTCGTCGCGCGCGGCGTTTGCTCCCTGTCCGCACGTGGGATTTTCGATCGTTACCTGGAAAGTCTCAAGAGGCTTGCTCGGAGCTGAATCTGCCGTTCCTTTTCTTTGCACCTCGACGCACAGTGGACCTGGCTCTTGGTCGCAATTGAACGGCCGGTACATTTAATCGCGAGCCTTTCGCGCTTTTCGCGGAGACGCAGGGATTCGAGGAGCGAGCGGCGAACGCTTCCGATTTTCAGCGGGGGTCATTGGCACGAAGCTCGCGACGAAGGAGTAGGCTCGCTCGCGGATCTATCTCGCCTGTGGAGATGGGCAGCAGGCTTTTGTCGTGACTATCGTCCTCGTTGCGTGTCGTTGACTCGATTCGCGTTGCGTGCGTCGACTTCGCGCAGCTCCACGGCCGCTCCCAATCTGCGAGCGATACGGAGCCCTTGTTCTCGTAGACGGCGACCGCCCGACGTTCTATCGGTTGCCTACGGTGACCGACCAAGAGCAAGCAACGCTCGCTTCCCCGACGCGTCTGGCTTTGGCAAGCGCGAGCCCGGATAAAACACCAAACGTGCGCAACCAATTCTTCGCGGATTATAGTCAAATGAAATTACACGTGTGCGTTTTATTAGGCTGAAGGTTATCGATACTGGCTCAGCTCAAATATTACTTTAGTAATAAGGTTAACCCATTTTAAGAGCACGAGAAGACTTATAAAGGGTGGCGCGTACGTGTTCGAGTTGAGTAGGCAATTGGCCACCGGACGCAGAACAGATCATGAAGTACCTAGCTACCGTTGCCATTCTGGCGCTCACTGTCCTAGTCGGCGTGTCTATGGGTACGTAATGTATTGATCGATTGCTCGAGGTCGTTCGCTGATCAGTGAGGTTTATCTCGCTGTTGCTCGTCCCGCAACATTACCAAATGATTCTTCAAGTGATAACACCATATGATATCTTACATTTCAAGTGGCGGCTCGTGTCAAAAATGAATCGCCTGCCTGTCAAATTTGCGAGGGGTGAGTGCATCCAAGACAAAACTGAATTTTAATTTATTCAAGTACTAGAGCACCGATTACAAATTGCTCGTTCGAATTCTTATTGCATACTTTTAGCGAATGATTCGTCGAAGCTTACGATACCATGGATAATTCCATCTATAACCAAATCATGAATTGTATACAGATCAAATAAAACCAAACCAATTATTTCTAGTGTAGTCATTTAAAACTCCAAACACATACGTCGTTTTCATCTTCAAATTTAGTGAGTCTGGATCAAGATGTTATAACATTGCCAACCAAGTTTCGCTATAACTGAGTTTTTCAATGGACGCGGGGTGTCCGTGCGCATTGTACTTCGATCGCGTTAAAAAATCAGGAACGCTCTACACGTTGGCACTTTTAAATGGTAACATTGAGTATATCCATTTAGCGAAAACTAAATTTCAAGAAATTCCAAGAGATTTGGTTGGGCATTTCTGCTCCTCGCTAGAAAACGCATATGTGCCGTGCCAGCGCACTTCGCTAACAGTTCGACTTCGGGCGTCGCTGCAAAGTTGTAGGAAATTTATGAAACGACAAGCGAGTCGGCCTCGGCCCGAATTTCCTCAACTATACCTGATTACGCAGGGCACCGTTCGAGTCCGGTAAAATCTTATTCGCGATCGTTGTGACGAAAGCGAGCATAACGATAAAACGCAACGATGCCAAACGCAGTCTCGTCGATTTTCGATGAAAAGGCTGCAGCTCGCGCGTTATAGCGCTATGAAAATAGCGGTATGCCATGTGTCAGCGAAAGGACAATCGACGGCAACGTCGTCGTCGCGGGCCAGCGTAGCAAAGTAAACGGCAGTTCTGAAAAAAGAAAAAAAAAATCCGCCGCGCTTTACTGCTATATCAATGAAAAAAATGGCAACGCATCCGTCGCGGTAATTATCGAGCAATGGTCAAGGCTTGAGTGCACCCCCTCATTCAGCGCGAGAATATGGATGTCATGTCCACGTTAGCTTCGCTAATGCGACCCACTTTCGCGCGCGAGGTCAGGTCAGTAGAGAGAAAGAAAGAGAGATTTCGAGTCCGTCGCGTTGTCTTCGCAAGCGCGGTCGGCTCTTGCCCATTGGCGACCGCAACGCAAACATCCCGAGACCGCAGCGTGACGTTTTCTCGTCTGGCCGAGCAGCATCGCGCGTAGCTCGCTGGGCAGCGACGGAGGGACAAGAGCCTCTGGTCGTAGGCGCGAGGGCTCGCAGGACTCTATCCGCGATGGGACGTCGTCGTCGTAACGTCGAACAACGCGATGGCGCCAAGGTATTTGGAGCAGCCTTGGCGCGCGCGCGCTCGCTTCTCCGCGTCAGCTCGTCGTTGGCGAAACAATCGCTCGCGCCGCGCGGTCTTCATTTTTCCTCTCGCTGTACTCTGGAAAAGCTAGCGATCTGGGTCGACACTCGCGATTCGCGCGCAATCACCTCCGATTGTCATACGATCCGCGGCACGACGCCTCTCTCTCTCTCTCTCTCTCTCTCTCTCTCTCTCTCTCTCTCTCTCTCTCTCTCTCCCGACAATGCAAGGCTTCGTGAAAAAAAGGAACGCGCGTTCGTAATCGCAATGACACTGCGACTAGCGACGCGTATGCATGAAACATCCGAATTAAATTACGCCCGACGAGCAGCAAAAGCTGCGCTACAGCCAATTCCGCGGATTCGCCGGCGCTGTTTTCCCCCGCGGCTATCTGGCGTACAATCGAAATTTCACAGCATTGTTTGCCCGGCGAACAATGTTTATTGTTCCAGGGATAGGATTCTGCCACCCGTCGCGCCCGTATCCGCAGCCGCTGAATGATTCCCATTTGCAAACAGAAACTCGCCGTATCAAATGTTGGACCGCCGGGAATCGGAGAGACGCGGCTGTGAGGCATTTTTTGTCTCTGCTGATTTACCGCGGTCCTTGAGCGTCTTCTTCGTTCTTTTTTTTTTCGTTTTTTTCTTCGCGTGAAATGTTAATGTCTCGTTAATATTGCATTATAAATCAGATTACCGAGCAGCGGGGCTACTGGTTATACCCCGCTTTACGCAAGAGGAAATTGAATGACTGAAAACACACTGAAGCTCGTGTACTTTCACCGAGATCGCTCGAGGAAAGTAGGCGCGACGCATTATATATACAAACAGTCTTGATAGTCGTCCTGCTACGTCACAGATGCAACATCGCATCTTCTAACGCCGACAAGTGTGTCACGCACCTGAATCCGAAAGTCTCTCGGGGTTGCGCAACCGAGCGACGAATCTCTGGAACGGGCGACAGAAAAAAAAAAATCGAAGCGACGCGCGCACGTGCTTTTATGAGCGATGGCTGTCAACGTGGCGCCTGTGTTCCAGCGAATAACGTCATCTCGAAGCGACCGAGAGAAAGAGAGGGAGAGAAAAGAAAATTAATGGGTTTGGTATCAATAATAATCCCATCTCCTCCGGGGATTTATGAGCCTCGTAAGCGACTGATTTTTATCTCCGGCGAGATGCTCGTTTTTTCAATCCATTGTTTTCACTTTTCGCATTAGCATACTGTCAAGAAATGGCATAGCTTACGATCGTTTTTATTATTTTTTTCTTTTTTATGAAAATTAACGCGGAATTTATATTTTCTGGGGTCAACGGAAATTTGTATATACAGGCAAGCACGCTATCGCGGGTTAATTGGGTAATGCTTTTTTTTCGTTCCAACACACGCCGGTCGTTTCAACACGGGATGGCAAACTTTTCGACGACACGGTTCCTTTTGTTGCTGTTCGTTGGCGGACTTGTGAAATCCTAATATTTTTTCAACGAGTTTTTCACCTTTCTACACATACTACGGTCTTTGGGAACCTTTCTTTCGTGCTGGATCGTGTGACTTCGCTTCATTTGTAGATTGGTGAGATATGCAGGATTGTCGTTTGAAATTCAATAAGGCACTTTCTTAAAAACACGTTAATATTACAATGAAGACTTGATTATTTAGAAAGCTGTCGTAAAAGTCTCGTATCGTATGTGCCACTCATTAGCGTACAAACGCGGACATCCGAAAAATGAAATTAGCATAACGAGTGACGGGAGATGTCGTTTCCACAGGGAAAAATCAATCGCCGATGTATGCAAATTCCAAGATCGTCGCGGTGAACGACACGGAAAAACGCCTGATTTTCTATAATTTATTCACTATATTCATGAACATGTTTACGCTTGATCCGCAAACAGATGGATTTTTTTCCAAGAACTGCAAAGGCTCGTGGTATTTATCGTATTAAGAAGCGCAAATCTCAAAATAAATTCGAATGTCTAGATTTCAGCCAATAACGCGAAACCACGGAATGCCCGAAGAAAATACCAGAGACGCTCGTACGTAATTTCTAATCCATTCATAAATAACCGAGGGGCGTTTGCAAAACAGGTAAGTCAAGTTATTTTTTTATTTTGGGAGAGGGAACATGTTCGATAAACAGAAGGACAGGATCGTCGGCATCAGGACCATTCATCGATCGATCAGACTCGCGTGGTGCGCGCGTCTATCTAGACCTTGCATAACGTTCGACATAAAGGCGACGAGCGAATCTTGGCCGTCGAGAAAAGAGGCTCATTTCCATACGTAATTGGCCATTAGTGTCGATGAACCTCGCGCGCGGCAGGCGAGGCAGGTGTACGTCGATCGATGAATCGACGCCTCCTCTCGCGTCGTCTCTCGGCCCACGGCTCGGTCGAGCGACGAGCAGTCGTTCGCGCGCGCGCCAACGGATTTTCACCGATTCCGGTTTTCCAAGCCTGTCCACGTAACGCGCACGAGCGGCTCTCCATTGAAATGCCACGCGGCGCCCAGCGCCGATCCTGCGCGATCTGTCGAGTGCGCTCGCTTAAGATTCGTCTCGTGCGAGGATCGCGACGAAGAAAACTCATCTGCGACTGCGAAAAATAACGACTTTTAAGCCGACTGCCCGCGGCTTGTTTCGTTCTTTTCTATTTTCTTTTTCACCAACAGTGCCACTAGCCGTTTACGTGGCGTTCGGCGCGAAAGCCGAGCGCCGCCGTCAAACGCCGCCGAGACGATATCAAAATGCAAATGCCTAAGATCCGCATAGCCGTTGACATTGACTCGGGGCACTTCTACAGACGTCGCGGGACGCACGGCACGAGTCCATCACCTCGCGGTAACGCGCGCGCACGGCTCTCGGTGAAAGTTAACCATCATCATCATCGGCGCGTGATTCCTCAAGGTTGTCGCCTCGGCCGGCGTAATCTATTCTCTCGTCCTTTCCAAGTCATATGCGCGTACACGCGCTCGCCGACGGGGGATGCAACCGCGTCGATCCTCGCGGGAACGGATTTGCATTCCGATGAACCGCTGCTGCCCGTGTCGCGCGTTATACAATCGCGGCGTTCTCGATTTATACATCGAGCTGAGCCGCGATCACGGGCGACCGTGCCAGAATGGCAAGCACTGCGGCGGAGTCGGAGCCGATTACTAGTCTCCGCTCGTTCGCGGTCTCTCTCTCTCTCTCGAATCAGCTCGCGAATCTCGAAAAAGAAGGAAAAAATCGACGACGAGTGACGAAGCGATTCGCGTGCGATGCACGCGCAAAGCGGAGCCTCTCTCTCGCTGTGCCGGGAGCATTGAAACGCGCAAACCGCTCGCGCCTGGGCAACGAAAGCTCGCGCGTCCGCGGGTCGTCGGGCGCGGCCGGGCGTCCGAGTCTCCCCCGATAGCCGAACGCGCGATCGCTCGTCCGAGAAGCGACGAGCGCGGCGAGGTCGGATGTCGCGGGGCCCGCTCGCGCGACGCGCAGGTGGCAGCGCGAGAGAAGAGTGTGGGCCCCGCGCGGCGAGCGGGTGGGGGCCGCGCTTCTATATAAGCGTCGGCGAAGCCGCCCGTCTCTCCACAAGCCTTTAAGAGTTATCTCGCGCCGAGCCCGCGTTCGTCGCTGTCCACGCACACACGCCTCTCGCACTGCAAGGTGAGTCCACCGTCCTCCGTCTCTGCCGTCGTCCTGTGTGCTCGTGTGACCGATCGGGAAACAAGTGTTGTGCGCTGGCGTCCTCTCCGCCCGACCCGCGAAGAGCTTTCGGCCGGTCGTTGCGACGCCTCCTCCCTTTCTTACGATTTCTAGTCCCGTTCTTTTTGCCGCGCATCGTCGCCGATGTTTCTCCTGATCTTTACTTTCGGAAGAGAAAACGAGTATTTGGCAAAACGTTCGTTATCCGAACGGAATCCCCGAAAGACGGAAAAGCACGACGATTCCCTATTTTGACTTTGAATCGTAATAGAAGAGCTAACGACCACGCAGAACAATAGGCATCTGGGCGCCAAGCGAGATCGCGAGTTACGTAAGCCGCGCCTATCTCTCCTTCCCGCGCGCATCCTGAAAGTTAATTTTCGTACGTCGACCCGCGCGTCGCGCGTCGCGCGCGCATCACGCGATAGGAATCGCTGGCGTCGGCCGGCCTCGACATTGTTTTCCGAGGGCAGCGCGTTAACGTCCACCTCGGCTCTGGTTTTGTTGCAGATGAAGCTGGCGCAGCTGCTGCTGCTGGTGGTCTGTTTGGCGGCGCTGGCGCGCGCCCAGCAGAGGCAGCCGAGCAACAGGCCCGGGCGCTTCCTCTCGCTGCCGGTGCCGCAGAAGTGCGCCAACAGTAAGTGGCCTGCGGCGCGAGGCGAGGCGCGCGCGGTTGTGCAAGCGGCGCCCGAAACTTTCGTTCAGCCTGGCCCCTCTGGCTACGCGCGCCGCGCACTTTCTCGCGCGCGGCCCAACGGTTTCTCCGCGCTTGGGATTCCCATCGCGACGCGCGGGGCGCCCTTGCTCCGCGCGAGAGGAGCGCACGAGCGGCGGATCGGCGCCGACCCAGTCGATCGGACGCTTTTACGACGTTCGCGCGCCTCGCTCGCGTAGAAAGCGACGCAACGTGCTGACGACAGAATCAGCGCTCACGGCCCGAGAGTCTTCGACGAATCTTCGGGAGGCTCTCAATTTCAATGCTTGGCCATGCATTTATGCGATTGAATAATTTTGCATGTAAACGCGCCCATTGCTATCGGCCGTTAATTATACCTCGCGCGGAGACAGGGAGACTGCAATTTCGATAATTCATCGAGAGCCGCGCGAGTGCGTCAGAGCAATTCGGCCGAGTAACGAATGCAAACGTTGCACGGGTTTCGGCCGCAATTTCCTCGCAAAGCGTGGGAGAGCAAAGCACGTGGCTGTGAATTACGATGGCCCTCCGAGAGGCATGCTAACGAGCTCTCTTACGTAACTTTCGCCACCTCGTTAGTGGGTCGAAAATATCACCTCGATAAATATCGCTGCTGCCGCGCGTTACCTACAAAATCGGGTTAAGGAGAACCGTTCGGCAGATAGACGGGGGTGGGGGCAAGAAAGAAAGCGCGCGATGGAAAATCCACGATGCTCCGATTATCTTCCCCTCGATCGCGCGCGTGCCTTCGTTTTTCGTGCGCTCTGACGCAACTATGCCGATTGCCCAACGCGCAGATGCGCGCGGCTTTGCAAAACAGGCCTGCGAAAAGATTTTCGTCCGAATGCGAGCAACTTTCGGGCTTTCCTTTCGTGCCCACGGGGTGGCCAGAAGAAAGTAGATGGATATGCGCCTGCTTCGCGGTCGTCTAATAAACTTTTACTTTTCCACCTGCGCATCTCTGTAGAATGGCAGGAGGCAGCTTTGGCTCGAAGCGCCAGACAACTTATTCATCCGTGTACGCGCCGCCACCCGACTCGCTCCAAGTTTGGAACACGCGTTATTAATGGATTTACAGAAACAAATAATACAAAGAAAACTAGCTTGCGAGTTGTAGGCTGGTATCGGTAAAGAAAGTTGAACGGAAATTTTCCAATGCCAGAGCTCCAACTCCAAAATAAACACTCGCTCAAGTACGTTCTCATTGCTAAAGAGCCAATAACTTGAACGTTATTGAGAAACTTTACACGTTATCCACGAGAACGAGTCAACGGAAATCGTCGCAAGGGCGGGGCGTGTGGGGGGTCGAAATCGGCGTCTGCGTTGCAAGGTCCGCGAATTAATTGTCGTCGCGATGGCGCACGTGAGCGCATCGTTAGCGCATAATTGATTTCCAGGTCGATTGCCTCGACTCGACCGAGCCCCGCCACTCGCTCGCGCTTCTCCGTCGTGTTCCATCCTTTCTCGCGCGCGGGACTTTCTCACGCCTGTCTTCGTTTGCCATGGCAACGCAGCCCGCGCCAACGGATCGCTTCTCCGCGGAGAGAAACGCGCGTTCCATCGTGGTCACATCGACGCGCCAACCGTGAACGCTCCCCCTCGGACGATGAAAATCGACGATCGATATACTTTTTCGCTGTTGCGCGTGGCAAAACTAACGACGCGCGAGCGCCTAGCAGTTTCCGCAGGGCGCCGCGGAAAAGCTCGAGAGCGTCGGCGACAACCACACGACCTACATCGGTCTACTAAACAATTCAACGTCCAAGTTTCGTCGTCGAATACGTGGTATCGCGTCATCACGGCATCGACAGCAATGCTGCTTCTCGATCGTTTTGCCAGGAGTCTCGTTGGGCGAGACGACCCGCGATCGCAAAGAGATGACGACGCGCCGTAGATCGTAAATGAACGAAATTCGCGTGTCGCGCTGCCGGATAATTGTCGTCGTCGTCTACTATAATCGAAGAGCCTGTTCGTCGATTAATGACCGCGTGCCATTATACGAAAGCCGCTGTGTGCCGCTGTCGCGTCCCGGCGCGCGCTTGCAAATGTCGAACCCACGATACGTACGCGAATGCGGGATCTTCGAACTGGAAAAACTTTCTACGGAGCGATAAAAAGAAAGTTCGATTTTCCTCGTCGGTGTTCGACAAGTTGCCCGTGAACGAATGATCATCACGGTGTTGTACGATTTCAGGGCCGAAGGCCTTCCAATTCAGAGGCCGCAACATGTTCTTCAGCGGACACGTGCCGCAGCACGCCAACCAGAAGGTCGACTGGCTGGACGCCAGGAATATCTGCCGCGAGTACTGCATGGACCTCGTGTCCATCGAGAGCCAGGAGAAGAACAACTTGATCTTCAAGCTCATCCAACAGAGTGGGTATATTATCTCGGTGGTGGGAGCTTGCGTCAGCGCGCGCGGCTGGGAAACAAGGCTAAACCGCGGAGCGGAACGTCGCGTATTAGACGGCGAATTGGTGTTTGCGAAACGACGCGCAGCGACGAATTTCGCGGCTCGCCAAGGGGGCCCCCCGTTCGATCAGGAAAAGCACGCGGAGAAACCAATGAGCAACGAATTGACCGCCGTCACGGAGAAGCCTCTCACTTTCAGCGAGGCCTCGGGCGCGTTATCTCTGTGCGCGCGCGTGCATCGATCACCGAGGAGAACCGACGCTCCGCGTTGATTTATGCCCGCGCGCCTGACACGATGACATAGAAAGCGCGACCGATAGCTCTTTAGCGGCGGATGCTGCCTCGGCGACCCATTCGATTTTCATGCGTCGGGCGCGTTCCGACCGTTCCAGGCTGGAAACCCAGGTTCTTTGGGAATCGAACGCAGTCGCGAACGCGCCGATCGCCCGTGAACAACGGCTACGCACGTAGCTCGTCTTAGCGACGCAAGAGGAGAGGAAAGAAAAGAGGAACCCGAACGACAGAGAGAAGCTCGTCGCGATCGTTGTTTTGGAGTTCGGACAAGGTGAAAACGATTGGATGGCTCGCAGCCGCGGATTGCGCAACGGCGCCGCGAGACTTTTCCTCGCGCGTTTTGTCTCTCCGTTCGCGCTTTTATGGGGATGTCCTCCTTTCGGGAAATTCAATATCGACGCGTGCGGCGCGCTGATCGATCGATGCCTCGCGGCGGCCGCGCAACAATCTCACCTCTCTCGCGTGCGAGTAATTATACACACAGCGTATGAATTGGCGCTGAATTTATTCAGGATTGTTCAATCGCGCGTTGAATTATCCCCGTGCGGCTCGCGCTCACGACGAGTTTTCTTTTCTTTTCCAATCGAATGGGGAATGAATCGACGAGCGGCCTGCAACGAATTGTCCGACGCCGCGACGCTTCGATCGAACGTACGGGAAAACCGCTCCGGCTTGGCGTCGTTTTTCTTTTATTTTTTCTCTTCTTTATCGTTCCAAGTGAGCCAAGGCTCTTTAGAACTATAGGAACTCGTGCGAACGATAAAGTTGGCTAAAGTCGAATCTATTATTCGCGTATCGAGCAATTGTGAAAAATCGGGGCGATAGATCAAACGACACTGTCGATTTACAGACGACGTGCCATACATCTGGACGTCGGGTCGCGTGTGCGACTTCAAGGGCTGCGAGGGTCGTCGCGACCTGGAGCCCAAGAACATCTTCGGTTGGTTCTGGTCGGCTAACCGCGAGAAGATGGCGCCCACCAACCAGATCCCAGCCGGATTCAACTTCAACCCGTGGTCGCAGACCGGCCACAAGAAGCAGCGCCAGCCCGACAACGCCGAGTTCGACATTAACGGCACCAACGAGTCTTGCCTCGCCGTCCTCAATAACGTCTATAACGACGGCATCGCTTGGCACGACGTAGCTTGCTACCACGAGAAGCCCTTCGTTTGCGAGGACAGCGACGAGCTTCTCAACTACGTGGCCAGCACCAACCGCGGCATTCGCCTTTAAAATGCGGCATCGAGAAAGCCTAGTGATATTGAATAAACAAACCAACAAGTGTGTGCGTCTTTGTCATACGAATGACTAGATTTCACATGTCTTTGCGCGCACACATCACACGTCACGACACACACCTTATAATTTAAGCTTCAATTTATTTTATCTTTTTGTTTGTACTTTTTAACTGAACTTATAACGTACACGTATTTATTGACAAGACAGTACACCTCTTCGTCTAGATACATTTGCGGGCAATTGATTGTATTGTACAGTCGACGTTCGTTCATTATTCTTTTTCTGTGCATTTCCAAATTTGTTAATCGATCAAATGATGACATTTTACAAGTTTTATATCAAATGTATTTTTCTTTTTCTTCTTTTTTTGTAAAAAGTTTTATAAATATTCGTTTAAATACATGTTAATTAAAAGAGAAATGAAGTTAGATTGTATGCTATGGCATAAATCAAAGGAATTTTTAAAAGTACATAATATCATGGAAGTATACACTCTTGTCCGTCACCAATATCATCGTTGTTCTCCTCTTGTTGCACGTTGCCATCCTCGTCATCGTTATCATCGATTGGATCAGCGTTTTCTTCAACAATAACGTCTTCCCATTCATCCTCGCTAGCAAGATGTTCATCTTCGAGGATTGACATGGATTCTGCTGGTCGGAATTGAGACTCGGTTTTCTGTTCCTTTTTTCTGTCGCGATTTCGCTTCTTTTTTTTCTTACTGGTGATCTCAAACTTCCGTTTACGAGGAAGACTGGTAGGATCTACATGAGCAAACAGTCGTGAGTATCAATTGACATTGTACCTTGAAAAAGGCAACGTTAATGTAAAATACTCACGGTTTTCTGGTATGTTCATAAGTTTACGTAGCTCAGCTCGAACTTGCTTGTTGATGATTTCTCTGCACATTTCATCAAAAGTAGGTGGGAGCCAACCTAACTTCTCATGACATACTGCACCAGGTGGAGGTCCCAGGTACTTGTCAAACATGTCTTGAATTTCTGGCACGTAGAGATCGCAATACTGATAAAAATGATAAAAAACGTTATTTGATAATATTTTGTATACATATTTTGCCAATTACATACTTGATAAAACATTTGCCTAGAGGGAGGAATAGTGCCTGGTCGATAAATGTACACATTATCGTCCATGACCTTCTGTTTTCTTTCGCTCTGCAGTTTTTCTGTATTAGACATTAAAACGACCGTCTTTTTTTTTATATTGGTGTTTCTGTAAGGCAGTGAGTATTCTGCATAGTTCCTCTTGCATGTAACACTGTTGTGCAGTCCGTCTGAAAATAACCGTTAACGGTCAAATTTGGAAAGGAACTATTACACAAGAAACATGCAAGAGACTTACGCATCGCCTTGAGTCTGTAATCCAGCGTCTGGTACTTTCTAGCCTCGGGATCTTTTCTTGGGTCATAGCCAAGTCGAACCCACGTGATACGCCACGGACCAGTCATGAAGTAATATGCCACCGATGGTAAAAGTATCTTCAGTTGCTCGCTCGAATACTTTGTTATAAACATGAGCGCATTTTTCGACCAGATGGGTCGCTCCTGGAAAGCTTTACGCATATTTTCGACGTGAGTCGACTGTAAGAATTTCACCTTCATTGCGGTTTCGATGCCTTTAGGTGGGTTCGTTGGCACGTATGGCGTGTGGAAGTTTATGTAGTTCGAGAAGCCAGATCGACGCTTGCGGGTTTTGCCGATAACGTATTGCGCCGCTGAGATAGATGTTTCGCTTTTGGGTACGTACTGCTGTACGTTGTCCATCCTACTGAACGCAGCTGGTGGAAGGAAATAAGGCACTTCCTCTTTCAACCAACTGTATGGTGGCAAACCCTGAGGATAAATCGAGTCGTATATACACTCGTCTTTTGTTGGATCATTTTTGTTCTTTGTAATAGGCAAATATTGGAAATCACACAGATCTGAAAAATTAAAATTTTCATGTTTAATTTAGGAACTTAAATTTTCAAGTTTTATTTATCAGTACTCACTGGAGAATCTAAATTCAGTATCTACTCTCCCTAACACTTTCAACTTTGGCAACTGGTACTCAGTATCTTCTGATAGATTTTCGTATTTATTGCGATCAAATGTAGGAGACTGATTTTTTTCAGAAACAATATCATCCTGATTTTCTGCTGGTATTAGCAGTGGATCCATGGAAGTGTTCGTTAATGTGTCAGTCGATTGGTGAGTTATATTATAGCCAACATCACTTGTACCATTTGTACTATTGTTAGGTTGACTAGCATTATTTTCTTGAAAAATATTCTTTGACCGAGCATCTTTTTCTACTTTCTCTTTTCTAGACTTCTTAACTCTTATTCGTAGTAAAAAGCCAGAAGTTTGATGTCTATCCCCACATGTGGGCTTACAATATCCATCATCTGGCCTAAAACGTAACTCTAATCTTCTATTTTTAGTATTTACAGTCTGCATAAAGATAAAAAAGTATAGTTAAGAATTGGAGAATGTCACACATTTACTAAGTTAGAGAAAAGAGTATTTTACTGTAGAAATATCAGCCAAGCTTCCCATAGTTTTGATAGCCATTTCAGGATTAATGACATTCGCTGGATATCTGATGCACAATAATTTTTTATCAAAGCGATGCCCGCCAGGTAAGACAGGCCCTACATATTCATTGTTATCTTGATTTTGTGATTCTGACGACGAATCGTTCTCCTCTTCTTCTTCGCCCTGTAGGAAATCGTATGGACATTGATAAACTGTTTAGAAAAAGTGAATATACATTATATTGAAATACTGACATGTTTAGTAGCATTTGAGCAATTTATAATGTTATTAAACGACTCGTCGCTGTCGGCACCCTCTTGAAAATCTGCAATGTTGAAATCATCGTCCTTCTCGCCTAAGCTCTCTTTATCACTCGCTTCACTGACGTCACTCATCGCAAAACCATTGTCATCTAAAAGCTCTTATCAAATGTACAAAGCTAGTATCATGTGCTGACAAATGCACGAATGGCATTTCCGGTGCCGTGAGAAATGTCGTTCCTTATAATTTATCTCGTTTGGAGGTTAAGTCACGTCGATTTGTTGTTGACGCCATGACAGCTGTTACTGACTCCTGGAAGTAGCTCACTTGTTTACGCAGTATTCAGCGGTTTGCCGATGTCGAAGGCGCTGTCAGGCAGATTACACCGATATCAATATATTATCGCAAGTTACTCGCTTTCATTCTGCATTTATAATAGTTTGAATAAAATAAGAAAAATCACTTGGCAAGTTGGCGATTATCACTATTTTCAGCGCCGCTCTCATTAAATTAATCGCTTCCAATCAATTACAGTTCTCGTAATTTATGGATTTGACAACCCACTTATTACATTATCATACAGTGGTACTGTACCAACAAAAGTAAAAGCCTCAAATATCTATAGTCTTGGTTGACTAAGTTGAGGTATTATCTACCTATGCGCGTTTCTCTACACTTTGCGCTCATTTCGCGCGATTATAAGTAGGCTAGCGCACAAAATCAATTTTCTTTTCATTGAAATCGCAATAGCAGCTTATCTTCAGCGACGTTTGAGATAATTGTTTTTAATCAAGTGTACAGATATACATCAAATGCGTTCAAATCCAAGTGGTAAATGTCGGTAATAATTAATGCGTGCAAGTCTGATTACATTTGTCATCGTTCGGTTATACGCGCGTGTACCGTAACGCGAGTGTCGCTAGTTTGTTGTTTTGCTATATATACTCTTCTTTTCTTAACATCGAACCACAGTTGAAGTCTGACTTCCAACAGTTTAATAAGGACTTGACCGAGATCCAAAGCTATGTCTTTTGTGTTTGCCAGCAAGTAATTCAAATCTTCAGAATCGTTAAAATTTTAATTCTGCACTGTCAGTGCAAGTCTTTTTTTTAAGTAGTTTCATTTCAGTCTCACATTTCGCATTCTGATAACAGCAACTGCATCAAAGAATTAACGCGATTGTTATTATTATGGATTCAAACGATGAAGACCGTTTGTGAAATTTCAATTGAAAATCTCGCTATGGCCGGTAGAAGTTTGCGGTTTTCGAAATGTTATGAAACGCCCGAGAGCTCGGGACACACTTCGACAAATGGTAATCGCAGATCGATCGAACAATACAATTAGCATTCGACGTCGAATGTAATGTCAACGACCCAAAAATTCGTTGATTAGCTTTTACTTTCGCCGATAAATTACCGCTGCACGCTCTTTACGCACTAGCCGCAAGTGTACAATTCCCGTTAGAAGCAGAGACACGCAACAAGTAGTACGTACACAACTGTCCCTGTAGCGTCGACCACAAATAATCCAGCCCGAAAACACCGAGTCTCGCGAAGTGCGTATAGAGTATCAGATCGACCGGGTATACAGGGCAGGCGACTGCGCTCTTTCTCCTCTCGATGTTCGAGCGAGAAAACGCGCGGCGGCGGCGACGGCCGCTTTACGGGAGAGAATAATGCAGCACAGAAACTATAAACGGGGAGAGAGAGAGAGAGAGAGAGAGAGAGAGAGAGAGAGAGAGCGGTGTCGGCAGCGACGGCGGCGGCGGCAGCAGCAGCAGCAGCAGCAGCAGCAGCAGCAGCACGATAAACGCTCGCGCGTGTGCTTGGCAGCCGCACATCTCCGCCGAGCGTCCGTTCGAGCTCGCTCGTCTCGCTGTGTTATTGTTGTGGTGTTCGGCGACGCGCGTTCAGCAGGCGATTGGCGGCGAACCAGAGTGGCACACCCGCGACAGACGCGCGTCGACGGAGCTTTTAATGGAAGCTTCGGCGAGGTGGTGCAGTGCCGCTACGAACGAAGGAGGAGGATGACAGCGACGCCCGAGCAAGCCAAGACCAACGCCGCGTCCGCCTGCTGCTGCTGTCGCATCTGCTACGAGGGTACGTGTCCTCGCCCGCGTTGTCGGCTAGCGCCACCGCGATTCAGTGCCGTTTTCCCGCCTCTACGCGTCCGAGTCGCTAACTTCTATATAATGGCACGTTTCCGAAAAAAATCAGCGCCGAGCCCACTCCCTTCCCCCCTTGCCGCTACCACCCGGAGGCGCGCGCGGGACGGCCAATTGGATAATGTGCGCGCCCGATCATTAAAATCGAGACTTGCGTGCACGCGCGCGTCGAACCGCTTCCAGTGCTGAATTTTCACGCGCTGTTGTTACACCGACGCAATGCTTTCATTCCTGTTGTTTCTGGTTTGTTTTTCCGGCCACTCGACTAGCGCGAACAAAGTTTTTCCCACCTTCCGAATTGCAGGTTGCTCACGACAACAACGCGCTCCTGACTTTTCGATTCGCGACGCCGCGATATTCCGCCGGGAAATAATTCGCGTAGCACGCGATCGAGCGAGAAAAGCGAAGAGCAACGAGATAGACGGCCGGCGATCGCGCGTTTGGCGCGCGTGACGCGAGCGCCGATCGAGAGAGAGAGAGAGAGAGAGAGAGAGAGAGCAGCTTGGGCGGCGCGGAAGCCGAAATTCGCGCGGTAAATCAGACGAAGCGCGCGCCGGTCGATTGGCTCCTCTCTTCGTCTTCTTTTATTTTCGCGGCGTGATGAGTGCCGGCGGAAGCGCGCGTCTCCGCGACTTCCGCGACATTGAGAGAAAACAATGAACCGTGCGGTGCGCGTCTGCTTGGCTCTCGGCGCGGCGCGCAGGGGACTAGCTGGGCGAGTATAGGCTGTCGGCGCGCGCGTGCACGCAGCACTGCGGCCTGGACAATTGTCCGCGCGTTTCCTGATCGCGCTGGACGATGATTTTCGATGCCGCCAATTGACCTACTCTCCGTCTCTTTGCCTCTCTCTCTTGCGCGAGCGCGCGCAGCTCGTCGATGGGACACGAGTTCATTCGCATCTAGCCGCTTTCATTGCCCGCTCGCGCGTCGCTTTGGTCAGTTTGCCGAGCGGACGATGGACTCTGCGCTCGGGAGGAGTCTTCGAGCTTTTTATATCGGTCTTCTGTCCTCGTTGGTTGGGTCGCGCTGCGCGATTCCGTCGTTTTCGCCGCAGCCAAGCAAAATTTCAGAGAAAAGACCGATTCGTCGCGTCGGACACGGAATTGCATTTTTCCGGAGTAATACTTGCAAGAAACGACAATGAAAAAGCAACCCACGTCCGAGCGGGCTGCTTGTGACGCGTGGTTTCTCGTCGCGATTCGTCGGCCGTTCGCGAGAAGCCTGATTGATTCCGCGATAATGACCTTACGCGCCAAGACTCGAGTACGTTTCCCGAAACGCAGAGTCGAGGATTTGCCGAACGCGGCAAAAAGCGGTCGCTCGATGCAGAAGCTCGACTTTGCGTCGCCACGATTATCACAATTAGCGATTAATTTATGAATCGGTGTGTAGGTCAGTGTGCGCACGTATGGCGGCGAGGCGCGCTGAATCACGCGTGGTTGATTCACAACAGGACGCGCGTCGAAAATTGTCAATTATCGCGCCGGGGTAGGGAAGAAATTCGCGCGCCAGCCGCGACAGATAAGCAGCGCGAGCTTGAACTTGGACGCGTTGCCGCGTAACGTCGGGGCAAGATCAGTTAGCCGGGTCGAGTCGAACGCCCTCGAGCAAGGCCCGATCGGCGTGCCTTTGGGAATCTGGCTCGCGAGTCGGTTCGACGTGCACGTGCCGGCCGATCTCCGCGGCGAGATTAAAGGCGCGATCGCGGAAAGCAGAGTCGGCAGAAGTCGGCCTGTGCGCGCAATTCGCGGCTGTAAATATCTCGGACAATAGAGCGATGAAATGCCGAGAGAGGGGCAGGCACGATATTTCAAAGCCGGCAATTGGACCTGTGTAAGGGCGTGCGCGCGGTACAATGAAACGTTCAGTCCCACGTTTAGACGCGAACGAGTCCATAAAGCTAACGAACTCGTGATCCGCGCGCGTCCACGCGGCAGTAAATGTTGGCCGGCGCGCAAACAATTTACGGCCGCGCGCGGGAGCGTCCACGCGCTCCACCCTCGCCTGAACCGCCGTCGGCCAATAAATCCGGCGCGGCGCTTTCTGTCGTGCAGACGGATCGTCGGAGGAGCTGATCGAGCCGTGCGAGTGCTCGGGCACCCTGGGCCTCATCCACGCCAGCTGCCTGGAGAGATGGCTGTCCACGTGGAACACCGACCGCTGCGAGATCTGCAAGTACGGCTTCGCCGTGGAGCGCAGGAACAAGCCCCTCGCCCAGGTATGCCGAGCTCGCCGCTGCACGGTCCCGGTGCCGTGTCGGCGATCGCTTTCGCCGTCGGGCGCGCGCGGCACGCGAGGCTGCACGGCCCGACTCGACGTCGCGTTTCGCGTGATCGGCCGCTTCGTGCGCCCGTCTCGATCCCCGCTGTTGCACGAGCACGCGGCTCTCGTCGCGGGGAGGCTGCCCCGTCCTCGCCGGCGCGCGGAACGACTACAATGCCGATCGCGGGATTGGCCCGTTCGCCTCCTGCAGTCGCGGGCGCCGCGGAAGACCGACCGGAGCGCGCCTTTCGCTCGAGATGCGCGATTCGATTATTCGCGAAATTACGACGGTCCGCGAGCGAGCACAATAGGCCATTCGCCGATTTCACCGTGAGCGCACGCGGCGCCTCTCTCTCTCTCGCTCTCTTCTTGGCCGCGTGCTCGCACGTATGCGCGCTTGCTTGTGTAGGCAGACGCGTGCGCGCGCGATGCAGTCGTTGGGAGAGAGAGAGAGAGAGACAGAGTGAAATTGGCAATGCCTCGCGCGCCGCATTATCCTCGCCGTCGCGGAGAAGGTTCTGTGCGCGCTTTGCATTTCAAATGCCGAGAGCGAACGAACGCGGCGTTATCGTCGGCCTGCATCCGCGCGCGTACATGCGCGGATTCGGCCAGCCGATCGTCGCACGCTCCCTCGAGATATGCCCTCGCGACAACTCCGCGGCGCCGCCGCTGTCCTCGATCGATCGCGAACGCGGCCGATCGCTCTCGGCTGGCTCGCGCGTTCGACTTCAGGTCGCCGGAAAACTCGTTCGATCGCAGCCCGACGGACGAAACGCAGAGAAAAGAGATCCTCAAAGAGGTCGTTAAACGCACGAGTGGACGGACGGCTACTGCGAATCCCCGATCGGATCGCGTTGCAGTGCACGGAAATCGCGAGTATCAGCTGGCAGTTGCGCAAGGCACGAGAGCACGGGATCAAACTGTGTTGCAGTCGTTCTGGCAGTGGTGGCGAACGCGCGGACTGTACGGACCGCAAGGCGTGACGGGGGACGCGGTGTGCCTGGCCGTGCTGACGCCGCTGTGCTTCGCGGCGACCTACCTCTGCGGCATCGGCGCCGCGGCGTACGCGAGGCTCGGCTTCTGGGAGGGCAGCGGCCTCGGCGTGCTCTGCTGCATGCTCGTCGCCACCTACTTTCTCTGGTTCTTCGTCACCATCAGGTCGGCCGTGAGTCGGCGAGACGCCAGCAGCCCGCCGATCGGCCGATTAACGCGGCGACTCGCCTCTTTGCAGATTCCACTACAGGTCGTGGAGGACGTGGCGTATGCGTAACCAAGACGTCCGACTGCTGGCCAAGTCGCGAGGAGTCGCCGAGGCCGAGCGCGGCAAGTCCCGGGCGAAGGTGGACCCGGCGCGGACCGGGGGCGCCTGCTGCGCCCGAATCCTCGGCTGGTTTCACTATGGCCCGAGCGACCAGCCGCTCTACAATCTCCAGCAGCAGACCACCTTCGTGTGATCGTGCCTCTTGTCCACCGCGCGTCTCCCCCTTCCTGCCTCGCTCCACGGCGATTGTCGTCGCGCGCAAAGTGGCCGATCGCCGAACGGCGCCCGTAATCTTAACGTCGTCACAACCAAAAAATCAAGTTTTCATGGTACGCGACAGAGACTGCTCGCTAGTTGATCGTCCTAATTCGTAAGGGGAAAACAATACTCCCGGTCGTATGTTCGAGAAGCTGTACGTCAAGTGTCATTTTATTGTAGACTCATCGCTGCGCAAACCATATCCGATGAAATAAATAATCTTTGTTTTTTTACATCACGAGCGGCGAATGATTGAGCCTTCCACCTCCGTATCAACGATGCTCGAATCGAGGCGGCACGAATGAAGAGCTCGCCGCTGATAGCGGGCCGGGCAGGCGCGCGATCGCCAACACGGAACAAATGGGACTCGCAGCTCTTCGTCTTCGAGGCTTATTAGTGTCAAGGCTTGCCCCCGCGGAACGAGCGATAGACGCCTGCTAATGAGCCGTCACGCGTATCGGGCTCGCGTTACGTTTCTGCATGTACACGCAACGCCTCGGCGCTCCGCGCGGCTTTCGACATCGCCGGGCACGCCTCTCTCGCCCTGCTCGCGCTCGCCGATCGAGCGCGTCGAGAAAGGGGATCAGCGTCCAAATAATTCATGGAGCTACGGCGCGCCGCGTTAAAAACAAAGTCGCTGACATGGTTGGCGGCTAACCTAATGAAATCCGACGAGCGCGAGGACGACGTGCAAGCCGTCGCGGCTTATACACCATGTCTATACACGAGCCAACTGAACTCGCGGGGCGCGCGACACACTGACCCGCTCGGATTGCCGCGCGCTCCCGGATTTCGTCGCCGATTTCGTCGTGCGCGCGCAGTTGCGAGCGCCCCGAGACACGCGGGTCGCACATCCCGGCCGGCCGACGGGGACAGCTTGACGCCTAGCCCCCGCCGATGAATTATTCGAAGCGCAAGGGGCTCTAATGCCTCGCCATCGTTATACGGTTCGCCTTGTAAGGGCCATTAGCGCTTAACGAAGAGTCGCTCGCACGATGAATTATTGCGGCCACTCCTCGGCGCTGGACGAAGGAGCCCAAGAGAGTTCGGAGGGCAGCCTCGCGTCGCGCGGCCTCCCATGCCGCCGTCGGCGCGGTCGCACCTGTGCCCGCGACGATCGAGGCACGATCGAACCCGGGCCCGGGAGCTCGCGCGGGATCCGCAGAGCTGATTGGCGCCGATGCGAGACGCGCGATCTTCGATCGACAGCCCGAACGAGAGTCGCGGGTCCACCCGCTGCCCTCCTTCGCAATCCGACCGTGTCCGTAAGTCAGTCGGGCGACAAGTCAATATTCGACGAGAAGGCTGTAGCGCGCGAGGATTCTACTTTCAATCGACTTCTTTCATAGGCGGCTTCCGTTTGTTTCTTGGACTGCCGATGCTCTCTGCCGAGTCTTTGCGAACAGAGAGCCGTCTGTGAGGACGGCGATTAGCAAACGCGCTCTCCGTTATTCCGATCGATCGATTCGATCGAGCGCTTGCTTTCTTTGTTTTTCGTTTCCATTGCTCTGTGTTCGACGGAGTCGCTGAGTTATACTTTTGCCAACATCGAACAGCTGCTCTCTTACGAAGCATCAAGTCGGCAAACAAAAGAAACATAATGCTTGGACTGTGTCGATGAAATTTCTCATAGAATCCGTCAGTTAAGGCCGGATGGCAATGGGACAGATCAATACGGAGAGTGTAACACTGTTCCACAAAATAAATAAGAGAGAGAATGGCAAAGCGCTCACTCTCGTATCGCGGCCTGCGCGCGCCATTAAACTTTCAGGTAAGTACAACCGCGGCACTTGTTCGTCTTTCTCTTCTTCTTTTTACGGCTACGCGGAGAATCACTTAGCGCGTGTCGCGGCCCACGCTTCGTTTCCCGATTCAGCGTCCCAAGGTCCGCTCTCGAATTCTCCGGCCGACGCGTTGCGCGCGCGCGCGCTCGGATCTCCGTCGGCAGAGGCGCCTCGAAACGTACACCAATGATCGTTACGTTTGCGCGAAATGGTCGGCTGTCCGCCAGTCCGATCGCGAGTTACGCGGGGCGGGCATGAGCTTCTTATCTGCGCGCTCGGGATGCCGAATTCTCCGGCGCTTCGTGCCTGAATTTCGATTTCAAATGAAAGTTCGGCGGCGTCGCGTCGGCGTTTCGCTAGCGGTCAAGCAAGCCGAAACGAAGAGCTGTCCGAACGACGTTTCCTGCGAGTCGATGCGCACTGGCCGCGTAGCTCGGGCTCGTCACGCGCGATTCGGCGAGCGATCAATTCGAACGACGAAGGCGGGCCGCGTCCACGTATAGCTCGCAATTTTGACACTCCAATTATTCCGCAATTATTCCGCAGCCTAGAGGCTTCGATCGAACGCTCGCGCGTCTTTGCGCGTCGGACGCGCGATCGGGCAGGAAGACCGGCCGGGGACTCGGGCGGCAGTCGTCGTTTGCCATCGATTCAACGTTTTCAACGCGGACGCGCCGCGCGATCGTTAACACGATCATCAGTCCTCGGAAGCGCTATCTCGGACGGGCGATCGCGGGCGGAAAGCGGCCGACGGAGAGCGTCGATCGCAGCGCTGCCTCGGCGTCGGCGGCGCATCGACGCGCGCGCGGGTCTACAGTGCAGGCGGCGCGAACTTGACATTGAACCCGGCAGTCGCGTGTCGTCGCGCCGGACTGTCCCGGCGGATGGAGCGACGGTGCGCCCCGGGGAGCGCGGCCGGGCCGCGGCCCAGTGGCCGAGTGCGCCCGACGCGCACAGCCGCGGCCGAGTCTGGAAAGAGCTAGAACTCGAGCGAGCGCGCCGCCCCGCCCGCGGCCAAGTCGGCGCGCCGCCGAGGGTGGCCGAGCGCGACGACGGCCGCGGTAGGGGCGACGCGTGCGCGTAGCCGTGGTCACCCGCCCGGCGGCGTATATGAGCGGCGCTCGGCCAGCCCCGAGGCCGCACTGCGTCCGCGGCGTCCGAGCGCAGCGAAAGTGCAGCCAGCGCAGCCGCGGCTCTGCCCCCGCGTTCATGTGGACCGTCCTGCTGCTCGGCTTCATCGCCAGCACGATCCTACGCAAGCTGCGCAGATCCGACGCCGCCTGCCGGGGAGGCATGCGACTCGCCGCCGCCGCCGCCGCCGCCGCCGCCGACGCCGCAGCCGCCAGCGCCGCCGCCAGCACGCCCAGGATCAAGAGCCACGGTTGAGCCGGCGCGGCGATGACGAGCGGCGCCGACGACGAGGCGGATTAGGGCGCGCGGACCAGCGGCCCGCCAGAGGCTTCTCTTCTCGCGCGCGACCGGTGCCGAGCAGTGCGCGCGACCAGGCGCGACGGGGCCACGCAGCCGGACGAGTGTGTGAGTAAATGGCCGTGGAAGGATCGGGCCGCCCTTCCGACGACATCCTACTATGGGCATCTGCCTGGACACAGGTGAGAGCGGCTTCCCCGCGAGTGCGCGCCTCCCTTTCGCCGTTCGCCTGGCCCGCTCGCTCTCCGGCCACGTGTCCACGCCTGTGCACGCGCTGTTGCTTCTCGTTGAGATACGACGTGCAGCTTGTCCGATAAGGCTATTGACGTGACTTTGCTCCGGGGCTCGCTCGGCTCGCGCGCTCCGGCGATAATGAGGCAGCAGTTGGCTTGTTGTCCGAGCTGTAATCATTGACGTTAGTACAGCCGGCAGTCGGACAAGTTATTTTCTTCCCGTGATTGACCCGACGCCTACCGCAAGTCGCTAATGCACAGCAGAATGTAGGTTTCCGAGAGGAAAGCTGCCTCTACGTGATCGCGCGTCCGATACAAATTCTAATCTTTCATTTCGAAATATCGCTCCAAACTGCGTATTTTCAGGTCGACGAGTTTCAGTCGACACACATCGAAACGCTCGAATTCTCATTTGTACGTTTCGCCGATGCGTTCACTTGCACGAAATTTTCAGCTAACTGACGCGCGTTTCGTATCGTTCTCTTATAATTCGATCGGGTCATCGTCCATGAAAAATCATTTCCTCGGGACACTTTGCGAACGATCTGCACCATTTCTCCACGGCAAATCATCATCGTTCTTATGGTCGCATTCTCGTCAATCTCAAACGACGTATCAAACACGTCGAGCACTTTCGTAATGAAAGAAAAGCTAACAATCGATAAACAACTCAACGACGACGCATCGTATATTAATGAGCAGTTCGCGAGGGAGAGTACGAAAATCCCCCGAGAAATCGAAACGAGAGAGAGAGAGAGAGAGAGAGAGAGAGAGAGAGAGAGAGAGAGAGAGAGAGAGAGTGAGAGAAGAAGAAAGAGAAGAGAGAAGGCAGTTAAGAGGCCAGTGTAGCCCACGCGAGTGACATGCGGTAATAATATCGAGCGCGCGACCGTGGATCCGGCCGAGCGGCAACGGCAAGGCGTAGCAAGGTAAAGGTCGCAATTGCGCTGACTCCTCGGCGGCACTTGCGTATGTCGGGCACGCTGCATCGGCACGAGTGGCGCGATCGATGGCACAGCCCGCGCGAAAGGACAATTTTCCGCGCGGCGTGCCCAAAGGGTGGCGACGGAAGCGGCGAAAACGCGTACGCGAGGAGCTTCCTTACCCTTCGCGTCCGGGCGGAGCGGGCAGGCCAAAATGCGAACCAGCGCGGCGTCGCGTGAGCAGGCGCGAATATTGTACGCGCTTCGATCGACGAGCACACTTGAGAATCGTGATTTGACGAAAAATCGCGAGGCTATAAACGCGCGCGCGACGTCGTTTGTACGGGGGCAGCTTTAAATTGGAAGTACGTACGTAGGCGGCGGACAGTCCGATTACTGTGCCTAGATAGTATTATCATCAATAATTTAATGTTTGTGCAACAGAACGCTCCCCCCGCCCCTTCGGCTCTGCTTTACTTTCCATTAGCCACCGCGATTGATTGTCACCGGGCGGCGCGCGTTTATCGAAACGATTTCGTCCTTTTGGCGCGATGCGTTGGTCGCAGTCCCGGTTAGGCGCAACGCGCACGACAACTTCCGGATGGTGAATCGTAAGAGCCGGCGCCTCGCGCAAAATGGATGTTTTTATCAATGGAAACGTATTCTCTGCGAAGTCAATGGAACGGATATCGAGGCTCGTTTCCGCGCTGCGCGACCGGCGTATAGCCATGGCTCCGCTGGCCGCGAGAGGGGCAGGCACGTACGCCGCAGAGATCCCCCTCGCCTCTTGTAAATCTCGTGACTGAAGGGCGTCACGGCTATCGTCGATCCCTGCAACCGTTGCACAGACACGCACGCACGCACGCGCGCGCTTCTGCGCGTCGAATTGTTGGATAATGGAGCGGCGGCACGTCGTCGCTGGAATCATTGGCTTTCTCGCGGATTCTCAAATAAAGGAGGTTGAAAGCGCAAGCACAACTGTTACGCGAATCGATACCGAAGGATGACACCGGCTCAATTATCAGACCGACGGGCCAATACAAAGAGAGCGCTGGAAAGAAAAAAGAAAAAAAAAAAAAAAAAAACACCCGGGTAAAGTTGCTTATCGCGCACGCTGCATCGGCTCATTAGCAGACGGCCGCATGAATAATGAACGAAGCGCAAATATACGTTAAAGAGGGGCTCGCAGCTCTGTCTCTCGTGTAAAGCCGCAACACGCCTGAGTTTCGCTTCGCGCGCTTACGTACACCGACTTGTCGCGCGCGTACTCCCAGTTCGTCCGTTTGTATAGACTTCTCGCCCGGCTCATTATTCGTGTTTACGTTGCCAGGGCCGCGATTAACATGCTGGCCAGTGAAACGTTCGTCGGGTCGATTACGAGCGCGTACGTGTGCGCGGCACAACGAAAAAGGGGCGCGGATTTACGGCACACATCTTCTCGATCGCGAGCGACCGATCGTTAGATTCCTTCTTGGCCGTTGTTCTCGTTATTATTTTCGTCGCCGCTGTCGGCCGTGTGCAAACGGCCACAGCGATCGTCGTAGGCGAGGATCAGTGCTCGCGTACACGCCCAAGGTCATTGTTTTTAGGGCACGTCGCACACGTATGGTTGAGCTGTCAACGGCTCTCAGCGTTCCTTTGGACGCGGCAAAAGAGAGATTATGAGCAAGCGCGAATTGGTGCGTTGAGCAAGCGAGGCTGATGAAAGTCACTTGGGCGCGCGTGCAGCGGTCGAAGTCGTACTCGACGATCGCGCGCGCATCCTTGCGGGCTAGGAGAATTGCGCACAGACGTTAACGGACTGTCTGCACCCAACGCCTCGAAAGCCTAATATCATCTATCTTCCATCATTTTCATTGTCGTCCAATCGACGACTCTCGTCGCCTTTTTTCTTCGTCGTGCTTTCACCGCAAATGGAAAAAAAAGAACAAAAGCGTCGTCGCGTAGGAACGAAGGTCCCCAAGGTTAACGAAGCAAAGCGTACGAGTCCTCAATTATAATAGTGAAACTGAAAGCGTAGCGATAATCGAGCGCTAATAAGAAGGACCTTTGGTTGGCAGATCAACAAGATGGATCGCAGGTGTTCGAAGAGGCCGGTGCTCAGGACTCAGAGAAATGGCGCAGAGAGGCAGGGATACTGGCGACCCCGCCCGGGGGCAACTTCCCCCAGCGGAACACCGGCCGCATCAAATTCGAACAGCCCACGGTGCCGGTGGTATTCGTTCTTGGTCGGTGGCTTTGTCCTCTTGTCGGCCTGGCCTCGCCTGCCATCGCACTCTCATTAGCTATGATTGCTTTCGCGCAGGTGGACCGGGAAGCGGCAAGGTGACACATTGCGACAACCTCATGCAGGAGAAGAAGGGCATAGTCCACATCAACATGACCGACCTCCTCCAGCAATACGTTCTCGGCAATGGTGAGTGCGCGCGATTTTCGATCTCCGCGTCGCGGAATCGCGAGAAAGCAAGCGTTTCCGTGTCAAAGCGCAAATCGAACGCCGACGGCTAAAAGTTGTCTCTCGCGAGCGAATGCCGACGCCGATTCCACTTGGCGCCGGCAGGAAACACTTGTCCCTCTCTCTCCCTCCTCTTTTTTTTCGTCCGCGCGCTAATTTCGCCGAGCGGAGTGACTAAAGTACTTTCGCGGCCGTACACGTGCACTCGAACACGGAGGGCGAGGTGGCGGCGGAAATCGATTCCGCGAGAAAATCGATGTCGGCGCCTCTCTCGCTCTTCGTCGTACATACACAGTCGTACGAACTCGCGAGTGGTCGTCGTTACGGATTAATGAGTATCGCAACAAGCGGCCGACCGCCGGTGCCGCTTTGCTCGCGCGAGCGAAGACGACGATTCGAAGAGAGGGAGACGCGAATATCAAAAGCCATAAATCATTTGGACGAGTAGGCTAATTGCCTAGGTAATGAATGAATATTCACGATAAGCGGCCGGCCGTGACGAACCGACGCGACGCGGCTGGCGAAGGTTTTCAGCGACGGACAATTACGGAAAGACTCCTTGATGGTTCCTGGGCTCTCGGCGCCGCGACGAGCGCGTCGCTCAACCTCGGCCAAGTAGAGGCTTTTCTCTTCGAAGTGCGAACGGAAATCGCGGAGGAACTTTGACGCGTGCTCGCAAAGCTATAACTCGCGGCTCACCGCGCTCTACAAATATTTCGACGAGCGATGGAGTTCGCAAAGTCACACACCAAGTTTCGTCCAAGGGTATTTCGCCCTCGACCAATGGCTATCGTTTATTCAACAGTGTGGCGCGAGCTTCATCGAGTATTATATATTTTCCGTGCTTTTTTTTCCCCACTCGATCGTCTGTTGTCGTATTAAAAATCACGCATTGGACATGCTCTCGATTCAAAAGCCGGACAAACGATACGATAACGCGGCCCGCATTGTTGGGATTTTCACAGGCATGGTGGACTTTGGCATGCTGAGCAGCAAAGTGGTGACAGAGGTGTTGATGCTCGAAATGAGAATGTCTCCAGAGGCCAAAACCTTCCTCGTTAGCGGTTATCCGAGGAACATATCCGACGTGGTCGAGTACTCTGAAAAGGTGAGTTCGACGCGGTCAGTTCAATTAATCGCCGCGATTCTGCCGTTGCGAACGTTCGCATCGCATCGAGCGCTCGGGGCTCCGAAGATCTACAGATTTGCCTTGCAGTTGAACATTTTACATAGAATCGAGGCGCAACGGACACAGCGACGTCAACGAATCTCGATAAAGCACAAAGGGTCGGCAATAATCGGCGACTTTGCGCGTCATCTCCCTTGGATCTCGCACGGACGAAATGAAATAGCTCCATAACCGGTTACTAATGTTTCCGAATATCGAACGATCGTTCGGCGCGAGCCGTAATCCTCGCCCATTTGCGGCCGAAGGGACGAAAAAAATATCGAGGACGCATGGGAATTCGGAAGGGCGGCACGGGGGGGTGGGCGAGGGGAAGGCGAACTCGACCCACTGACCTACTCCGCAACTGTCAGTAGCAGCTCCAACCCTCGTAGAGCTCGTGTCCGAGTGGTATAGGGCAACGCCTCGCTGGCCTCCGCGTGACACGGCGCGTCCTTTGGGCGCGTCCAGCCCTCGGCCGCCTTTAGCCGCCCCGAAAAGTGGCGACGCGGGCCCGAGCGAGTCGGGCGCGAACGCACGGAAGCGAAAGAAGACTCGGGTCTGCTTGCAGATCCAAATAGTGAACGGAGTGATCATGGTCGCGTGGAGGCAAGAGGTGCTCGAGGAGCAGATCGAGTACGGGGCGCGCCTCGGCCAGGTGATAATCGAGTTGGCGCGCCAAGAGCTGAAGAACTTCTTCAACGACGGCGTGCCGGTGGCCGAGTACTTCAACGCCAGCGGGATGCTCTACATGGTAAGTGCGCTCGCGCTCGGCCGACGGCGCGCTCGTCACTCACGCGCGCCGCCCACTCGTCGACAGGTGAACGGCGAGAGGAACCCGTCTGAGGTCTACGTGGACTTTCGCGAGGCGGTGATGACGGCGTTGGGCCTGACGAACGAGGGCGGCCCGCCCAGGCAAGTGTCGAGCTCGATGGAGGCCGAAGTAAGTTGAGTTTGACAAATAAATCGCGGCTTCGAGCGTTGCCAACTACCGTCGGAGCTGCGTAAGTCCGCGCGCCGAAAGATGCCGCGACGCGGCGCCCCGACTTCCACTCAACCTCTGTCTCTGCGCGCCGGTGAGCAGGTGGAGGTCGAGAGGCGTCAGGACGACGGGGAGCGCACCGAGTCGAGCCCGACAGCGCGACGCGGCGCCGTCATCGCGACGTCAGCGCCCGTCGTCGAGGCCGACGAGATCCTGCCGTCGAGGTCCGCCGGCGCCAGCGCGAACAGCCAACTGCCACCGATTGTCTGGGTGCTCGGTAAGTCTGCCTCCGGCGAACGGCCCCCAAACCTCTTCGAATGGAAAACGAATGAGCATCGGTCGGTCAACAGGTGGTCCAGGCAGTAACAAGGCGGTGGTCTGCAGGCAGGCTGTCCGTCAAAGCCGCAATTGGGTGCACCTGAGTATGGGTAGCTTACTCGTGACGATGTCGGCAAGCGATCCGACCGTTCGCGACGCTCTCGTTGCCGGGGAACTCGTGTCCTCGGATTTCCTGATGAGTTTGCTCGAGCAACAGATCGACAAGCATCGCGGTGCCGCCGGTATCGTTATCGACGGCTTTCCCAGAGACTCGAGTCAAGCGAGAGACTTCGAGAACAAGGTGAGAGCGTCGATGTTTTTCCTCGCTAGGTACAATTTCGAAGTTGTCAAGGCTCGTACGAATGGAACTTGACCGAGCTATCGCAAAGTTGCGAGTCGATTTTTTCGTATTTATCGCCTTCGAAAACTTTCACACGACCTTGTTGAAAATAAGTTGATGCCTGGCATCGATTCACGGAGCTTCGCTTTTACTTTCAACCTCGTATCGACGCGCAACTTTGAATGAGTCGAGTCCGAGTGGACTGCAAAGCAATCGAAACGTCGAGTCCATCGACGATCGAAAGTTCCCGTACGCACTCTGCTAAATAAGCGAATCTCTCGTGTCGACAGTTCGGCATACGCCCAGTCATGCTGCTACTGGACGTGTCGAAGCAGCAGCCCAATCGCGGTCGCATCTACGACAGCGCGGAGGCGTTCGAGCGCCGTCTGATGCTGTTCCGCGAGCTGTCCCTGCCGATGCTCAAGAGCTTCGACCGCGAGGGTCGGCTGAGCATCGTCGAGGGCGACACCGAATTACCCGCCGACAGACAACAATTTGCCAAAGCGCTGTTGGAGCTGATGAGGCGGGTGTCGCGCAACGAGGACGATCCCAACAGGATCAGCGTGCTCGAGTCGGAGATCGAGGATGCCGACCAGCGCACCGCCAAGTCCACGGCCAACGGCGTCGTCAAGCCTCTCGCCAACGGGGCTGTTCTGAGAGCGAATGAGGCCACCGTTGGCAATGGCGTTGCAGGTACAAACTCGCGCTGTTCTCGAGCTTCATTTTTCTTTGCTCATCCTTTCGCCTCCGAAATGCAATAGCTTCGTCCGCATTTCGTTGCTTTCGTCCGATCGAACCCATCAAACGTTGTCCTCGGACGATGACGAACTTGGCGGTAGCCGTTCGTCGTCTTCCACAAGCAGTGCGACACGAATCAAGCATCAGGCGCACCGAAAAAATTGGAAGAGCTCGTTCGTCGCCAATTTTTCCGGTCGCCTGAAGAGTCCCGCGCGGCCCCTTTCAGAGCTACGACACTTCGCCTGATCAGCGTGAAACCGTTCGTGTTCGCAGGCGCTCGGAAAGTAATGGCCAACGGAGGCTCGAGCATCAAGAACGCCACCGGGAAGGTGATCGCCGTCAACCGACGGCAGCAGCAGCAGCAGCAGCAGCAGCGCCAGCAGAACGGCAATCCAACGGCGGGAAGCAAGCTAACGGCGAACGGCGGACTGCATCTGCTGCAGAACGGCGTGACCAATGGATTTCTGCCTCGCAGCGGCAATCGAGTCAATCCGATGCCCGTCGATCCGCTCAGGCGTATGTACAGCGAGGTCGAGGGTGCCGCCGGTCCGCCTGTCAATCTGCATATATAGCTGCGTCTCCTTGTTGCAGCCTTGCTTCTCCTTGCCCGCCTTTCTTTTCTTCGCGTACGCACCCACGCGTCTGTTCACTTCGCGATTGGCAGCGAAATATCGAGTTACTTGCTAAATTTACATTGCGATTTGGTTTGCGGGGACCACTTTCTTTTGCGCAGCTCTCTCGATCGACGACTCTCCAAGATATCGGCATTGTACTTGGCTGACTCTCTCAATTCCTCGTGGATTATAATGGGTAGACATTTTTCGATTGTTACTGTCGGGGGGTCAAAATTACGCACGAGACGAGGCCGTCAGCGCTTTATTTAATTACTTCATTTCTTGGTTGATCAAGTCAAATAACCGTGGACTGTTGCAATACAACTGGAAAATGAAATCTACGGTTAAGCACTGTACATTATATATATATATATATATATATATATATATATGTATGTGTACATATATATGTATGTAAAAGTATCGAAATAAGTACACCAGCTATAGAATACTTGAGTAGTGGCTAAGATGTGTAATTTAAGGCAACTCGTGGATTTCTTAATTTCGAGAAACTATCTAAAAACGTAATCGACTTGTACGCGTAGAAGGAAAACTGTTCGGCCTTTGAATATACGAAGTTGACAAAAGTTCGGTACTCAGAGGTTTGACAAAGGATACTTTCTCGAGATTAAATATCGTGCGTCCAACCGATAGACTGTTTTCTACAACCATAAGATTATAGAATTTTAACAAGCAACAAATAAACAACCGTTAGCCAAGTAAGTTATTGACGACACGTATAATAGGTATCTCTAGCTTATAATGCCTAATTTATAGACAAACTGTAAATAATCGCCTCTAACGAGCGATGCTGAAATGAGAAACATAAACCCTTAAATGCGTATTGTTATTAAAATAAAAAGAGTCGTTCTGCTTTCGAGGAGTATAAGAACCAAAGCGCAATAGTTGATTATACTGTACATGATTGCTTTGCGCGCGCTTCGAGATTCGCGAGCGTTCAGACGGCCGCCGGAAAAAAAAACAATCCGACGATCGCACAGGCTTCGACAAATTTACTGCCTTTCTTGAAAAGAATAAAAAAAAATCAATGCCGCGGAGCTGCGGAGCGCGCCCATACCGTTTTACCCTACCATTTGCGCGAGTTGCGTCGATAATCGATAAACTGAACTCTTCTTTTGTACTATATACGCCCATTTAGTTACAATCACTGTACTTTCGTTCGTATACATACTTATATCGTTTTCTTGTCCAGAATGTATTATTGCACATCGATATTTAAGAATTTTCATTAAGATTTTTTTTCGGTTGATCACGAAAATAGAGTACAAAATAATGAATACAAGAAGGAAAATAATGTCGGTACGTGTCGAACAAATTGCAGGGCTAGTTTTGCTCGAACCGCGCATAGATTGGTAAAATTGCCGAGTCGACTTTAATTTATTTTTTTACATACCTCTATTACTGAATAGTGGAAGCCTTCTGTTTCGAATTGTATATAAAGAGAATTATCGATCAGCTGGCGTGTTCACGCGTCTATCAAAAATATATGAGCGCGGAAACGACCAAAGTGAAAATTACAAAAGCACATGGATTATCATGGAAATGTAATTGAATGAAAGTGGCGGAGAAAAGAATGTTTATCTACGCGCTAAGGTCCATTAATAGTTGTACCATCGTATCTCTTTGTTTTGCTGTTACACTCCAGAATGATCTATATTTTCGTGAATCCATATAAACGTGTACCTTCAATTACGTACAATTTCAATCATAAGGTGGTCATTCATAATTGATTTTAAGAAAAGCGACAATATCACAAAATTTATTACAATTCTATCGGTGTTATATATTTTAATAAGTTTCATTCTTATTCTCTGACTTGATAGCTTATTCTATTACTTACAAACTCGAATAACAAATCAGCTATTTATTACATAAGATTATTTAAATAATTAATTAAAAGCTTTCATGAATATTTTCCAAACAACAATTTCATAATTTTAATTCTTTATCTTTCTATTCAATTTTTTTTAATTGTACATTATTATTATTATTATCATTATTATTATTATTATTATTACTATTATTATTATTATGAACTAGTTTCTTTGAAAACTTTAGAGATTGTTAAGCATCGATAAAATTTTTAAAGTGGTTTTATCGTCAATTGAAATTCATGTCATGAATATTTGAGATCTTACAAGATATTAAAGTTTCAGATCGACTGTTCACCTGTTTATTAAGATATTGTTAAATAAAGTACGTCTCTTATACACAAAGAATATAGGACAAGGCGTAAAAATACAATGTTTTTTTTTGTTGTAGCCCGTTTTAACATACATGACATCGTTTTGAAAAACTAAACGATGATACATTAAGCTATTTCATATTATATATTTTTTTCCTGAAAATTGTATCCGTCTATTTCTGTTGTAAAACAGTCATCGAAAACTGAAAGATAATTCTTTTTTTACAGTTTATACTATATTTTCGATATATTTTCGTTGCTATTGTTTATTTTTCACTCTTCATTACATGTTATAATATAACAGAGGTCGTTATAACATTTATGATTCATTTAATTATATTTCTTCAATTTGTTTTTCTTAGCTTTGACCAAATTATAAATTGCGATAAAACCACATTAAAGGGTCCAATGAATGAATCTACATTCAAAAATGTTTGCCTTGAAAGGTTTTTTCTATAATAACTTTTAATCTGTATACAAAATAATTAACGAATAAAGTTACATATATTTATGATATTCGCTGTTTTTTATGTTATTCATAATCTGTTAAAATTGTAAAAATATGGAGCGATTTATCTTTAGTTAATGTTGAATGTACAGTATCAACTAGAATGCAATAATAAACGATCTCTACACTGAAAATTTGCCTCTTTATTGTTTAGTCTACCAAGTCCTATAAATAAATTCACCGTTAAATAATTGTTGATTTCATTAGCTCTCTGAAGCCATTACACGTCAACTTATTTCGAGTAATTTTTATTTAATCGGTCTCAATTATCGAGTGATCCTGAACGACCAAGATTGAAGGTTATAGTTTGTGGTTGCAGAAATATTTTTAAATAGCTAATTTGAATGTAATTATACTCTAGCAAGCTCAAAATATTTATTAGATAAGTACCGATTTGAATGACAGTTTGAAGTACATATGTCATTTCGATATTTCAGTGTAACGATCGCACATTGTAATCGCCATAGATCGGTCAATGCAATGTCCTCTTGTATTTAAATCGATCAATTATTAACAGAACTTATATGTCACTGACGATGAGGCATCACGAGATAATTATTAAAAAACAAATTTTATTCTATTACCTCATTCGTCGAGTGACCGCGATGCACGTAGTAATATCGGAATCGACTTGTCAATTAGATAGCGGCAAATGGTGTTGGTTTATGTGACTTTCCGATCATAGTATACTACTGCTAAAGTAAAATTAGATACTTTTACTAAAAACAATAGATATGTTTAGCTTGAACACATGTGTCAGTATATTTGTTTGTTTAGTAACTAAACATGTCGCTTTAGCCTCCAAGTAAATAATAGGGTCACGTTATTCGGCAATAGCAGTTACAAAAAAGCATAAGCCTCATTCATGAGTGAGATCTTTGATAATTTACATCAATGAATTTCTAAATGACTCAATTTTGTGTGATTTGCTCAGTAATTGTTTTATAAGTACATTACAAACAAATATTTATCAAGGTAGGAATAATTCTTGTTAAATATGTGGCTCGTTAATACATTAATTTCGTCGTAAACGTATAAGGGATGCTATATTTCTATTTTACCGGCTTTTTCTTTGGGACATATTTGAAAGGCTGGATCGAATAAGCGGATCAGCAACACTCGAGCCATACCAAGCAAGATTGCCCCTGAAACTATGCACCGGCGCTTTGCACGGAATAAACTTTTCTTATTGAAAAAACATTAATAAATCTTGTACTCGTGGATAACTGTTAGCGAGAAAGTTATTCACAATGGTTCAAAGTACGTGTCTATCTATTTTCGGAAATCTACATTCAATATTTTCGGAGAAATATTATTATTGCGAGAAAATGTGTAAGGTAATATAGTACCGGCGGTGCTTATGCATATCGCGGCAAAGCTTCGGTAAGTATTTTCTTCGAAGAAAACATTATCGTGACGGTATAAGTTATCGAAATAGTTATTTATTACACATATTTACATATTCAATAAATAATAAACAATTTACAACAAAATTGTAATAACTTTTATAAATATCTAACAAATATTATCGCCTAATATTTTATATATGGAGGGTATTTTACTTGAATCAACTTTTACAAGCTTGTTCGTCAATATATAACAATAAATGCTTTTTTTTTACAAATGAATATACTACTAGATATTCGTGTTAGCCGGCATCGGTAAAGCCGGATCAACTATAATTATTACTCATTTTCACAAATATACAAGAATTATTATATTTATTATAATTATTTTCGATAGAGAATAACGTCTCAATGTTTTCTTTAAAAAAATACTAACCGAAGTTTTGCCACGATGTGCATATAAGCAGTGCCTATACTGTTCTGTATAACCTCACACATTTTTTCGCAAATTTCCGAAAATATTGAATGTCGATTTTCGGAAATTGATAGACACGTATTTTGTACCATTATAAACAACTTTCTCGTTGACATTTATCTACGAGTACATAATTTATTAATGTTTTTTCAATAAGAAATGTTTGTTCCGTGTTAAACACCGATTGCATAGTTTCAGGGGTTATTTGGCTTGTCCCGAGCGCTGATTCAGTTATTCGATCCGGCTCTTTCATTTCCTACTAAAATACGCATCGGAGTACGTTCAGATTTCGGCTAATAATTGATGATTAGATAATAAAGCAATTACAGTCGATTCGTTAATAAAATTGTTTGTTTCCATAGCAACATCGCGTTGCGACTCTTTATTTTTCTCAGATAAAATTGTTGATCCAATTTTCTTTTAAAACTATATATATTTTTTTTTTTCTCTATTTCATCAACGAGTCGACCGTATATCGATTAATTAGCTAATAATCCTCCGATGCGTATTTTAGGAGACAATATCTTCCAAAGAAAAAGTCGGCAAAACAATGCTCTGACATCTCTAACTTAAGTGGCATTTGAAAATTATCTTCGACTTTCTATTTTTTACGAGAGAAAAATTTATTCGTTTATCAGCGCTAATTCCTTCAATCTTATGTTTATTTCATTTATTTCAAGTAACAAGAAATGGGATTTACCTATACGCACATTAGATCAAGCATTTTGAAACATCGAAAATGTTTGATTGTTAATCGCAAAAAAATGCATGTATGAGAAATCTGCGCTGATTTTTCATTTCACTATATCAATTTATATAGTAAGTAACCAAGAATAAGTTGATTTGTTTCAATTTTAAAAAATATTGACCAGGTCAAAAGATATTACGACCCAAAGCTAGTAAAAACAACGTCAAATTTTGAACCTTGAAAAATATATAACTTTTGAAATATGCGTTTGTCGAAAAACTGATTTACGAATTCGAATTCAGAGGCTCAAGAAACACAAGAATAATCGATTTTCAGTTCTAGCAAACTTATTGCATGCGAAATTGTACCCAGCTCCCGAATGAACGCATCGACATACTGGATGCCCGTCTCGAAGTTGTTCTTGCTTGTTTGTAGGTTTCTAATAATCATAATTAACATGATGCGCAAAATAAAACATCAATGAGTGATTATCGTCAGTCTCTTGACATTATTTTAGTCGGCAAACTCTATCGCTGAATTGTTCTTATCGCTCAAACAAGTAACTGTGTTCTGTAAAATGTAGCTTCACTACGCAAGAATAACTGATGTAATCGCAACCCGCTAATGGCCTCGAAAAATTGGTAATTACTGAAAAAATTACTCAAGAAAATTTCCGGTATAAATAAACACTCCACAAGTCATTTTATCGTGACATACAACTTTATTAGAATTCTTTTTGTTAATAATTAATTATATCTTTGGGCGGTTGAAGAAGAAGAATGATAAGGATTCAGCGAAAGAACCATAGATGAGAGACCACCCAAAGATTGCTTAATGCTCATTGTTCCTCTGCCGAAACCGTATAGAACGTAAAGGTATTTGTTTAAGACTAAATATTGCAGGGTAACGTTTGTATTATACGTCATTATTCGTTTACCTCTTTCCAGTGCAGATCGAGAAGATAAACGTTTGACGACTGGTCACTCGCTGGACGATTACTGCGCAATCAGTCCGAACGAGAATGCAGACAAATAGTTACGGATCGATCGCGTTACGCGGGGAATAATGTGAATCGGAACGATCTGCCGAGTAGCCGAACTCTTGGCGGACGCGTGCGGCGATCCGCAAAATGGTGCGTTGGAACAGTGGGCTACGTCACACCCCGTCAGTCGGCGCGCGTCAAATTTGGATGGCGGCAAGTGACAATATTATTCAACGAAACCTCGACCACCGCAACGCATCTGACCGACGACTCGCCAAATGTCTCGCTAAGCAGCCGCGGCTGCGTGGTTGTCCGAATCGCCTCGAGTTGAAAATACGGGCGTGCGCAAGTCAAGCTTACGCGCTGCTGCGGAGACGCAGTGCGACGCAGAAGTGTGCCAGCATTAATTAAGCTCGTCGTGCGAGTTGCTTTAGCTACGCCGTTTGCGCCGAAAGTTGGAACGACTACAACTGACTATTACATTTTCTTATCAGCGCCTGAAAAATACCGCGATGAGAAGTAAAATAGGGTCTACCTATAACATTATTGAAATTCAAAATGAAAAAACAAATGAAAACCAATTGTTCAGTGTAGTCATATTATTGTAGATTTAAATATTGTCGGTCTGCCCAACATTCGACCACAGGGGGATAAGATCGCAACTATTCCGTACAAATCGATCTCAATTGCGGTTCTCGTGTAAATTGCACAATTCACAAATAATTAGCACTACTGATGAGCCCACCGAAGTTTAAGAGTTTCAATGAAATGTCTATGCCAAATATTCTTGAAGATTTATTTATTAAAACCTCAACTGAGCCATAAAAATACATTCCTTTAGCAAAGAAAACATATAACAATCACTGCGCCTATCAAGATACAATAAAAATCCATAATAACAAAAAATAAATGAAGGTCGTCTTTGTGATTATTCACGAAAGATTCGCTTGTTGGGATAGGTCGATTTGTTGAACGGTTAATTGTCTGAGCTACTGACAATGAGTTACACAATAATTTTCTTGATAGAATTCCCATCAATCCCAAAGATTGACATGCCAGTGTAATATTTATTCACACGCTTATTCACCCGCTACATCCCTTAATTGTTCCAGTCAAAGTACACATTGCACCTGGTGCGAGTTGAGACTGAGTTGCAATAGTAGGGTCGCATATTAATAAGCCAAGTTCGCTATCAGTAAAGTTTTATAAGGATTACATACAACATAATAATCGTTTCATTTCAATTATCCTTTTAAGTGGCGTACAAATTTAATTCAACTATTCGCAAGCGTAGCTTCGAATTTCATTTTTCCCGCGAAAACGGACTCGCGCTAACTACTCGCGTCAAATGACAACAATATACTAGTAAGTTCGTTAATATAAATATTCGAAATCACCGTTATACTTAGAAAATCTTGGTCCTTTCTCTTAAAATCCTCAAATCATCGTCGATGCATCAATCAGAGGTGGCATCACCTGTCAAAAACATTAGTTGTCCTCTCTCAAATTATTACAAAAGTAAACCGCGGGATAAGACGCTACTTGGCGCCATGTTTACTTGTAAATATGAAGGTTTGGAAGAGTGAGACAGAGAGAGCACGAGTGATGGTGGCGACGCGCGGCACATTGCGGCGACGTTTGCTCGTGCGAGACCGCGAGAATCGAAGCGAGACAAAGCCACACAGCCGCACCAACAAGGACAGAATGTTACCGATAGCATACACACACACGCGCTACAACAGCGCCGCGTAGCCTAGTACAGAAGTATGCGTGTAGGTGAGGCGCAGTCAGTGTGTAGTTTTGAACGGCGCGAGTGTGCACTGTGTATCACCCGAGAGCGCGCGATCGCAAGTAAAAGTACAACGGTGAGCCGCCGATGAAAGAGAAAAAATAAAGACAGCGAGCTCGCAATGGTAAGTATGATGCAGTGTGTCGGCGTTCTTTGGCAACTTGATCAACAACAACAAACGCAAGCCGGTCGCCAACGATTGTTTATCTTGTTCATGTGTACGTGCGTGGTGTACTATTGTGCGTCTGTTACGTCACTTGGTTTTTTTAGAAGTAGTGTGTATAAGATAAAATATACACACACACACACACATATATATATATATATATATACACATACGCGAATGGGATAGGTATACTTTAGACGCATAGGAGAGAGAGATAGAGCAAGCGAACGAGAGAGGTGCTGTTCGCGCGCCGCCAGAGCAAATCAATATAATACCGCGACTACACACGACGACGTTGACGGCGACGACGTTTGTGTAGGATGCACGTACGCATATCGAGAGAGTGTGAGCAGGAAAGAGACAGAGTGTATACGCCCTCGCGCGCGACCGAGCAAGACGTATAACTTCGTGTTCAGCATGTTCGTGTGTAAGTGCACGCGAGAAAGTTTTTCCCGCGCGCGCTCTCTGTAACGATATAGAAAGAGAGAGGGAGACGTGATGTGCACTCGCGTTGTTTGTGTTTGTTGCGTGCGTATAGCTGCGATGGATCGATCACACACTGAGTGTAAGGTGCTTTTTGGCATTTTTTTCTTTTCAAATAAGCTTACTCCGAAAGATGCGTCTATCGCTGTATCGGTTTTATAACAATTGATTGTGTATGTTACCTGATGACGTGCTCCGGTTTTCTGTGTGCATGCGTGTTTGTGTGTTTTGATACGCGGCTTCGTTTACCGTGGTTGTTGCACTCGGGTGGTGGTATACACACCGCGTTTAGTCGAATCGTTGGTATTACGTTATTGAATTGTTCATGAATTATTTACTGTCGATTAATTTGATACCATTTGAGTATCAAATTGTTTAGATATTAAAAGGTTTAGCAACAATCAATTTTCATTTTACAATAACCAGATAATTGTTGATTTAGACTTACAATTGCTAAATGATCAATAGAGTTAAACCAAACCTTAAATAAAGCAAATGGAGCATTTAACTATAGATACAATCTTTCTAAATTGGTTAATAAGCTCAGTACTGGAATATTTTTAGCCTACATGCTTAGTTATACTTATAACTGATGTAATTCTAAATTGTACTTACTTCAAATAATTGAATTATGTTATTGTGTACTATTTTAACTCAGTAATGATATACGGTTTTATATATTTATACAACACAGTTAATATGGAATCTCTAAGCAAATATTGTATTTACAGGATATTTGAATAGAGTATAATGTGGCTGCGAAGTGAACATGTAAGTCGAAGGCTACGTGGCCGATTGGGTTCTACTGCATCTGCATCCAAAAGCTCTGGTCGGCGAGTCCAAGGAGGTTTTGTACGCAAAGTACCAGCCATCAACAACAGTAATCAACGGGTACATACTACAAGCAAATGCGGTAGATTATCACGCTGGAGACGACGTTCGCCAAATTTATTAAAAGAAGTATGTTCTTTGCATTACACTGATCAATATCTTTACGTTTGATAGTTACTAATAATATTTTTTCCGACAGGCATGTAAGGAAAACGTTTTGAACTATGCAAAGTCGTCACCCATTCGGAATAAGGTACCTCGTCGACGAAAGTGTATAAAGCGCTCAATGGTCACATCAACTCCACTAAATCGCGTGATACCAAAAGATACATTAATTGTAAGATGCTTGTCTGCTTATTGGAACTGTTTTATCTCGTTTGTGACTATTAGTTTTATAACTTAACAATTTTTCTTTTTTTCAGCCACCTAAAAATACTGATCTTTCAAAAGTATCTGAAGAATCCAAGGAAAATTGGGATTTAGATACAATACCACTTTATTCTCCATCACTTAATATTCCAGAAGGGATTTGCTCTTCAACACCGGTTGATAATTTTAATCTTCGACCGCCATCTATTAATTCTATAAGTGATTACATGCCCCAACCAACAGAAGCAATCCAACCAGATTTTTCATACTTATTAGATGAGGAAGGAAATAGACATTCAGGTAAGAAATTTTCATGCTCAATAAACAAAAATTGCTGTAAACATTAATTTATGCCTTAATTATAGACGTCTTAGATGTGTCATTTTTAATTAACTTTACATGTCAGTTTCTCCAATTTTAGATTTACTCTCCCTACATTATTCAGCAATTTGTACACCAAATGACCATTGCGATGAACACTACAGTGTTATGCACTCAACTTCAATTTACAATAGTCGTCTGACTTATACTACCCAAAAATACTACCTAAACGACGATTCCTACATCAACAATAACGAGAATAATGATGATGTATCGAAACTTCAGTATACCAATCTCGAGAGTGATCCTTCAAATTATGAGTCTACTTTGGCATACTCCTCTTCAAAGTATAATGACTTATCCAACGTTAACGTGACAGACTTGAATCAGCCAGACTCAAATGGCAACGTTCATGAGAAGTGTAATTCTGAAAATATCAATGTAGGATACGAGGGAGTTAAATACATTGAAGTCAGTAGCGAAGAAGTCGTCGAGAGCTGTGATGTGGATAACATGGTCACAAATGTACAAGATGATCGAGATTCGTTTGATCCTTATGTGTTCATCAAACATTTGCCACCTTTAACAGCAGCAATGAGGGCAAGATGTCCAGCACTTCCTTTGAAAACAAGAAGCAGTCCAGAATTCAGTTTGGTTCTAGATTTGGTAAGTTGTTTTTTTATAAAACATTCTTTCTCAATCTTAAATATAAATACATTAATAAATTTTCTTTTCGTCTCTATTGCAGGACGAAACGTTAGTACATTGCAGTCTGCAAGAGCTATCAGATGCATCATTTCGTTTTCCAGTTGTTTTCCAAAATATTACGTATACAGTCTTCGTTAGAACAAGACCATTCTTCCGCGAGTTTCTCGAGCACGTGTCTTCATTGTATGAAGTAATCCTATTTACAGCCAGTAAGCGTGTCTACGCGAACAAATTGATGAATTTGTTGGATCCTACGAGAAAGCTGATCAAGTACCGGTTGTTTCGTGAGCATTGTGTGTGCGTGAATGGCAATTATATTAAGGATTTGTCTATTCTGGGAAGGGACTTATCAAAAACTGTGATCATTGATAATAGTCCACAAGCATTTGGATACCAGGTAACAGAAATGTTTCAGTGATTTAAGATAAAAAACAGATAATCATTATTTTATTCCTATGAGTAATGACTTAACGTTTTTTATTTACAGCTGGAAAATGGTATTCCAATTGAAAGTTGGTTCGCAGATCGATCGGACAGCGAATTAATGAAACTGGTACCATTTTTGGAAAACTTAGTACATTGGGTAAGTCAGCAGCTTTAATAAAATTTTTTTTTTACTTTCTCATCGTAATAAGCATTTTTCATTATTATAATTTAAATGTCTAATTCTAGGGAGGAGACGTTCGACCGCGAATCAGGGAACAGTTTCGGCTCTTCAGTTTTTTACCATCAGATTAATTATAAGATAGCAGCATAAATGTGTCGACTACATTGTGAATGAAGATTTTTCATTCCGATGTAGTTCGATAATAAGTCGTTCACATACGTTAAATATAGTAATATATAGGCGGTCCTGTTATGAAAGCACACTTCTGCCCTACGCGTATGATTGGCGATAACGTTTGGATAATCGTGCGAATGATATGAAGTTAAAATTACTATTGAAAGCCCAGATGGCTTAAAGTATATCTATATACATGTACGTATATATATATATACACTAAAATATCCTGTAAGTGAATCATGGTATTAAATGTATTTGAAATTTTCAGTAACTAATTTAGAAATTACTGAAGATTTCTTGTTTAATAGAAATTTCCATGTTCCATTTACATGATTGTTTTTCACTTCTTTTTTATTTTATTTTATTTTTTGCCTTAAAACGAGGAATTAATTGATTTTCCTTTTTTACTTTAATATTCTTGTACTTGCACTCAACGGTCGATTCGAGAAAAGTCACAAATTTTATATTTTTCAAAGACTTTTAGATTAAATATTTAAATCATTTTAGTAGTTTTATATTTCATATCTATATTAGTTATAAATTGTTATAACGTTGTACATAGATTAATGCCTTTCCAAGTATTGAGGCGCTTCTACTTTTTTTACATTGATTGTATTAGTGAATATGAAATCCTATTGATTCATAGTTGGAAATCATGTTGAACGTTTATGCAGTGGAATGTTTTGGAAAAACAAGTTGAATGTCAAAACCGCAAATGAATTAATGCCAAGTAATGAAATTTTGTAGTAATTTTTGGTTTCATATTTTTTACGTTTTTTATAACTTTATTTTATGGCCATTTATTATTATTTTCAAGTAACAAAATCTTTGAATGAAATTTCATCGAAAGTTACATTTTACTGTACAAGTGCACAACTTTTTGTGTTTAATAGACTTTTTAATTGAAAGATATCGTTTTAAATTTCATAAAATCGTAGTTTATTTGTCTACGATGACATCCATTTATTAATGTTAATAAAACTCCGTTTGCTAGTCTCCCACACTAGCGCGCTAACAACGGAGAATGTTACAAGCGTTAAAATTTACTAAACCACACTGAAAAAATGATATGCCTTAAGTACAAAAATAAGATTTAAATCTAATACGTAATACATAATGTAGTTATTACGATCAAAATTAAGATTTTAATACATTTAAATCGATTGAACTTTCATATTTTGGTATGATACAAATTTTAGTGATTCCATGAAAAGAAATAAATCATATTTATGAAGCCCATCAGGCTTTACAAGACCAAGTAATACTTTTTGTTACGAAAATAAATGAAATTGAAAAATATTTACAATATACACGATAGCATACGCTATCTGTTTTATAAACTTTATAAATTTGATAATTACGTTTTATAAGGCCAATTTTTTTAACAATTACTTTTAATTTGTTCCACATTTTAATCAGTATTTTGAAGAAAATTATTGTATAAATAAAATAAAATATACCTATGTTATATAATTTATTGGAAAATTTAAAACCAATTATTTTTATCAAACTTCACTGATTATCTCCTTTGCATTATTAGACACAAATGATGTAAAATTTTAAGTTTAAGCATCTTTTAAAAAACTGTTGTTATTAAATAAAAGGAAAATTAATAATAGATTAAAACAATATACATCTAACATAGTATTTATACATGAAAAATATTCATTGCTAATTAATACTTGAGAATTTACAGCTCAATAATGAAAATCGAAAAATTCAGCGCAAAAATTATTTAAATTTAATTATAATGAATTCAAGTAAAATCCTTGTTTCATTATTTGATATTTTAATTAACTTATGTGTTTATTAAGATTATTGTATCATACCCCAATTATTGGACTAGTCGATTTTATTATAATATAGGCTTTTTTACAATTTATAATAACGATTTATTTACAACATTTATTCTCATTTTAATCATGTTTTTTGAAAAAATAGTTCTTTTTTCAACACGCTGTGCGGAAAATGTCTTGCCACGCACTCGACAGAAATCACATTTGTGCTCAAATTGCGCTTTCAACGCGTTGTTTCGAAAAATACCATATCTAACTTGTTCGGAAAAAAGATTCTCGTCTGATGTGCTTTCCAGCCTCGCTTCACTCAAATGTGAAATCTTGCACGAGAGAAGAATCTACTTTTTCAAACTAGTTACGTATACATCTATTATTTTTTCATAATTATTGGCAATCAATCAATTGTATAAAGGCATAAGTTCACCTATTACAAAGTTAATAATTCGCTCGCACGCAAAGTAAAAAACTATATGAAAATACGAACAAAACGAGAAGAGCTAATCAAAATTAACGACAAAATAATCAAGAGAATGCAGATCCAAATTGTAAATGGGTGCTAGTGTGCGTTAATTTAGGCGGCGTTCAATACTTTAAGCATTTATATAGCTTGTTATAATGCAATAATATTGTAAAGTAGCTTCCACAGACCATAGTTCGATTGTACCTCCGTGAACTGTTATGTGTAAACCGTCGAAATAATGAAAGAAACAAAACAAATTAACAAATTTAACTTACAATTTGTTTTTTCACAGTTCCGTTAGGCATTTCCGACGACGCACAGTATCTTGCAAATTTTATAATGCTCAACAACATTCACTTGATAGTTTAATCTATTTCACTTTAGAAATGAAGCGAAGAAAATGTTGCTAAAGTGTAATTAAATTCAAATTGTACCTGACAAAAGTTGGATGTTATTTGCGCTTCAATTTGGAAATTTATGAGAAGAAATATTATATAGAAAGGAATGTTATTTTACTTCATTTCTAGAGCGAATATTATATTTTAATTAAATCTGAAAAATAATTAATGTGATTGTTTTCGAAGTTTCTTCCACACAATTTACAAATAAATGTTCAAACTAAAGTGATTTGTAGTTCTTTATTACTACAACCTTTTTATTTATTTTATTATATTTGATTTGCTGGAGGTAAGAAAAGTAAGTAATAATTATTAAATATTGTAGGATAAAATTAGGAAACAGGATGTACCCACTTTTGCATCCGTTACACAAAAAACAAAATGATACTTTTCTATAGATCTATATTTCAATATAAAAAAAATCTCGGGTTGCTTTCAAACCACTGCTATGTACAGCAAGTATAAATATCGGAATATCAAAATATATTAGAGAATAATTTGTGTACAAAAACATCAATACTTCAGATCATGAAGGCATCAAATGACAATTATATAAATATGATCTTACTCTAAAAGTGCAATTAAACAGTATGCAGGTACTTGTTCAAATTTTGTTTGAAACGACATTGAATTTTTTTTCAAGTGCAAATTTAAAATAAAAGCAAAGCTGATTCTCTTCTGAAAAACTTTCACATACATCTGGCATGTATTCCCAAAAAAAAGATTGATGCATTACACATTTCTAGCCTCCAGCGTATTTCTGTGTGTTATACTACTCGATCAATTGCATGAGGTGAAATGATTCTGAAACATGTGAATTTTATGTCAAATATTATATATTATAAATAATACATAAAGTAATCAACAAAACTCTGAATCACAAAAATAACAATTTCAATCAATTGTAAGGTGATCTATCAAAGACTAAAACATTGCCGTCTGAATTTCAGGTCTGTATGATGTTCTTTATAATTTTTTACGTCAATACTTAAGCTATTATTGCACACAACATGTACGTTGGACTAAAGAATCGCTAACTTTTGTATCAGCATAGCAAAAAAATTTGGTTTCTTCAATATTTGTAAAGCATATTTCAATGCACCTAAAATTCAAACTGGCAAGCAATTTCTATTCTTCGTCGCGTCGGAAATACCTATCCTCGATGCTTTTACATAGATTGATGAGCTTTGGATAATTTTTTACAATATTGGCCAAAGCATTGTCCTTAGTCAGAGGTGTTGTTATAATACTGAATATATGTCCAAATACAAGGGCATCCAGCTCATTAGGTCTGTGGGATTTCAAAACAAAAATGAATACAGTAACTTTTGAATGCAAAATATTATATTAACATGCAACATATTACAAGGAATTTAGACATAATACATGATATTATTAGAGATGGACAAGGTGTGCAAAAATTAATTTATTAATAATCAACGAGACAAGGACGTAGGATATCATCAATATAGTCATAGCCATTATCTTCTTTAATTATAGATTCTTCTGAGGAAGATTTCAACACTTCAAAACTATCAATACTGAGATTAGGAGTGCGATTAAAATAACATTTGTTTATGGAGTAAGCATGATCAATAAGAAGAGGATATCTACGAATAATGGTGGCAATGTATTGTATAGGAGCTGGAAGATTTCTTGTTAATGTTAAGATATGGATGTGGGAAAATACCAAAGCATCTAGTTCGTTAGGACTTGAAACGAAAAATGATAATTATTAATGATGAAAGATATGTATAAAATCAAATATCATTGTACTTACTTGTCACCAAAAAAGTACATCTTGTCTTCTAACCTTTCTGAAAGTGCTTCACAACATTTATTAACTTCTTCAAAGACTTCCTCCAATGACTTGTGAGCCCAACCCAGGATGCTTAGTTTTTTTGTTATTTGATTTTTTTTCTGCCAATTCAATAGGTGATTTAAAGGCCAAGGATAAACACTTCCATGTCTCTCCTTTGTGATACTTTTGTACGTTTCATCATGGCACCAACAAACATAAAGTTCTGCATTATAGAGAACATTATTGACTAATGACGTATAGGCTCTTAAGTTGACTTTATCTTCTTTACTCAGACTTTCAGATAAACTTGAACCTCTATTTGATATAAATGCAACGACGTTGTCAAATTCTGGGACAATAAATGCACCACATTTGATAAAAGGAACTTTTCCTGAGGGTGACATGTACTCAGCATTCCACCGAGGCTCGATTTGAAACTCCAAATTACACATTTTCAGATATGCTTGAACAGCCAAACAATTCGCATTGTCAGGCAATAGAATTTGTTCTACTTCGTAAGGCTGGTACAGCTGAATTGGTTGTGGCCATGATTCTTGCGCTGTAACAACAAACAAGTTAAGTAATATCTCTTTTTTTTGTAAACTGAGGTTAGCTTTTTAGGAAAATAGATGGATATGTAAATGTCAACAAGATATATAAAGTTTTTCAACTGTAATGCACCTCCTATATCAACATCCCATGGTTCTAGTAACGTTGAGTTTTGCATTTTTATCGATGATTGTTTATACCATACAAATCAATGTTTTCTTCACGCTATAAACCAGCCGACGCGAGAAAACAGACGAACTCGTGACTCCTGCTCACAATAGTAACGTGCAGAAGAAAAACATCATGTTTTGAAAAAAAATTAAGTATACCAATTTTTTTATATCCGGTCATAAGTATTTTATTAAGCATTGGTGGGAACTATCAGTTTACGTAATTGAAGTAAACTATTTTTTTAACAAGATTAAAGATTTATAATTATTTTTTAAAGATAAAAGAAACTTACGATGGATATCTATACATTTTTCTCCGCAAATAGTTACAATTTTACGTATATCTTTCAAAGGATCATTCTGAAATATTATTAAAAGATATTACAATTATTTATTAATCATCGATTGAAGTAGATATCAAAAATTACAAATAGACAAACAAAATGTAACCTCCAGCTCTATCAAACTCGAATATAAGGAGTCGAGTATTCGAGTTTGTAAAGGTACATGATCATCGATCCACTCATAATTTTGAAAATTTTCTAATTCTTCTTGAAACATTTTAATTAATGCGTTTACCAGTTAATTTTGATAAAATATTCAGCCAAAAAGCTGCAAAAAAAAAACCGCTTTCTCGAAAAGTAACTGAAAGTGTATTTTCATTTGTTATTTCGTCATTATAGGTCTTTTTTATAGTTGAAAGTATTGAAAAAAAGTGTAATTTTCTTGGATTCTACGACAATTTTGTTGAATTTAATTGTCATTAAAAAATAAACTTAAAGAGCTATTATAATTTAGCGGCAAAACCGGAAACGGAGAAGAGTGCGCCGGCGCGCGAGTTGTGCGCGACGAGCGCTTATAGATGTTTCACGGACGTGTTGAACACTCTCTTTCAAAGTCGTCAAGATGTCGAAGAGAGGTAAGCGGTTGAAAGAGCTCGTGATATCCATTGGAATCAACTTCAAATCAACCAAATAAAGCTTGAGTCGATTATTTTATAAAATTGCAAGCGTTGATTTATGTGTTTCAATAAAAATTTTTTCCTCGAGTGCCAATAATTGTGTGAAAATAGACTCGCAAAAAGTGACGATGTCGGTTTGTAGTATGTTTATAACAAGTTATAATGTGGTTTTCTGTTTTAAGGACGTGGTGGTTCGGCGGGAGCCAAATTCAGGATATCCCTGGGTCTACCCGTGGGAGCAGTGATGAATTGCGCTGATAACACTGGTAAGTTGTTAACAGTAATTTTTTTATCTATCCTGGGTACGTGTCTTTAACCTCAAAAGGTAGACGCATGGTTGAGGGGTATACTGTATAGTTTATTATTATTATATTACTGAAAGATTATTTTCTGCTTTGTTTTAAAACATACTTTATCTGCTTTGAGCTTTTGGCAACATGCAGTGCAGCGTCAAAATTAAGACTTAATTTTCTTAGCTCTTTATAATGGACAACAGTGTTCAACTTCACTATATAAAATTTATTTAATTTTGTTATGACTATTTCTTAAATGTTTTGCATGAAAAATAAATAAACAAACAGCCTTAATAGGTATAAGTTCTTTAAATAATATAATTCTGTAGAACAGATTATCAAATAAGTGCATTGAATAAGTTTTTAGCTGATTATACTACAATTTTCTATTTGATTCAATTAGAAGATATTTTTTTAGGTATATTTTCTACAATTTCTCTTCATTAGAATTGACTAAATAAAATAAATATTTTATTTAAAGTTTATTTTTTAAAAACTTAATTTGTATTAATATTTTTTTTAGCTGTCATATTTTTAAATTAAAAGAATACTTATGCATTGATTAAATTTTTCATCACTTGAATATTTTTTTGTAATAATATACCAAAATAACAAATGTTGATTCTTTTTATTTTGTCTTTGAACATATTTGGGGAAAAGTAAATTTGAAAATATACAATTTTCAAGTGACTTAACTAGAGTTTTGAAGAAAAGTAATCAAAATATTTTACAGTTTGTTAATTAATTGGTAGTAGTAATATGAAAGAATTATTTTTGAATATAAAAACTAAGCTTACACATTCATATTTTTTCAGGGGCCAAAAACTTATATGTCATTGCTGTACAAGGTATAAAGGGTCGCCTGAACCGTCTACCAGCAGCTGGATCAGGTGACATGGTGGTTGCTACAGTCAAGAAAGGAAAACCTGAACTCAGAAAAAAGGGTAAGTAAAAATGATATCATTACAAAATTAATTGGAAGAGAATGCAAAAAAGAATAATAATAATAATTTGATTGACAGTTATGCCTGCAGTGGTGATCAGGCAACGGAAACCATTTCGCAGGAAGGATGGAGTGTTTATATACTTTGAAGACAATGCAGGCGTCATTGTTAACAATAAGGGTGAAATGAAGGGTTCAGCGATAACAGGTCCAGTTGCAAAAGAATGTGCAGATTTATGGCCCAGGATTGCATCCAATGCTAGCAGTATCGCTTAATCTATTATTTATACTATTTTACCCTTAATAAAACAATCCTAGGCTTGTGCTCAGCAATTTTTTGTTATTCAATTGTTGACCATACCATATTTTTAATTAATACTCATTAAAAATTTTTTAGTTTTTTAACAAAAAAACGAAGAAATGTTTTTTGCTTAAATAATTCGTATAGAAGAAAATTAACTTTAATTTTATTAGCAAGCTTCCACGCTTTAAAACATTTAATATCTCCAAGACCACCGACGAAACATTGACCTAAATAACAAGCAAACCATAAAATTCAAATGTATATTGCAAATATGATTAGTCACATATTCTTTACTTCCTAATTATATAGTTATTAAGAAATGTAAAAAATTCGTACGATTGTTTCCTTGTTAATTATACGTCACGGAAGGCTGGTCATTTTATCGACTTTTTTTCCAAACATGCCGATACTTCTTATCTACATTTTTTTTAAACTATCGATTTGACTAAATAAAATTTACATTTATTATTTATTATTTAATATGACAAAAACACTACGTGAAATAAAGAATCTTATATATTAAAAAAAAGAAAATAGTTGATAATTGACAGGTTCCTTTGTCAATGTATCAAGGTAATTTGGATTAAGTAAAGAAACTTAATGTTACATTAGAAACTCACTCTTATCTGATTAGAATTAGAGTCATTTGCTTACCTTCATGCAAAATGCATGCAAAAAGCTTAATACCACTGAGTCACTGCCGACACTGCAGTAATTGTTTCAATTGTAACGTACCTGTATCAAGCCACGAATTTTTCAAACTATAAAAGTACTATTTTGTATTTAGTTTTCGTTACTTCATTACTAACAGAATTCATGAATTTGTACCTTAAGTAAATATTTTATAGTACATTTGAAAGCTGATAATTCTTTGTGTGTTCAAGCCTGGTTTATGAAGGCAACGACAGATTTATTTGTAACAATTATAGCGCGGTTTAATGAATAAATCATTAATTGCATAACAACACTTCAATAGTGAGAATAATAAATCTCTAGAGACGTTCATTACCGATTTTCCGATCTGTATTCCATACTTATGCGCACTCGATTCTCGATACACGTGTATATTATTTCTTTTCAATTTTATTTATATTTTACCAATTTACCAATAAAAATTGTAATATATGCTGCCTACCTCTTGCACGCTAATTCCCTTGCAGTTACGGACAAATAACAATTACACGGAGATCGATCCATTGTTATCGCTCGTGCGAGCGCATTAACTTCCTAGAATAACCGGCTCTTTTTGTTTTGTTTGCTGGAAAAATTCAAGGAGCCGAGAGGTGGGCGTTAGTGATCTTTTTATACTTGTGTTATTTTTCTCACGCGTTTTGTGGCTTTTGCCGACAGTTTTTTTTCTGCACATCGACATTAGATTCTTTGTTCGGAGAGTGATAAGAAAAAATGGGTGATCAGGAACTTGCATTATTGGTGTCAGTTTAAAATAGACTTGCGATTGCAAATTTCACGAGTCGCGTGGCAGGTTTGTTGAATTTTTTTTCCACGCTTGTGACCTTGAACGTATAATTGATGACGATCGAATAATTTGTCAATGTATTTGGTAGTCGTTAGTCGATGGATATTCGATTTTTTAACACAACTACCGTGGAACATATTCAGCACTTTTTTTACTTTTCTCAAAATTGTTCTATGAGCTTCAAAAATTTGCATGGCAAATTAGATCGGTATGTTTGATTATTATGTCTGCGGCTAATTACAAACGCACATACGCTCTTCTTTTCCACACTGGCATCCCAAATAAACGCCGGACTATCGCTTTTTACATGTGACGCCCCTGTTATCGTCGCCCGCGTGTTTGTCCGTTTCCTTCGATCTAATGTAAAAATTTAGTTGAATTGTGCCGAAGTTTTATCATGGAATGCAATTGAAAAAGACGTGCTAAATTTGCTGTTTTATGACTTAATTCTGTGGAAGAGACAAAGTATCCATAGAAGGAAAAGGAATAAGACCTGAATAAGTTACATTTCAGGCGTGACAATGAAACACCCATATTCAAACGAAATGACAAAAACTACAAATGATTAAAAAATTGTTCTAAAAAGAAAAGACAGCGGAAGAAAGATTTGAGCCGGTGTTTTAAAAAACGAGATATAAATCCGAATGACACAAAAAACATTACGAAAACATTATTTAGAAAACGTAAAGAATTGCTGATTTCGTTAAAAAAAATCGTTTTTAACGTGAGATATGTCCATCCATTTTTTAATTTTCCAGTGTAAACTAATGTTTTCAAAGAAGAATGTTAGGTGTTACGTAAATAATTTAAATGTTCCATTGATTTTCCGAATTTGCAAGTCTTTGGCAATTAAAGCTTGCATATACTTTTATCTTGTTGATAAATCGTTTGAAGCGTGTATTAATTTATTTTTGTCAAACACACTTTTAAGAAAAATGATGTAAAACAAACATTAATAAAAAATTATTCTAAGGTGATAAATTAGTAATTTAAGGACAAAATAATAACGAGGACAAATCTGTTTTATAATATTTTTATAAGTGTTTCACTATTTTTTTTATCATCAACAATATTGATTGATTAATACAATCATCGCAACTATTGAACAATCCATTGTCAAAAAAGCAGTTGCACATCTATAATCAAAATTACACTTTTTAAGAACAAATAGATATAGACAAAGTATTTCGAGTTTGTAAATAAAAAACAGCACGATTGTACGTACTTCTCATGGGAAACACCGATTTCAATTTGTTCGATTAATACTTATCGTATCTTTATTTTTTTTATATGAGTAAAATTGATATTTAGAGGTATTACAACAAAGTATAAAAGTGTTTACTTATAAATTTGATGTAAGAGAGAATGGGGCATTCCGTGATTGCTCATAGCTGATAGAACGTACAAATGTAAGTATATGATAATAATCTTGCGTGCTTTCGGCGTATTGTCCCAAGCTCGAGCATTTTAAAGATATTCTCGAATCACAAAATTCTAAAAGATTTATTTCACATGTTTTTTGGTAAAGCAACGTCATATTCCACACAGGTATGGCAATGTCGCGCCAGATAGGATTAAAAATCTAACAATCGTCGATCATCGCACATGCCATTTGAAAACAATAAACTAAACGTAGAAAAATTTTTTTTTCTTATATTCTTCAAATACACAATATGAAGTCGCACGATTTCGGTAGCAAAGCCACAGCAGCAAGTCCAACCAATTAATCTGCCTCGCGCATGGTGAAAGAAAAAAAAAATCACAGTGACGAAGAACTGACCAACCGAAACTCCACGTCGCCGAGCCTGGCCTGTTGCAGAGAACGAGCGCGTCAGGGGAGAGGAGGGAGTTCGCCGGCGTTGAAGCGTGTGATTTTCAGATTACATATATTCCCGCGCCGTTGCCACGACTCGCCAGTCAACTTCACGCTTCCCGGTGCAAGGAAGGACTCACTCGTGTTTGCAAACACTTGCAACATTTCAAAGTGTCTAGCTCGTGTACATTTGCCGGTACAGTGAACGTTCAAATTGCTCGACTGTCGAGCACACCAAAACACTTATCTTTTGTGCTTAAGTTCTTGGCAGCGACGAGGCGTGGCGCGCCTCTCTTGCAGCGTGAGTACCTATTTGTTGACAAATTATTCAGCGGGTACTTTAAGTTTCAGCGGCGACAATGTGCTGTAAATACTTTCAAAATTTTGATTTTTCATTAGCTGCTCTTTGTCACTTCTGGGTGGCTGCTCTTTGAATAAAATGTATTGTTCAATCAGTGACACGATGACTATTACAAGTATTTTTAGTGATTATCAGTTTCTGAGCTGAATATAAGTAGTTAATGGCCGATTCTGTTTTGGTGCATGCACGTACACATTACAAATGCTGATTCAATTGCTTATTCGTCGATGTAAAAAAAATAGACTCGATTAGTAATGTTTCCTTTATAAATATTATCTTAGGTTGACAACTATGCGTAGTAATGTACACTTTTAGCAGACAACTTTCCCCTCCATTCAACCATCGATTTAAAAAAAACAAGCGCAACTCGTTTTCTCTCAATTAGTCGTACGCTCCGAAATAAATCGCAGTATCATGGCATTCCAACGTTCTCGTGCGGCATTGAAGAAAGGCTCTCTTGGTATCCACGCTGGTTGACCCTTTCCCATTCACCCCTCTACGTAACTTACATATACGTTCACCAGCAGCAGTAGATGATTTAAATAATCACGTGTGCGTGCCCGTTTGTCGAGAGTACGCGGGGGTGACGACGTCGTTGTCACAGTCTTTTTTTCTCGTTATTTGACAGCTAAAAATACGTCGTTCGTCGTCAGCTGTCTCCCCCTCGCGTCTATTTCCGATATAGTCGCCTCCATAGCTGTCGCGAAAAATCGCAGATAGCAGACGGCTGTCGAACATAACTCGTCTCTTGCTGCCGGCAAGAGGTTTCGGGGGTCGAAGCTGCTGCGACCAGCACAAGCACAGCAGCAACAGTCGCCGTAGTTATATCTTTGTGTGCTACGCCGTACAAGACGGAAGTCGTGTTTATTACGCGAATTTTGAGGTTATGGCGCCGTAACACCGTGCCCCCAGAGGATCCCAGACGACGAAGATGCCACGCGACGTTTGTTAGAGAAACGGCGTGAGCGAGGAGAGCGAAGGAGAGGAGAGATTCAAGGAAAGAAAGAAACGAGTGAGAGCGAGGTGTGTATGCGTTTGCGCAAATACATTTGTAGAGCATGAATTTTGCTCCAGAGTGAGGCTCGTGAAATTTACGCGCATTGGCCCAGTTGTTTGCCAAAGCTTTGGAGAAGACACGCATCCTCTCTCCACCCGCAACCGTGGCTGTCGGTATTTTTAGAAACCTGCGATTTTAGTTGACCAACTGGAATACCGTTAGTGTAGCGCATTTTAGCATTTTTATTCTACTTTACTGTGTGAGAGCTGATTATTCAATTTGTAGTTTATTTGTAAACAGTGTTTTTGTCGTTAATCTTTATTATCGATGCCGGGCACTCGCCGATACTACACCTTGTAGATGCCTGCATTTTAAAGCGAAGAAATGCGAGAGATAATACGATAGATGAGGATTTAAATTGAACATTTTTTTTCTAATCAAAATTTGTACGCTAAAGAAAGTTTTTAAATCGAACTAGACGACGGCATACTGGTTGGTCGTTATCCAGACAAAAAAATACTTAGAATTTTATTACGTAGCGTTTTATTTCGAGGGCATTAATTATTTGGATTGGAAATGTCCAATAGTTTATTGTGGTTCCAATTCTTCCAAACAAGTATTTGTATAATGTAGTTACATGACACATGAAATATTGTCATTTTCATAGTTGATGTGAACAATGCATAAAGTGCAATTTTTCCAGTTTTAGCTAAATGTTTGCTCTATGTTTACATTTGTAATAATTGTAAAAATTTCATCTAATCTGATTCTTCGTTAATCAAGAATGTTCCAGATGATTGTAATTGAATGAGTAAATTGCTTATAACTCATCAATCCTTCTTGTAAGCGTCTTGTTCTATTTATGAATTATTATTTTTAGATTCTAGTTCAAGATCTGATATTGATACTCAAAAATGAGATTCGTAAAACGAAATATTAAGATTTTAGATGGAAAAATATACAAAAATTAATAATGTTGTTTTTTTGTAGGTAAATGAAGATGGCACATTTTGTGGCTATGTGCGTAGTGTGTTTATTTTGTGCAACACACACACCATGTCTGGCTCATATGAAAATGTCACAAATGGTGCAAAAAACAACACCTCCTAGTAAGGAATATTCTACAGATTCATCTGATGACAGTGAACATTTCTTAGACAATCGGATAAAAAATGAAGTGTCTGAGTGGTCAAAAAAAATCTATAACAGAACTGATAATCTACTTCATAAAGTGCCTCATAATAGTATCGAAAAATCCAACAGTGATAGTGTAGAACTTGACTTAGAACATATTAAAAAGCTCCAAGAGCCCAGAAGACAAGAATTACTCGAAAGGCTAGGTCAGAACGACTTACAGGCAATGAACGCGAAAAGTGCGAAAAATGCCAAAAATTCACGTGCTAAACGGAGCACAGAATTCAATGAGAAGTACTTCACTATGAAACTGTTCCAACAATATGGCAATGGCGAGCACATGACAATGGAGGGCTTTGAGAAGCTATTAAAAAAAATAGGTCTATTCCAGTTGGAAAGCAGAGTCAGTGAGCAGGAGAGTCACAGCATCAACAGCAATCAATCAGGAAGTAGATTAGGTAAACAAGTATAGCCGTCTCTTTATTTGGCATCTTGCGAAATGAAGAATCGTTGCATACCTGCCAAAAAGTCTCTTTGATTATGTCATCTTGGCTTAATCAATGGCATGATAACACTGTTATTTGGACACTTCACTCCCTATGTTCAACATCAAATTGTACGAAATAATTAAAAAGAATCGTAATCGACGTCCATCGCGACCGATATAGTGGAATGCGAAGCTCAAACGCTGACTAATTGAGTTGATTTAATGATAGCGATTGATATCGACAAGACGAGCGAGAGAGAAGCTAAGAAACGTCAATTGACTTGCTCGAATCGCTAATCAGTTCTTTAAAAAAGCTCGGAGTGTCCGTGAACTCACCCGCCAACTTGATCAACATACTATATAGCTTTCTAAGATTATAATCCAAATCAATCGTGAATATGCGCTCCGCTGCGACTGCATAGTAACTTTGTTTAGATCTTAATTGCCTCTCACAGACTCTCTCGTTCATTTGTATTTATGCATGATGTCGTTAATTAATCAATAGCGCGATTCTAGGCTTTGATATCCTCTTGTAGATTGTATCCGCGCAGTTACAATATCGCCTTTGCTTTATATATGCATCGGTAAGAGCTGAAATCTCGTCGACGTTTTCGTAATACATAAAACTTCTTCGGCGCTATCGCTGATAAATTTAAAATGTGTGCAACTTGGTTAAAATTATGGTCAAAATTAATTTGATTTGTTGGCGTCTGAATGTTTGTTGCGAGTGATGCAATACGAGAACAAAACTAGCCTTGGCTGTAAACGTAGTTATTTATCTTTTCCTTGACGACAACATCATCATCTAATAATATGTAACATCGTTACATATTATTAGATGTAACGATGTTACATAAAATTGCAGCCAACATCAAGGAATCTCACGTACGAAAGGGTGTTGATGACCAGCGGGTAAGTTGATCTCTCAATGTCACTTGTTATTGCGGCTGATGAGGCATGCGAAAGGTACATAATCTTGTGAATTGTTATCCATTGTTGCAGTGCTTGAACAACAGGGAACTGCTGAGTAGTCTGTCGGGTGACAAGGTTTATACGAACGGTAGTAGCACGAAGGAGCTACCAAGCTGGCTGTTCGAACGAGTCTGCCCAGCACTGATTTATCAACTGGTCGAGCAGACAACTTCTGGTTGTATACAGGTCGACGACATAACCGTCATCAATCACGGTAATGTCGGTACCGCAATGGAAAGCAGCAACGATAGGACGCGCAACATGTTTCAAGGTGTGAAATGCGTTACTTCTTTTTATTTTGATAGCAGGAAGTAGCGATAATTTTTGTCGGCAACTGGTTTCCTTTCTCACACAATCGTGAATCATCTCTTTCTCTGTTTACTTCTCAAAAAATATACATGTTTAATGTTATTTTTTAGTATGGGTATACTCGACGGTCAGCATACTCATTATAAGTCTATGTGGACTTCTGGGAGTTGCAGTAATCCCGATGATGAGTAAAAGCTATTACCACCAGCTGCTACAATTTCTTGTGGCACTAGCTGTTGGTACGCTTTGTGGTGATGCTCTCATACACTTGTTACCTCACGTAAGGATTTTTTATCTTTCACAGCACCATTTATTTTATTAAAATTTATAGCACCATTGGTGTTCATCTATCAATTACATAAATTAGCTTTCATCTTTTGAAAGTTTCATGATCGTTACGGTACATAAATGTGACTTTGAAAAATTTTTTAAAACTGTTTACTTTTCAAAGTACAGTATCATCTAATTGTTGTTGTTTTAGGCCATGATGTCGCATCATAGTCATTCGCACGATAATAGTCACACGCATTTATCAGTAAGTCATAGTCAAGATGAGCACAACACGAACATGTGGAAAGGTTTTGTAGCGATGATAGGTTTAGTTATATTTTTCTTTACGGAAAAAGTATTAAATATTATATCTGAATGGAGGAGGTATAATCAGAGCCGAAGTAAAGTGAGTGTTGTTGTAAGATATTTGTTTTTATAAATATTTATCAACGTAATGTACCTGATTTTGATCCCGATTATTAATTTTGTCTGTCTTGAAATAATGTTAGGTGCCCAACCGCGCTCGAGTCATAAGAGAGTCCGATGCGGGTAACAGCAATACCGTCGGTGAAAAGTTGTGCAAACATAAATATTCTACGTCTTATCCGTATTGTTATGGAGAAATCGCAACTGAAACTCAAGGTATTTGTCATTTTCTGTAAATGTTTAATCGGCAATCATCAAAAGTGATTTGAACGCTTCAGTTATTTTATTTTATTCGTCTTCTAGATAATCTTCATCAACATAATCATCACGAAAAGCCACAGAGTATTGATGAGGAAAAGCCTTTAACTTGCAATGCGACAAATTGTAATTCGGTTTCGAACAAAATAATGTCAAACGATATGGAGAAGAAAGGTAATGAGGATTGGAAGCTTGATGATACTGTGATCAACGATACGAAAAAAGCTGTTGATGGTTCCGATATACCATTGAACGAAGCAGAAAGTTATACTGTGATTATTAGGGAGCATGAGGGTAAACATCATGGCCACAGTCATGGACATAGTAATATTGATTTCTATTTAAAACTGTTCTCAATCTTTGAATGATATAGTATATTTTAATTGATAATTTTTCTTTCAGGCCACGTTCATTCTACCCCAGATTCAATGTCAAGTGTAGCGTGGATGGTTGTGATGGGTGATGGTTTGCACAATTTTACAGATGGCATGGCTATAGGTGCTGCTTTTTCGGCAAATATTGCTGGAGGTTTTTCCACGACCATTGCTGTATTTTGCCACGAATTACCTCACGAATTAGGTACTTAATACGATTTAGAAGAACTCTAAATTCTAGACTTTGGTTTCGGAACTTAATGGTGACTTTATACTTTTAGGTGATTTTGCAGTTCTATTAAAAGCGGGCATGAGTGCCAAACAAGCTATTTTCTATAATCTGTTATCTTCAATACTCTGTCTGTTCGGTATGGTATTTGGAGTATTACTCGGTGCTACCCCAGCTGCAAGCAGTTGGATGTTTGCTGCTGCAGCTGGAATGTTTATATATATAGCTCTTGTGGATATGGTATGTAGCACCATTTTTAATATAATTATTGATTTTAGTAGTATTTCAAAATTAATAAAAAATTAAAAAAAAATTATTATTACTTTACAAGATTCCTGAACTGTCTTCTAACCACTCGATTTTGGATGGTGCACACTGGCAAATTCTCTTGCAAGCAGGAGGCCTAATAACTGGTTTCGGTATCATGTTAGTGATTGCGCTTTATGAACCCGATCTCCAAACGTTATTTGACAGTTAAATCCAACAAGTCTGACTTTACTTACATAATTAAGTAATATATAAGTCAAATTATCAATGTAATACTACGGTCAATTCGAAGCCTAAAAAGTTCAATTACAATTGGAGTGAGAGTTTGAATTTTTGGTTTGGATGACTAGAACTAGTAATGTGCGGTTTGAGAAACATTAATAATTTTCATTTTGTGCATATGCGTGCGATTACTATCGAAATAAATAGGATAGTGTATACTACAATCGCGAATAGATTTAGTATAAAATTGCGCAGCTTGCATTTTAAGCTTAATTAAATTTTAGGGTTGCGAATCAATCATGTGAAATCCAGTAAGTTTTAGTAAGCGTGGAAAAATTAAGAATTGAAAAATTTATAATAGAAAAATCCGTTTATATTGCATTTCAAATCATTTATTTTTAGACAACGAGAGAAGAAATTAGTTTGTTTGGATATTGAAATAATGATTTTTTTGTTATTTGAATGCATTGAAACTGATCAATGGACATGTTTTAGAAACATAAGAATTTTTATTCATTGTCATTAATCAATTTATTTATTGTCATAAAATTTGTTTATTTTCCTGGAAAAAATCATTGTTATATATTGAATTTGAGAATTAGGTTAATTTTTTTAAAAGTAATTATAACTTTGGAAAACAGTTTTAAGCTTTAGAATGGGAACAATTACGAACATCACACGCAGAAAGTTTAGAAACAAGTTTGCAGTATTGAATTTTCATTATTAATATTTAAGTGAAATCAAGCTCAGTTTGAATGAGTTGGCATATTGTTTTTTTAGTTATTGTTAGTAGCTCTCTAATTGTAAATCGTAGAATTCCAAACAAATATAAACACTAAATAAGGAATTTGACAACCTAGTGAATTTATTTGACATCACTAATATTCAGAATTCAGATGAACAATTCATGCATTAAATTATTAATTACCATATGTAATATGAAAATTCTGCTGTACTTCAATGAATTCTAAACTACGAATGAAATAGTACATTACGATACAAGTGCGGGAAATTAGATTCTTGTCTGGTTTAGCGTTTGGAATGTATGAATGGAAAGGTACACGAAACGAGAAACTCTTTCCCGAACATGTGCCGTACCGTATTTTTTTATACGACGTGTGGAAAGTGTGATTTTCAACGCACGTTTTCTACCGAGCGTGCGGGAAAGACGCACTTTGCGCACGGAGTATTGAAAATATTTTTTTGTAATCCTGACTTAATAGTTTTAATTGAATGTCAAATAGTAATCAGTATAGTAACGTTAAAATCAATCAAACATGAAGAAATGATGAGCATACTTATTACTGTAAGGCAAAGAGTTTAAATGGCACTGTTTTTTTATTATTATATCATTTAAATTTATTCTTTTTAATAAGCATGTACAAAATGTGAAAAACAGTTTTGCTTATTTTCAAATATATATAAATAAAATCGATATCAATTGTTGGTTTTCAGCATATAAAAGTGAATCAAAGAATATGATTTCAATCTCTAGACTAGTTTTTTTAAATACATCGTTACTAACCATTTGAACACTTTTCCGTACACTTAAAAAATGTAATAAAAAAATTCATTACGAAAGTTATGAAAGTGAAATATTTACAGAACACTTGTGTAACATTAAGTAATTTTAACTGACGTTCCTGCTAAATACAACTATTCAATATAACGCAGAATATTGTTAGTTAAAAGTTAAATGGATTAAGTTAACAGCAATAATAGCGCTCAATCGCTGTAAAGTATGAACAAGCACTCAACTTATTTTCTGGCTATTCAGCATTGTTATGTAATGATTATGTATATGATTTATGTGATCAAATTTGTTCACATTGAAAACCACATAATTGTACATAAGTATATGAATATTTTCGGTATACTTATAAAAAGATTGAATGACTACTGTCATGTCTATATTTTATAATAAAAAAAAAAATGCGTGACAACAAATAAGACGTTCAAAAAATCTATTGACATAACGAATAAATTTTAGAGTTGTAATTATATCCCTTACTTTTTCATAGTCGACTGCATTTCATATGTGTATATATATATATATATATATATATATATATATATATATATATATAAGAATTTAAATGGCTTATTTATATACTTTACTCTATCTACACATTTTTTGGGACTGCGATTATTTCTATTTTGCAAGAAAAAAAATCACACCAAATTTTGTATCTCAGATTCCGTTAGATTGCTGATGTTTTTTGATTTTTATTATTTACTTGAGCGAGTTAATGATGGGGAGTAAAGTAAGTCAATTTAGTTAGAAACTTGATTTTATAAATATATCCAACAACTTATTTACATTTTATAACTATTTTTTGAATAATGTACAAATGAAATTTTAGTTTGACTAAATAAATACTATTATACAATAATAGGGTGACTTGTGATTTAAAGTATTTGATAAAAAATAGAAATAAAACGACATCTACATTACTGGAAAATGTTATTGGTAACAGTATCGATGTCACCTTCAATTATTCACATTGATATCATTTCATCTTTGTCACTCATTTGTGCCGTTAAACTAAATGCTGTATCCGTGCTTGTTTCGCTGATGATACTGTCATTGAAAGTCGTTTTCTTGTTAACAACATCGTTCATTTCACGCATTATACCTGCCATATCATCTTCGGGGTCTATTTCATGCGTTCCTCCAACGACATCAATATCCATACTAGTTTTTTCTTCTTTTACGGTGACTTCTACGGTTGGTGGTTTCTCTTCTTTAAACTACATTTGAAAAACAATCTTTGTTAAATATGGCTATATCAAAAAGGTTCATTATAATGAGGATAATCATATGAAATTCATATTACTTTACCTTCATAGGTTCTAATTTGATTTCACTTGGTAACTGAGAATGGAATACACAATTTGCATCGAAAATCACAGGTACTGGTTCATGACATGCGGTATCTGCTTCTATAGCACCGCAAGCTTTAAATAATACTTGGTTTTGGTCCTGAACATTGAATAACGTTAATTTATAGCTACAAAATAGTAATAAATTGAAAAAATATATAATTAAAAAAGACAATTACTTTGAGTATATGTTTGCGACAGTATTTAGACGAGGGTAATGTTTTATCTCCACATTTGACTCCACCTTCCGTGAAAATACATTTTTGCGTACTAGACGACTTTTGTATGTGACCACCTGCCACTTCTGCTCGTCGCTCCATCAATTTTTTGTAGAGAATAGCTTCAACGCCACTTCGTCTATGGTAACTATTTAATGCCTTGAGTTTTTGGTAGGTTTTTTTTTCTTTTGCACTATCTTTTTTTTGATCATGAATGCTACCTGTAACCAAACAATTATAATTATTTTAGAAATCTATGAATTAATCATAACATAAATTAGATACTAAAAACTAACATAAAGTTTCTTTTTCCTTTTTTAAGGCATGTAAATATTTTCTTCTCTTCTCTCTTAAAATGTACTGTAATCTTTTAAATTGATCTATGTATAAAGATTGTAACCTCATTAGTTTTTCTCTAGAAATATAGACAACTTCTTCTGCCGTATATACACCAGCATGTCTTTAAAAAGAATCAACCATTAATTTAGTTGATCAATTTTATTTACTTTTAATATTTAAAAATATATATATATACCTTAGAGGATCTTCTTCTGCACTGTGTAAGCTTTCGTTATCACTATCATCTAAATAAGTCCCTCTGACAGTATCTGTAACAGCAGTTGGTTCTACATCACTTTCTGAGGAGCTAGCATAGTCTAAAATATCTGGCCCTTTTGCATTTATTTTGCAAGCGTCTATTTCATCTAAAAAACGATAGAATACAAGTTAAAGAATGATGATAGCTTGTTTATTTAAGTTAATCCATCAATATTAATACTCACTAAAAGGATCAATAACTTTATCTTTGGATTCTTCTCCATTTTCTGTCTTTATATTTGGATCTGTTTGTTTAACATAATGTCCAATGGTTAATAGTAAAGTTTCTGGACTTTCAGGTAGCGAATGTTTGGTATTGGATTTTGTCCTTATGATTTGAGCTCTCCTAGCATGTTCAGGACAATATCTATAATGAAAAAAATATATATTTTAATAGGCTTAATTAAGATATATTTGCTTAGAAAACTTGTTTTAAAAATAACATGTTATACTTACGAAACATCCCTTTTATCTGATTTAGGTGCAGCATTGTGACACTTCCTGCCATTGATATTGTAAATGAAACTGCACTGTCTATAAGGAGCACTAGTATCTTCTAAAATATGTCTTATGCAGTAACTGTAAGAATCTATGCATGGCTGATTGCAAACATACGATGTATAGGCACACTGAGTAAATTCTCTTGGTCGTTTGCTGAATGGATTTATTGGCGAAGTCACTATAGAAGTAGGCATTGTAGCTTTGGGGACACGAAACATGTCCTACCTGAAAAAAAATTTGTTAAAACTCATCGTGGAATCATCAGCGGCGTGCATTTCGAAACTGGAAGTAGTAGGTACATACATATAAAATACAAAAGGTTACCGACGCTTACCAACATGCATTACATTATTTACATTCAGTTTTGAATTTATTGTAAATAACTCAATCATCCACCATTCCTTAAGTTAATCTGAATGATGGATGACTGAAATATTTCCAAAATATTCAAAAGTGAAATAGAATGTGATATTCAGAAATCATTTAGGTTATGTTCCTTTAATCCGCCTAGGGTCTTATTGAGATGCATAAGTCCGGTTGCGTAGTAGCAACTGCACATTGCGCAGTTGCAGTATAGAGCCTTTGCGCAACCGGATACATTTATATCAAAAGCACCCCTGGACATTCCCTTAAGGACGTTACGTAGTGCTAATTTTTTTTTTAGCTAACTGAATTACCGACATGAATTTGGCAATGTTCCATTATAATATTAATGCATATATCTATAGAATCATGTTTATGCCTATCAAATACATGTTGCGTTACCAATTTTTGTCTAAATTATAGGGGTTTTTATTAATATTTAATTAAAAACTATAGTGACCTATTTTAACATTTTGCACAATTCTTCCACAAAGATGTTTTTTCGTAAATTTCCAAAAATAATTGGATAAGTATTAGAAAATTTTAATTTTAATGGATGTTTTTCAGACCGTTCAACAAGGGTTGATATTAAACATGACATTATTTCTTGATTTCTTACCTGAAAAAGCATACTAAAAAATTGACTTGTAAGTTTAGAACACTTTTTAATTTTATATTCTCAAATTTCAGCATTAATGCTTATGTGATTTAAATAAAAAAAACATTACCTGAGATTCTATAAACAATCTGTGTTAGACTACATTTTGTTTCGACTCAAAAAAAAAAAAAAAAAACTAAATATTAATATTAATAAAAGTTCCTACGTTACGGAAAACTTGGCAACGTCACGTGTACCAGACGCCATAAACATCAATCTACAGATATATGCATTAGCATGATAGCGCGACGTAGCCAACTTTTATTTTCATGTCAGTATATCAATCAGCTAAGAAACAAAAGTTTTACTAGGCAATGTCTAAAATCAATTATTTTCATTTTAGCCAGTTAGCATATGGACTTGCTTGAAAGATAAATGATTATATTATGTAATGTTGCTTCAATACTGTAGCGTTTTTGAGATTAAAATATCGGATTTACGAGAATGGTAAGTAGAACAACAGAATTCAATATTCCATTATCCGGACGTGGTAATTTACATGCAGAAAAATGCTAGCAAAAAAATTACTATTTTGATTGAGAAAATAGCAAATCGAAAACGTCGATTAATTAACAACTTTCAGTAACTTGTTGATACGAAATTAAAGATATTTATAGATAAATCGTCGGATTCAGGATAAAAAGTGCAAGCTCTAGAAGAGCATGCCATTTAATATTACTTATACATTTACTAATAATTATTTTTCATTACAATCTATTCTTGAAGATTAATACCGATTAATTAATTTGCCATTTAGATTAATTCCAATAAAGGCGATACTCTGATTGGTAACAACTTTCTACACCTATATCAAATAACGCGTCCGGATAAGTGAACAGAGTATATCGGGTACTAGGTCATCCTGGCCGGTAAATAACAAATTTAATTACTCAATTAATCTGATTCTTTGACGATTAAATTATTTTTGATATTAAGATTAAATTACTATTGATTTATTTAAGTTCGAAGGTTTGGAGAATTATCTATTTGAAATTGGAAAAAAATACATTATAATAATTAACTGTTAAAAAAAAAAAACGATCACTGAAAATCCATTTTTTAAATTGCCGCGCAGAACTACGATATCACTGAGCTAATCAAAATAGCGACTAATAACCCATAAAAATAGAATAAAAATGAGCAATTTATGTTATCGAAGACATTAGAAAATCGTAGCATAATAAGCACAAACGTTATCGAGAATTAGTTTGGCAAAAAATGCAGAAAAAAAATCGCTAATTTGACGCGAGTTGTGAGGAAGAAGGCCGCGACGTGGCCATTTTGGCTGGTGCTAGGTGTGCTGTGGCCGTGGGTGAGCATATCGGATCGCTCGCGTTTTCTGTGGTAAAATAATTGGCGTCGCGCGCGCGAAAGACAATTAAAAAAATCCTCCTCGCGCACGCGACCCACCACCTCTCAACAAATCTTCGTGTGTCCACGTGCGGCTGCTCTGAGCCGTGCAATATCAAAGAGAAAAGAAACGAGCGCAAGACGATCGAGGACCCAACACGACGACGCCCAGACACGAGCACCTTCATTGATTGTCGCAGCACCTCATCTCGTTCCCCCACAGAGAGAGATTCGAGAGTGAGAGAAAAAGAAAGAGACAGACACACGTAAGAAGTGATGAGAATTTTGTCGCGGATACCTTGACACAGGTTTGCTGGTCGATTTATTCCGCAGGCCCGAGTGTTGCACAGAAAAACCAACAGTATATATCACAGGGCCTCCGAGCGCCACGGCGGTTCGCTTGTGTGTGGCGACTGCAGCGGCGCTCGCGGACGTTCCTTCTCTCATCGTGCAAAACACTTACATATATATATATACCTATATATATACATATGTATATACTCACATGCACATGTATTTATGAATGTGTGTGTGGGCATACACACGCGGATTACAACCCTTTTTGTTGCTCGCTTTGTCATTTTGCTCGTGAGAGAACGACCAGCGAGAGTTTCTAATATTCAGTGTGTACAGCACAACACTCCCTCCGTGTTGTATTGACTTAGGCGAACGATAATGCTGCACGGTCATCGGCTATCAATATGCTCTTGCCGTCGCCGTACTAGAAAAACCAGTTACTCCGACAAGCACACGTTGGTAATCGCATCAACGATCTCATTGTAAAAATACTGTTAAAGGCTCGTAAAATCAAATTTTTTTTCTTACAAAACTTTTATTTAAGTACTTTTTTCCTTTTTTTTGCGAGCTTATGTCTCTATTTTGACAATGCAGCGACCTATTTGAGAAACGCTCATAACTGATGCGGCAGCTCGGTGATTCAAGGAATATAAAGTAGCAGTAGATATAATATCCTTATAAGGTAAAAAGTTATCAGAAAGATTTTCCCACTGAATCGTGCCAAAGTATAGATAATAGCTACAGAATAGGTAGCCAAGGACCACCTGACCGAGAAAGCAGTGTCCAAGCACCCCCCCCCCCCCCCTCTAAATCTATGCTTATAGGAAGGTCTAGAAAATTGACAAATAACCCTTTCTCCGAGAAAACGTTGACGGGCCTTACCGTGAAAGATTATCCGAGAATTATTGATCCTCCGGTTTCAATCTTCCGATGTCTTATTCAATGTATATTTTTTCCCGATCAATGTGAAAATGTGAAGATGGATTTGTATATTCTGTAAAAGATTAATAACTTTTACAAATGTGTTTGTCTGTTTCTAAACGTTTTTAGCATTTGCTTTTTTCGGCGAGACATTTAGATGATCAAGTAAATAAAACTCATTGAATTACAAGACTTAGAAGTGAGAAAAGAAAAGAGAAAAATCTTCGGCACGTTCTCAATATGAAAAGAGAAATTAAAAACCCGCGATGACAATCACTTCGTCCAGCGCGCATGCGCGTTTCCCTCTTCACACATCGCTCGCTCTTAGCATGTGTGGCTCCGTCGGTGTGTGTAGATGCGACTCCGCGTAAGAGCATCAGAGTTTTTTCGGGTCGCTCGAGTCTACGCCAGAGCGATCGTGAAAAGGCTGCGTGATTTTACGTTCAGCCCTGGTGTGTCGAGTGCCGACGCGATCCTGGGCACAAAATGCCTTGTGTCCTTGCTAGATAATATAACTCTAAGTTGGTGTCAATCTTTCAGGATGCCCCGACTTGCCTATGCCGACGGTTCGTTTTTCTAAAACACACACAATCTATCGCTTTATCTCTTTGGTTATGTTCGCGTATAAGCGATGACGCAATATCAAGAAATTTCGTGCAGTTTTATCGAATATCGTCCATGATAAATGCACGCAAGTTGAGTCAGTGACAAGGTGACGAGGTAAAAAGGGCACGAAAATATTTTACTTGATATTTTCGTGCAAAGTAAGCCTTCAATATATAGAAGAGAAAAAGAGCTGTTCTCTGATCGATAAGTTGCCTCAAATGGTTGCGACATCTGCAAGTTCCTTGGTGAAATGTCTCACTGGCTTGTATTTTTGCACGTTTTTCTAGGTGGTTAGGGTAATTTTTATTAACAATATATTTTTACCACATTATGCAATCGATGGTTCTTTTTTCCCCTTTAGCAACCACGGATTCTTGCATTACTTTTCTTCTCATGTTATGTCGTTTACATACGTTTCATATCAAGTGTTATGTAATACATTTCCTATATTTGATTTCTTTCATGTTGTATTTTTATGAAAAAAAAAATATATTTTGTATTCAACAACTTATCATTTAGTATATTCTGTTTTTTTATATGCTGGTCAGTTTATTATGTTGTGTGTAAAAACTGTTTTTCCTCATTGGAAAAAAAATTGTATAGTTGGAAAATACCGCCGTTTCATTTATAATAATTGCATTCAAAATAAAAATTAAATATCTTATACACATTTAACTAGTTTATTATGCAGTTAATTTTCATGAATAAAAGTAAAAAGATTAAATGCAAAACTTTGTGACAATGATCTTATTATTTTTTTTTAATAAAATAAAAGTATAATTGACAGAAAAAACATTTCCTATTTTTATTTTCAACAATATGGAATGTACTCCTATATTTAAGAATATTAGTTTTTATTTATTTTTTTTATTCATTGAGTTTCAACTTTTAAGTTATCCTTTTAGATACGTATTTAATTTATTATTTCAAAAGTACAACAAATAATTCATTTTATTTAAATTGCAAGCATATAAAATAGAAAAAAGATTTTTCAAAAATCGATTCTACGAACGCAAAACGGTTTAGAAGAAATTAGACATTCGAGCCAGTGAAAATTCAAGATGTAATCTTATCGATACCGTCATTTCGTGTTCTTTTAGCTTTACGTTAGTTACCTTTGTGTTTTTCAAATATCCTCGCCTCAGTTAATACATTTGTCATTAGTGTAACGACACTATGTAGTTTATCATGCGGGAGTCGTCTACCGTTCTGAAAATGTAAAAGTATCAGACGCTGTGTAATATTCCAGAAAGTGCAGCGCGTCGTAAATCACGGATTTATAAGGAAACAACCCGGCTTAGTCGCTTGATACAAAAGTCTGCGAACGGACCAGGGACAAAAGTTCGAGCAAGTGCAATAGATCGGAGATATAGCACGTAAGTGCAATTTAATGAGCCGCGCCGAGATTTAAAATATTCGCCGCTACACAATGAGTTGAGACTTTGGTTCGGCATTGATGCTCGCAAATTGCTGCATTTTTCTCCCCCTCCCCCGGCTCAAAAGCCGGTCTATAAACCGCGCCTACCTGAACCGCCGAATCAATTGTCTTGCAACTGTCTCGATCATCTCGTAAATCTTGGGTTCAGCTAATAAATTTCTTTGGATCCCTTTTCGTGCCACTATAAATATGTATAGTTGATAAATAAATTTCTTCGGACTGTCCATTCCTGATCATTTTCTGATCATGGTTGGTCTGGTTTTTCCCCAATGTGACAGCTACAGCGCCGCAAAATTCTAATTTTAACGGCATATCACTCCCTTCGATAAATTTCGGGAGCAAAATAACCGTCAGTATAATTTTTTTCGTGGGTATTTTCTATGAGTGTAAGTAAAAGTGTGAAAAAAAACTAAACTGCCTATAGTTACAAAGTCTTCGTCGTGTATAACTTAAACAGTTGCAAGAACGTGAGCCCGGCGCGTGCCAGCCACGTGGCCCACGTGCCTGGGTGGAGGGTGGCGGGGAAGATGCCTCGCGCGACCAGCTTGCCACTACGCTACCGCGCGTTGCTCTCTTGTACGCGTGAAATGGATTTCCCAACATCGCGAACAGTTTATTTGTTTTTTTTTTTTTTTGCTACTGTTCATCGACACTTTGACTTGAATTTGCGGAACTGTAGTTCGTAAACAACCAACTAACAGCAATGCAGACCGGTTCCGTACTGTTTGCTCGAAAAAGATGATCCGACTCCGGGAATATCTATTAAATTTATTACATTCTTGCAAGTAATGGGGAATATTGTTATGAAAAGAAACATTATGATTAATTTCACTGTGTACAGATTTTTATGTAGAATTTTATCAGTAATTTAATACCGCCAGACTCCTTGATACGATGAAAAAAAAAGATACAAGTAAATTACTAGAAACGCACAGGCTTTCTATATTCCAAATCGTTGATAGACAATTTCCCGGCACTTCTAGTCGCCCACGACAACTTTTCCCGTTACTCACAGCTTGTTTCGGAACGAAAGTAGACGGGCTGTTGGATCCAAATATAGATTTAGTGATATTCTCGTGGAATAGTATAGCAGTAGCTATGAGCTAATTAAAAATAGATTTGTAGGGCCCATCAAGGCCTCTCTATTCTGCAATAAATGCATTGTAAGTTCGTTGCCTTCCAGGTAGACAGGTATTTATGTTTTCTCGTGAAGATCAAACGAAATCCTCGGTAAAATTCGAGAACGGTAGAAATTGGTACAACAAGAAAAACCAAAAAAACGACGTATTTTCATTTGGAAAATAGAGCAAGGGACTAATTTATCCAATTTCGCGGGTTCTGCAGTAATCGTACTTTTTCAACGCTCATTTTTCACCAAGCGTGCGAGAAATACTTACTTTGCACGCGGAACATCGAAATAACACATTTCGATACTCCGTGCGCAAAGTACGTCTTTCCTGCACGCTCGACAGAAAACATGCGTTGAAAATCGCACCTTTCACACGTTGTATCAAAAACTACGGTACGGCACATGTTCGGGAAAGTTTTTCGTCTCGTGTATCTTTCCATTCATACATTCCAAACGCTACACGAGACAAGAATCTAATTTCCCGCACTTGTATCGTAATGTACTATAAGTAACGGAAAACACGAATTTGAAATAGTACATTACGATACAAGTGCGGGAATAGTACACTTCGATACTCCGTGCGCAAAGCAAGCGAAGCGAGGGTGGAAAGGTACACGAGACAAGGACTCTTTCCCGAACATGTGCCGTACCGTATTTTTATTTTTATTTTTATTTTTATTTTTATTTTTATTTTTATTTTTTTTTGCGTGCGGGAAAGACGCACTTTGCGCACGGAGTGTCGAAAATACAATTTTGTGGCCATTGCCACTCGGGGGCTTCGATTATTGACTCGATATTGAGCTCAAAGGGGATCGCATATCTCGGGATGGACATTCCGCAAACTGCGTGGTCGCTACCATCGTTTACGAAGTGAATTTTTGGCCTCCGCTGAGGTTCCAACACGCCTGCGCGTGGTCGCTCCGCCCTCGCTATCCCCATCCCTGTGGGCCTTATTCCTACTAATTTGTGAGTTGGTCGATGTCCTTTTGCTCCTGCGTCACTTGCCTCTCGTTTTCGGCAGAGTAAGGATCTACAGTTTTCTGTTATCTTTCGTGATCTGTATTGACTACAATTTAGCGGCAATTACGAGCGCTTTTTGCATCTGCAAATCCTGAGAGCGTTTTGCTTTATTGCCGAAGTACATTTGTGGAGGGTAGTACACAACCGAGAAGATCAAGGTAACGATTACACTTGCCGCGTGTTAAATCGTCGGCGGAGTGCGCTGCGCTTTCGGCAAAAATAACCTGTGCATTTATCGTTTTCGAGCTAATTACTAGAGGCATCGGCGCTTTCCGCGCAGTCAGCTTGTCGGGTTCGCCTTCGGTCCGATAAGCGCGATAAGCCGCGACTCAAAGGTTGCGCGATAAGTTAGTCGTAGTTTTCCCCGTACGCAAACGATCTTGGGATACGGGCATGGCGGCGGCTAATGAAGCTGCGTGAACGGCGAGCCGAGTCCCGACGACTTGGCGACATTCCGCATCAGGCCGCTCAGCCGAGAGCTCAATTTGTATTTCGCGCGGTGCGCGACTATCATTCGTCCTTCAAAGCTTACTTTTTTCATTCGCCATGAGTCTCTTCTGACAAACGAAAAAAACGAACAGACTTATCTCCAAGTGTATGTAAACACAAACGTCGCATAATTTCAGAAATTGCGTCTTAATTATTGAAAAAAATTTATGTGCGGCTTACCGAACGCCTAATTTGTTTGCCAACAGGGTCGAAGCGTCAGTAACGCAAGGAACGAGCGAGCTGAAGTTGGCGTTGTTTCGCACGTAGTCGAACCGATATATGTTGATCGGTCGGCAGCGTCGAGATCTATCGAGCGGCCGTAGTAGTGTGACGAAGTTGGCCGAGGACGTGGTGGCTGCTGGTGCTACGACGTCGTCGACCTCGTCGTCGTCCATCTGCAGCAGCGGTCCTGCGGTTAGTCTCCTGCGTGAACTTAAATGGCGGCCGACGAACGATGGTACTTCACCAAGGAGCAGCTGGCCAACTCACCGAGCCGCCGTTGCGGCATCGACGGCGACAAGGAACTAAGCTACAGGCAACAGGCCGCCAACTTTATCCAGGACATGGGCCAGCGCCTCACTGTGTGAGTAATTTCGTTTATTCTAGTACTTACCTCACGTTCGATCAGCACTTTCGTACTTGTCTTTATCAATTGTCCACGCGCAAGGCCTTTTTGTACCCTCGCTTTCGGCATAGAAAAGCCATGCGCGCGTGGTCGAGCAAAATGTCGCCTCATATTGCCATGACACGAGTGAACGGATGCTGAGGAAAACACCGTGTGTGGGAGCATTTTTCGGGCGTTGCGCATGCAATTAACGGGGCCGAACACCCGAAAAACGGGTCAACCGTGGCCACGTTCTCGTTTTTATATTTCTTCGTTTCACTTTGCTTGTATTCTTTCGTCACGCTGGCTTTTTGCCTCGGAGAGAGCCTCTTTGTCTCGAAGACGGTTTTCGTGCGTGTGCTGGCAGACTGACGGGGGCACTCAATGTTTTTGTTTTGTTCAAAGTTCCATTGTCAAGTAGATTTGTTTGTTTTTCGACTGATTCACCGGGTTCCAGTATCCTTAAGTGTATCTCGCATAGCGTGAAGATTAGTAGATATTTTTCTTTATCAATAATGGGTTCAAGGTTATTTTTACATCTTTTACCTTCTTTAGTTCTTTCAGTAATTTTGGTTGTTGTTGCAATGTATATTTGTAATATTTAATATTATTATTGTTTGATGAATCTATAGTAATTTTTGGAGCAGAGAGATTATTTTGAAAAATCGTGGCACTATTTTGGTAAATAATTTTACAAAAATGTCCTTGTTTCATTGACTCAATATGAAGATATTTTTGAAAAAAATTTTGCAAAAAATTACTAAAATATCTGCTATTGCCAATTTTAAAGTTGCTACAATAGAAATGTAATTACTTATTGTAGATATTTAATATATCAGTATTCCTAAGTAAAATGTTTATCTACAGGTCTCAATTATGCATAAACACAGCTATAGTGTATATGCACAGATTCTACGTTTTCCACTCGCTGACACACTTCCATAGAAATGCCATTGCTGCAGCAGCTCTGTTTCTAGCTGCAAAAGTAGAAGAGCAGCCAAGGAAACTTGAGCACGTTATCAAAGTCGCGCACATGTGTCTTCATAGGGATGCACCACTACTTGACACCAAGACGGATGTAAGTGTGAGTGATCTTAAGAAATGTATAGTGTGTGTTAATCGTATAGTATGATTGCCTTCTAAATCACTATCAATTAATTGCCAGTAGTGAGTACACTCTTGAAATCAATAGAGCTTTTTGGTACAATCAAACAAATGCAAAAATTTCTGAATGCAATCTTATTATTGTTATCGTCAAATTGATTAGTCATATCTTATAAAATTTGATTTTTCAGCAATACTTAGATCAAGCTGCAGATCTAGTATTTAATGAAAATGTCTTGCTGCAAACATTGGCCTTTGATGTGGCCATTGATCACCCACATACACATGTTGTCAGGTGCTGCCATTTAGTAAAAGGTAAGTTACAAATTCAAGGCACTTTCAAATATATCTTTATTTAACTTCATCTGACATTACATTCATTAGTATTCAGTATTTTAATAAATAATGCATGTATATATCATAATAATCTATCAAACATTCCTTTGAATAACAATTGATATCAGTAACAATAGTTTACACAAAATTAACAGTTCATTCAGTAAATTATTAACTAATCAATGAAGTTTTGTGTTCATTCACAGCTAGCAAGGACTTGGCTCAAACATCGTACTTCATGGCATCAAACAGGTGCATAGATTTACTTGTTCATAAATTATAGTAATAATTTGATTGCTTAGAATGCATGCTGAATAGCTGATAGAGATTGAGCAACAGACTTATACGCAGAATTTAAAATATATTCATATGAAAACTATTTTGTTAAAATTATGCTTGTTTTCTCACGACGTTATTGATTCGTGGAATATTCGTTTTTAAAGTTAACAAAATAAAATTATTGTATTAATCTGTTGCTGTTAGATGTAGTTCGAATAGTGTATGATATGAACAGTACAATTAAAAAAGCAAACAATGAAAAAAATATGTATATACGCGTTCACGTGAAAGTACTATTGAAATAGTTCTTTCACTAGTCGAAAAATTAAATGCATGATCGGAAAAATGTAAACTGTGTGGACGAATAAAGTTGCATGTAATGACAACTGTAAATGTTGAAAAACTCAAAAAGTTGTTAACGACTTTCAGTTTACACCTGACCACGATGTGTCTGCAATACAAACCAACAGTAGTGGCTTGTTTCTGCATTCATCTGGCTTGTAAATGGTCTAACTGGGAGGTTAGTATATTTCATTATTCTCATAAGTTGCAGTTGCTGGTGAGAACGAAATTTATCTAGATCTTCTCTCATGATAGATACCAATGAGCAATGAAGGCAAAGATTGGTTTTGGTACGTTGACAGAAGTGTTACGTGGGCCCAACTTTCACAGTTAACAGCAGAGTTTTTACACATTTTCGATAAGTGTCCTTCAAGGCTCAGACGAAAAATCCGCAGCATATCGGCTAATCAGAGCCCAAACATGCCTCATCCTGTGAATTCTCCTTTTGTCAGTATCCATTGCATATTTTTCTCGAGTCATCATTTCATACTTTGGCGACAACAACATAGATTGATGAATTTTTCAACGTTTTCAGGAGTCGGAACCTCGCAAAGTGCAATCGCCTGTTCACGCTGACGGGATCAATTTCACTTCTAGTAGACCGTTCAAGACTGAAGAAACAGATGGTAACAAAGCCAAGCCAAGCACCTCTTCTGGCCGCACGACTGTTGGTCTGGATGATTACCGTGAGAAACGCGAACGTATGAATATGGAGCGAGAGAAAGCAGCCGCGAGAGCATCGACGTCTGCGATGAATGCCGTTCCTGACCGTCATCACACATCATCGCATCATCACAAGATGGGTGCGTCCAACATGCCAAACAAACATTCGACCTCATCGAGCAATGCTAGACCAAATGTGCACCACAATAATCACCACAACTCGCGGCATGATGTGAAGCAGCAGATGGTAGCTCAGAGACATTCGAGTAGTGGCAACAATCAGTCTCGGGATCCTAACAGAGACCGACAGCGAATGCCAACTGGCTATCATTCAAATAGCTCGCATACTTCCGATCAGGATGCTATCAATTTCAACAACACCATCGAGCCATCGACCGTCCATCCGCCTGAGAAACTTATCAATAGTCTCCCGCACAACAATCGAACGATGGATCCTAGGCACAACAAACAACAACTGATGAAAGACACCAAGCTTTATAGCAAATACTCTTCTGATTCGAGAATAGCTCGGAAGCCCGACATTCTTGAGCAGAGAAGTGAGGAGGTGAGGAAACTCATAGAGAAGCCATTGCCTCCGCCGAAACCCAGGGCCGAGCAAATTAAGGAGGAGTATGCAGCAATGATGCTGAAGAAGTCACATCAGCCTCCGAAGTATGGCCATCAACCGGAAAAGCCTCTGCCAAATTCAAATTCTGCTGCCATGGCCGACTCGTCGAAGATGTTGAATGTTAGTCAGAATGCCTTCACAGTCGACAAGTCTCCGAACGCTCCAGTCTCCGCGTCGCAAGTCTCGCACAAGTCGCAAATGGTGCCGATGAAGAACGGCAGTTCTTCCTCGTCCTTCAGTCTTGGAACCTTCGACGACTCCAAATCTGAGAAGAGGCCAAAGGCACACGAGCAACCCGATCCACCAGTCAAACAACACAGATCGCTGTTTAGTCCGGAAAAAACAATCCCACCGCCTTCACAGCAGCAGCAGAGATCGAAACTCAAACCAAAGGCGGCCCCCGAGCCGAACGTTGATATGTTGACTTTCTCTAGTTCCAACTCGACACCACAACTCAACTCAGATCTATCTCAACAGCAACTGCAGCAGCAAAGGTTAACGAATCACGCGTCACATCAGAAACAGCAGCTTCGTACCACCGTGGATCAAGATCAACGAATGCAGATTCTCGAACAACACTCACGAAAATTCATCTCTAGCTTCAGCGACGCCGTGACGACTGGCAGTAATCGGTTACTCGACTTGGGGAAATCAATGACAGACGACAAAAACTTAGTACCTAATCTCGAGGATGCAAAGCAACCACCTCCGGATATGGTCAAACCTCTCGCAGATTCTACTTTATCGAATCAACGGTATAAGCAGCAGCAGCCGTCAACGCAGCAACAGCAGCAATACCATCATGGATTAAGCAATGGATTAGAGTCAAGCTATTCGAAGCACGAATACTCGACGATTGACCCATCAAATTTCTTGATCAAAGCCGAACAGCTGCCGGAACAGCTGTTGGCACATGAAGAACCAACACTATCGAAGCTCGATAACTTCATGTTCCAGAGTTCGATGTCTAATGAGCTGGATCTCAGTAACAGCATCAAGCGAGATAGTTTCTCACCGCTTAAATCGGCCCAGAGCATCAGTGCTCTCCTTCAGGAACCCCTCGCTCCCATGCCCTCGTTGCTCCAGCAAGTCTCAAGCTACGAGCATCAACAGCATCAACCTCTACCTGAGCAGAAGGTTGAAGCTTCTTCGTTACCCTCGACTGTCGACATGAGCGAACTCGTAGCTCCGATACAGTGCGACGTCGAGGTGCCGGCCGTCAAAGTCGAAGTACCGTCGTCCGAGGGCAAGGACAAGAAGGACAAAGAGCATCGCAGCAAATCCGAGAAGAAGAAGAAGAAGGAGAAGCACAGGCATAAAGATAAAGACAAATCAAAGGAAAAACACAAGCACAAACACAAGGATAAGGATAAGGAGAAGCATCGGCGAGACAAGTCGTCGAAAGAGAAAGATAAGACTGACGAGGGTAATGGCCAGGCGAGTAGCGCCAATAGTGGCAACAGCCTCGGCTCTCTCAGCGCCATACCTATCAAAATCACTATTCCCAAGGACAAGCTCAACCTCAGCACCGAGTCCATTGGTTCGTCAACCGCGAGCGGCATCAACAGCGCCTCTTCGGCGAGCAACAACAGCAGCAGTAGCAGCTTGAAGATAAAAATTCCCAAGGAGCGACTCAAGGGTACCATCTCGCCATCACAACAGCAGCTGCAACAGCAAATACCAATTGCGGGTCAATTACCTTCGGCTCATGCCGCGCCACCTCTAAAGCTCAAAATCCGTAAGGAGACGCTAGATGCCCAGCAGCAGCAACCTTCTTCGCAGCAACACCTGCTGCAGCAACATCCGGAAGTTACCAATAGGAAGCGCGAGCGCAGCGATGAAGGCAGTTTGCCCGCGGCGAAGAAGCACCAGCAGCAGCGGTCAAACAACAACGAGCGGCAAAACGGCCGACATGCCTACCCCTCGAACAGCACAAACAAGGTACGTGGAGCAGGCGGACGTGGACCGCCGTTGCCGCCGTGTCGCTATCCCCCTTACCAGCCGTATCCACCACCGCCGCAGCTCCACCACGCCTATCGTCAGCAGAAGCACCCCTCTCCGCCACCTTACATGCGCCATCATCATGCACCACCTTCCCATCCTTCCTTTTATCCTAACTACCAAGCTCCTCCCGGTGTCTTTGCTGTTGGTTATAATCAGCCCATGTATGAACCCGCTGCCGCCATGTACTATCAGTACCAGCAGCAGTCTCAGTACGCTATGTATCCATCGATGATGACTGTCGAGGGCCAAATCGACACCAGTGTACCTCCTCCTATGCTCAGCCAAAGTACCCTCGACGGCAACTTTATTGGAGAGACTGTTTCTGCCCCGCCGCCGCCACTTCCGGAAGGCCCACCGCCTAGTTCCTTGCCTCCTCCTCCACCTCCTCCTCTCCCTGAGTAATTATGCTGATAAGCGTGCTTCGTTGTTTCATATCTATATATACATGTTAATTATATATATATATATATTTATATTTGATACGTGCGAGTATCCAAGTCCTTCTTTCTTCTTTGGTTTAGAAAGTTTTGGCTTGCTAAGATTGCTTTTCCAGTTACGAGATTAATGTTGACTGTTAAAAATTTAGTTTAATTGGGGCCAATTGAAATAAATATATTTTTTTTACTACTTGAAATAATAAAATTGAAAAATGAAAAAATCTATCTGTTGAAAGTAAATAGTTACTTATTTATTTAGTCATGTGTAAAATGCCTTGATTTATGGCCAATAAATTAACATTAATTGTTTTAAGATAGCGAAAAGCAATCTCTCCGCCAGAATTTTTCGAATGTACATCTTTCAGTAGTTGTATGCAGATTGCCAAACCTAGCCTCTCTCTTTTAGTAGTAGATGTATCACTGTATGAATTAATATTCTACTTCTAGTATTTTTTTTAATTTATTTTTTTTTATTTTATTTTTGTTTATGAGCTTGAGTGTTACTCTAAAATGCTCTAGAACACCAGCGAGTCTTTATTTTTTTTTTTTAATTAGTGCCTATAAAAGCAATTATCTATGTATTTTTCTTGCATCTATCTTAGTATCTTTGTACCAATAAGTGCAATGCATATGCTTAAAATCTTGGAAAATTAATTTAAAAAAAAAAGAACTTTAGTAGGCTAGAAGGCTCGAGTAGATGTGGAAAATACAGGCAATGAATACTGCTACTATAGCCGTATATTCTTTCAACGAATCTAAAAATTACTTTTATAGATAAAAAGCGAATAATAAAAGAGAAATATTTTAGTATATAGTTGTACATAGCGATAGATAGAACGAATACAGATTGAAAATTGCATAGAATTTTCAAAAGCGTACAACTTAAGTCGGTACCGATGAAGGGGACCAAGTCACCTTAAAAATACACATGAGATAAGATATTTTTAAAATGATCGAGATTGTGTAATCCGCTGATTAATTCTGCAAATCTGCGCGTAGCACAAAAAAGAGATTCGTCGAAATACGCAAAACGTTAGAAAGTTATCGCCAACCGCAGAAAAAAATAATTTATAAATTGATATCCTAATCATTTGTGGGAGAATACGTTTTTATGTATTAAAAATCGAGTATTAGGATCTTTGATTTTTTCTCAGTTAAGACGACCAGTGTAGAGTATATATTTTCCAGTTACACGTACTCAGACAACGAAAGAGATTTAGCTAAATGTAATTATTGTACATAAGTGGAAACGTAATTAAATTATTGATATATAAATATTGTTACTATATTCGTAAAAATATTAGTTTTCGCTAGTTCGTCGCGAATTTTACTCATTTTTCTTTTTTATTATCATTACCATTATTTTTTATTATGGTAAATGATGTTGAATATTATTTCAATGAGAAAATGAGTAGTTGCTTTGAATCTGCTTAATTCAATCATAATTGAACTCGAATGATATTGATACGCGTAATAACTCAAGATTTCATATAATAATTGACTGTGATTTGCACTTATAGAAATGCATACTTCGTGTATATTACATTCTCTTAAGCTCTACCAGGACATTAAGAGATATTTTTATTCTAAACTTTTCACGAGATACAAGTTGTATATTTATAAAATAAAACAAAAAAAAGACTTAAGAACCATTTTTACTAGTGTATGAGTTTCGTGTGTGTGAATGCGAGCGTAAATTTTCGAGTATATTAGTTGTATATAATGACTTTTATTTTATGTACAAATTATTTTCGTCGAGTAATGTTATGAAGTTGGTTGTGGAGATTTCTTTTAGCTTTACAAATTTTATCTAAGAACAAAAAAAAAAAACAAAAAAGTCAGTTAAATTTGCGCCCGTAACTGTGACAGCTGTTGTTGAAAGTCAGTTAACATCGTGTTTCCAATTGCGACGCTAAGATACTTATGTTAAAAAAAATGTGATAATATAAATATTAAAAAACAGACCGTTTTGACTTAATTTATTTAAAATTTCTTATCATAATGCACACTATATTAGAGACGGAGGTGCTTTCTGATATAAGTCCGTTTCTACCAACAAAAAAAATCTTCAATCACAAAAAAACGCCTGCACTTCTCATGAGTACACAAACATGGTAGTTACCTGTAGAACAAAAAAGTTGATTTTTCAAGATTTTAAGATATCGTTAATTGCATGATCTCTTGAAATCTGAAATTATTTGTAGTGTTTTAGAACATTTCACATTCTTGTATGTAATAGTGTATATCTGATTTTTCTTTATTTTCCATTTTTGTGCATCAAACGTGTAGACGTAGAGCTTGGTTTTATATATTTCTTTCATGACTTTTCTCGTATTTTGGTTCTTTTTGCACGTTATCTCGTTACTTTCTGACTACTGTAATGTACGTTATAGTTTGAAAGCACGTAAAAATGTCGTGTTCAGTGCACTTGTATGAATAGGTCGATATTGTGGATTACTCACTCAAAAGAGATTTTGAATGCAATGAGCTTTTTACATGCTTTCAAACTTAAACTAAGCTGTAATGATGAATAAATTCTTGCTGACTCGAAGAATGACGTCGATGAGAATTCAGGAAAAAGGTTAAAGGCAATGATGAGAAAAAGGTGGCCAAAGGACGCTTCATCCCTTTTGTCTCTCTGCCGATTTGTCCGACGAATTCCGTGACGTTAGATCTATAGATAGAGATAAAATTTTAACCGAGAATATTTTTTTGTTGTGTGTTTAAGCCGGACCGATATTACGAGGGCGTCGAGCTTTTAACTGATTCGGGTGACGTCGTCGAGGGACTCACGAAGAATTTTGTACCCACGAGCTACGGTTCGTCTCCGCCTATATACTTCTAAAATAAAACAAAAAACAAAAACCAAAAACCACAAAAAAATAAAAAAAGCAAAGCTAAAACAATAAAGATTTATATAAACACGTTGTCAACGGGGATTTTTGTTGTCGAGGCGCGACTGAAAGAGACAAAAACTTACAGAAGAAACATTATTAGGAAACTTTGTAAATAGAGCTCGTTCGCTCGAGAGATGTATTTATTTTTTTATACTTTCACCGAGGATACACTCGTTGTAAATAATAATTAGATCACTTGTAAGCTTACCAGACACCTCATTTTTCAAGGTCGTCAAAGGATTTTTCAAACTAATGTTACACGGCAGTAATGAATGCCGCAGTAATTGACTGATAGTAGCATCATTTTTGTACAGATCAACTATGCAATATTAATTGATCGTCACATTACGTTAGCTTAACTTTTGATAAAACCGAATTTTTTTTAGTTATTACTTTGTAGGCAAACGAAAAAGTGTAATAATTTTGCGAAAGAATTAAAATGTCAATACCTTGTGAAAATCAAAATGAAATAAAAGAAATTTAATAGTATCACACAGTTGTTCACGAAAAAATAACTAATCTTACAATGAGTCCTATAAGATCTTCAGTTGACTGAGTAAACTGAACTTAGTTTTTAATCGAACTTACGTTTCTTTGATACTCGTGTGTGTAATACAGTATCAAAACTATTGTTTTTATATTAATTTAATCATTTCCGTTATAATTTTTGCGAAGAAAAAATTAATCAATTTGCATATTGTGAAAATATAAAAAAAAATTAAAAAATTATTGTATTTTATTACAAATACTTTTTATAATATACGATTGCTCTTATTATCAAGATTATTAAATCACTTATTAAATAAAACATCTTATCGTTCATTTTATTGTGTAAAAGTATTGCGCGTTTACTTTGAAATATAAAAAAATATGAAAAAAAAAATTTTTCATAAGTGTGATAAATTTTATAACGGTGAAAGTTATCAAAAAATTTTAGGTAAAAATGAAGGTATAGAGCTACTTTGTGATCACTATCGAGATTTGGAGATACGAAGTAGCTCTAAATAATTTGTACACTTGACAACGATGTATTTTGGCAAGATAACTTTTTATTTGTGTTTAATGTCGCGATACATTGCTGATAACTGTACATCGGAGGTTAGCATATTATGATAATTATTATTTTATATTTAAGAAAAATCTTGAAATTTTTATGTGCTAACATTTATTTCCTTGACTATTTTTCCTTATTGTAGTTTTTAATTTGTTAATAAAATAAAATTCTTCTTTTTTCAAATATACGCCTGTCTATGTTTATTTAGAAAATTATATAAATACTTTTATTTGAAACGAAACACCCTCACTCTAATGTGTCAGTCAATTACTGATGCATCAGCCAACATAGCGTATCAGCGAATAAAACGGATAAATTAATGCGAAGCAAAGCACGATGCCCGTAAAACATCGCGAAATCGTTTATCAATTGAGATCAAATATTTTTGATTGAAAAAACTCGAAGCGTGCTGTTTAAGAGCTTCATATTGTTATCTATCAATTATTGCATCTCGCACGTATTGAATTGTATTGATAGACTGACGCTCATTAATCTTAACTTGTAGTTACTTATGGTCGTTGGTATCTTTTGCACCCTACATTTACTATTCTAGAAATTTAACAATTAAATAATCGTCAAATTTCTAGATGATCGTTGCAGACTCATTTTCCATTTTGATCAATCATTATGAAAAATGCATTTTTCACTGTAAATGAGTGTTTCCTATTCTTAAATGCAACATTGAAATAATAAAAACGGTGAATTGATTTTTTCAAGAAATCTGTTTTTCATTCGTCTGTAAAATTTTTCACGTTTTATTCTTCAAATTTTTAAATACACAACTTTTTGAGAACCAGACTTCTAAAAAATTGGATTCATCAGTGAATTTCAGTCATGTCAAATGTAACGACAAGTAACGTATTTTGATCGATTTTACTAAACAAGTTTTGGTTTTTCAAACTGTTTGGTCAAATAATAAAAATAAGATCTTACTCGTCGCTCCATTTGCCAATGGCTGTGCATGCCCAAAAAAAATTTTCATCAAAGATGGGAATAATTCTATCGAGCACAATATGTATTTTCTTGAAAACAAACTTAACGCCCATCTCTGATCAACATAATTGAATTAGAATTAAAGTGAAAAAAAGTAGAAAGAGGGAATTAAACTAGGAAACTGTCTTTTTAGGATGATCGAATGACATACTCGTGAAACGCTACGTTCACACTCCGACGAGATACAGAGAAAGAACAGAGAATAAGAACGAGATCAAACACACACAAATACGAAACGTTACTGTAACGTTGTAACAGCAGTCAGGATAGAAAAAATCTATATTCGCAAACTTACACGGTTTCGACTCATGTGATCAACCAGAGGCAGACAAATAACAAAAATCCTATCTCGTAAGACGACTTAAGTTGTAAGCAAATGTTGTTGCGCCTGCTGCCAATTCCGCTTAGCTGCGGATGTGATTGTATTACACGTACACATACACACACGCACGAAAGAAAGAATCATCTTACGGGCGCATTCCGTAGAAAGTTCGAGAAAGAGTGTAATGAGTGTGCGAGTGAGCGTTGCCTTGTGCTTTGCGCGACGAAGCCGATTAATCTGCTCGTCGCGCGTCATTTCTGTTGTTACGTGCGACTGTAGCTCGCCGAACAGTTTACCGAAATAGCAAGTTTGGCACACTAAATCAATTTTTAGCAAATAAAATGAAACGATAAATAAATCATCTTTCAAAGTTCTTCGATTAATTTCTTGCTTTTTCAGATAAACGTGCTAAATCAACGAATAGAATTGCTATTCTAAGCATATAAAATGTTTTTTTTCTTACGTGTAACGTGTAAAACTATCGCTAAGCAAAAAAAAAAAGAAAAAACAGATTATTCGAAATAACAAATACTTGTACTTTTTACCCTACCGACGTTGAGTACTTAACAAACTTTTTTCTTAAATTGATGGTTTATATTAAACTAGCTTACGATTATCACGTGCACAACATTGAAAGGGTAAAAGCTGCATTGTTCTATTCACCATTTATAAATGAACCAAAATACTACACGCAAACAACTTTACAGGTCGTTCACTTAAACGTTTGAAAAAACAATTATCTTTAATTTCTATATACATAAGTTTATTGTATGTATATATAAAATAATATCTTGTCATTCGTCTTAAGAACTGATAATCACTCATATAATTCAAATATCTGACCTTTTAAAGTAAAGAAAAAATAATCGTAAAAGCATTTTTTTATTGTTGCTATAGAATTAACTTTTTGACTGACTGCAGAGGACTATCACAATATTAATAAATTCATATATATTAGATGAATACAAGTAATAATGTCCACGATTTGATTTTAAAGGGCAAATAATATACGCCACAAAGATAAATAATACATTTATTTTTTATGAGGAGAATAAATATGATTAAATTTGTGTTTGATACATAGCAACCGTAGAGTAGAAATGAGAAAAGAAAATTTGCCAAGAGATGTAATCCATTTTTCGGCTATTCAATAGATACTAAACTAGATGTTGAAAAATGAAAGAATAAAACACTCAAAGATTCAGTGTAAAACTGTTCGAAAAGTCGTTTATCTCATTTCAGAGCGGCCTACAAAATAAAATTAAAAAGACGATTTTCATGATATTTTTTGTACGATTACTGTAACATCATTTCTTTTTCGCTTTTAGAATGACCGAATTGTTATATTTATAAGAAGTTATGTAAAAAATAATTAGAACACTGTATGTACATAACTTTACTCGACGTAAAGGAAATTCACACCACGTCAAGTAACAGAACTTGGAATGTTGAATGAGTGAACCGAAGGAGAAACGAACTATCAATTGTGATCGAATTACATTTTTTCACTGCTAATAGTAGCAAGCATTAATACTGAAAAAAACACTGGAAACTGTAAATAAAACAATTAAGCTAGCGTATAAGTCATATAGTTTATTATAACCCAACTTTCGCGATCTGTAAATCAATAAAATAATCGCGTGAAGTGAATCTTTTACGTTTAGGAGAGATTTTAGGGATACGAGAAAAAAAGAAATGGAACTTTGGAATTTATCATGATGTGTAAAAGTGTAAAAGACAAGTGTGATAGCGAGTAGGCGTTAGAAAGTTTAGGAAAACTAAATTAAAAAAACCAAATAGGAGGCGATGACTTTTTACTTTTGCGAATCTCGACAGCAAGATATAAAAGTATAGCTTCGTTTCCCTATGATAAATGCGCCGAAATAAATACAATATGTAAATTAGTTGAATACGAAGTGTAAAGTATGACCCTTTCACAAAACATACAAAAAAATTAAAATAACGAAACGCAAAAAAATAAACGAAAAGTTGGCAAACGACGATCTCTTTTCTCTTCGCGGGTTCTCTTTTGAGATTTATTTTCATAAGTATGCAGGAAACCTACATAGACGTTCAAAGAAAAATTGCAAATTTGAGAGGAAGATCAGAGACAAGAGAATCGCCGTTATCTTGTTTTACGAAAGTGTACAGGATATTTTAACAGTGATCATACTGAGAGGAAAATATAAAAAAAAAATGCGTTTGAAACTGACAAGTTTAATGGAGGAAAAAATATTTATATCTAGCATGCTAATAATTAATTTAGCGAATTGAACTTCTCGGTGCGTTGCGACTTTGAAATTGTAAATCCAAGGGCCAATCAGCCGAAATAGGTTTTATTTATATTATTTTATTATTATAAGTAAATTAGCATCTGATTATTTTTTCTGTAGTCAATCTCTTTATTCGCGAATTATCGTACAGTTCGCTAGTGCGTTCTACTTTTTTTTTAAGTACGTAGAAGCAAGTAATACTTGTAAAACGTGTAGGCAAGTCCAAATTGATGAAAAAAGCTATGTAATCGATGGCAATTGAGTTGTGTTTGCGTGCGAAAGCGATAAAACTGAAAAGACGAAAAACGGCAAAAGTATGAAGTATGTACTTTAGCAGAGTAGACTTAATGTTACTTGTTAACTCTTTGGATGCTTTATTATATAAATTACTGGCATAATAGTATCTTCTGTTTAACGATTTTTGTATAACTTAACTAATGCATAATAAGTTCACTTAATCTAGAGTAACACATATGATACATCATTTGATTATTGTTCATAGCGACAATGAGTTAATGTGTCACGTACTGTCATGTAAAAGTCATCTTTAGAGCTAATGAGAACGTTAAATTTTTCGATTAAACAAACTGCTGATTAAAAAAAATTATAAAATAAAAAAATACACAACACAAAATAAATCGTAATTTTATAAATGTATGTATGTTCGTTATTTAAGTGTATTTATTATCGCAACCAATTCGTAATTTACTACACGAAACGTAAATATACGATTTTAAAAGGCTGCAATAATTTTTTTTGCTTGTGTCTGAATTCGTGAATATAATTACTTAGAATATTATTCCTTCGAAAAATTGTGAAAATGTAATTCAATTGCAATTGAAGAGCATCTTGGCCACTGAAGGGACCGTCGACAAATTTTTTCAGAGAAGTAATCGATTGTTAAATAACAAATTCGCTACTCTCTAGCAAACTGCCGAGAAACTATACTATTATATGAGATCATTTTTTACTTTAAAGACTTTTATACTACCCACCTACTCGGATGCAAGTAACTGTCAATAAATTTTATTATGCAAGTTGCATTTAGTAGAATTAAATTGCATTCGGTGAAATTTGCAAGCAATTAGGCATCATATCGTATCAATTGTAAAGATAGAAATAGAACAAAATCAATATTTTCTCTACGTATCGATGTGACAATGATACCAATAAAATATTATATTCATTGAAAAAACTGAATTAATGTTTTCAAGAAGTGCAGTAGTTTCATGCTGCTTTCTGCCGACGGTCCTCTGTAATGAATATGCGCCTTCAACACGAAAAATGTAATGAATACCTGCGTTTATTTGTGATATGCAATGTCGGCAACAAGAGCCAGGTACAACAAACAAAAGTACACGCGCGCTTGTTTGCACGAACGGGAGTAAATGAGAGATTACGAGATAGTAAAAGAGTACACAGAAACTCGGCCAATTTATGGAAACTTCTGTTAAACGCCCACATGTTCAGGCGAGCAAAAAGTAGTGGGCCAAAGCCTGTGGCAATGTAAATATTATAAATATAAAGAAAGATCGAGCAAGGTAAAAGCAAGCAAAATAAGCGGATGAAAAAAGTACCTATGATACTAATGCTTTTGTGAAATAAAAAATAAACGACGAAAAAAAATACAAATTATTGATAAAGGACACAGTGTTCTTGTTTGTTCCTCCATTTGCTCATGCCGTTAGATAATTAATCTCTACTATTATGTACCTGTAAATATCAATAAATTAATATTGTACTGTGCAAATAGTATTGTCATTATTTTTATTACGCTCCCGTTTTCAGTCTGCAGTTTATTAGTGCAAAACAGTATTCTATACCCAAGTTTCATTACATTTTCTTTATTGTCGTATGTAAAAATACGCGCTGAAACAGATTTTGGTATATTTAATTTTGCAATGAAATTTTGAAACTTGTTCTTGGAAAAGTTGACCAATTATCAAAGATTCATTTACACTGATTCAATAGACTGCCAATTTATATCTAAAAATGAATTGAATACGAATTTCATTAAATATTGAAAGTAAAATTATATTTTGAAAGTTTTTACCTTTGCCGATTTTAAATTCAGCCATCTCGCGGGAGTTATTTTATGCCTATCAGCTGCATTCTACATCTAAGATACTGTGTCGGTAGTATAAGCAGAAATTAGTACAGGTAAGACCATTTTAATGGATTATTATATATATAACAGAACGTCGGTAGCATTTCACGACGGCTGTTTGATCGAAACGACCCTGGCAGAAAAATGATTGATTAAAAAAAAATATATATATACCATTAGCTTCGTCTTAATTTGTACCACCCGAAAATTGCTTTTTTGGAATCTGTACCCCGTCAAAATTAAAAAAAAAAGCGGAAAGAACGATATTTCGGAAAGCTCATACTCCTGGCAGAAAAATAATTGATATCTTAAAAAAAAAAGATCACTAGTTTCATTTTAATTTGTACCATCAGAAAAATGCTTTTTTGGAATTTGTACCCCCTCTAAAAATAGAGAAAAAAAAGATTTTCGTATGGTAGATTAGCAATTTAAATTAACGTATTAATGCGCATGCGTGGCGGAAAATCTTTGGCTGGGGGCCTATTCTGAAAAAAAATTTTGTGGTAAATCAGTTTGTCACTTCAGTTTACCACAGAATTAATCACTTTAGATGTGATAAATGCTTATGACATGTGCTAAAATTTTTTTTCAGAATAGGCCCCGTGCTAAAATTTTTTTTCAGAAGAGGCCCCCAGTTGTTGGCAGACTTGTGAATCTGACGCCCAAAAAAATTTTTTAATCATATTTTTGAGTTTTCATGAGCTAAAACGTTTTCTCCCTTTTTCCGGATTATGTCTTCGCTTGAAATTTTATTTCCGGATTTTCCGTTTTTAAGAAAATTGCGAAAAAAAATCGGGCGTTCGTATAGCGCGCAAAATGCATTAAACATTTTCCTCCTGCTTAAAAAGAAATAATATCGATAGCGGATGATAGCTCCTTATTCCCGGATTACGAAACAATTTTCCTTTTGTCGATTCTCTATCCAAAATTGAGGAAAATGTAAAAATTAGTAATATGCGGCAGTTAGTCGATAAAACAGATCAAACGTTTGCTAATCACCAGGGGGCCTATTCTGAAAAAAAATTTTAGCACGGGGCCTATTCTGAAAAAAAATTTTAGCACATGTCATAAGCATTTATCACATCTAAAGTGATTAATTCTGTGGTAAACTGAAGTGACAAACTGATTTACCACAAAATTTTTTTTCAGAATAGGCCCCCAGATATCCCTATATAAGTTCTACATTGCGTAATTATAATAATAAGTAATTCAAATTCTACTCAATTAACCATTCACATTTTATGTACACCCAACGTGGATTGAATCGCGACCCCCCCAGTTAGGTTGGTATGAGAATTCTGTCGTTGCATTGAACGAAGAAACCGCGGGAAAATTCAAAAATGAAAATTCGTTTTAAGATACGATAAAAAGCTAAAACGTTACTAATTTGTTTTTAGGTTTAAAATTAATTGTTTGCCGAACAATGAATTTAGATGCATGATTATTTGATTTTAGGTTTTAATTATATAATTTAAGAACGAGCGTTATACTATGGCCGATCTGAAAACCACCGTTACGGACTGAAAGTAGCACTCATAGTCTCATACCAACCTAACTGGGGGGGGTCGCGATTCAATCCACGTTGGGTGTACATATACATAAATAATTTTTAAGAATAAGAAAAATGGAAGTAAAATTAAAATCGTTATTAAATAATTCAACAAATATAAAACTAAGCTATAAGTTTTTGATCAATTATTGTTTATTTCAATTTTAACTAGTCAATTCAATTTTTTTATTACTTTGTTCAGAATTATGTTATTTTATATAGTTAAAATATTAATAATAAAATTTACATGTTGACAAACTTATAGAAAACCTTAGAAAAAATTATTTATGTATATGTACATAAAATGTGAATGGTTATTTGAGTAGAATTTGAATTACTTATTATTATAATTACGCAATGTAGAACTTATATATAGGGATATCTGGTGATTAGCAAACGTTTGATCTGTTTTATCGACTAACTGCCGCATATTACTAATTTTTACATTTTCCTCAATTTTGGATAGAAAATCGACAAAAGGAAAATTGTTTCGTAATCCGGGAATAAGGAGCTATCATCCGCTACCGATATTATTTCTTTTTAAGCAGGAGAAAAATGTTTAATGCATTTTGCGCGCTATACGAACGCCCGATTTTTTTTCGCAATTTTCTTAAAAACGGAAAATCCGGAAATAAAATTTCAAGCGAAGACATAATCCGGAAAAAGGGAGAAAACGTTTTAGCTCATGAAAACTCAAAAATATGATTAAAAAATTTTTTTGGGCGTCAGGTTCACAAGCCTATGTGTACAACGTATGTATAATTGTGATGCGGTAGAGAGAGTATATAAAGTATATAAAAGGTGATAAGTTTTTCATATTCAAAATGAGTGCTTTGAAGGAATCACCTGCAATCGAAGAACATTTATTCATTGTCTTGAACGAATTGCAAAACCATGAAGTACTTGATTTGTAACCAAACTTTTTTAATTTTTATTTACATTTTGCTTAATCATTTTTGTTAATTTAGATTGCAGTAAATACATCGTTGGACAATACTATGTTACGACATTGTCATATAGAAGCTAAATTGCAACACATTGGCAAAGTAATTCCAAATGTAACCACTATACGTTTAGAAGGTGAAAACTTTAAAAGTATGATTAATCATACCAATAATTTAGCTGAGAAAGTGAGCGCTAAAGTTAGACAATTGGATCTTGCCAGAGTTAGTAAGACACATGTTGAATTGTAATACAAAATTTGTCACATGTTTTAATTTTTATATTCATCAGACCAGAGTATGTGAATGTCAGAGTCGTGTCAATGACATTCTTGATCTTCAATTATGCAGTCAAGGTGTTGCTACTGCCCTACAAAATGAGGATTATGAGCAAGGAGCAGCACATGTTCATCGTTTTTTACTTATGGACCAGCAGCTTCTTGAAAAAACAGCTGATGATGTATCTGGAGATCATACAAGTGTTACCAGTTCATTGGCTACCTTGCAGCAGGCTGCTAATCAACTGAGAATGGTTGTCACACAGAAATTTGATGATGCAATTAAATCTGAAGATCTTGCTTCGGTAGAAAGATTTTTCAAGATTTTTCCTCTATTAGCAATGAATAATGAGGGACTGATAAAATTCTGTCAATACTTGTGTACTAAGGTCAGCTTATTAATTGTAATTGTTTGTAATTTGGAATTATTGAATAACAAATTTGATTAATTTTAGCTTCAAGATACTGCTCAGAAAAATCTCAAGGCAGCACTAGATGTAAGGGGTACAGATAAAAGGGCAGCTGTCATTTTTGCAGACACTATTACATTACTTTTTGAAGGAATTGCCAGAATTGTTGAAGTTCATCAGCCAATCATAGAAACTTATTATGGACCAGGAAAGTTGATAACTTGTGTTGGAATTTTGCAGAAGGAGTGTGACAGGTTTACAACATATTCATAGTTTTTATATGATATTTAATAATATGAAATTATCATTTTATATTACAGACAAATTAAAAAAGTTGTTCTAGAATTTATGAAGCATAGAGCCATATCACGAAAAGTTCAAATAATAAATGATCATTTGAGAAAACAAAATGCTGAAAAAGTTGATCCCAAAGACTTGGATCTTTTGTTGAGTGAAATTACTATAATGCATGCAAGAGCTGAACTATATGTTAAATTTATTAAAAGAAGAGTTATTGTAAGTTTATTGAATAATTGATAGAAAAAAGTTGTCATCTTCACTCTAACCATTTTTTTAGAATGATTTAGAAACAAGTACAACTGATGCAAAACAAAGAAAAGATCTGATGAATGATTTTGAATTAATAATTAAGAATTCTGAATTGGCACATGGTATGCAAGAACTGCTTGGTGCTTATTTGGCACTGGAAAGATATTTTATGGAAGAGAGTATAAACAAAGCTGTTGGTATGGATGCATTAGATCAAGATCAACAAACTTCTAGTATGGTTGATGATGTATTTTTTATTGTAAAAAAATGCATTAGAAGATCAATATCTAGTGCCAGTGTTGATGGTACATGCGCTGTGATCAATATGGCATGCGGGTTGCTTGAAGGGGAATTTAGTGGTCAATTACGTAATAAACTGAGACAGGGTTATCCAGCAGGCTACTTAGATTTGACACAAGCTTATAATGCTCTCCAGACAAGTATTCAGCAAGGACGTATTCATACATCCGATACAGAGCTTGCAAGATTAATGTTTTTGGTAAATATAATGAAATTTGAAATAATTTGCTAACATCATCAAAAACTTTCTCTTGTTTTACAGGCTTACTTAAATAATGCAGAAATCAGCATAGAGTATACCGAAACATTGAGTAAAAATCTAAAAATAGACATTGATCAAGCTTTTCCAAACATGCAAAGCAAGGAAAAGGAAAAAATTGAAAGTTGCTTAGCAGGAATGAAGAGTGCATCATTTACATTACGTACTGTTGTAGACTATGGACTAGAGCAATTACGAGTCAGTGCAATTAAGCCGAGAGTAACTCCATGGGTAGACGCATTTTTAACAATAGATCATCAAATTAATGAGGTATAATTGCAATGCTTACTATTTGATTATTCTTTATGTATTAATTTATTTGTATTCAACTTTTTAGGATGAACTGCTAAGATATGAGACAGACGAACCGTTTGTTCAAACTTTAGTAATGAACTTGGAGGGACTATTGCAAGTTTTCAAAAATAGCCTAACAGAACAAAATTACTATACACTTGTAGGAATACTTACAGCTGAAGTGACTGCTCGCTTGGAAAAAGTAGTCTTGAAATCGACATTCAATAGAGTAAGTTTTTAAATGTAAAATTATAAAAACAATTTTCATATAAATCTTGTATTATTCTTGAAGGCTGGCGGGCTCATACTTGATAAAGAAATTCGATCGTTAGCAAGTTATTTAGCTACAACAACTTGTTGGTCTGTTAGAGACAAGTTTGCTAGGCTTACACAAATTGCCACAATTTTAAGTATTGAAAAAATTGAAGAACTTGCTGATTATTGTGGCCCAGATGCTATAGCTTGGCGTTTAACGCCAGCTGAAGTGAGAAAGATTTTAGGCTTAAGAACAGATATTAGACTAGAAGATATTAAAAGACTGAAAATTTAATATTACAATAATTAACGCAGAAAATTGTTAAATTTTTATTTTATTTTTTATTACAATATGCTTTTACAAAATTAATAGAAAAAATTGTACAAGTGACAATATATTAAGTAAAATGAAACATTTAATATAATTGTAAATATTTGAATACAAATAAATAATCATCTTTAATATAAAATGAATTATTTTATAATAAATAAAAGTTTTAACAAATATTGTTTTATAAAGATGGTAACATTATTTTCAAATGTTTTTCCTTTATTTAGGGTGATTTTCAAATTTTTAAATAAGTTTGAGTTACGCGCCAAGATATAAGTGAAGTTATCCTAACCCTCCTTATCCATGCAGTACGCAACTTAACAATGTCATTGTTATTATATATTATCTCAAACCTCAATTGTCTGTTACGTGAAAATTAATTTTCTGATATTTAAAGATTATTTGAACTTGTTGTCTCAATGGATAAAGAAAGGTAATTATTCATTAATGTAGATAAAGTCAACTATGTACTAAATAAAAATATTTTCTAGATTTACAATGCTCCTTCTAGATCCTGGAGAAATTCTATTCGAAGATTATAGTGTTTCAATTAAAATAATAGATTTGAGTAATAGTAGTGACAGTCAACAATGGATTGATGGTAGATTAAAATTATGCTCTAAATCTTTAGTTTTTGTAAGTAAAGATGTAAATCTACCGTTGATGAAAATTCAATTCAAAGATACAGTTACAGCAACGAAAGCTAGTATAAAAGATTATTTTTCACGGTACAATAATTATAATGATTATTATCTATTTCAGACATTGATATTAATTTATTTTTCAGATATAATCATATCTTAAATGTACATTGTCAGCAATATGTTGAAATGTTGGAAGGAAATGTTTTAGCTCCATATAAATTCATACACAAATCGGTTAACTTTCAATTTTTATTTGATTATATTGAAGTTGATGATTGTCTCCCACAAATATTACAGCTATTGAGAGCAGCCACACTTCCAACAGCTGAACAAAATGCTATGGTAATAATGAACGAATTGCACACACGATTGTAAAGATCATTCTTTAGTCAATTTTTACAGATTATGACGATAGCACATTCAAGACAATCGAGATTTATATTTGATACATGCTGGTTAGAAGATTTATATGAACAAGTAATATTTGAATTACAAGCTAATAAAGTTTTACCTTTAATTATAAACCCAGGAAGAATTTTACTCTCTACAAGTAGATTATATTTTCAGCCATATAATAATATAGATCAGGTATGTATTAAATTTGATTAAATAATTTTATAAATGCAAGATAATTATTCTTTTTCACCACAGTATCCAGTTTTAAAAGTCAATCTCAAAGATATGAAAAATCTCATTAAAAGAAGATTTCTCTTACGTCAAGTGGTAAATTATGAATTATTTTTTTATTAATCAATTTTTTATTAATATTTTTTTTATTAATCAATGTGTGCTTTTAATGAAAATGTTGCATGGTTTTTTAATAAAGGGACTTGAAATAAAATGGATCAAGCAAGCTAACAATGAAGTTCAGCATTTATTTGTTGCAACTCAAACTGAAGAAGAAAGAAATATGTTGTATACTAAAATAATGCAACAACCAGTCATAAAAATCGAAACAGTAGCTCAAAATCATATGACTATGCAATGGCAAAATGGTTCCTTATCAAATTATGATTATTTGTTGTATATTAACAGGTATAATTAGCTTATTTAATTTTAACTAGCAGTTTTTTTAAATCACATTTCACAAACTTACATATTTTTCAATTTTTTTTAGTTAAATATTATCACTGATCGCTTCTTTTAACGATTTTTAAATGTAAAATTGATTCAAATTGATTTTTCCATATAATCCAGTATGTAGACAATTTTATAATTGCTATTTGTATATAAATAAGAAGGAGCGTGAATTTTAATTTGCTATAATATATAAGCGTTTTTGTTTGATTTTTGAATATGATTGTACTTGATTTTAATATTTTTACAATATTGTACTTGATTTTACGGACATAGATCGTTTTTTAAATTTATAATTTATTTATTCTTTAGAAAGACAAATATTACTTTTTTATGAATAATAATAAACTTGTTTAGTTAAATAGAAACGACGATTTATCTTCAATGTGTGATAATCGCTAGATATGGACAAAATTCAAATATATTTATGATTTCAGATTAATATTTATTATACTACAATTTTATTGTTTAAATGAAATTTCAGTTTGGCAGATAGAACATTTCACGATCTAACACAGTATCCTATTATGCCTTGGGTCCTTCAAGATTACACTTCTTCTACATTAGATCTCAATGATCCAACTGTTTACAGGGATCTGAGTAAACCAATTGGAGCGCTCGAACCAACACGTTTAGATAGACTAAAGGTACTTTATTCATGTACAGCGATGTGTTTGTAGTATATTTTATGTAGCATCTAATAAATATCTTGTGAAGGCTAGATATTCTGAAATGTCAGAACCAAAATTCTTATATGGGTCACATTACAGTGCACCTGGCTTTGTATTATTTTATTTAGTAAGAAAATATCCACAATATATGCTATGCTTACAAAATGGGAGATTTGACCATCCTGATAGAATGTTCAATAGGTAAATATAAAAAATCAAGCTATCTGCTGAAGTATATTAATATAAATAAAAACCAATTTCAACAGCATATCTGACGTTTGGAAAAATGTTTTGATGAATATGTCTGATTTTAAAGAACTTATACCTGAATTTTACGATATTGATCGTGGTGGAGATTTTTTAGTTAATAGTTATGGCATTGATTTTGGGTTTAGACACGACGGTACAAAAATTGATAATGTTCAATTACCACCATGGTCAAAAGGTACGTCAAAAGTTTTCAAAGAATTGTGTGTATATGTGTGTGTATGTATGTATGTATAATACTGCAAGTTTAAACTACTTTTAAGATCCGCCCGATTTCGTTGAAAAGTTGAGAAGCGCTTTAGAAAGTGATAGAGTTTCTGAAAATTTGCACCAATGGATTGATTTAATATTTGGCTTTAAGCAAAAAGGAGAAGAGGCTTTAAAAGCAGATAATGGTAATGATAACTTATCATACCAATACAATTACTATTTTAATTTCATTTTTAACTTAAAAATTGCATTTTTTCACGAATCACACTGAAAGTTAAATAATGTTATTGACACTTGATTATTGTTTTTTAGTATTTTTTCACTTGTGTTATGAAGGATCGATTGACTTAGATACAATAACGGACATTAATGATAAGCACGGTTTGGAAGTGCAAATCATGGAGTTTGGACAGATTCCAAAACAAATATTTAAATTACCGCATCCAAAGCGTTTAACAGCAACTAATTTACTTCGCCGCGAAATTTCATTCACAAAAACTAAAGCCGACTCGAAATCTGGTAAGTACGTAATTGTAATTCATTTTTTATTTTAAGTCATTTTTCATTTCAAGATTTGTTAATTGCAAATATTTTCAGATAACGATAAGTTTGAAATTAAATTACAATGCGCGCATATATTTCAATCTCATAAAGAAGCTGTAAGTACTATAACAGCCATCACTGATGGAGCACAAGATGAAAAGATTGTTTCAGTTGGTCAGGATGGTGTATTAAAAATGCATTCTCTGAAAACTGGAAACTTGATAAGAAGTGTTGCTTTATCGCAAGTTCCTTTATGCTCTTGCATATATTATCAAACAACTTCCAACTCTAGTGTACTAGTTATTGGTTCTTGTGACAATTCATTGTACGTCATACTAATATCTTCAACTTATCTTAAAATATTACAACGAAAATATTCAAACTTGCAGAATTTTCTACGATGTTGAATTTGCAAAAGTTTTTAATACATTACACGGGCACGAGGATGCAATATCTTGTTTAGTATATAGCAAAGTACATAATATTATTATTTCAAGCTCGTGGGACTGTACAATAAAAATTTGGCATACTTTGTCTCCTGACAAAATACTAAAGCTCGTAGAATGTTTCATTGCCGAACTTGATCACGATTCTCAAGTTACTTGTATCAGTATTTCAAAGTAAGTTTTATATGGTTCTATTCTCATTCTCAATAAATGGAATCGAGAAATAAATTAGCTATATTGATTTTTATTATCATTGATACTGAAGAGATGAAACGTTACTTGCTTCTGGAACTCTCGATGGAGAAATATCCTTGTGGAAGTTGGGTGACTACCATCTCCAGTTTACTATAAAAGGTATTAAATAAATTTCAAATTCAATTGTATTAGTAATGAAATTTGAAACGTTTCCAGGACAAACATGTCGAATGAATTCTCTAATATTTGAAGCAGAATCAAAATATATCATTTCTTGTGCAAACAAGAAATCCTTGAGTGTCATTGACGTCCAGACGAGCACGCAAACCTTGTTTACCACATTGAACGAAGAGCCAATATCATTGACGTGGATTGGATCAATTTTGCTGATTGGAGATGGCAAAGGAAATGTTCAGGGATGGAATCCACGTACAGCCGAGTTTATTGCTAAATTTCACTGCCATGATGGTATATTTATTTTATCATTGTTGTTGTAGTATGTATAATTTCGACATTTTACGGATTTTTTTTTTCAAAGGAGCTGTTGTTTCTCTCATGGTGCACAATAACAAATTGATAACGGGTGGTCAAGATAAAAGAGTCATAGCTTGGGAGTTTTCTTGAATTGAAACTGAATTTGTGATACACCTCATTTAGCATGTGTATATAAAAATTGACGCTGTAAGAAACTGATATATTTTTTGAGAAGGCTATTTTATTAGGGAAAATGTTCAGAAAGTGAGAGTTTTTCTAAAAAACTAACGACAATAAATTCACTAGTTTCATAAACTATGAAATTTTACATACAGATTATACATGTAATTTTTAATTTAACCACCTTCGCGCTTTATAAAGTATATATTTAGATACAATTGAAGGATCCTATATGAAAACGGTACTATAATTCAGCACCATTTTTTTCCAATGTTTATAAGTATAGAGTTTTTATATTTGCTTATAGTAGTAATGGCATCAATGAAACGAAAAAGTGATTTTTCATGTTTTTTTAGAATCCGAAAAAACGATAAAGTCGAATATACGATAAACTAAGTTTAGTTCATTTTCTGCTAGAAATTCTAGGAAAAGTCAACATTTTAATCTGTGAAATTTCAATTTACATCTCAGTTATCTTAGTTACCTTTTCTTAATTATCTCTGTTGATTTCCAAAACAAAAATATGCAAAGTTACTTTTTCGATTTCATTGATATCTACACCACTATAGCAGAAAAAGGATGTTACGATTATTAGTAAAAATATTGACTTTTTCAAGTACGAATTATTGCTCTACTAGTAACAAAAGTGTATAAATTTGCGATAAAAATTTTTTAATTACTGGAGTAATTCACGTTGAGTAACTACCGTGTAATCGAAAATATAACTATTTAATGAGTACATAAATATTTGTGAAAATAAAATTTGTTTAGTTCTAATTTCTATGAGAATATAGATTATATATCAATGCTGTTTTTGATGAAGGGCATAAATCATTTAAAAATATCGGAGATGTGATCGTTTTAGTTTTTATCGATATTATTTCATTATTTTTTATAACTTAAGGACGTTCTTTTGCTCATCGGTTGTCAAAGTTCCGCGCAACGAAAAAAGCGTTTCATTAGTTCAACTCGCTCGCATTTTGAAAGTTATAGATGGATTAAAGCGAAAAAATCTGAGAATTCTTGTTTGATTAAATGTTTCAAGTCTTTTTCAGAAATTGATAAGTATTTTTGTTTCTTTCTAAAAATTATAATCTAGAAAGTTGTGTAATGAGTAATTTAAAACGTCAAAAGTCTGTTACAAATTTTCGAAAATTAAATTTTTTTAATTACCATATTTATCAATATCCCAAGAGCGCATATATCAAATTTGAAGTCTTAATATTAATTAGAAAAAATTATAAAAGCGATTTAGTGGAATGGCGTCATACCCAAACATCGATCTTTAAGCACATTTTTATTAATAACTCTTATAAAAATACTTATCTATTTCTTTTAATGCATCATTTGCTTTAAAACTAAATAAACTTTATATTATCAAAGTTTTGCGATTTTCTAAGGAAGCATTCTCTGTTAATTTCAGTGAGAAAATGACAAAATGTCGTTCTACACTGTTCTATAAGAATCTAATTTTTCAATTTTAATTTAGAAAAACAATATACAACACTCTTTTAGATAATTACAAACTTTTGAAAATATAAAGTTTATTTAGTTCTGAAGCAACTGATGCATTAAAACGGTGTTTTTACAAAAGTTATTAACAAAAATGCGTTTAAACATCGATACCTCGACACCACATTGTTCCACTAAATAGCTTCTGTAATTCTTTTTAATTAATATTAATACTTCAAATTTACTACATATATTTTTGGGATATTGAGAAACAATGGAATTTAAAAAAGAATTTAATTTACGAAAATTTTTAAAAAACTTTTTACAGTTCAAATTACTTATTTCATAACTTTAGAGATTATAATTTTTAGGTAATTATAATTTTATGTCCTTATTTCTAAACACCACGCATATATACGTGTCATAAGTTCATGAATCTTCTCATAACAGATGCAATTTTTGCAAAATGTTATAATAGAACCTCTTACAAAAAATAATAAATAATCAATACATTATAGTATAATGAACGTTAATAAATTTGAAAAAACTAACATTGAGGTACTTATTCTGCTTTAAAACCAGATTCAATAACTATCCTCAACACTAATTTTTTAGCTCTCATTTACATTAATATTTTATTTACATTTATTATCTTTTATCAAGTTAAAATTTTTTTAATTGCTCATATGTGATAAAAAATATAATATTCCAAGGTCCCATCCTCAGCCATGTAGGCAAAAAACCCTTGTAAAGAGCAAAAAACCCTTCGTTCTTGCAAGTCTGAAATTTAATGTATCAATTTTTTAAAAGTACAACTTGAAAGAATTATTAAATTTTATTGATAAAAAGTAAAAATTACCTGAATGAAACATTCCATACTGCTAGAATAAATATCTAAAGATGAGGATCTGCAGTTACTTCTAAATCTCCTTTGATTCATTAGTCTCGTCTAAAAATACATCAACAAGAATATAATAATTTCAAAAATATGAAAAATTTTAATCTATATAAATTTTATAATATATATTTTACCCTAACAACATCGATTGGAGTAGAAAATACAGCACTTCCCATGCTGGCTATAAAACTAGATCTATAAAATATCATGAGTTGAAAATCGCTTGTTCAAGAAAAGAAAAATGAAAAAAATTCAAGTTTAAAAAATACTCAAATACATTAAAATGTCAAGAACCAATCATAAAAAACATCATTTGAATCACTTGCATGAAATGGTTAGCTACGCTATCTTCTAAAAATGGTATCAATTCCTTTTTACTGAAATCATATATTGGCAATTCCACTGCAGCAATGATTGCAGCCCTTTGAGCAGTAGGACCAACACCCTTGTCATATTAAAATTAATAGTTGTTAAGAATATTTGGATACTGATAAATCATTGTGGTACTGAACAATCATCAAAATACCAATATGTACTCACTCGCCATAATCCACGCACTCCTTCATGATGATAAACGTCTTGAAAACATCCAAATAATGTCATGTTGGTTTCAATACCAGTGACCTGCATTCTAACTTTGACAACATCAGTAGGGTTTGCAATAGCACTTGATATAGCACCAGCTAGTGCAGCACATACAATATTAATCAACACTAGATCATTGGAACCCCATTTATCCATTGCACTTTGTTTGAGAGAATAATATGTTCCAAATTTTATAGTTCCGTATGTAGCCTGTCTCAAAATAGCCGAACTTATTCTGCAATATTTTAAAGAAATAATAAATTGACAAATAAATTTAAAAAACTATTATAAAATAAAAATTACCCAGAGTATAATGCTTTATATCCTTCTTGCTTTGATATTTGAATTATAGCATCCGTCATTCCTGAATATTTGATATGTGAATATCTCTTGTCGTACTTTTGTCCCTGTATTTGTAATCTAGTTTTGGTAGTATCCAATGGAAATGTACCTAGAAAATGAAATCATTTATATGACATTGATTAAATCAATTGATAAATATGATTAGCTAATTGAAATTTACCCAATTCAGCAACAATTGATGCCAAACCACCATAAACAAATGGTCTCCAATCATTTATATTTCTTTCTCCCATAACAAAATCTTGAAATTCAAAATAAATTTCTTTAAAAACTTATTTTAGATCTTTTCTCAGTATCATTATTTGTCATGTTTACTTTTCTGACTCAATATTCGTTTTTATTATTTCATCTCATTTTCATGAAAGTTTTCCTAGTTTACTTGACATTTATAAATAAACAAAGGTTTTTTTTGTAATTAAAAGATAATACTGAAATGACATATAAAGGTAAACTATATGACTATATGATTTACTGAAATATAAAGGTAAACTATAATAACCTTCAAATAGAACACCTCTAGCAAATAATTGATCTCAACATATTGGAACAAATTACTTTTTTATTATACTAAATATTCGTTAACAAACAATTAACAAAAACAGTTACATAAAGCATTTAATTGTATTGGAATAAAAAACAGTTTCACTTACTATTTTGATTTAAATATATGTATGTATATTATATATTTTTTTAATTATCTAAACACTTTAATAATGCAAAGATAATATAATACTAATTTGTTAATTTTATCGTGACTCAATATTAAATGACAACAAATTGTATTAAGAGTATATATAAAATTCCGGCATTGTTTGCTACTTCGTAACTTAAATTTCAATTCTGATGTTCTAACCTACAATTTTCTGTGCACAACATATGATATTTGTGTACACGCGTGTACATGTCGCATTATGCCGCACGTGTGTCAAATGTGGAGTCTGCAGCGCAGCGGTGTGATATGATGGTAGTTTAACTTCAAGCTATTGCAGTGAAATGTGAATCCAACAAGTAGTTGTAAATTTATGATACGTACAAATATAACAAACGATAACATTTTAAAAAATGTTGACAAAAAAGAACATACTTATCTCGTTCTTTATGGCTTTTTTCATTTTGATGTTAAAAATTATATTCAGATTGAACATTGACAACTTGACAGAAAAAGAAAAATGTCCAGCTTGTTTTGGAATGTCAATGTGTCATGAAATTCACAACATTGATTTTGATTTTATAGATTTTTATACGATTTTCAACAATTTGTTCAGCATTAAAAATGTCTATTACGGTAGTTTTAAAAACAAGCGAGTTGTTATGAAAAAGTTGGCAAAAAATTCAGAATTGGCTGATTTTGATGAAATATTTGCCAACACAATTAACAAAGATGTTGATTTCAATGCCTTGGTAACATCACAACTGATCAATTCTAACATTACAGATCCTAATGTCAAATTAGTTCTATGTCCAAGCATTCAAGAAACACACAGTTTAATACAAAATATCAAAAATCTGGATGACGATAGTGATCATCTGAAATACTTATGGACAATATTGAAAATTAATCCAGAACCTATTATACTTGAAATTTTAAATGCAAATGATAACTGGCCAACTCCAAAATATTTAGGGGCATGTGGACGTCTTATTGTTGAAGAGTTTATTGGTCCACCATTATCAGCATTTAAAACAGAATCTTGGATGAGAAGAGCTAAAATAGCATCTAGTTTACTTCATGTAGCTCATTTACTTACCTTTAAAAATAAAAAATTTGCCTTTTATCCAACAGACATTTCTATGGATAACATTGCAGTAAATGAAGATGATAAAGCAATAATCATAGATTTGGAAAATATTATAATAGTTGATAAACACCCTCCCGTAGAAGGTAAACAAAATTATTTATAATTTTAAGCAGTAGTTCATTAAAAAAGAAAAATAAACAATTTTAGTTGTATCAAGATTAAATTCATGGGATGAAATTTACACCAATGATATTGACATTAATTGTCAAAACTGTTTTGTATTTTCTCCATCAGACATATGTCAACATAAAATTAGTGATCACAATTATTATGCAATTTGTCAGGTAAGAATATATGAGAATTAGACTAAATTGATTTGTTAATTTAATTAAAATTAAAATTTTCAGCATATTCTGGTACAAGATTTAGGCACAAATAGTTATGGACTTTTGCATGATCCACCTAAATACATTATTAAGAAGTATCCAATGCTGAAATATTTGCTAAAACAGTGTTCTAAAGAATCATCTTCAAGAATTGATAGCGGCATACAACTCAAACGACTTTTAGATATAATTATAAAAGATCATGCATAGTATTATATAAATATTTACAATACTTTTTTTCATAATACTTTACTTGAAACCAATTTTTGTCACTTCTTCAATTGGTTTAACCGAGCTTGCAACTCTTTTATAAAACCTTTTTGATTTTCAATCATCTCATTTTGTTGCTTATTTTTATTCTGTAAAAGATCGTTTTCTAGTTGCAGTCTCGAATTTTCATTTAATAATTTACTTATAGTCAAATCTTTATCAATCTTCAGGTCTTGTAAAAGTTGGCTTGTGCAAGGACGATTTGCTGAGTTTTTTTTAATGAGTTGGCTGACAATATTTATCTAAAATTGTAAATCAAGAAAGTATATGGTTGTTCTAAAATATTGATATATATATTAAAACTGTTATTAATAATTCAACTTCCAAATTGTTTACCCATTTAACATCCAAATCCAATAAATGTTTAGAGATTCCTCCATTTTGTAATATTTTGATGGTTTCTATACATTCCATAGATGTTTGCATAGGTATTAAAAGCTCCAAAAGAACAATACCCAGACTATATATATCACTCTAAACATACAAATATTTATTCAATTCATTCATTCAATTTCAAGATTAATTTTTAACAAGATTTCATAACCTTTGGATTGCATTCTCCTTGTAATTGTTCAGGGGCTGCATACATACATGTTCCAACAATTGTATCATGACTACCTCTTTGCAATGGACAAGCTAACCCAAAATCTCCTAACTGTATTTGAAGTTTACCAGATGTGGATATAAAAATGTTGCTTGGCTATAAAATTTAAGAGAAACTTATTACAGTGGACAAGTGAATAGCAAATTTACATATGATAATTAAAATAACTAGTACTTTGATATCGTGATGAACAACTTTCAAAGAATGAATATAATTTAACCCGCAAAGAATTTGTGCTGCAATATCAGCAATTAATAATATTGATGTAGGTTCTGTTCTGTCATCCAGCCATTGCCTCAGTGTCCTTTCACACAATGCCATTTGAATATAGAGAATTGTGCATTGATTCTGAAAAATGTATAATTATTAAAATATTTAATAATATTAATCTTTGTTAAGTATTATCAACAAATTTACTGTTTGAGCAGAGTACCGGCAAATTCTACGATCCTCAAAAGATTCATCACTGGAAATACTTTCTTCTGTACTAGTTTTAGAATTGATTTCTATAATATTTTGTTTATTGTCACTGCTTCCATCTCTGAAGGAAACAATATCCAAATTCGACTCATCACTGGTAGTCAATTCCTGTTCTTCTTTCTTATTATGCTGCAGCACTTTTGCACTAGAACTTTTGCAAGTTTGACTTTTATAACTAATTAATGAACTATGATCATTGCTACCAACTTTGCTTTTACAAATTTCAGAACTTTCTGATTCACTTGTAGATGGCAATTGCATCATACAAGGAGTCGACATAGATTCAATCCAAGCTTGTTTGTATGAAACTATGTTTGTATGATTCAATTTAGCTAAAGTTTTCACTTCCTCGAGATAGTTGATTATAGTTTCGACTTTTCCAGACTTCACTATTATTTTTTTTATAGCATATTCCACCTCATCAAGTTTGTGTACTGCCTTAAATACACTTCCAAAGCCACCAACAGCAATGAAACCTGTTTCTTGAAATTGATCTTGATAGAAAGACACATGTGTAACAAAAGGCCTATAAGATACATACAGTTTTAAGGAAAATTCAAATTAATTGAAAAATTATAAATTAATACCTTGGAATTGGACAATTATTATTTTTAGCTATTGTTGCTCTAGCAACTTTTATCAATTGACACACTGCATTTACATATCTTTCTTGCACAATCTCTAATCCTTTAGCTTTGCAAGAAGGATCAATTAATTTCATGTTGCGCATGATCTTGCATAACACTGAAATAAAAAACTATTTCAAGTCAATCATGACATTTATTTGTTACGGTACTATAATATTTACTAACACAAATAGAGACGTTTGCTTTGATCTGGATCATTTTCTAGTAGAGTGCATAATTGATTTATTAGGGACTTAATTAAAATGCTCGATGATATTTGTTGAACTATTTTCTTGTTACTAGTCCATAAGACTTTTTCACCTAGACATTTTGATAATAATAAATTGACTTGTAATTGAAAAAATAAATAAACGAACTATTAATGGTTCGTTAAAAATGTCACAATAATATTTATTATTAATAACAATAATATTTAATTTTAATAACTATAATATTTATTACCTTTATCAAAATTCGTCAATGTCGACAACTCAATCCATGGATTGTTTTTATCAGAAAGTTGTTCTTCCATGGTTAATATCTGAATACGATTGCATTAAAAAAAATGTCTCACTATAAAATTTATAATTGATGAAACGTGTATAGAGATAGTTTTATTATAGATCAATTTATCAATTTTAGGCGTTAATTGAACAAGCAATAACAAATGCACGTGAACACAAACTAAAATCTTAAAACACTTTTTCTTTCTTTGATTATTATTGGCTCTGGTATCGACACGCTGAACTGCGAGTCTATAGGTCCCTAAGGGTCTGTCTCCATAGGGCCTGCCTGAGTCCGTCCGAGCCGGCCGAGATTTTTTATGGGCACGCCATCTCTATAATTTCGTGTTCATGCGTTTCTCGTATTGGCTGCGTCCGATCGGGCTCGTTTATGTAAACGCAGCCATTCACTATGAAACTCGCCATTGGATACGAAATTATAGAGATGGCGTGCCCATAAAAAATCTCGGCCGGCTCGGACGGACTCAGGCAGGCCCTATGGAGACAGACCCTAATATAGTCTCATTAATGCCCCGGTTCATAGATTAGATACGTACGGATGCGGACGGATACGGACGCGAATCGCAACTCTAGTAACATCACTAAAAATATCTAGTTCGATTATTTAGTACCAACACTACCGGTAGTGAGCAAAAGTAACTGTTGTTTAAAACTGTAGCGCCGAACGTACCACATTTAATGTTCAAATGTCAGGTCTACAATTTACTTTTCAAATTCTCATGAATATTGCTTATTGATGAGTATGCTAATGTAAAAAAAGCTTTTGGGATGATTAATACATATCATTTATATATATTTTCTTCTTCTTCTCATATATTCAAGTACTTCCATAAAATTAAGGCCTAATTCCACTAATTGTAGTTGAAAATTTATCAATTCTCTATCATTTGCCATCTTATAGACTGCAATAATGTAAAGGTTAGATAAGCGTTCATTAAATGTGGTACGTTCGGCGCTACAGTTTTAAACAACAGTTACTTTTGCTCACTACCGGTAGTGTTGGTACTAAATAATCGAACTAGATATTTATAGTGATGTTACTAGAGTTGCGATTCGCGTCCGTATCCGTCCGCATCCGTACGTATCTATGGGACCGGGACCTTACGGCCGTCAACTCTGACTTCTGCGTCTGTGCACAATTTACTGACTGGCGGTACTTGTACAGACGCTGAGAGACTGGTCCCAGATAACACAGTGCCGGCACTATGCCGTCAGAATGCGCCGGCACGGGACGTCCAAGTGTATCCGCATTCTGACGTCGTTCTGAAAGCACGCCGTGCCTTCCACGCCGTGCGCTCATTGTGCCTGCATTGTGACAGCACGCATGGTAACCATCGTTTGGCACGGCGTGCGGGAATTATACCGACATTATGCCTTCCCGTTCTGCTGCACTAAATGCTTGCAGAATGCACGCATTGTGACGGCATTTTGAAAAAAATTTATGCTATATATTATTATTATTATATTATTATTATTATTATTATTATTAATGGTTTTTAAATAAAAATACATATTTTGAAAATTTTATTTATTATTTTTTATTTTTTATGAACATTTAAATTATTAAAATATTAAAATAATTTATATCTTTATTTTTAGGGATAATATAATAAATAATATCAATATAAATAATACATATGTATAGTCCAGTCATTACGGTGTCCGAAAAAATAATAAAAAATATATTTTTCCGAACACCCCGTTATTTTTACTTTCGTCGAGGAAGAACGCGTAAATAATAAGAAAAATAGTCTTGATTTATGAGAGGTATCAGAACAATGTTTATTAATAATTTTAATGAAAAAGCAGTACTTATTTAGTATTTGTTTATATCTTTTTTTCCAGTTATCGTATCGAGATAAGCCTTGCGGCATTAGATTTATGATAAAATTTAACACAAGGATTGATATTTATTAAAATTAAATTAATTTATTTTAACAACAATATCTTGCATTGTTTGCAGAAATATTAAAAATGATAAACGGTTATATACTGGATAAATGAATATGGTTGTGATAATGGTTATATACTGTATAAAGAAGACTAGTACATACAATCATTTATAATTTTTAACATTTCTGCAAACAATGAAAATTATTGTTGTTAAAATGAATTAATTTAATTTTGAAAGATATTGAACCAAGTAAAAAATGTTAACAGAAATCTCATATTGTAAGTCTTATTTCGATACGACAATTAGAAACAAAGATGTAAGCAAATAAGTAAATAAAATGGTTTTTTGATTCAAATTATTAATAAACAATGTTTCGATACCACTCATAAACTAAAACTATTTTTTCCATTACTTATACATGTGCTAAACATGCGCTTTCAAGACCAATAGGAGTAGTATGAATTCCAGATACCCTAGAAACACTCTGATTGTAATTTACAATGCCGTCCATGTGTATCGGCAATTCGGGCTCCTTCTTCCTATATTTCAGGATTTACTGGCCTTCTTGGGTCTACATATATCCAGGGAAATTTCAACACTCCGCCATTTGTTAATGCAACTGAATGAATAACATTCCGGTTAAAATATTAAAAATCGAAGAGTAAATCGTGGAACAATTCGATATTAAATTAAATTATTCACCTAGGATGTGTTTGCTAGTTCCTTTCTCTGTAATCGTTTCTTGCATTGAATCAATTGACAAATGTAATATAAAAGCTTGCCTCTCCACAATAGGTAACTTTGTGTTAGTTAATAATGAGAAAACTACAACATAAAATTATTATTGTTAGTGTTAAATATGAATTGATATGGATGTAACAATTTTTATTTTAAGCAATTTACTTGTAGTATTGCTTTGAGTTTTTCTCTCATACAATTCTTTCCGTAGCTTCTTTACGTAGCTATTTCCGTTCTTTGACTTTTATCGTTAAAGTAACTATAAATAACCCAGTTTTCGGAATGAACAATATGTACTGGTCCCTTGGTTCTCTTGTGTACGATGGAGAAAATCATTGATCCAGGTACGACATGAAAAAGACACAAATTGAGAGTATCTATAAATAATTAAACAAGATTTTGAGTAAACATAATTAGTTTTCGCAAAGTCCTTTATATTATAGATGTAATAAATTAACTTTTATAAGCATCACCTATTCCTTGAGTCACGACAGCAACCAGATTTGGATTGATATATTTGTATAAAACTGACCGATCACTCAACACTTGACCCTGCGAATGAACACGTTCGATTGAACTTTTTGAGACGACATGTGTTATCCGTTGTGTCTTTGACGAGAAAACTAATTCCCATACCTGAACGAAGGCAATGAATTTTAAAAATATATCACAATCTTTGTGGAAGCTTTTAAGCTTTTAAATAGTTTTACACAACTTGTGAGCGATTAGATTCTGCGAGTTGCTATAAGTAAGCGAGTATCCGGACAATACACCAGTCTTTCTGTCGGCAGTGAAGATGTAAGTAGTACGTCCAGCAGAAGTTGCAACAGCGCTTGCACTTTCTGGAAAGACGTGCGCTCGGTCGTGCTCATCCAAAATAACTATACCACGTAGAAAAATATCGGTTAATGCATGTAACAAAATTGACTGCTTGATTTGGTAATTCAATTTTGTCAGTCTATCCAGTAGCTGTCCGTTTATTGGGTTGAAAGTGTATATCATTCCATTTCCAGTGGTCTACAAAATTAATAATACTCTTAATTTTACGTCGACTTTAAAGGTCGCGATTGAAAATGCGGATAAAATTAAAAATTACGTTACCTATTGCAAGCAATGCGCACTGAGGTGGATGCGGAAAGTGCCTACTTCCACGTTGAACATACAAAACTATCTTGTTAAAATCCTGAGATAAGCCTTTGATGTTATAGACTTGTGATTGCCAAATTATTTCACCTTTCGTTGACTCTATTCCGTACAGCTATAATAATAAATTGTTAATATAAGTTACACGAAAATTAAAATCAGTTTATCTATCGTTCAAGTTTGATATAACAGTTTCACCTTCCCTGACGATGTAACAGCTACAATCACTTTATGTAAACCAAATTTATCACGAACTAAATCGGCTCGTTGATTTGATTACTGTGGTTCAAAGCCCAAAGTTCCTTGCATGAAAACGCTTATCTGGTTTGCTTCTAAAAGAGAAGATAAATCAACAATTTAGATATTAACAACTCAAAAGAATACTGCAATAACTTAAAAATTAAAGCCTAGCGAACGCAATATCAGTTTATTTAGTCAGTTCAACGTTTGACAAAACTAAAACAATTAAATAAATTAAACTAATAAAAAATCTATTTGTAATGAGTTAACACGCTAAGAAAATATTGTTATCTAATAATAATTCAACAATATAGTTGATTTTATATTGATACTCAAATGCCTGAAAATAATATTTTCAAACGCTTAATAAACACTAGAACCCTCATGCTGACGAAAAATTTAAGATGAAAATTTCAAATTTTTAAAATCATACTTTCATAAAAAAATCATAATAAAAAATCAAACTCCACACTTAAATGTTAATGCCGCCTATACGTATATGCTACTTACATGAACTATTAACATCATGACCGGACAGCAACCATTCGTAAAAGAAAGTTAGTTAATATATTGATTTATTGAATTAGAATAAGATGTACTTGAAACTCAAAATTGACGGAATTTCATTGAACTGTTAACTAAAACAATTAAAATTATATTGATCGTGCTTGATCACGATCTGACATTGGCAACTCAACAATTTCAACGGTTACAATATTTGTGAGATAGATTCCTCTCTAGTCTAGATGATATTTTGTTGGACTAAACTGACAGTATATTGTCCTCAGAGGAGAGTAAAAATCTACACGTTTTCCTTCTTGACACTTGTGATTGACAAGAACAATCGGCCGCAACGATCGCAGGCTTAAATAGTAAACTATTTGTTACATATGCTAATTTTTCAGATTGAGCTTCATTTATGCTAAGTTCAGTTATGGTAATTCTTGTAATCTAAAAACAAATTTCATTTATTCTAAAATATGTAATATTTATTGGAATCAAATAAGTAAATATTTCTTGCATCGCTAGATTCGTATATTAGTTTCTTATATTCACCTTTTGATATGATGACTCTAATACTACTCTTTTGCTATCTAAATTAGTAACATACAAAATGTCTATCCATCCATATCTCGTGAAATAATCTTTTCTCAAATAAGACCACGCGCATTCTGTTATTACTGCCAGCTCTAATAGATATTGCAGATATGTTTCCTGGAAGTATAGTGTAAACTTGTAAGGTCTTTGAGCACCGGCGCCAAATATAGTGTTAATTGTTATTGACTGAGACTCCGATTTAGGTTCAAATATATTGATATAAAACAATAGTGCTAAATTGTTGTCACCTTTCAAGCAAACATAATTTTATGCTGCTCAAATACACCTGTAATAAGTTATCTCCATAAATAAAAAACTCTATTTTAAAATAATTAAGATAATTTTGATATAAAATATTTACTCGGCTTCTTGAGATATGAAAGGTGCAGAAATTTTCTTATTTTTCAATTTTTCTCCAGTTTTACTATGATATGAGGTGACCTCAATACCATTATTATAAATTAGTAGAATGTGATGTAAGGTTCCATCCTTCATGTGCCATTAAACATCTTCAATCCTGCAAACATTACAACAGTATTACTTGATTGAATTGCCTATGAAAATACACATAAAATGCATTTCATATTTTATCGAACATGTAACATAAACAAATTCTATCATTTCAAGATATTGAAAAAATATAGATTTATGAAAAATTCTGTGTATCATACAATTTATAATTGTAAATTTAATAGTGCACAGCAAAAAAATTGACAAAGTAAAACCTTTCACTATTGTAAAGCCCTGCTGTAGAATATGATATAAATGGAGAATCAATTCTGAAATAGACATTACAAAATTTAAATATGTATAAAAGTGATTTTTAATACTTTTTTATTGGATTATAAAATATTTAAATTCATGTAGCATTAAACTCATTAGTTGTCATATCTATTATCATTAGTCGAAGAGTAGATTAATAAAAACTAGTTTGAAATTATAAATTGAGTGAATTATAAGAAAAAATAATACCTGTCTCGATTTTGTTCTGCTAATGTCCATTCATTTATTATATGTCCAGTAGCTAAATTGCAATAACGGACTAAAGCTGGGACACCATTTATTGAAATCAATTCTCCACTTGTAACATTACTGAATGCTTGTATGCGACCAGCATATCCTTTTTCTAGTACTCTCCTCCATAATAGTTGTCCGACATTAAGATACATATGTCAATTTTCAATTTATTCTAATAACATACTATTTAAATTATTAAATTTGAATATAAAAATACCTATTTTAACACTTAAAGCTGCAATTACATTTTCTTCAGTTGTAACAACTACTTTTTTTGCCATTGAAACCGTATCAAAACTAGCAAACTTCATTTTTCCTACATAATTTTGTCTCCTGGAATAAAAATGAATGATGAAATATTTTTTATTGAAATTAGTATTAATTATTCATCAAATTATGAATAGGTTTTAATAAAACTAATTCAAAACATTTTAATTAAATGCACTACATAGATAATCAATATAGCTATATAAGGGGTATATAGCTATATATTCTTATCCGATATTAAATACTAGTATTTCCTACAATATTAAATAAAAATGAACTCACCTTGAAAATATATGGAAGAGAACTAAAATCAGAATTTCGCTGCAGCCCACACAATACAAATAGGAGGACTTCGCAAATCGAATAACCGATATTAACAAAAGACGATCTGGATCATGCGCATGTATATATGCGTATACAAATTTTGAGATATCTTAATATGTATAATTAATTTATTGTATAAATAAATAAAAAATATCCAAAATTACTACTAAAAGATGTTTATTGCATCTCAAATACAAAATAATATAAATTTATTTTATTTTAATTCAATGCACGCCGTGCTTTCATAATGCGTGCAATATGCTTTCATTTGAAATTATATTTTGCGGGGCGGCAAAATGACAGCATTCTGAAGGCACGGCGTGCAGCGCTTCGTGACAGCATTATGCCTACATTCTGACGGCACGGCGTGCGTAGCTTTTCGTGCTCGCACTATGCCTGCATTATGACGGCACGCCGTGACGAGCACGCGCGTGCCGAACCGTGCCGGCACGCTGTGTTATCTGGGGTAGAGAATAGTTGGTAAAAAAGAAAGCTAAGTAAAGAAAGCTTTTTGAAGCTTTAGAATAGAAATTAAAAGTAGAGTCGGATTGATAAGGAAAGGAAGATGGATTATTGGAAGATGTTTATATTTTTTTGAAATTTGTAGAACAGAATTATATCAGTGTCTAGATCGGAGAGGAATGAATTGATTTTATATGGCGTGGGAATAATTTTCTTTTTTTAAGTTTGAATAGCTTTTCGTTATATAACAAATCTATATTACTCCAAAATACGTGGTCTAGGTCTTCGACATATCGTACCCATACTGGTATAAGGGAGAGTCGATTAGTTTTTTTCATGAAGACTGTATGCCAAATGGTAGTGATCACTTATTTCATACGGTTAAAAGTTACGGCCTGTTTTCTGCACAGCAGGTGCATTTGGAAAAACCAAGGTTTTGATGTTTCCTTGAAGTACACTGCACGTCAATCACTTTTGCCATGCTTACCTCAAAATTAGGCAAAGTTAAAAGTTTTGTATCTAGGTCGGAAATCATCGTATCACAAAAAACCGCAGGGCATTTTAAAGGTAATTGCAAAAGCTTCCATTTAAGACGTGCAGAGACTTAAAAATGAAAATATGTGTTTTTTACTACTGTAAAAAAAACTGATTAAAAAAATTTCAATTTTTTTAACCTCGACTTAAATCAATGCCAATTTAGAACCAGACGGTGGAGGGCAAATCGACCTGAGGGGTTCGGAGGGTAATGTCTTTCCCTTTAAAATGAGCTACCGCGGGGTTCTATCCGATGTTTTTTAACCGAGTTACGGCGTTTTTTGTAAAAAGCAACCTTCTTTTTCTAATCCTCAATTACTTCGACTTGCGTACGTTTTGGAAAAAAATGCCAAAGAGAAAAAAGTTTCATTTTGTGTCCAAGAATACGAAAATAAAGTCAAAATAAAGAAATAGAGAAAAAAAATTTTTTCGGTTTTTTAGCGCATTAAAAAAATAAAGGAATTTAACTTTTTTTTACGCTTAGTTTTAGTTTTTTTGTGATTTACTACGTCCCTAGACATTTTAAAACTAAGCGTAAAAAAAAGTTAAATTCCTTTATTTTTTCTGTTCTAAATTGGCATTGATTTAAGTCGAGGTTAAAAAAATTGAAATTTTTTTAATCAGTTTTTTTTACAGTAGTAAAAAACACATATTTTCATTTTTAAGTCTCTGCACGTCTTAAATGGAAGCTTTTGCAATTACCTTTAAAATGCCCTGCGGTTTTTTGTGATACGATGATTTCCGACCGAGATACAAAACTTTTAACTTTGCCTAATTTTGAGGTAAGCATGGCAAAAGTGATTGACTGGCAGTGTAATTTTCGAAGTATAAAACTCCTTTTCTTTTATTGATATTGCGAAGGTATTCATTAAACTGTTTATTGTTGCTTCAATCGTTGATGGCACGGCAGATGGTAAGAAGGGGATGCGTCAATGTTGCAAGCTTTCTTGGCTAGTTCGTCGATCACCTCGTTCACCGAGATATCTTTATGGCTATAGAAATCCATATGCAAAGATTACTTCGTGATCGTTTTGAATAAGTTCAAGGAGCTTTAACTCGATTCTGAATATAGCGATGTTCAAAAAATTGATGAGACCCTCATTGTTTAAGAGAGTTTGCGCGAATTGAAGGAGTCTGTAAAAATTACTGATTTAACTATGCGGTTGAGTAGAATATATTCTAGAGTGAGTTGAATAGCAATAAAGGCTTCGGCAGAGAAGATTGAAGCGTGAGGGTCGATTATCGATTTTAAACTGCAGATTCAGGTAAAGTGGCTCAGGCATATGAATGGCTAAGCCAACGTAAAGGCCTGGTATTTTTTTAATCCGTCCGTGAAAAAAGACACACGTGGTTGCAGTATGCCACTAAATTGTTCGTTAAACTCACGTTGAAGATCATTGCCTTGAGCAACTGCATAGCCATGCGGTCAAAAAGAAAAGTTGGTTGAACTTGTTGGACTTCCAAAGAAAAGACGTAGCAAGGTGGAATAGGGCTGGAATAAATTCTCTTTTGATGTGGTTTGAGCTCTAAATAGGCTGAGAGGAGGGGAAACTTATGTATATAACTGGGAGTATTGCTTTATGGAGTCAGCTAAATTGGTAATAGCAGTTCTAGTTGGATGGTTGGCGAGACTGAGGAAGCGCATAATGCAATTGGAAGCTAACTTTTTGTCTGAGATAGATGGGTTGGATTTGAGTTTCAGCGTAGACAACTCAGTTTGAAGTTGAATTTCTCAGTCTAAGAACAAAGCGAAGTGCTCTTCTTTGAATAACGTTAATTTTGTTGGAATATTCTCTGGCGTTGCTTGGGATGTAACAGAGATCGTAATCAATTGAAGCTGAGACAATCGTTTTATATAAGAAATACAGGGATCTTGGGTGCCTTCTCGCTATGTGGTACGGATTGATCTTATAATGTTGATTCTGGATAAGGCTTTTTTTATTATGTGATTGAGGTGTTCGGACCAAGTTAAATTTGTATTATTTATATTCACCGTCAGATTTCAAGACACGAATAAAGGCTTCTAGGTTTCGAACGCTTCGAACTATAATATGATTGCTATGACGAATATGTATGTACATACAATTAATTATGAAATTGTGAATCTGAATAGAATAGGTATGTATATATTATGTGCATGACAGGATCAGATACGACTGACTGACATTGGCGCCCTCTCTATTACGAACTAAAACTTATTCAATTTTTAAACGGTTTAGATTGTTTGGCCTAACGTAAACCGTTGTCTCCCGCTTCCGTCTGTTCAGTGTTGAGTGTTGACTGAGTTAAATAGATCAATTTCTGTTCAATCAAACTAATTGTTCTTTCATCATTGTGTTGTTAGTAAGTAAATAAAAATGATAGCTCGAAAAGTCATCAGTTGAGAAAATGGCAAAGTACAAGTGTTTACGTACGATAATGTTTACTTTGCGGTAAATGTTAAAGTTATAGTTCCGACTCAAAACAAACAGCAGTAATGTTTTTTCAAGTAAGTTATCGATTAGAAGCGAAAATTATTGAATTGCCATTCAATGGTTTTTATCTTGTATTTTTAGATAAATATCACTCCAAAACAGAAACAGGCTGCAGAGCCTGCCACAAAAGCCAAAGTAAACAACAACTACAACTTACTGCTTGCACCATTTCAACCTCCAACAAGAATAAATTTAGATACCTATCTTAGTTCATCTGTGGAATGTGAATTGACAATAAGGAACTCCAATAACCGTCACTTGACTGTCAGTAGAACCACTTATCAAACTATAATCAATGAAAAATGTAAATTAACTAATAACAATTATTACTAATAGGTATCAGTTACCAAAGTACCTCCTGAAGACAGATATATCAATTTGAGTGCTACAGAATGGTCTATTCAACCTGAAAGTTGCGTTATTTTGAAAATAAAATGGGAGCCAAAAGAAGAAGGTTCATGGAGAGATGTATTACAACTTTCAGACAGCAGACGTATTAAATACGATGTATCTTTGATTTTAAACAGTACTAATCCAAATAAAGGAATCAAAAAAAACAAAGGTTTGCAAAGAATATCAAATAAATCGAATTTGATTTCCAAAGCAAATAATGTGCTTAGTAACAAAATGAAATTGTGTGGTAAATCTGTTTTAAATGATAATAAACAAGCTACATCCAAAATAAAAATACAATCGTTAACTAAACGATCAAGAACTACATCTATTGAAGTAACAAATAAAGAGAATATGTCGCAAAATGTTGGATTAGATTGGATGTTGAATCAAGCACAAACAAAGAGACAAAGAAAAGAACAATCACCACCAACAACATTAGATTTTTCGAAATTTCTTGATTCTTCAACTTTTAAATTTACACCATTAAAATCCAAGTTTCCACATTTAGAATCAAGTTTAAATCAAAACTCATTTCAAATTACTCCTCAAAGAAACGGTAAGTCTAAACAAAGTAGAAATTCATTCAAGTTATGGTTAAAATTTAATTATTCTTTTTCATTATTTGGACAATAATCAATGATGGACAACAGAATCAATAACCAATTCAGACGAAACCAAAACAAAAACAGTTTTGAGAAAAGAGACATATATTACAGTGCCGAAATTTTTGAATGTACCAAATGAGGAAAATGAAAATGGAATCAATAATGAATTTGACGACTCATTGTCACCTAAATTGACAAAAGTAAAAAACCAGAGGCTCCATTCAGAAATGTCTATTTTACTAGATGATATCAAATTTACCCCCTTTAAAAGTGATAATGCAAAACAAAATGATAAGTCGTTTTCACCAAAATATTGCTCCACTAGCCAAAAATCAATTAAATCATCCAGTGATGATTCTGTTGACAAATCATTAAACAAAAACGCAACATTTGAAATTGACTCAGCTACTAGTGTTCAGCAAAACAATACTTACGAGCTGACCACGTCGCCTACAAGTATGAGAAACAGTTCTCATTTGAAGCCATTATGTCTTGCTAAAGAATTTGACAAAAACAACTTGGAAATCGAATTTTCAACTCCGTTACCTGTCGGTAATACTAAGGATAATTTAATGAGTGATCGCCCGAGATATAGCAATCAATTTTCAAAAAGTCAAGTCGACTGTGGCAGTGCAAAAGATTGTTTGGAAGCTGATTTGTGGGTAAAATGTAAAAATACTTCATTATCGCCAATATCTAAAAGCCCTTTACATTCATCATTGAAAAGTATTAGAGAAGAAGATGGTCAGCCAATTAGAAATATCGTTGAAAATAGCAAAAAACCGAACGCAATGTGCATTGAGATATCGCCGCCAAAAAAAATCGGCAATTTTAAGTTATTTGAGAGAAAAATATCGCCTAGCAAAGTTGCTAGTGGCAGGGTAGTAAAAGAAAAGCCTGCCGTGCGAGTGTTTAATCTGAAGAAAAAAATCAATAATACGTCGATCAGAGGTAGGTTTTTCAAACTGATTGAAGCTAAAATAGATCGTGATTTTGATTTCCTTTTGCAGGTGACAAATTATTAATACCTGGTGTAAAAATAGCAAAATTATCGCTAGCAAAGCAGTTGAGCAGTGCCAAGAAAGATGACAGCCTTTTGAAAAATTCGAAGAAAAAGGAAGCGAGCGTTAAACTTCACGATCCAAATGATTTTTTAACGATGTTTTGTAATCCAGATCCTTTTGCTGCTACCATGACTCAAGATCCTTTCCTTACAAGGTAAACAAAGTAGAAAATCTCAATCTCACCATTTGATTAATGTTGTCATATTTCATAACAGCACTCTGTATTACGACGACAAGTGGATCTTTATTCAGGAATTGGAATTCAAAAAGTGGCTGAATGCACTGCTAACTCCGCCGGAACATTTATCAGCAGACGTAGAGTCTACGGTGATTGACGTTGGCAAGGTTTGGCAGTGTTGCAGAGCAAAGGAAACGGTGGTATTAGCAGAGAGCAAGGAATCGGTATCCGCTAGATATCACACGAACACGCGGTTAAATACCCTACGAAAAGCTGCGTGTGCGATGTTCCGAAAAGCCGAAGTGATAGGTCCGCTGTCACAAACGACAGTCGGCATCGAGAAGGAAATCCTGCTCATACGACCCGATAAGGACCTGCATCGCGACATCGGCTTACAAAAGACGATTCTGGAGCTATTCATCAGCTATAATCCCCTTTGGTTGAGGATAGGTCTGGAAACAGTTTACGGAGAGACGATTCCGCTGCAGTCGAACAACGACCTTGTCGGTCTGTCGAGGTTCCTCCTGCATCGCTTCTTTTCCGATCCATTTATCGTCAAACATCATTCGGCTAGCTCTCATCCCAACATACGTCTCGCCACCTTCCAGCCACTCATGAACAAATTTATGTTGAAGAAGTTTCTGTTCGTCGTCTACTTCCTAGACTACGCAAAGCGCATGAAGCTGATCGGCCATGACCCCTGCTTGTTTCACAAGAAGGCGTTGATCAAGGACAGCCGGTCGATACTGTTGACCTTCTCACGTGAACTGCTGAGCGGCATTGGTGACGTGACCAAAGTGCTGCGCCAGTATGGCTACACGGTGTCGCATACACAGACCTACCTTGACGAGTACGACTATGCGTTGACAAATCTGTGCACAGACCTGCGCGACGGCGTGCGGCTCTGCCGGTTGATGGAACTGATTACTGGTAAACGTAACCTGACCTGTCGCTGCCGCGTGCCCGCCATATCGCGTCTGCAGAAGGTGCATAACGTGAGCGTTGCCCTATCCGCGCTCGCCCAGGCTGGCTACAGCCTTGCCGGCGGCATTGAGCCTAAGTGCATCGCCGACGGACACCGCGAGAAGACGCTCTCCCTACTCTGGCAGATAATCTACCGCTTTCAGCGGCCACGCTTCGAGCGAGCCGCCAGCACCGTACAGCGCTGGTGGCGTGCCAAGCTCTGGTTACCGCGGTTGCGCCGGCTGCTGGCACGCCGCCGCGATGATGCAGCACGCACAATTCAGCGCGCCTGGAGGCAAAAGCGGGCGCGCCGCGTCCTCGCCGACCAACTACGGCGTCGACGCGAAGCGGCCCATATCTTGCAACATCGCTGGCGGCTGTGGATGCGCACTCGGTGCGAGCGCCGTGACTTCCTGCTGCGCCGAGCGGCGGCCCTGCAGCTTCAGGCCTGGTGGCGGCGCCTCCATCAGACGCGCCCGCATGTGCGCGAGCTCGCGCGCTGTCGCCACCACATAGTGCTGCTACAGCGTCGTTGGCGCGCCACCCTCGAACGTCGGCGCTTTCTCAGCCTACGGCGATGCGTTGCGCTGCTGCAGGCGCACTGGCGGGCCACACTTCTGGGGCGTCGCCAGCGCAACGACTACCTACGCCTAAGGCATTACGCTCTGGTCGTGCAAGAGCGCTGGCGCGCACTACGGGAGAGTCGCTTGCAGCGCCAGCGCTTTCTAAGCCTGCAACGCGCCTGTACGGCCGTGCAGGCGGCTTGGCGAGGCCGCCGGACCCGCGAATACCTAGCACAAATGCACTGGGCCGTACGCCTGGTAGAGCGTCGCCGCGAGACCACGCTCCTAGGGCGACGCCTGCGCGTCGACTATCTACGCCTAAGACATTGCGCCCTGGTCGTGCAAGTGCGCTGGCGCGCTCTGTGCGAGAGCCGTTTGCAGCGCCAGCGCTTCCTGAGCCTGCGGCGCGCCTGTCTGACCGTGCAAGCGACTTGGCGGGGCCGCCAGGCCCGCGAGCGCCTAGCGTGGATACGCTGGGCCGTACGCCTGGTGGAGCGTCGCCGCGAAGCCACACTGTTCGGACGCCGCCAATGTCGGCACTACCTCGAGCTGAGGCGCTGCACCCTGGCCGTGCAAGTGCGCTGGCGCGCGCTGCGCGAGGGTCGCCTGCAGCGCCAGCGCTTCCTGGACCTGCGGCGCGGCTGTCTGGCCGTACAGGCTGCCTGGCGAGGCCGTCGGTTCCGCGAGTGCCTAGTGCAGCTGCGCTGGGCCGTTCGCCTGGTGGAGCAGCACCGAGAGGCCGTGCTAGCCGGGCGGCGCGCGCGTCAGGACTATCTCGAGCTGCGGCGCGCGGCACTGACCTTGCAGCGGCACTGGCGGGCGCTGAAAGCGCGCCGTCGCTGCCACGAGGCCGCCACGCGCATCCAGGCGTGCTGGCGAGGCTGGCGAGCTCGGCGGCGCCTGCAGGCGCTGCGACGTGCCTGTCGACTGGTGCAGGCGCGCTGGCGGTTCGCGCGGCTGCGGCGGGCGGCGTCGGTGGTGCAGGTCCGCTGGCGAGCGCGGCACCAGCGGCGATTGTACCTGGCGCAACGCGCGGCCGCAACGCTGTTGCAGCGCCGGTGGCGCCGGCTGATGCAGGAGCGGCGCCTTGCACTGTTGCGCTGGGCCGTGCACCTGGTGGAGCGGCGTCGCGAAGCCGTGTTGGTCGGACAGCACGCGCGACAGAACTACCTACGCCTGCGGCGCGCGGCGCTGAAGCTACAGTGGCATTGGCGAGCCAGGCGACGCGAGCGCGCGGCCGTGAAGCTGCAGAGCTGGTGGCGCTCGCTGCTGTTGGGTCGGCACGCCCGGGACGAGTTTCGCGCGCTGAAGGCGGCCGTGCTGCTGATCGAGAATTGGTGGATCGGCTCGGAAGAGCGTCGCGCGCGGAGGGCCCACGCGCTCAGACGGTTCGCGGCGGTACTCAAAATTCAGGCTGCTTGGAGGGTCCGCGCGCGCAGACGGGCTGCGGCGGCTATAAAAATCCAGGCGGTCTGGAAGGGCATGATCGTGCGGCGGGCGGCCAGCCAGCAGCTGGCTGAGCTGCGCTCGAGGGCCGAGCAAGCGGCTAAAGACGCCGTGCCTACAGCCACAGTCGCTTTCCGGTTGGAGGACAACATCGAGAAATTCAAGTATGCCGCGAACATCGGTCAGCTGTCGATTAGCTTGGCCTCTCTGGGTAAGTCGAGTGTGAAGGAATTGTGGTGCGAACAACCAACTAACGAATACCAATTTTGCAGACGTGCTGGTTCGCTTGCTGCCCAACGCTTGCATCCAGGTGTGCCAGCTGAATTTGGTGTCGAAACTCTACGATATACTGATGCAGGCCAACAGATCGCTGCCCTGGCTGGACGTCTGCTTGAAGGACGTTAGCATACTACTGACTCTGGCTAAATTCAAACCGACGACCGAGTACGTTCTGAAGGTATGTGCATTCATTTAGACTTTGTTGACAACCCCCGCATTAATCTTGTTGCACATCTCCCGCAGCTCGAGAACGTGCATGTGCTTGCCAGATTATTAACCATTTCTTCCGACAAAAAGGAGGATTTGTTTCTGCATACCGCAACGCTCCTGTGGGTGCTCATGGATAATCACGAATACGCAGAGGTACGAGTCAGCTCAATTAAACAATCGTTAAGCAATAATCGCGACTTATTAATCGACCTGATTTTTATTTTAAAGGCTGCCAAGAATTGTCCTCGGACCAAGTATTTATTCCAATCTCTCTACACCTCGCTTAATAAGAAGCTCGGCAAATCAGCGTCAACTGTTACTCGATGTGTGTCAGACGAGTTACCTAGCCCGAATCCTGACTGGGGACTAAGAAACAAACGTCCAAGAACTTTCAATAACGTTTCTCTAGCTATCATGTCTCTTGCCTCACGCCTCAATATTTTAAATATCGCTCAGGCAGTCGAATTGCAGAGGTCTTTCAACTTTTCCATATGATTACAGAGAAACTATTAAATAATGCTTCGAAACATTTTTAAATAATACTTTTATTGCAATAAATATAATAAACAATAATTATTGTTTTGGCGTTACATTTCAACAGTCAACTCTATACATGTACATGTGGATATAATTTTAGCATAAAATGAAGCAGACATCTATCAATACATTTTTGCTGCATTTAAAAGATAACCTGATGTATAAAACAAAAAGTACAGCAGCTACAATTGCCAGACTCAATCTCAACAACGCTCGACTTGGTTACCTTTGGCTGAGCATTTATAAAAATGTTCTATTTAGCTGCAAACGCTTCAAGTAATTCAATATTCACTGTTGTTTATTGCAGAGTAGGCTCGTAAAAATTGCGTAGGCACATTTCTTATTACTTGACTGCATTAATTAAATCAAGTAAATTTTTGTAGCTGCCGTACTAAGAAGTATTTTTGTAAGTTTTATTTACATAACTACTAAAAACAGTGTAAAAAAGTTAGTTCTCATGTACAGACTTCAATTCTTTAATCTGTTTAATCAAGTAAGCTTTCTCGTCGTTAAATTGTTCGTCTTCTGAACGATCCGTGTGGAAGCGTGTAAGGAACTCTATAAGTTTTTCTTGATTGCGCAATAAGATATCCAGAATTGGTTTTGGTTTATTTGGATTAGCAACAAATACCTAAAAATGTTAATAAATGTTAGCAAATATGACAATTACATGAACTCAATATAATCTTTACCTTGAATACATGGAAGGCCTCAAATTGTATATTGCGAGATTTCTCCTTGAGCATGTTCATCATTAACTTCAAGTTGTCTGGATTTGAAATGTACCGTGTCATCACCTATGAACAAAACATTACTTCGTTATTATCAATTTTGTTTACTGATTTGAGAGGTATTAAAAACAACTCACGGTAAAATTGTGACGGTCAAGCAAAAGCTCTCCTAGTAATTTTAAACTTTGTCTACGCGTGACATAATTTTCAGAGTTCAGTAACCTTTGATAGTGCAAAAAAACTTTGTCATAATGGATTTCTAGAAATTCAGCACTTAAAATTTTATGCCTCGTTAATAGTTCCTGCAAGAAAAGTTCAAATAAATTTGTGCATTCTTTATTAAATAGAGGAAATATTAAAAAATTGGTGACTTGCCTTAAATGTTGAAAAGGCATCTGAAGCTATATCAAATGTGGAAACCTCAACGTATCTGAAGAAATTATAAAAATCTTCTGCATACAGCATAATTTTGGCTAATGCTTCATATCGAGCGCATTCTCTTAACATTGTACCGCAATTCAAGGCAATATCTTGATGCTCGTAACTGAAATGATACATGATGACATTAAAATATGAACAAAGTATGACTCTTTAATATGTTGATACTCACCCAGACATAAGTGTAAATAAAATTTCAGGTTTGGTACAAATATACTCTACAGTAGGTGATCTGGTTCCAATTTGTCTTCTTAATATATTATTAAAAACCTGGGCAACATCTTTTTTACCCTAAAGTAAAAACAAAAAAAATAGAAAAATGATGAAATGTTACCTTTAATTGTTAAGTCATGAGAAACAATTTTACCTCAAAATCTATCCGACTGAGATTTTGAACAAGAAGAAGTAAAAGATTACTATTGTAGAGTTCCTGAGCCAATTGGGCTACAACAATATCAGCTTGTGGCTCTGATTCAGCAGTCCCATATAGCATGTTTTTAATGTGGACTAAATTTTTACTGACATCTTCTTGAGCCTGCAACCAAAAGTAGCATTAAATTTGTGCTGAGTTATAGACAGAGCATGTAATATTTACCTTTTCTACTTTTTTATCGCCACGTTCCAGTGCATTTACTGCCTCCTTTAGAGCCTTTACCACCTCTGCTGGACTCTTTTGAGACTTTCCAAATAGAGGCATGATGTCTGAGAAAAGTGAACAAATTGTTGCAATCTAAATTATTGCATCAGTAATTTAGAAGATTAAATAATGAGATTTATTATGATAATAAAGGATAGGTAATATAACCTAAGATGAATAAAGGTGAACGTTACGCAATGTATGAAAGAGGATAATTGTTTAGCTTACCATTCAATAGCTAGTCAATTGATAATGATGTACGCAGTTGCTTTTTAGGCACTCGCGGTAGACTTGTTTTCCCTTCAACAGTTCATTAGTAAAGAAAGTAGGGATGTTGATTGGAGCCAGACGAGCGCTTGTATGTATTGATATATAAGTGATGACAAAAGTTTGGCTACGAGAACACGGAAAGGTAGAGTGAGAAAGAAAGACAGCTAAGGTACGATAAGCCAGGAGCAAAGCAAAGCGGCGAACTGACGCACACTTGATAAATACTGTGCAGTAATGTACAGAAATCGTGATTTGATAACTATTGATAGTTTGCAAGGACGAATAATTCGACAGCTTCAGCAGCACTCAGCATCGACGACAACCACTGCTAGTGCCACCAAACAATAAAGTACAGTCAAACTCACGACGTGCAATTGCGGCGCATAAACCTTCCTTACTACAGCAAATTCACAAGCGCACTGAACCAAGCTGGAACCAAGCCAAGCCTGAAGAGTGAAGCCATGCACAGCTATGTCTCGCTCCTTCCCCTCCCGCGCCCTTGACGCCACTCGGTCGCGTTCTTACGCCGTGTCGCTGTCTCTGACTTTCTCTTTCTCTCTCTATCTCTTTTAGACACGCTCGTAAGGATTGTTTTATACTTAAATTTTCGAAATTTCCTTGTTTATCTTTTTACTTATTTCATGCAAAATTTGCATTGATAATCATCGCAATTCAATAATATACCGCATCTGTATTGAAAATGAAAAGGGAAGATTTTGGATTTACCACATATTTGACACTACTGCCATCTGTCGACACGGCATTCAGATATAAAACTTAGTTTGCTTTAGTATACAAAACCATTTTACAATCTGTCGGCCTATCGCTGCCTGGTTGCTACATTGAAAACTGAAATTGCAGCTTAACGGTGTTGTTGTCAAGTGATAGTTTGAAGGTTAGGTTTACTACTGTGATTCTGTTATTGTAATTATTTATTATTGCAAAACATTTGTAAATGAGTGTCAAGCAAATATCAAGTATTAATTTATATCAGCTAATGTGAGTAGCAACCTATAAAAAGGAAACGAAAGTATGCGTAGCCATTGTCGAAATACGGATCATTTATGGTGATAATATGTCAAAGTCAAACATAAGAAAAATACCAGTTGACCCTACGAAATGTAACATTGACTCTCGGCGTCCAAGTGTATTTGAAAGATTAGGCACTAAACCAGCGGCCACAACGACCACCCAAAATCCTTCAGACTATTGCAGAAATTGGGCACTCAACGGCAACTGTTCGTACGGCAAGAGTTGCAAGTGAGTATCACCGACTTTACTTATGCGTACAATTTTAAATAAGATGCAAAAATATAAACATTTCAGATATGCACATACACATACTCTGATAAGCCCTTCGAAACGAGTCAAGAAGGATAATGCTCCGACCAATCCTTCACTGGTAAGAAGATGACATTGTACACTCACTTGTCTCAGTTGATCATTAACATTATTGTCTATACTCGTTTTTCTTGGTGAATAGCTCATCGAAGACCCCTTCAAGAGACTCACCTCAAAGATTGTGAAGACAAGTTCCCACAGTCCAGACTTAAATCTAGAAGAGTGGAACCAAACAGACTTGGAATACGAGGACGAAAAAGTGTTGGAGAGACGACGACAGCTATTACAAAGAGAGTTGGAGTTGCAGATGAAAAAGGACAAGGAGGTCCATGGAAAGGACAAGATAAAATATAAGAAAAAGGCAATGAGTAGCTCATCCAGTTCTCGTAGTTCAAGTTCCTCCAGTAGCAGCAGCAGCTCCAGCAGCGACGACTCGTCCTCGAGTTCGACATCGGACTCGCGGAAAAAGCTGAAGAAGTTCAAAAAGAGCAAGCACGTTGCATCACCGGCATTTGACGAGGACAAGGATGTGCGCAAAAAGTGAGTAGAGCCGCGGCTGGATCTGCCGCCCGTATGGCCTCGATAAGCGTTGCTGACAAACGGTGAACTTGTATTGCCAGGTCTAGAGCGAGAACACCGCTGGTCGGAGCGGCTCACGGTAGCAGCACGGCGAGCAGCAGTAAATCCAAGGAGAGAACTCTGAGCGAATCACCCAAACCGAAGCCGCGGGACAAGGACAAGGCGAGAGCTGCTGAGCGCGAGAGGGAGCGCGACAGGGAGCGAGAACGCGATCGGGACCGAGACAAGGAGAGAGAGCGAGACGTGGACAAGGAGCGCTATCACAAGAAAGCGCGCGAGCTCGAGAACTCGAGCAGCAGTAGTGGCAAGGAGACGGCGTCGCGCAAGCGCAGCACCGATCGAGGCGACAAGCCGGAGCGCAGGGAGGCCGACAGGGCCAGGCCGCGTGGCTCCGAGGACAAGCCCAAGGGCACCGACAGCGAGCGTATCAAGGAGTCGCGGCCTAAGGACCGGGAGCGCCGCTCGCGTACGCCCACCAGGCAGCAGCAGCCGGCGCAGACCGACGTGCAGTCGCAGCAGCCGTACGGCAAGGAGCCATTGGCGGGCAAGGCCGACGGCAGCAAGTCGCGTCCGAAGAACGAGCCGCGCCACACGGACCGGCGAGGTTCGAGCCGCTCGCGCGACGTCCACAAGCGCGAGCGCAGCCGGGACCGCGGCAGCGACGACGGCCCTGTTAGTAAGCGGCCTGCGGGCGCGGCCTCACAGCAGTCCCCGGCCGTGCTGCCGAAGGAGGAACGCGCCCGGCTGCGCAGCCGCGAGCGCAGCAGGGAGCGCGCCCGCTGCGAGGGCAGGGACCGGGCGCCCGGCGCCGGTGCACAGCGCTCCCGGGAACGCGAGCGAGACCGCGAGCGTGAGCGCGACAGGGACCGGGAGCGCGAACGCGAGCGCGACCGGGAGCGCGAGCGCGACGCGCACAAGGGCCGTGGCTCGCGCGAGCGTCGGCGGTCCGCGGAGCGCGGCTCGCGTTATAAGCCGGCCGCGGTCACGGCGCCGAGCGCCGGCGGCAAGGAGTCCGAGTCCGCGGCAAAGGTTCGTCCCGGCAAGGCGCAACCGCAGCTGTCCTCGTCCGCGTCCTCCAGCTCGCGCTTCCCGCCGCGCGAGCGCTCCGTCGAGCGCACGCCCCACGGCCACCGGCGGGCACCGTACAAGGGCCGCGCCAGTGACAGTCCCCGGCCCCGCGGCAGCCTGGAAGCCTACGGCGGTCGCAAGCTGCCGCCACCCGCGGGTGCGACGCAGGATCAGTGGCCAGGCCACGAGCCGGAGGAGGGTACCGACTACCGCGAGGACGAGGTGCCGCCGCGGGCCCGGTCGGGCAAGCGCTACCAGGAGCGGCCGTCCTCGCGTGGCCTCCAGTATCTCGAGCCGGCCACCGGCCGCGACGAGGGCGGCGCCGACAGCTGGGAGGCGCTGCAGCATCACGAGGCCGGCGCAGGCGCCCAGGACTGGGAGGAGCGCGAATGGCGCGGCGCCAGCCGAAGTGCGCTCTGGGACCGCGAGGGCCTGACGCACGCGGACGTCCTTGAGGTTGAGTGGCCCGGGTCCAAATACGAGGCCGACTGGAAGCTGGCCGACGCGCGCAAGTGGGACCTTCGGCCCTACAGAGGCGAGCTCGTCGAGGCTGGGCAGCCGCAACAGCAGCAGCACGGGTAAGTCCCGCGGCGCCCCCGCCCCTGCCCTTCCCGTGCCCGACGAGCCTTCATCTGGAGTTTTGACACAGCTGCAGCACGAGCAAGCGGAGGTCTTTCAACGCGCCCGAACAACGCGATGAAGGGCCGCTGGCGACGAGTCACGCGGCCAAGCAGGCCCTCCACAACAGCATGAAGGACGAGCCCATCAACAAGAAGTTGATGGAGCTGGCCGAGGGCAGGCCGCGCCGTAGCCGCGAGAAGTCTGCGGACAGCTTCCACAAGAAGGCGCCAGCGACGAAGGAGCGGCCCGAGTCGAGGGAGCCGGGCGCGGCGCAGCCACAGCCACCGGCGCTGGCTCCGCCTCCGCCGCCCGAGCCAAAGCGGTCGAGCTGTGCGGACGAGGCAGGAGGGCCCGCGCTCTCGTCTCTGCACGCCGAGAGCGACCTCAGCGACATCAGCGACGATCCCGATGACATCCTCGACATGGAGGACGACCTGCCCGTGGCCATCGATAGAAGGCCGCCGCCCGAGGCCGACCGCGACTCCATCTCCGTCCACAGCCAGGAGCTCTCGCATGCCTCGCCCAGGGCACCACCGCTTGACACCGATTCCACCGCCTCCTTCGCCAAAGACAAAGACGGCGCCGATCCCTACAGGTACCACCGTCCGTCTGCCACTTTGTCCCGCATACTTACTGATTCGGGTTGTCGGCGCAGTGCCAAAAACCACATCGAGGAAGAGAGTCTGGAGACTATGGACTTCGAAGAGATTTCCGATGGTGAGCTCGAGGAGGACATCAAGACGAGCTGCAAAGGGTTGGGCGATGCTCTCGGGGTCGATTGGGAGAGCCTTGTCAATGAGTCGCAACCCCGGCGCTGCTACCCGGCCGGTCACGACAGCGTTCATGACCGTTGGCAGTGCAAAGCTGTATTCCAGCGAATTGGCATTTCCGTTAAAGCTACGGGTCTGGAGTTGTCGGAACAAATTTTACAAAAATACTCGCATGATGGTTGGTCCACTTTAGATTCATTTCGCCTCTAGTATGTGCTTGTAATTGGCGCTTTTGATTTTTCAGAATCATCGCATGACCTGCTTCTGAGTAATGTAGCCTTCTTACATACAGCGTTGGCCCGGAGAAACTTACTATCCAATTCAATGTACAAACTGATAAACAATGATGACTTACTTTATAGGTTGGTAAATTGATGACTTTCTGGATTATAAATGTATAATTGTTCGATTACATTTGCACAATTGTTTCAGGTATAATATAAGTGATAACAATGCTGAGCGAATCGACAATTTCAAGCCATGTACACTTTTGTACGAAGAAGCTAAATTGCGTCTCGAGCAGAGCGCATGAATGAAAATGTAAAATAAATAATAAAGTTGACAGGAATAGCGCTTACTAATCGAAATTATGCTTTTGATATTGACGTTGTTTTTAAAGACTGATTTACCGATGCGTAAATTTGACGATAGTCACTGGGCGCCACGATGTCGTCCTTTAAAATTATTAAGGCTTCCGTTAAATTGTGCTCGTTTAAAGTAGAAGAGAGCTGCAACATTTGAATAAATGAATTGGAGTATGTTATAAGAAAATGTGAGGCTGACAATAAATTACCTGACTCTGACGACCGGACGTGGGACTTTCTGGACACGAGCCAAGACGCTTAAGCTTTTCGGCATTTGCTACATACAATTCATAGAGTACAAGTCCTGCAAGAGAAGTTGATAAATTGTAGAAATGTACGTTCGAGCGCTATTTTAGGGCGGTCCACCTTTTTTCGTGCAATCGCCACAATTTAAGCTATCCAAGCAAGCGATCAGTTTGTGACAGTAGTCAATTTTGGTATCCAATTCGTTGTCGGTCAAATCTGAAAGGGAATGGACTAATTGCACATGAGGGTGGAAGATCTTCGTTACCAAGACCGCTCACCCTTCCAGGTTAATCCGTCGACGCGCCCAAAGAGCGAAAGGATTTGAAACATCATGCCCATCATGACGTAATTGGTTTCTGGAACCAGCACAGCCAGCTGCCGTTGTAAGAATTTCAGGGCTTTGCGTGGACTCTGACCAGACATTTCGGCGATAGCGCTCGCGATGCCAGCTCGAATTGCTGCGATCTGTGCGGCGAGTGGACGCGGGACAAATTAAATTTTTTTCAAAAAAAGACATACACTTGAAATTGATTCTGCAATCATTGGCAAAAGTTATATGCTTGGAACGTCGAATCGACAATGAAACGGGACCATGTAAGAAGCGTGTCCTTTCAAACGAGCCAACATCGTCGAATCAGTCGAGCCGTTCCAGAAACGCCGGCGGACATCAATAAAATCCAGGTCGAACGTATAGCATCCGCCTGCTTTCTAAAGTCGGCCAAAAGAAAGCGAGAGCAAAGAGCGTGCGCTGGCCGGGAGGCGCATACCTGCTTACTGCTGATGACGAGCCGGCAGCGGCCACAGGTCCAAGGAGAATCGAAACTCAACGGCCGGTCGGGTAGCAGCAGGCCCGCGCAGGCACCGTCGGCGCACCTCAGAGCCGCCAGTAGCGAGCCGTGCTCCTGCAACGAGGCGAGCAGGCGTTAGCGCGCGCAATCGGCCGAGTCGCGAGCACCTACCGTGGGGTCGGAGCAGCGCGGGCAGTCGCAGCAGAAATGTTTGGTCGCTCGCAGGAACTGCCGGCGCAGCGTGGTGTCCCAGAGCAGGTCGGCGTAGCTCATGCTGATCTCCTGGCCCTCGGCGATCTCCGCGACGGCGTAGACCTGCAGGTCACCGCGGCCGTTCAGCAGGTGGCGCGTATTGGGCACGCAGCGGTGGTTGGTGAGCGCGCCCAACGGGAACAGCGCGCGCAGGCCCGTGGAGGCGACGACGCCGGGCCCTGCGTCCGAGGCGGCCGCCGCCGCCGCCTCGAAGGCGTTGGTGTCCATGGCCCGGCAGGCGCGCCGCATCAGCCGCTCGTCCTCGACGTCCAGGCCGCCGGCCAGGCTGCGCGCCAGCAGGTCCACCTGCGGGCCGTCGGCGTCGTTCGAAGCTGGCGCGCGCGAGCCGATAGCGCGAGGCGCCTGCGCGCAGCTATCGGCGCTATCAGCGGCGCGGCCCCCCGCCGCGTGGCCGATCGCGCGATCGTCGCGAGTCTGCTCGGCGCTGCGCACGGGGCCAGCGCGACCTTCTGCAGCCGCGACGACGAGCCGGGACAGGCGGCAGCCGGAGCAAGGTAGGGTCGCGGGCTCGCGGACGCGGGCTCACGGGCGCGGCCTCACGGCGCACGCAGTTTCAGGCCGCGCGATGCTGAGCAGCTGGACGCGGCAGCCCGCGAGGCGGCTGACGGACATGGTGCGCGTGGTGGAGGTCGGGCCGCGCGACGGCCTGCAGAACGTGAAGGCGCAGGTGCCGACGGAGAGCAAGGTGGAGCTGGTGCGGCGGCTCGCTGCCACGGGGCTGCGCTCGATCGAGGTGACGAGCTTCGTGTCGGCCAAGTGGGTGCCGCAGATGAGCGACGCCGCCGAGGTCTGGCGGCGCGCGGTCGCGGAGGCGCCCGAGGGCCGCCCGGTCGAGTACTCGGCGCTGGTGCCCAACGAGGCGGGTCTGCGCGCCGCGCGCGCCGCCGGTGTGCGCGAGGTGGTGCTGTTCGCCGCCGCCTCGGAGACGTTCTCGCGGCGCAACACCAACTGCTCGATCGCCGAGAGCCTCGAGCGGCTGGCGCGCCTGAGCGCCGACTGCGCCGCCGCGGGGATTCGCGCGCGCGGCGTGCTTTCCTGCGTGGTCGGCTGCCCGTACGAGGGCGCCGTGCCGGCTGCGCGCGTCGCGCGCCTCGTGGAAGCGCTGCTGGGCATGGGCTGCTTCGAGGTGGCCCTCGGCGACACCGTGGGCGTGGGCACGCCCGCGCGCCTGGCTGCGCTGCTGCGCGAGCTGCGCCCCGCCACGGGCGAACGGCTCTGGCTGCTGGCCGCGCACCTCCACGACACCTACGGCCAGGCGCTGGCCAACGTATACGAGTGCCTGGGACAGGGCATCCGCGTGTTCGACTCGTCGGTGGCGGGCCTGGGCGGCTGCCCGTACGCGCCCGGCGCCTCCGGCAACCTGGCCACCGAGGATCTGCTCTACCTGCTGCACGGGCAGGGCATGCGCACGGGTGTCGACCTGGACGAGCTGGCCGAGGTGGGGCGCTTCGTCAGCGAGCGCCTGGGTCAGCCCAACCGCTCCAAGGCCGGCAACGCGCTGCTCGCGGCCAAGCAGCGCCAGGCTCCGCCGCTCGGCTGAGCCCCTCCTGCCGATTGCCTGCGAGCTTGCGCGTCGACTCGAGAGTCGCGCTCGCAACGAGCTAATCGGACGCGCCATTTGCTACCGATTTCAACTCGCTCGGACGGTACGCCAGCGAACCAGTGCATCCTCGCGAGCCGCAGGCTCAATTGGAACGCTCGTATCGCGCGATCACGGTTGGGAGATACTCCGCAGCATGGACTGGTAACAATGGGTTACTACGTTACAGTTGGCTCGTTTGTTGTTACTGCGTTATTGTACGAACATGTCTTGCTGTTGCAATAAAAAACTTGAGGTGAACATCCCTTGGTGCGTGTCATTTGTTAACTTGGAAGGTATGCAGCTCTCGACGCCGCTGCCGGTCTTTGAAAATTCAAGTGCGATCCGTCCACCTGTAGCCCACTTACGGTCGATACCTGACTCGCCGTTCGAAGAAAGCGGGCCCGCTGGTAAAGCGGACGTCACCTACCTCCCGGCTGTGCCGGGCCGCCTCGTGGGCCTGGAGCGCGCCCAGCAGTTGGCGATCGGCCGGGCAGAGGAAGAGGGCGCGCACGGCCGCCAGCGCCCGCAGCAGTTCGGGGCACCAGCCGGGCGCGCACAGCGGGCGCAGCCTCCGCAGGAAGACGCACTCGGCCTGGTGGTCGGTGCTCTCCGCGCACGCGGCCGAGCAGACGGGCAGTCCGCAGCCGCCGTCGCAGCCGACCAGCGGACAGCGCTCGCGCGCGCACACCGCGCACATCGGCGGCTGCCCGTCGCGGCCGCGCGGCCCCAGCAGCAGCGCGCGGTCCGCGTAGACCAGCTGGCCGCGCGCGATCGGCCGCCGCGCCGCCAGACCGCGACCACCTGTCGACAGTCAGAGTCAGCCCCGGCCGACGCCAGCGTCGCGGGGCCCGTCGGTGGCCTACCCAGCTCGGAGGCGCGCACGGCCCAGCAGCGGTCCTCGCACGCCAGGCCGCGGCGCGCCAGGTGCCCCAGCAGCAGACCTTCCACCTCTCGCGGCTCCATCCCGCCCGACACTGGCGCGCCCGCGCGCGGCCGCGGGTTCGCGGGCCTGGCGCGCGCTCAACGCCGCCGGCCGCCGCTGCCAACCGCGGCGGTAATAATAGCTGGGCTTCCTTGAATTTGGTCGATACAGAGCGCCGACGCCGAGCGGCCTCCGCGAGTTTGTGTCGCCGGTCGTCGCCATGACGACCGAGGAACGCAGGCCCGAGCCAGCGCGTCCGCATAGCCACTCAGCCGGCGTCCTTGTGCAGCGCAGCTCGTCGACGACCATTCGCGGAATATGCCGAGGTAACGGATGCGCCGCGCTCCGCGACCGACGCGGCGCGCGGCGGCCGCGGACCCGCGCGGGTTGATGCCGGGGAACTCGACAGCCCGCCTGTGTTGCAGATCGCCCGGAGGCAAGCGTGGGACCGGCGCGGCGCTGGCGGTGCTCGCACTGGCGACGGCGGCGGCGGCGGCGCTGTCGGACTCGCACTGCGGGAGCAGCCCCTGCATGTACGGCATCTGCGTGGACGTGGAGGAGGCGCTCAGCAGGTAAAACGGCGGTAGGCCGGCGGGTGCGTGCGTGGATGGATGCAGCGTCGCCTGTTGCAGCTCCTACCGGTGCTACTGCATCGACGGCTACACGGGGTCCAACTGCGAGACCAACTGGGACGAGTGCTGGTCGCAGCCCTGCCTGAACGGGGGTACCTGCCACGACGCCGTGGCGGCCTACAACTGCAGCTGCCCGGAGGGTTTCGTGGGTAGGTGTCGCTCGGCGGCTCGACCGAGGTCCGCGCGCGCGCTAACCAGTCGCCCCGCTGGCTACAGGTCTCAACTGCGAGCAGCGCTACAGCCAGTGCTCGAGCCAGCCGTGCCAGAACAACGCCACGTGCTCGGAGCGCGACCACGCGGGCGTCAGCTGCCAGTGCCTGGAGGGCTTCTCGGGTGAGCGACCGCCGCGATCGCCCTGCGCGGCCCTAACGAGCGCGCGCTTGCAGGCGAGTTCTGCCAGATCGACGAGGCGGTGTGCAACGCCAGCGTGTGCCAGAACGCGGGCGAATGCTCGGAGGGCCCGGGGCTGAGCTTCTCGTGCCGCTGCGCCGACGGCTGGCTGGGAGCTCGCTGCGAGCGGGACCTGGACGAGTGCAGCCTGGCGGCGCCCTGCCGCAACGGCGGCCTCTGCATCAACTTGCCCGGCGACTATCAATGCGTCTGCTTGTTCGGTGGGTGCGTCCGGGATCGGCCCACGCCGGCCCACGCTAATCGGTCTCGACGCGCCTAGGCTTCACCGGCAAGGACTGCGACAAGCCGCTGCTGGCTTGCCGCGAAAGCCCCTGCCTGAACGGTGCCGTCTGCCTGCTCGAGGACGGCCGTCCGGTCTGCTACTGCGTGCCAGACTTCCACGGCCCGCTGTGCGAGCTGCGCTACGATGACTGCCAGTCCAAGTCCGCGCACTGCCAGAACGGCGGCAGCTGCATCGACGGCGTCGATAGCTTCAGCTGCTCGTGCCCGCCGCCTTTTGTGGGCGACAACTGCGCCAGCGTGTCCGAGGAGCCGGCCGCCGAGGGCACGTCCGCTGCGGGCCTCCCACCCAGCGCCACCTCCGCGCCCCTCGGCCCGTCGTCCACGGAGCTGGCCGTAGAGATCGGCGCCGGGGGCGAGCAGCCGCTCGAGACCACGAGCGGTCCGGCCCCCGACCGAGGTGCCACCGAGGCGCGCACGGAGCCCGAGCCGGCGACCGAGCCCGGGATCGACGCGGGCCTGGACCCGGACCTTGACTCGAGCCCCGAGCCAGCCGGCGTGACCACGACCGGGGCCACCACGGTTGCGTCCGAGCCCGGCACCGAGTCGACCTCCGGGACGAGCGCGAGCGGCGAGCGGCCCGAGGACGCGGACGTCGCCGAGACCACGCTCTCCGCCGCCGCCAGCACGAGCGCTGCCGGCGTGGTGACGATGCTGCCCTCGAGCATCCCCGGCCCGGAGCCCGAGCCGGAGGCCAGTGCGCCGCCGAGCCTGCCGCCTCCGGAGGCGGCGTCCACGCCCGCCGACGAGGACTTCACCTCGCTGCCGGACTTCCACCGAAGCACCTTCGGCAGCGAGCTCGACGCGAGCAGCACGCCACCGAGCGGCGGCACCGAGCGGCCGGGCGCGGGCCCCGGCCCCGGGCCCGCCTGCGACGTCGAGCGTTGCGCCAACGCGTCGCGCTGCCCGCAGGACGCCGCGCAGGTACGTGCCCGCCCGCCGCTCGCGGCCCGCCCGCCGCCCGCTCACGAGCCGCTGTCGGCAGTGCGACTGCGGCCGCCCGGACGACTGCGCGCCGCGCGCCGGCCTGACCAGCGCCGCGTTCAACGGCAAGTCGTACGCCAGGCAGAGGTTCGACATCGAGTCCGGCGAGTTGAGCGTGCGGCTGCGGCTGCGCAGCCGCGCCAGCAGCGGCATCCTCCTGCACGCGCTGTTCGACGACGAGCGCTACGCGCTGCTCTACCTGGAGGCCGGCCAGCTCAAGTTCCAGTTCTCCTGCGGCCTGCAAACGATGCTGTTCGGCGAGCTGGACTCGCCGCTGGGCGACGCCCGCGAGGCGGACCTCGAGATGCGGTAAGCCCGCGGACCCGGCGCGCGCCCGCGACGCTCACGCGCGCCTCTGGTCGCAGGTTCCGCTACATCGCCGAGCGGGCATCGGACCGCTGTTCGGCGCGGCTGCTGGTCAACGGCTCCGAGGCCATGAGCGGCGAGCAGCTGTTGCACAGCCACGGCAGCGCGCCGCGCCTGGCCAGGCTGCACGTAGGCGGCATCCCGCTGGCCTTCTCGCGGCAGTTCCCGCCGGTCGTGCTGGGCTTCGTCGGCTGCATGAGCCTGCTCGAGGTCAACGGGCTCGCGCGCGACTTCGCGCGCGACTCCGTGGAGGTCGTTCAGTTGGAGGAGTGCCACTCGTTCTTGTGCCTGCCCAATCCCTGTCGCAACTTCGGGGCCTGCCGGCAGCTGGCCGACGGCGCCGGCGTCGAGTGCAGCTGCATCGCCGGGTAGGTGGCCGCGCGTCGGCGCCCGTAGCCGCGGCAATGACGCGATCTCTGCCCGCAGCTACAGCGGCGAGTTCTGCGAGCGCTCGGTCTGCGACGAGGAGCCGTGCCAGCTGGGTGCCACCTGCCTCATGAGTCCCGGCGTCAGCTTCCTGTGCGTGTGCCCGCTCGGCGCCCACGGCCTGTTCTGCGAAAGAGGTGAGCGCGACGCGGGCCCCGGTGCCCGCCGCGGCCCCGCCCCTACCGCGGCCCTACCTGTTGCAGACGCCAGCATCGCGCAGCCGTCCTTCTCGGTGCCGGCGCCCGGCTTCTCGTCCTACATGGCTTACGGGCTGAGCGGCTCGCCGCGGGACGGCCTGGAGCTGGCCATGCGCATCGCGCCGCGCAACCCCGAGCAGATTTCGCTGCTGGCCTACATGGGCCAGAGTGGCCCGCGGCGCGACAGCCCCGACCACCTGGCGCTCACCTACGTGCGCGGCTACCTCATGCTCACCTGGGACCTGGGCTCGGGGGTGCGCAGGATCTTCACCGCCAGCCCGATCAGCGTGCGCGCGCGCAGGGATCACGCGTTGCGGGTCGGTCGCCGGGGCAGGGACGCCTGGCTGTACGTCGAGGGCGTGGGCAACGTGAGCGCTCGGGCGGCCGGCTCCAACACGCGCCTCGACGTCTCGCCCATTCTCTACATTGGTAGGCTCTCGGCTTCGAGCTCCGTTCATCCGCGCGCTTATCACCGAGATCGACCTTTTCGCGCAGGGGGACACAAGGCCAAGTACTTCGACTCGCTACCGCACGACCTGCCTCTGCACAGTGGTTTCTCCGGCTGCATATACGACCTCGAGTTACGCACGGACGACAGCTTCCCCCCGCTTACGACGGCCAGCCCCGCCACTGGCCGCGGGGTTGGCGAGTGCCATCGGAACGAATGCTCGCATCATTCGTGCAAGAACGGCGCGGTTTGTCTCAATTATGGACCCACCTACAGGTAACTAACTACATACACTCAGTACTACGTCTTATTATATTCATCGCTGCTTTATTTTGTTCTTTTGAAGCTGCATTTGCATGAAGGATTGGCAAGGTCCCGACTGTGCAGATCGGGTCAACTGCACCTCGTCAAACTCTTGCCATTAACGAGTGGACAGCAACATTTTCGTGTCTGTCACCTTCATGTGGCATTGGTCATTTTCGTTTTTGGTCTACAGCTCACGAATGACGAGTTTAGATGGATAAACAGAATCGCAGCTGCCATGCGTGATTGCAAATCGTATTTTGCTAATTCATGCGACCATTCCACGTTGCCCCAATGAGAAATCTGAAAAACAGCATTTCGCGTTCATTTCTGACAATACATCTTAACTTCATGCGGCCTACTATTACCTGAAAATCTTCTTCTAAACGGGAAAGTGCGACTGCTTCCTCGACATTTATTACTCTTTCTGACGCCGCTAGTGTCAAGATGACAGATTTGACAGTGTCTACTCCGTACATAAAACCTGTGGATATTTTGTTTATTGTAATTATTATAATATGTCTAATTCTCTCATCCATAATCCAATGAATATGGAATCTTACCAAAAATTGCTTCATGGCTGTGAGATACTAAATATTTCTTTATTTCATCTTTTGTATCTTGAGGTATTTTTGGTGCATCTATACTTTTCGTTTTAACAATATCAATTTGATATCGATCGCAGAACCACTGAATGAGCGGATCCCATTTGTTTTCTTGTAACTTGTACAATTCATCTGTATTCTGTATTAAATAAAATTTCTTACAATTACTTATTTCATTTGAATATTCAATCATTTCAGACAGTCACTTACATTCTCAGTTTCATTTGATTGGAAAAGCAGTGTATCTGTTTCCAAAAAATTCACTATATAATTTGCAATATCTTCTTTTGTAAGTTTGTTAGGATTATCTAGTACTGTACTGCACAAAGCAGTCTGAAAATTAATGTTATAATGAAAAGTTTATCTTTAAAAATTCTAAGAGAATACACAAACTTTACATACTAAATGCATAATATTGCGGTTGATAATTTCTGGTTGGCTGTCCCACTCGTGGGCTACAGCCAAAGCTAAAGGTTCGCTTGTAATTTCAAACACTTTGCCAAGCGGTGTTTTCAATTTCCTTTGGTCTAACGTAATTTCATACTTGCTTCCATTGCATAATATACCTGTTTTTCGATAAAACCTTTTCACGGTGGCTGAAACACATCAAGATAAGGTTTAATGATAAGTAAGCAATCAATGTTCTGATTACTGAAAAATCCTTTTTATTTGAAAAAAGATGAAAGTTTACGTTAAAAAATGACTAACCTACCCATGTGTCTGCATTGTGCAGCCATGGAAATAAACTTGCAATATTTCAAACGAAGCATTTTATAAATTTTTCGTTAACGAAATTCGGCGGCTCTAATACATTAACGACTTCAGTCACACAAAATGAAGGTCATTGATTTATCTGTAAATAATCCTGGTCAATCCTAGTATTGCTAGTCTATCGACTTTCATTTTCAGGTTAAAATGCTCAAAATAATCATTATAAATGTAGCAGAAGTGAGAAGCAGAAGCCACTAGAATCCAGAAAACTGAATAACAATAGTGGCAACACTGTGTATTGTCTCTATATAGGCATAGTGGTATCTAAATAATCGGACGCGAATCGATGAAACCAGTATCGTCTGTTTAGAGTTTAGACTTTAAAACAGTGATGTATATTTTAAAATAAAGAAAATATCCTATGAATTTCATAATTTTATTAATTGGATTTTCCAGTATTCAGAGCAAAAGTATTTCATTGATAATTTTTATTCACAAAAAAACATAATAACGTATTGCAAAATGATATAAAAAAATTGAACATTGAATAATTCTTTCACCTGTTTACAATTAAAATATTCTATATACCTTTAATTATAATTCTCCAAGAAAAAACAGCATTATATTCAAACAATATGAAAATGAAAAATAAAATAAAAAGAGGCCAGCTTCCATCAACTGTAATAAATAATAATTACAAATCACAAGTATCCTTATGTAACATATGATTGTTATTTGAAGCTAAATGAAATCTTGATTATATATTTATGAAAAATTGAAATCATTTCTAAAGATATTTTTTTTTAACCTTTAAAAGATATATATTATTTATATAGCCCTGTAAATCGTATGATGATTGACTGTGGTAAAAAAGAAAATCTGGCAATTTTTATAATAAAGCAAAGGCATTTGCAATGCTCGATCAAAATTATTTATAGATGCTAATATTAATGTTGTGAGTGGCTCCTCTGATATATCGAACTTGGCAATTAAGAACAAAGGTCTTGATCTGCTATATAGGTGATTTTGATGTTTTTTTGACTAGCTGCTATGTTTTGTTATTAGTTATAGAATCTGGTGATCGCTTATACAATAGATTCACACATTCCGATTATGTATTGCGTATTAATAAAAACATTTGAGTTACTTTATAAATAGTTATTTTGTTATTTATGTTACTGTGTAGAATGTGATTGAGTGATAAAAGTTGCTCACGTTTACAATAAACCAGTTTTTATTTTATTTAAATAAACATATTATTACCCTTTCTTGAAAAAATATAATTAAATATCGTTAAATTTTTTTACTTTTTATATGTATCATTTGGGATTCATACTGAGAAAAATCCAATCGATGATATTGTAACATTACTGGCATATTTCCTCTATTTGAAAATAAACGCCGCTTTAAAAACCCTACAAGATCGGCGCAGAAATAGCTGCGCGATACACACGTCTTGTTTTATGTCCAATCATGTCAGGTCAGAATTGAATGGATATCACTTTGAATATGTCAGAATTCTTTTGCAATCCGCAAATACTACTTTCAGTAATGTCGGTATAATTACATACTACAAGTCAGAGTCGAATTAAGAGATAATATTTTAGTATATATCAATCAATGGATATTTTATACAAAGAACCTAAAGCTCTTACAGTATATTAGTGCTATTCCTTATTATTTGCACCAATCAATGATACGTCAGTGAAATAATTTTGAACAATTTTATTGTATATGCATGCTGGTTTAATTATAGTGCTGATAAATCTTTATTTAATATTTTCAAGTTGTAAAATAATATCGGACAAACTATTTGATTATGATCTTTTATAACATAGTTACTTCTAAACAAACTTTTTAAAGCTCCCTGTGTACGTGTTAGGTTATATTAGTGTAAAATCTTGTTTGTGATTATATACATTCCATTAATTATTATGATTAATCATCAGCTTGCACATCCTATCATTGGAAAAAAGCATTATTTAATTAATGGACGTAAATAAATTTTACACAAAGTCTATCTTGCTAGGAATTAAGTGATAGCGTTGATTTTTAGAATGGGATCAATGGAGGGCCACAAGGTGGTAATGAAAAAAACTGAAAAACTGCTAGTTTTAAATGAAACATCAACGGTAAGTCAGTCAAGCAGTAAGTACAGTATCACCAGTACAAGTACGAATAGTCCACAAGATGAGAGCTTTAAGGTGGAGAGACATTCGGAGCAATGTCTTCGTACCATGACAGAGTATTTATACAAACAGCAACTGACTGATGTGATCCTAATAGCAGGACAAAGGCGTATACCTGCCCATCGATTAGTACTAAGTGCCAACTGTGAGTACTTTGCAGCTATGTTTAGAAATTCACTGCGAGAAACATTCCAGAACGAAATCGAGCTGAAAGACGTAGACGGCGATACTCTGTGGACATTGGTCAAGTACTTCTACACTGGAAGCGTAGACCTACTGGAAGACAACGTGGAAACACTGCTGACGACGGCATCGCTGTTGCAGCTCAGCTGCATAATCGAGGCGTGCTGCCAGTTTCTGATAAAACAATTACACCCCAGCAACTGTCTGGGCATCAGGAGATTCGCGGACATGCACGGTTGCGCAGAGCTGTTGGCGACAGCCAATACATACACCAACGACAACTTCATGGACGTGATAAAAAACCAAGAGTTCCTACTGCTGCCCGCTGAGGACGTGGCGAGGCTACTGCAATCGGACGACCTGAACGTGGCGTCCGAGGAGTCGGTGTTCAAGGCGCTGCTGGCGTGGCTACAGCACGAGCCCGAGGCCAGGCGGGCCGAGGCAAGCGGCCTGCTGGCGCACGTGAAGCTGCCGCTGCTGTCGCCAGCCTTCTTAACGGACCACGTGGAGAGCAACGAGATGTTCCGGGAGCAGCGGGGCGCGCAGGCGCTCATCCTGGAGGCGCTTAAGTACCATCTGCTGCCGGAGCGCCGGCCGCTGCTGCAATCGAGCCGCACGCGGCCGCGAAAGGCCACGGTTGGCCGACTGCTGGCCATCGGTGGCATGGACACCAACAAGGGTGCGACCATCGACGCGTTCTCGCTGCGCGAAAACCGCTGGCGCAGCCTGGCCAAGATGAGCGGCCGGCGGCTGCAGTTCGGCGCGGCGGTGGTGGAGCGCAAGCTGGTGGTGGCCGGCGGCCGCGACGGCCTCAAGACGCTCAACACGGTGGAGTGCTTCGACTTCGCCGCGTTGGCCTGGAGTCCACTGCCGCCCATGTCCGTCCACCGCCACGGGCTGGGCGTGGCGGTGCTTGAGGGGCCGCTCTACGCGGTGGGTGGTCACGACGGCTGGAGTTTCCTCAACACGGTGGAGCGCTGGGACCCGAGCACGCGCCAGTGGGCCTACGTGTCGCCCATGTGCTCGCAGCGCTCGACCGTCGGCGTAGCCGTGCTCGGAGACAAGCTGTACGCGGTGGGCGGCCGCGACAATGGCTCTTGCCTCGGCACCGTCGAGTGCTATGACCCGCACTCCAACCGCTGGACCTCGTGCGCGCCCATGTCGCGTCGACGCGGCGGCGTCGGCGTCGGCGTCATGAACGGCTGCCTGTATGCGCTGGGCGGCCACGACGCGCCCGCCAGCAATCCGCATGCCAGCCGCTTCGACTGCGTGGAGCGCTACGACCCCAAGACTGACACGTGGACCACGGTCGCCCCCATGAGTCTGGCCCGGGACACCATCGGCGTCTGCGTGCTCGGTGACAAGCTACTCGCCGTGGGCGGCTACGACGGTCAGCAGTACCTCACGCTGGTGGAGGCCTACGACCCGCTGGCCAACGACTGGCGCCAGCTCACACCGCTCAAATCCGGCAGGGCCGGCCCCTGCGTCGTGCTCGAAAACTCGCTCGACTTCTCGTAGTTCAGCTGACCGCTTCTGCTGCTTTTCTGCTGCGCTACCTCTTGTGTCGAGCCATCGACCCCTTTCGCTTCTTACACTTTTCCAATGCTGACTACCGATCTTCAGTCGCTACGGAACTTACAATTTTTCAATATTTTTGAATATTTAAATACTCGAGCTCAGAGAGACGGCTTGGCAGGCTTCAAAGTTCAAGCCGCTCCAACTTTTGCAGAAGCCTCGTATTTATGCAAGAACCATATCAAAACGTTTTATCTTTTTATGACTATTGTAGTAATTGTATTTATTATTTATGATATGATGTAAAATAAATATTTATGCCTTGTAAAATAAATATCTTTTTTATCAAATCAAGTAACGAATTGATGTTATATATAATGATGTTTCTCATTACGAAAAATCATCCAGCTATCTAAGAGAGCCTTTAAGCTATATCTAATCTGTGCTGTATTAAATCTCCACCAGGTAAGATATCGTTTGACTCTGAGAAAATTCTACCCTTTCCTCATTTGGTTGTTCTCTGTCTCTCTCTAGTCAATTTATTAAATTATTCCATATTTGCTTTTGTTACATTATTTGATTAGCTATATATACATTACACATGCACCGTTCAAACGAACCTTATCAATAATAAATGCAATTTAAATCGAATTTCTTCAAAACTTAAAATCGAAATGAAAGAATAATTTAAACGCGCGCAGATTCATAGGATCACACCTTATGTACAAATACGGCAGGTCACAAGTGACTTACCGGTAACAGTACGTCATACTCGCATCTGTCGATTGTCATCTATACATATGTATAGATATACGTTGCACGACTTAAGAGAAACAGGATTGTGGCGCGCACATCGGGTCGTTGGCAATGGTCGCTCAGTGATCACACGATACAGATAGGATGTTTTAGTGTCGGAATTCGGACAGTTTAGTTGTTTAGCATTAACACGTCTCGTCTATCTAAAGAGAAGCGCTAATTAGGTGGTTTGCATGCACCTAGTTCAAGTAATTGGATTTTAATTTGTATTTGGGCAAGTAACGAGACAACTTTCACCTAAGTCTGAGGGAAACGCATTTTTGCTAGTTTATTCATGATAAGCTGGAAATGTATTTATCACGGTTCAGTCTTTGTATAATTTTCATTTTGCTCTGCTCTCTCGAATCCAGAGCCAACTTGAATGATGATATTCCTTTGACCAAACTTGGCTCTAAAACCGGGCCAACGTTGAAGTTTTATTACTGGTACGTAATTATTACAAGTTGATCACCAGCAGTGTATACTCGACTGACTCGACTCGCGCGATTTTCACATCTTTATCAATAAAAATATTGCATTTATGCTCTTAGCTACTCGTGTGGATATAGAAAGATGTTTGAAGATTACACAAGTTTGCTGAGAGAAAAGTATCCAGAATTGCAAATCGATGGAGAAAATTACATTCCCCCTGGAGCTAACATGATGCTAGCTAAAGGTTTGAATATAGCCAAGATTCTAGTCATTATTTTAATATTCCTCAAGGTAAATCCATTCCAATGGATTGGACAACCTCAACCATTTTGGTGGCAATGGTGTATGGATAATCGTTTATACTCTTGTGTACTCCTATTTTTTGCGTGCAATGCAGCAGAAGGTTACTTAATAGCTTCTGGAGCATTCGAAATTCATTTCAATGGTAACATACATTTTAGTAGTTTTTTTATCAAAATAACAAATGATATGTTCATTCTTGTAATATTTTCAGATGTTCCTATTTGGTCAAAACTTGAAACTGGGAGAATACCTCAACCTCCTGAACTTTTTCAAATTATTGATACTCACATGCAAATGTTGTTCCCTGAAATGCAAACAGGCAAGATCAATAAGTAGATATCAAGAATTTGAGATTTTTTGAAGTGGATGATATTTAATCATGAAGTTACTTTTGAAAATTAATGTAATTGTGCATTAGCGAATCCTTTCATCATGCTAGATACTTACATTCTTTAGAACAAGAATCATGTCTAAGATTTATATACGTACTACATATATATATATACATACAATATATATATATATATATATATATACAACTAAGCTGCCCAGCAAGTGAATTATGCAAGAAAATCTTTAAAAATGTATACTTTGATAGTTATTGATTACTGTACAATACTAAAGCACTAATTCTCAGAATTTCAATTTTTTATATCCTCAAGCTGTAGAATATGTATATTAATAAGTGAATAAATTATGTTTGTGTAAATATAACGAACAATACACCAAAGGATAAAGGATACGTTACAAAATACATGATTTTTAAAGTTGACTAATTTCTTTTCCTTAACTTATGACACGATATTGTTCTTAGAAAAAAAATTAAGTAATGATCTCAAATGAAAATGATTATTCAGAAATAGACAAAGTATAAATTATTTTATAGTTGATATAATTATCGAATAATAGTTGTATCGCATTGTATGGAGACTACAAATATAGTTATAGCAAGTTATACTATATGTATCTGCATGGTTTGTCCAGTAAGTGGCGCTACTGTGACCGTAATATAGCGAACTAAAAGTGTTTGAAATTTTCGAGTAAGAACAATAAAAGGTAGATAGATAAAGTGTATGTACTAACGTACTAGCAAGTCTTGTGTATTGTTATAACGTATTTGGTTCTAGCTTTATACTCGCTGAGCATTATTAGACATTAACGCACTTACGTATATTCATTGATTTGTGTGTGCACGGTTTCCTTTCGAAAAATAGTTATTGTAAAAGAGGTTACCGGCGTCCGAAAGGCTCACAGCGATAACGTTCTTGATACGTTTTGTTCTGTTATCATTATTGTGAGATGGAACGTCAATGTCAATGCGGTGGTACTCACGATGAAAGGGAGTTGGGAGTACAATACAATCTATATGAAAAAATCGACTTGGAAAATGTTGAATGCCTTAATGAATTGGTAGAAGGATCTGGAGCAAAAGTGTTCAAAGCCTGGGAAGACCGTTTGGATCATACAAAGGTATAAATATTATTTGTGATTATATTTTGTGATTATTAATTTTAACAATTAAATTATCAAACAAATATTGCAAACTAATGATACCTTTTGCAGTTTGTTGAAAGTGATGTGGATGAAGAGTTGTTGTTTAATATACCGTAAGTAGTTTTCATTTGTCTATCATTCAACAATTTGATTACTGGTTTGATCAACAATTAACATATGACTCATTGAAAGATTTACCGGTGATGTCAAACTCAAGGGCATAATAATTGTTGGAGGACCAGATGGCTCTCATCCGTCAGAAGTGAAATTGTGAGAATTATATAATATTAGCAATTGTCAACTCTGATGAAATATTCTTAACTTAAAGTACTCATACCATTGCACTAGGTTCAAAAACCGAGAAGGAATGACATTTGATCAGTCGACAGGTGAAGCTGACCAACAGTTTGAATTGTGCATTGATGAGTACGGAGTACACGAGTATCCATTAAAGTGAGTACAATTGATAGTAGTACGACTACGCGTTCGAGGTCATGGAATTGAACGAGTTTGCTGTGCACAGGGTAGCGAAATTGTCTTCAGTGCATCACCTGACGCTGCACTTTACTGGGAATCGCGGAGCTGAAAGAACAAGAATCGATTACATTGGCTTGAAAGGAGAATGGGCTCCCGGTCATCGACACGGAGTAACAATTTGTACGTACGAAGCTCTTCCTCAGCACAGCGACCACCCCGGTACGGATAATCTTTTTGATGATTTCACACGGCCAGTTTCTTAAGACGAGGGAGAATTAACTACGGGTCACCTGGATCACGATGCTATTAAATAAAAGCAAGATTTTTTGGCCGGAATGTGGCACAAGCAATTTGTTTAAGAATACATAATAAGAATTGTACGCTACTAGATACAATAAAGCTGTGATTGATTGATATTGAGATGGAGTTGGAGTGTAGTTGAGACTGAGGAGGAAGGGTCGGGAGAGCAAAGTTGAGCGCGAATCGGCATTTGCTTGGCTATTATTATCGCCGGCCTGTCTCTCTCTCTCCCTCTCTCTCTCTCTCTGTCTCTTTTCTTCTTTCTCGTGTCTCGTTGGCGCGCTTGGCGTGCAGCTTATAAGCAAGCAATAAGCGAGATTTGGCCGCGACTGGCGCGAGTCGCCAGTCATCGACCGCGCTTCGCGAGCCGCTGCTCGCCGTGGGCACGCGCCTCTTTGTTCTCGGCTGATCGCAGCGATCGGGCGCACTCTCGGCAGCAGCGCATCGGTAAGCGTGCGACGACGATCTTCCCCGCCGGCTGTGCGCGACCTCTGAACCTCGGAGAGCGTTTCGCCGCTGGTACGTATTGGCATGCTTAATTGTCTCTCGGGACAGTTATTATGCCGGCAATTGTCGGGCAATCAGTACTGCTATCGCGAGCATTGTATCGACGCTGCAAGTATTTGGTAGAAGGCACGTAGAATGCGCGCGCATTATCTGCCGCTCGTTCGGCTGCTTAGTCAGCGCTGCAAAACGCAGCGCTGATTCGGCAGTCCAGATTCGCATATTTCGATAGATAATTGGGCACGGCTCGTCGGGCGATCGCGACCGGGCAGAGATCGACGTCGATCGGCTAGCGGGGCAGTTTCATGCGGACCGCGGTGACACTGCTCTTCTCCGAGCGGTGATCCCCGTTGACGACGCATTCGTTTTGCCGCTTTGATTTGGCACAAAGCAACACTGGCTAGAACGTAGCGGGTTGTTTATTTTTTTGGCGCGCATATAGATTACGGCGCGGCGACGACACTGCCGGCGACGTTGCAGTCGCGCACCTCTAGCGCTCGTCCCGATCCATCGACTCGAGCCGCGATTACTCGAGACATTAGCAAGATCGACCGAGATAGCGAATCGAGTAATGTAATCGAGGCGACCTACGGGCCGCGGCCGCTGGAATTCGGGTCGATCGCAATGACAACTGCGCGACGATCGATACTCGTAAACAGATGCACACGTTACAGCCGCGAGATGCGAAAGTGCGATCGCGCTGGCACAGTCATACGAGCCGTATCGTCGAGGATATCGAGCGCGATCGCTAATGGAGATATTAGTCGGCCGTGCAGACAAGGATCTGTCAACGCGGACGCGCGTGACCGAAGACCGGTTTCTCGGCTCTCCGCGCAGGCGACGAACGCGGCCGCGGAAAATGCAGCGCGCCAGCGGGGAAGCCGGTGCGCGACGTCGGCCGGGAGCGCGCGCCGATCGGCGACGCGCAGTGAGGTGCTCCGCACGTGATGTGTATTTAGGACGTCGGCAGGGATGCGGCTCGCTCCAGCCGCAGCATCTCTCGAGTAAACCACGTGCTCGGCCGCGAGCGGCGAGGGGCGAGCAGGCGGCGATTAGCGGCTTATCACTGGCGCGCGTGAGCGCGGACAGCTCGAGCTCGCGGCTCTTCCGCGATAGCCGCCAAACGAGCCGCACGATAAGGGGACCAGTGGCAGCGTCGCGCTGCAGTCGTGGAGCCCAATCGTAGCAGCAGCAGCAGCAGCAGCAGCCACCGCTGCCCCCACGAGGAGAGCATGACCCACGCAGCGCAAGCGAGCAACGGCAAGCCGAGCCGCGGCACGGAGCAGCCAGCGGGGGAGCCGCCGGAGCCGACGCCGCGACCGCCCGACGGCGGATGGGGCTGGGTCGTGGTCTTCGCCTCCTTCATGATCCACGTTATCAGTGAGTAGCCCGGCCGCTCGACGCTCGGCTCGTCCCGCGCCCGGCGCTGCGCGATCGGCCGCCGCCACTCCACTTCGACGACGGCCTCGATCGGCGAATGGGCCGGCGGCCCGCGCCGGGCACGCGAGCTCGCCGACGGCCGCGCGCACGCAAGCGTCGCGCTGCCGCCCGCCAATTGCCGCTCATTGCCGTCATTAGACGGCTCGCACCGTCGTCGAGTGGAGAACCGGTTCGGCGAGACAGAGAGTGGTAGGCGCGTCGGCCGGGACGAGGCGAGCGCGCGTCGGGCCGCGAGCACGCGATGACCGTTTGCTGACTGTGTCGCGTCGAAGCCGACGGGGTGACCTACTCCTACGGCGTGTTCCACGTGGAGTTCGTCAACTACTTCGAGACGACCGAGCAGGCCGCCTCGTGGGTGGCCTCCTTCCTCGTGGGCGTGACCTACTGCTCGGGTGAGTGCCCGCGAGGGCCGCGCGCCCCGAGCCGCGCCCGCCGCTAACGAGCCGCTGTCGCAGGGCCCATCTCCAGCCACTTCGTCAACAAGTTCGGCTGCCGCGCCGTGACCGTCGCGGGCACGCTGCTGGCCAGCGCCTGCCTGCTGGCGAGCGTGTGGGTGCGCAGCCTGGGCATGCTCTACCTGACGGCGGGCGTCGGCACAGGTGAGATGAGATGCACAAGCGCCGGCCCGCGACCACTGACCACCCGCGCCGAGCGCGTTGCAGGCCTGGGCTTCGGCCTCGTCTACCTGCCCGCCATCGTCAGCGTGACCGTGTACTTCGAGCGCTACCGCTCGCTGGCTACCGGCATCGCCGTCTGCGGCTCGGGTCTCGGCACCGTGCTCTTCGCGCCCTTCATCAGCTATCTGATCCACTACTACGGCGGCTACCGCCACAGCATGATGCTGCTGTCGAGCATCGTGCTCAACTGCGTGGTGCTGGGCGTGCTGTTCCGGCCGCTGAGCGGGCCGGCGCCGCGGGCCGAGCGCCTCTCGCTGCAGGACCTGGGCGCCGGCGGAGCGGCCAGCCAGGCGAGCCTGGGCTCCGAGGGCGGCCCGCGGCGCGTGTCCTGCGGCGGCGGCGCGATCAACCGCTCGGACGCGTTCCCGCGCGGCAGCGTGCACGGCACGCGCAAGCGCTCCGAGTCCCTGGGCGCCAGCAGCGAGGACAGCCTGCGGCTGCGGCTCTCGCTGCGCTCGCTGCCCAGCGCCGCGGCCGCGGGCCCGGGCACGGGCTCGGGGCCCGGTGCCGCGCGCCGCGCGCCGCGCTTCTCGCTGCTGCGCGACCCGCTCTTCGTCGTCTTCTGCCTGTCCAACTTCTGCACGAGCATCGGCTTCAACGTGCCCTACGTCTACCTGATCGTAAGCTCTCTGTCCGTCCGTGCGCGCGCGCCCGCCGCCAGGCACTGACCGCCCGTCCCAGCCGCAGGCCAGCACGCTCGACATCGACAAGAAGACGGCCAGCACGCTGCTCTCGATCATCGGGGTGGCCAACACGCTGGGCCGCGTGCTGCTGGGCTACGTGTCCGACAAGCCCTGGGTGGACCGGCTGATCGTCTACAACTGCTGCCTGACCGTCTGCGGCGCGGGTAGGTATCGCGGCCGTGGCCCACGCCCGCCTCGCTCACGCGGCTCGCGCTCTTGCAGCCACGATGCTCTGCCCCCTTTGCCCCGACTTCGCCACGCTGGCCGCGTACGCCGCGGTCTACGGCTTCGCCGCGGGCGCCTACGTGAGCCTGACCTCCGTCTGCCTGGTGGACCTGGTGGGCCTGGACCGGATGACCAACGCCTTCGGACTGGTGCTGCTGGCGCAGGGCGTGGCCTCGTTCCTGGGGCCGCCCATCGCCGGTGGGTGACCGCGCCGCCGCGGACGCGCGAGCCCCGCTCACGCGCGCTCTCCGTGTTGCAGGTGCGCTCAAGGACGCCAGCGGCCTCTACGACCCCGGCTTCTACGTGGCCGGCGGCATGATCGCCGTCAGCGGGCTCATGCTCTTCGTCATCCCGCCCATCCAGAGGCGCAAGCGGCGCAGGGCCGAGCAGCTGTCCGGGCTGCAGGCCGGGGCCTCCTAGGCGCGGCCGCCCGTCGACTGGGCTCACCTGTGATACGCAAACTGTCCGCCGCGGTCAAGGCTGCTCCGAGCGCGCCTTGCCTTCGCTGCGCATATTTGGTTGGGCGGACCGAGCCCTGGCGTTGCTCTACGCTGCTCGCTCCGAGCCTAGCTCTAATCTTTTGTACATACGGGCCTCGGCCCATTTTGTTAAAGCGATTCAAGAAAATCTTTCAATAAATCAGTCTAAGTGAGGTCTTCCTCGATTCGCCTACTTTTACTTGCACGCACCGTTCCACTGCGACCGGCACCCAATGCCTCTACGTATGTGTTTTTCAATGTTGGCGCGCAAGCGTCCGCATGGTGGAAAAGCTGCCGCCAGAGGCCGACAACGTCCAGGCCTCGCGCCTCCTCGCCCGAACGAAAACTTTTCGAAGCACGTGAATGCAATTCAATAACGCTGATTATGGAGACCTTGAATTAATTATATATTTCATTTAATATTTAATTCAATTGGTTAAATAACAAACTCAGTCTAAGCTTAGAAAATACGTAAAAAAACATTTTTCTTACACATATCTCGCTAATATAAATGTGAATATTAGATTTTTTTTACAGGCTTCATTTCAGATATAGATATAAGGGTTTGATCTGTTGAATAATATTTATTATGTAACTATAAATGAACAGAAAAAGAAGAGAACTGATGTATATTTAAAATCTGTGATTCAAGGCGCCGCCATTGGCGCCACTGATGTATGTATGTAAAGTGGTGGTTCCATACTGTAAAGTCTATGTCTATGCCAATAAAAAAATTATCATCATTATTATTATTACCTTGCCTGTAGCGTCTGCTCCCGGGATCTCGAGTCGAGTGTCTCAATAAGCCTCAAGTGCGAATGACATGAGTGACATGACACCAACGAGTTGAGGTTAAGAAAGGGTTTACGAGATTCGGCATTTTCCTCCGATTGTATACCAGCTGTGTCGCCGCATCACCTAACGACAGCCACATAGTGCTTCTTTTTTCCTCGTTCTCCTCGGCGATTTTGCTCAATTCAACGCTATTACTTCAGCTAGCCGTTCTACTTAGCTATACAGTGCAAGTCGCAGACGCACAGCAAAGTGCAATCAAGCATTACACTAACCTATTGTCGACAAAGTCCGTCAAGATTTTACTTGATTTGGTGTAAGTATTAAATTAATATTTCAAAATGCGGCTGGTCTCATTGAACATCACCTTTGTGCTTGTTGACAAACGTGTTGAGAATAAGCCATCCTCAAATACTTGTGTATCACTAATTTTTACAACTTTCTCTTTCATAAATATTTCAAATCACCAGGGCGCCTATACCATTTAGCTATTAACATCAAACAGGCTACTTAATTATTCAACATGACTATTTTTATTTTATTACATTTTATTTTGTTTGAAAATGGCTTCATATCAAAATGTTATTTGCTTGTAGCTAGTCGATTTATTGGCGAGTAATACCAAGATAAACATAAGGCAATGTCGCGTAAGCTTTAGCCGATGTTATCGCAAGTAAAATGATTGCTATATATTCGTTTCATTTAGTTGTATCGCAATAGAATCGCGATAGGTCACAGAAAGACAAGCAAACCAATACTCTTGGAATGGAAATCCCGAAAAAAAATGGGCCAAAAGGCCGAGCGAAAATGAATGCAACGATGCGGATGTTGCAGCTCGAGCGACGGGGATGCGCCGGTAGTGAATGGAAAGGGTGCAGCTGGACCAGCCGCAGAGCAGCAGGAGCGCCCGGCGATGACGATGGCCGACTCGACGGAGAGCGCCTCGCGCATCCCCGTGACCTTGGGGCGCTCGCCGAGCTTGCGACAGAAGGGGGAGCGTCTGCAGCTCAAGACCGAGCTGCGCCAGCAGCAACAGCAGCCGTCGCGGCGACGGCCCGAGCCCTTCCCGGCAATCAGCGAGCACGCCGACGCGGGCCGCGCCGAGCCCAAGACTGCCCTGCGGCGCTGCTCCTCGGTAAGAACGGCCGCCGCCGAGCGCAGTGCCAGCATTGAGCCCGAACACCCTCCGCAGAGCCTGTCGCTGCAGCAGACGCCTCCACGACGAGCCGACGACAGTAGCGACGTGGACAGCGTGCGGAGTTACGGTAGCAACTGCAGCAACATGAGCACCGCCTCGACCTCGGCCTGCGAGCACGCGCACTTCGGGCTGAACGGCACCACCTGGTCGGCGCGCTCCCGGCGCTACGTGGTGCACTGCAGCCCGCAGGCGCGCGACGAGCCGGCCGAGCAGTACCTCACGCCCACGCAGCGCTCGGCCAGGCAGCTGCGCCAACTGCAGACGCTGCTGCGCGAGACACGCCAGCAGCTGGACGAGCGCGAGCAGCAGGTGGCGCGGTTGACGCGCGAGCTGGTGGAGCTGCGGCTGCTGCAGGCGGCCGGCGGCGGGTGCGAGGCCGCGCCAGGCAGCCCGCCGCCCGATGGCCCGGACGGCCCGGCCTCGGTCCCCGACTCGGGCCACTTCGAGGACGGTGCGGCCTCGCATTTCGAGCGCAGGATCGATGAGATGCAGCGGCGGCATCGCGAGGAGCTGCGACGACTGGAGCAGGCGCACTACGAGCGCGTGGACGCGTTGCTGGACCAGCTGGCGGAGGCGGACGCGCGCCGCGGCGAGGCCCGGCCAGCGCCGGGACGCGCGCGGTCAGAGTCGACCGAGCTGCCTCGCAAGTCGTCGGTTGGCCGAGACGGGCGCGGTGCGCCAGAACCAGCCGCCGGGCGCCGAGATCAGGTGAGCCACGCGGCCGGCGGGCAGAAGCTCGCATGCACACCACTGATCCGTCGCTTGCTTCTCTGCGCCAACAGGCTCCCGAGGAGCGCGCCGCCGGCTTCCCCGCCGTGGCCACGGTCACCGAACTGCTGCAACAGCTGACCGACACGCGGGCCGAGCTCGACGGCGTCAAGGTAAGCGCCGCCCCGGCCCCCGTACCCCCTTCACGCTCTCACTCACGACTGAGCTCTCGCACCCAGCCGTCGCATCGACGCAACTCCACCCGTACTAATGACGACACGCCTTGTCCGGTCGGTTCCCTCCCTCCTCTCTCGCCACAGCAGCAGCAGTTCCAGGGCTCCTGCTGCATTCCGCAGCCTCCGACTGTGGCCTGCCGCAGCCAGAGCTTGCTAAGCCTACAGGAGGCTGTGTCTCTCTGGGTGCTTGGCACGCGTCAGGTATTGTACGAGTCCCCGTCGCTCGACACCTCGCCGTCACGTAATGTCGTCGATGTCGTTTTTGTCAACCGCTGCCCAGCCACGTACGGGCAGCCAGCCACCTTGTGGCACCTTGTTTGCACGCATCCACTGTCACGATGTTTTCCCTACTCGACTAGTTGTTTCTTGGTTACTTTTTCAGTTGCTCACTCTCTTTTTCTTTCTTCGTTGCACGCTTTTATAGCGCTTGTTTGGTGCATCTCACAGAAACAGCCCTGATCCACAATTATTCGTTCTCTTTCGTTGCACTAATTATTTGTTTAGTTATTATTGAGCCTGCAATATCTCGATACATGCATGCAATCCAATGATAATGTGGAATTTTACTTTCCCGCAGGCAATGTATAGACGTATCCTAGAATCAAGAAATAAACAGAATGCACACGATCCTGAAATCACCCTGCAGTTCCTTAAGTCAGCTGTCTACTATTTCCTCACAGACAAGGAGAACCTTCACGGACACCTCAATGCCATTGAAAGTATACTGGGCTTCACCGACTCGGAGAAACTTAATATCGATCGAATATATCGATCAGCTAAAAAATGATTGACTTAATGGTATCGACTTTTCCGTTTTGTTCGTTAGCTTCGCTTATTGTCTATTAGTGAATTTGTACGTTTTACATATGTTTCATTTTCTCGAAATTCTGTTGAATTAGACATTCAAATTCAACTTTTCACTTGGATTCAAATGAACAATTGTACATATTCTGTCTTTTCTTATTTAAATAGGTATTTTGGATTTTCTAAATCTTCACCATGCTAGAAAATCGCACCTTTTAAATTATGTATACAGAAAGCGTTTCAGTGTCTACGATAGTCGTAAAAACTGCAAACATTTTTCAAACTAAACAAAGTTTCAAATGAAAAACAAATTTTAATATTTTACTTGGATGAAAATAGAAAAGTTGTATAGGTAAAAACACGATGCGACTGATAGTAAAATTTTGCCTTATGCCAAACCTTTATATTTGAGCAAAGAATATTTTGGTTGTACAAGTTTTTATTATAGCTGATGTTCGGATGAATTTTGTAAGGGAGAATTTTTACCTCACCGACATCAGTATGATTTAAGTGATACTCAATCTTATTAATATGAAGTTGTGATTATGTATCTTAAATAGTAACTTTTGAGCAGTCTCTCAAGGATATAGGAATATATTTTTCTTTGTAAAATATTCCAATTTCTTAGGCGTGAATTTAAGTTTTAAATGTTAATAAATGGATATTGGTAATGCAAATAATTTTAAGGTTTACTTTTTAAAATCTATAAATACTGTAAACATTTTGTTTTGTAGATAGTCAACAACAAATAATAAACTAATTTACCTGAACTGATGCTTTTTTTGTTTTTATTAATAAACTTTTGTAGTAAAATACATAAAATATGTAAATTACTTTTTACCAGCTAAAATGATACCGTCATATTTCTGTTGAAACCATTTCATGGCATCCTCTTTTGTTAACCTGTGCTGGAAACCAACTTTACCAGTTTTCCTTCTCCTGTGTGCAACATTGAATCCTGAAAAATATTTTTATTATGAGATTTCAATGTTTATGCAATGTTGAGCTACAGTTACGAACACTTGTATTTTACAGTTTCATTGATACAAATAAAATTTTTAATCGTGAATATTCTTTTCAATAAAATTAGTGTTGCTTCCATCAAGTAACACACCCAGTATAAGTAGTGAGCATGAGTTGCAAATAAGAAGCAGTACTTTAGCACATGTTCAATTGAACAGTAGACAATATTTATACAAATATCATCTACAATACCAGGTAATGTGCAAAGTTTTATTATTGATAAATTAATGCACAATATTAATTCTCACCTGGACGACCAAGGACAACATAGAAGTCTAAACCATATATACCAATGCTTGGGTCATATTTGATTCCCAAGTCAATGTGTTCCTGGATACCAAATCCAAAATTACCCGTGCCAGAGAAGTTTTCTTTACGCAACTCGTATTCTCTAACCTAAAAAATGAAGATTATTAGAAATTATACAGGTTGAATATTTTCTAGTAATCCGAAGCACATCAAAAGTGAAAGGCAAAAGAATAGCTGATTTTTAAGGAATGTTATTATTTGTATTAAATAATATTTAAATTTAGATTGAATAGAAAGAAAAAATCTATTGTAGTACACAACAACATTGAGTAATGGCTTACTACTTTCTTGGTATTATAAGCTATTTATGCTAAAATAAAAAATGTTTACCTTTAATCCTCTTTCCAAGATTTCTTCGGCTTTAGCACCTCGGACAGTGCAATGGACAGCGATTTTTTCATTGCGACGGATTCCAAAAGACCGAACTGTGTAACGTGCTTTTGAAAAAACGGGTTGTTGGCCAGTCAGTTGCTCCAACACCTATTTTTAGAGTTGAAAAAATTGTAAAATATTTGTAGTAGTGCAAAGCGTGAGAAAAGTTCCAAAAAAACTCACTTTGGCTGCACGAGTAAGTCTATCACCGGACTCTCCAACACAGATATTTAGGCAGAGTTTACGAATCCTGACTTCTCGCATTACATTCTTCGCAGCATCTTTTGGCTCCTTCTTGGTCTTTTTGACAGCTGTTTTTGCAGGGGTTTTCTTGACGTCCTTAAAATTAGACAAAATCGTTAATTAACGCATAACAGTATTATTTGTAGATGGTTAATAGGTTAGAATATATGGCAATGAAGGCTGACGACAACAAACGTGTTGTACATGAACGTCCTGTCAAACGCTAATGTACGAGGGAAAAATTGTACAACTATAAAACGACTGGATCAGATATGTAAAAAGATCGTTAGCGAGATATTTTTTATGCCTGTTCAATACCATGGCGCTGCGATTCTTGGGATAAAGGCAGATTAAAATAATGAAGCAAATGGTCAGCCACCAAACTTACCGCCATGATGAAAAGAAAAGGAACCTTATGTGCTAGCTGTAGCGCCTCTAGCGGCTCTCAATGGCTGGCGTGGCGCTGCCATAGCGCAAATACGTAACTTTAGGTGAGTTGAGAGTGCTGACCGTACACCGGATTGACCCGATTCACCCGATACTGCGGTGCAACGCTGGATTGGCAGAATTGCTTTTCCTCGGAAGATCAAATTTAAAAGTTTTCATTTTCAACTATGATATTACAAAATTGAAGACTATTCGAATAGTATACTACAAAGGGTCGAGTTTTTGAAAATGGTGAAGTTTTGCCAAAGCTATGTGCTAGTTTTATTCCAAAATTATCGTACGTTCAGATTGACAAAGGTTGATGCATAGGAACATAGAAATAAGTTGTACAACGATCTGTGTAAATATTTTTCAATCATAGTTATTATTATCGTTAATATATCCATATAATTATCAATAGCTACATTAAAACACAAAACGAAAAGTGATACCTGTACATTTTGCTTATGCAATAAACATAAACTCTTTTGTTGTTCATACTATTAGCCTAATAGGGCAGCGCTACATAAGCGCAGACGCTTACGTTCGAACGCGTACGAATCGAAGAAATTGACAAGCATGACTATAGAATGTTTAACTATTTTCACTAGTGCCAACGTTTATCACAAAAACACTATATTTTAAAACTGCAACAAAATATTAACAATTATAATAATCAATTTTTTTATAAAGTAAAATTTCAATTATATAATCTAATATGTGTCGTTGAATAATGTTTAATTCAATAGCATGGACAACATTTCACACGCAAATAACAAATATAGACAAAATTTGGAAGTGTTTATCATTACTTTTTCATTGGAAATTTTCATCGATTTTTGAGGTGACGACGATTATTAAGGTCAATGTGTGATTTTTATTATTTTGCTGTAGTTTCAAGGTATAGGACTTTCTGTGATGGTGATGGACGTGCATTGACACTAGTGTAAATAATCAAATATTTCTAATGACGTTTGTCAATACCTACGAATCGTACGCGTTGGAATGCAACCGTATGCCCTTATATTTCGGTGTCCATATAGGAAGAAACTAAACCCTAATATTCACAGATATATTACAAGATGGATGAGCGTTTGTCAGCAGCATATACACTGCATTCCGTTCGTTGTCGTGTATTTCGACAGCATTACACACTAAAAACAGCATTAACTGCTAGAAATATGGAATTTACAGAGAGTGAGGGATGCAGTCGAATGTGCCAGCGAGTCAAACCAAATCGGAATACAACGTAGAGGGTGATCGAGATAATGAAGTGCCTAAAGCACGTTCTGCAATGTATATGCCATGACCACCTAACATATTTTAATTTATATATATGATCGTAGTATTAATAATTACCGTTTCGCTTGTTTTTCTCTCGCATGGACATTCGTTCCCGAATTCGTCTTTTAAATATATATAATTCAATTAAATTTATGTATATATGTATACTTATTTATATATATATTCTGTACATATGCACAATGCATCTTTTATACTGCATATAACTGAGGCGCAGCACACAAGTATGCTTTTGCAGCAGTGCCTTGGCGCGCAAGTAGTATCGAGAGGAACATTATACATATCGAAGGTGCCAGTTGGCAACATTCCGCTCAATACAACTTCGGCCTTACAATCATTATCCGAGTTTCAGCTAACTTAATATACACTATTATCTAAGGATGGACAGAACATTGTCGTGACTGTCGTTCAATAAAAAAAATTTATAAAAAACAATATAAGATTACAAGGTAATAAGTGATTTCAGATTTGAAAACTGCTCCGAGTTTTCTTCTTTTTGACAGCTCACTTGCGTTTCTGCGGAACATTGTCGTCGTTTGCTACAGATCAAGAGGATTAGACCTTATACGGATATACAATTTATATAACTCATTAATGTCCGTGTAGTCAAATCACAGCCTAGTGTCAATTCAGAAGTAGCTAAAGAATAGAAAAGCGGAGGATGCGAAAAAGGTGAAGAGATAGCGAGAAGAGAGGGAGGGGGAGGGGGAGTGCAATCAAAGAAAAGAACGACGCAGAAATATGGAGGTTGCGTGCACTCAATCCCATACATCCTGTCCACCCACGCAAATTTATACGTGTCAATTTGATCGGCAAATACCACTGTAAATCATGCTGATTGCTAATTGTTACGCATCTAATATGTACTTGTCCTATTGAGCGTTCTCGTCGTTACTTTGGCAGAAACATTCTAGTAATGTACTACGGAAAGGAGACATGCGTTTCAACGTGATGAGAATAACGACGAGACAGCGACAAAGTTGGATGAGTGCAACGTCTTTGTTCTTCAAATATCGATATATGTAGCGCAACAAGATTCGCAACAATGTAATCGTTAGTGAGATCGATCGTAGCCTGCCTAATCTGTGCGAGTCTTACTGCTTTTGGCGGCGCTTCTGCTTGTTTTACTATTAATTATGCTTAACTTGCAGGCCAATATGTACTAAGTAGCTTGGGATACAGCTCTTCGTTCTACCGTTCATTTTTCTTTCATAACTCAACAAATAATATCGGCAATAGTTGATAGCAATTATTATTAGAATAGCAGTAGTACAGCTGTACAATAGTGGGAGTAGTAGTAGGAGTAAGTAGTAGTAGCAGTAGTAGAAGTAGTAGAAGTAGTAGAAGTAGTAGTAGTAGTAATAGTAGTAGTTTTAGCAATAGAGTGGTTATAGTGATAGAGTAGATAGAAATAACGTTTCAATAATCGCAATGATAATAATGATCAAAAGAAGAATTATAATTATAATGTTATATTTATTATTAGAAAGACTCATAGTAAATGAAAATAACGAATTAATTTTTTATAATAATATACATAGATGCGCGTATGCATGGATGGTAATTTTAAATCTTTTTCCGAAATATTGTACAATCTACTGCTCGGGTATTTATAATACATTAGGGATTTATACTACGTAGCTAATGCTTTTTGTTTTACTTTTCAACTCGCCTTCCTAAAATCTAAACGCAACGTATTTTGTTTTGTATGTCTTTCGTCTGAATTCGCATATGACCGATCATAAATTTAACACTAAATTCGGAGCGGCGGCGACTATTGGTTTACAAGATAATATAATACATAGGTATTTATATAGAGTAATATTATACAATAACACATCACATAACTCGCGCGCGCTTGGATCGCGTTAAACGATCTTATGTTTGTTTTTATCTTTTATGCAGATAGATACAGATATCATTAAATAATTAAAATCACAGTAGTCATGCCTTTGCTGGCTCTTAAATGTATAATGTGTGTTGAAACCTTCGTAACGTTGTTAAATAGCTCGTGTACAGGGACAGGAAGATAGTGGTGCATATTTTCGCAAAAAGAAATACCCATGCAGGTGACACCTGTCAAGTTGCACGTGATTATCGGGAAATGTTGGTCACTTGATGGAGTCAGTAGTATATATACGTTATCGGTCGAGTGAATGATCAGGTTCAGAGGTTTGTTATTCATACTTACATAATATACATACACATCATACTATATACTATATAAGTATAACGCAGAGACAGGAGAGTTAACAGAAGACATGTCAACATCGATGGCGAAGAAGAGGAGAGTTGCTTCTGCCTGGCCCGCTTGTCGGAGGGACCAAGAGTGAAGTCGGTCACTCCCACAAACGTAGCTAGCGTTGACCTCGCGTTTCGAGGCAGAGAGTCGGATGCGAAAGGGCACGCGTAATACCGAAATTCCGCTAACCCCTTCGCGTATTCGAGCGGCTTCTCTCCCCATCGCTCTCGCACTCTCTCCCTTTCTCTCTCTCTCTCTCTCTCTTTCCCTCTTTCTTTCACTCTCTGTCTAGGCTTTCCCGGCGCAGAGTCGTTGGCCAAGAACTTTGGATAGGCGAGAGATTTCAATGCTCTCACGGTCATAATCGTGTGATTGTCGCATGGATGCTCAAATATAGAGGCAGCAGCTAAGACTTCGATCACTAGCGAGGCCAGTCGCTCGGCGCCACTCCTGCCGGGTCCACCGATGCTTGGGCTACCGAGATGATGTTTGAAAGCCAGTAAGTGCCTACTGCTTTCACACAGTGGCAATAACGATGAGTAGGTGGGCAATCTCCGCAACTCTATGCATCAGGTCAGGTGCAATGCGGGCCAGGCATTCATTGGCAAAGTCGCACGACGGGAATATGTGTACGACGAACGAGGGCTATAACATACAAAAACACGCCAGTAGATAAGATCGAGGTGACGGGAGTAAGAGTAAGGGGTAGGCCGAGTAAAAGGAACCTACTTCTTGAGATCCCGGGGCCGCCATGTTGACGATGCCCGCCGCCTGTTTTTGTTGAAGGTACGTTATGAATCCAGACTGCAAATTGTTGCTCTGATTGGCAACGTCGGCGTGGTCGCGGCCGCAAGGCAGTGCCAATAGCATGCAGTGCTCGTTGTCGATCTAAGTTCAGGATAGAAAACAGAAACCGAAGGTGAGCCGAAGCGCGAATAAACCGTTGCCGGGTTGTAGCCAGAAACGGCTCGGGGTACTCACCTGCATCTTGCGAGATACACCCTCGATCTGCGTCGGCTCGAGTCTCATCCGCTGGGCAATGCGTAGCGGCGGCGTGGAGCCGTCGCCATTTAACGGCAGGCTGTCCTGAGCGACCGACGGATTGCCGAATACAAAATGCATTTGCACGGCGGCCTGATCATTTTTAAGGGCGAGCAAGCCCTGCCACATGACCGGGTACCGCGCCAGCAGCATCGTTAGCGAGTCCGGTTGTGCCGGCGGTGGTGGTGCCGAATGCGGCGCTCCCGGCTGCGGCGCTCTCGGTATGCCTGGGGGCGTGGCGACCATCTGCTTTCTGCCGCGATCGGGCGTGAGGGCGCGCTCCAACGGTGGCGCCTCGCTTGCTGGTAACGGGTACTGTGAGTGCAGATGCGCTGGTGGCGGTTCGTAGTAGGGTCGCTGCAACGCGGCCGGTGCGCCGAACTGCGGAGGTAACCGGCCGGCAGCGCCGTGCATCATATATACTTGTGCCACTTGCGGGCTGTCTGTTGTTCGCTCTTGGGGGGTGCGCCTGTCCCTACGCAGTTCTAGCGGCGGACTGTGAACCGTCTCCTCGAGACTGACTTCCATCTTTGGATCTAGACCTAGGTGCGGCGATCTTCTGCCTGTTATGTGGTACGGCAATCTCGGAGCGCCCAGGTATGGATATTGGAGTACCTGCTGGTGCATGTAGGGCGGAGCTAGCTCCCCGGCGCGTAGTCCAGCGTAGTGATTGGCCACGTCGCCCTAAAAGAAATGAAAATGATTGGGTGATCAGTCGATCAGTAGATTGGTTGGTTGGTCGGTAGGTTCGTGTATTGGTTAGTTGGTTAATTGATTCGATTGTTAGAAACGTCAAGCCACTAATAAAAAGTAGATGTAGTGAAATATAAATACGTATTAAAGCATATACCTGAGGAGTACTAGCGTGGTGATGTGCCGGCGGAGGCAATGGGGGACTTGGAGGACGATGGGGGGTGACAAGTCCATACTGTACCCCTGGTGACGGAACTGTACCAGCACTCCCATGCTAACCAAAACCAAGCCAAAGTTAGTTTCAACAAACAAAAGCAGCATTGCGTAAAATGTTTTAATGCTTTAATAGATCATTGACCGCGAAAGAGCCATGCCAGAAAAAAATACCAATAAGCAACAAAACTTACCAAAGAAGCCTCGTAAGCAGCCATTGAAACGACTCGGCTTTGCGGACTGGGAGCTGGTACCATTATGCAGCCCGACATTGACACCTCGACTTTAGGCGCCTCTAAAATTGCGGATACCTGGAATATATCACGAATTGAATGGTGAAACACAGAAAGAAATAGGAACAAGCGTGAAAAACGACAAGCGAGAAGTTGGCTTATTTACCGGTGAGTTTGGCACGGTGGTTCGGGCGCAGGAGCCCGCTGAAACGACAGGCTGCGCAGCAACAAGGTGCGACTGAGCGGGTGGATTAACCACAGCTGCAGAGATGATTGAGGGCGTGACCGCCTGTAGCACGTGCGCTTTCGGATTAAGCGGGTGAGGCTGAGAGCTGACGGGCTTGATGCTCTGCGGTGATGGTACCGGCTGCTGACCGACCGTGTGAGCCCTCTGTGATGACGTTGGCGCCGGAGGACCGCTCACGATTGTCGATGCTTGCTGAAGTTTCACTGCTGCCTGTAGCAGATGTTGTTTGGGATTCGGGGCACTGCCCGGGTTGTCCCTGAGCACCGGTGACATCGACTGGCCCTGCACCTTGGTGCTCGCCACCGCGTTCACAGCGGCGGGCTGCGGCGACTTCAGTTGGGGACTGGAACAGGGCGAGTTCACGCGAGCCGGCGTCTGTAGCTGCAAGCCGGACGTGACGGGTGGCGTCTTTGCTACCAGAGCCACGTGTTGGGCTTGACTCGCTTGCAGCTTGCTGGAGTTGAGCACGTGAGCTTTTAGGCTTGTAGGTTTTGATTGGACGGTTGCTGCAGGCGCGTTCGAGGTTGTTTGGATGGCGGACTGCACGAGCGGTGACTGAGGCTTGGCGATCACAGTGATGGTACTCTGCGGTTGCGACGCCTTGCCGTTGTTGCTGTTGAGAGCTAACTCGGTTCTTGCATCAAGCTTACTTTCCGTTGCTGCTGACTCAAGGCACTTGGTCCTCGGATCTTCGCTGCTGTTAACCGTAAAGCTGCTTCGTAGTTGGTTTTGTATCACCTGTCCAGTTGCCGTTGATACTGGAATGTACTGTCCCTCTTCGGACTCTCGCATCGGTATTAACATTCCGGTGACCGGATCGATAAGTGTCATCGGCTCGTGCGAAGTTGACTTGGTAGCTGTGATCGCGGGCTGTTTTATTTCTTCGGTTTTGATCGGCTGCGTAGACAGTGCGATTTCTTCTTTAGTTAGAATTTCGGTAGTTTCAGTCTTGATCTTGTCGTCAGCAGCTTCGTCATGGCTCTCAGACATCTGTTTCGTGGTTTTGCGCGCGCCTCTTACTGACTTTCTCGTGTCCGGTGCGAGTGGCGCCTGTTGTTGCTGTTGTTGAGATTGCTGTTGTGGCTGCTGTTGTAGTGTCGCAGATGATGGTGGTTGCTGTTGCTGCTGAGTTGGAGTGGCTCGTGGCACACTGTTCTGACGGGTACTCCTACGAGTGCCGGTGAGACCCGGCGCATTCTTGTTGGCACCACCGCGAACGACGTCCTCGATGATATCGTCCACGGTGGATCTGCAACGGGCTAACCGCCGGGATTTGCGAGTATTGGATGCGGGCGAGACGAACTCCTCGGTAGGTGAGTCCTTGGGTGGAGTGGCGCACGGCAGCTGGGCTGGTGGATTAGCAAACTTCTCCGGGTTAGACTTGATTGTGATGATAAGCCTCAGGCGACCAGCGTGATCATCCTCGCTGTCGTCGTGGAACTCGTAGACGTCCGCGGGTAACTTGCTTTTTTCAGCATGCTGCCTGCCACCTCTGGCTGGGCGTCCACCGCGCCTTTGCACTGGGGTAGGGGCTAGGACCGGGGGTGTAGATGTAGGGGCGTTCGCCGCCACTGCGGCCGCTCGGCCGCCTCGTCTGGTAGTGACGCCGCCGCGACTTCCAACAGCCCGCTTCGCCTTAGACCTGCCTCGGCGGGCTCTGCTCGAGTCTACGTCGCAAGCTTCCACGCCTTCATCTAACTCTTCCTCGTGAGTACTCGAGGCGTCGAACTTAAGGCTTCTCTTGGTAATATCTTCGTCGAGCATCTCCGCCTCGCCCCATGAGTCACCGTCACTCTTGCTTGTCTCGCGCGGCTCACTTTGGCTCTCGGCGATCTCGTTGCTCTCGCTGTCACACAATGCTTCGACCTTCTTGATCACGCTCTCGATGTTGGCTTCCTTGGCTGACCAGTAGTCACTATCCTCTTTGCTGTCGGTGGCTTCCTCTTTGAGGGTGTCTAGCGCTAGCGGATCGCACTGGTCTTTGAGCGGGTCCTCGGTCGGCTCTGCATTTTGCTCCTCCGTGGTCTCGTCATCGGCCTCCATTTTGATAACTTCGTTCTTTATAGCCGACTCCGACTGCTGCAGCTCTGATCGAGTGTTCATAGCCGACAGTTTATCATCCGAGGGATTCGTGACGTCAGCTACACGACTATCGTCTCGCCTTCCGTCATCTTCGGCAAGCGTACGCACGTCCAGTTTATTGTACTCCTGCGGAAGGCCATCGACCTTCTTGGCGATGCTCTCCAACTGTCTCTCGTGCTGCTTGATTGTGCACTCCTGTTTGGAGTCAAGGTTTTGCGCGAGTTGATGCGTATGATCGTGGACCATTATTTCCTCTTTAATGTGGCACAAGTCATTCTCCGGAGCGTTCGATTTGCAAGACGCGTTCATATCTGGCGCGACTCGCGAGATGATGGTCTGGGACATGGTGGAGGCTACCGCGGGTACGAGTGATTTGGTCAAGAAAACGCTCGAGTTACCAATGATCGCAGGCTTCTGGGTGACAACCGATCCAGCGCTGGAATGTAGATTAGTTGTCTTATCCAGGATCAAGCTTGTCGGTGGTGAAAGCAGCCGCTCGGCTGAGGCGACGGTCTTAACGAGTGGCGACTGATTAGCTGTGGCGATAGTCGTCACTTGAACGAGCGTCGCATGCATCAGATGTGCTGATTGGGTACCGTGCGCCACGATTACTGGGCTGGGAGTCGAGGAGCGAGGTAGTATCGTTGCTGCATGAGTTGACATCAGCTGTGCAGTGGTAGTCTCGTGTGGCTGCTGCTGCTTCTGCCGCGATGAGAGCATAAGGTTGGTCTCATGGCCGATCGCTGTCGCCTCGGTGATGGACTGCTTCTGCCTAGTCTGCTGAGCTACGGCCGAGGAGCTACTGCTCGACTGGACCTCGACTTTAGCTGTCTCTGGAATGTAGATGGGAGGTTGGTTCGGAGACGGCACCTTCGGTGAGGTAGACTTGGCGGCTTCGGGCACCACGGCTGCTGGCAATTTCGGTTCGTCGATTCTCGTAGAGGGCTCGCTCGCCGCTATAAGCGTATCCATTGTGGCTAGTTTGTCCGCGTGGCCCGATTCTCTCGGGAGCTTCGGCTGGGTACCTGGCGTTGCTATGGGTGGAACACTCGGCAGATAGGGCCTCGGCGGCACGTTGAGGCTAAGCGGTGGTAGGCCACCTCGTGGGTACGCAGGTGCCGCAGCCCTCATACCGGGCGCATGCTGTATGACTGGTTGTTGACCAGCTGCCGTCGAGTAGATGTATTGTAAGCTGGCCTCTGGTCGGTGAGCCGAGATGGGCACGCTCACGGGAATGCGCACAGGTGTATTCGTGGACGGAGACTTAGCCGAGCACGGAGACAAAGGACTCGCTGCCGGGTTACGACTCCACTGACCGTTGGGCGATGGAGGTTGGCAGGGAGTCGGCTGTGATGTCTGGCCGTTACTGCTTCCGCTGCTACTAATTGCACTCTGTGATTCAATTGCTTCCAGTTTCGAATATTTCCCGAGGAACAGTTCTCGACAGTAACGTGAAAATTTCAAGACATTCTTCGGTGGACTGGTGGGCACTGATTTCGTCGTGGCAGCACAGCAAGAGTTCATGACGTTGGGTTTTGCTTGCTGCTGCTGCTGTTGAGTCGACTGAGCTAATCGTTCGTTATCGTTATTTGAGGCCGACTTTGCCAGTTGCCTGACTTTCGACTCATTCAGATTCCAAGACTGTGCGATCACTGAACCCGCAGCAGCACTTTCGGACTTAGCGGCTTCGCCCACCGATGGATCTACTGGACTGGAGGTGTTCGGCACCGCAGATCGCGGTGTTTTTCCGGGGGATTTGCATCTCGACAGAGCATCCAGCGGTATCAAAGATGGCTGGCCAATATCGGAACTATCTAAGTGCTGATCTTCCTCTGTGTCCGTGTCTATCTGCAAGTCGTGCTCGCTCTGTGGTGTATCGGGTTTCAAATCCGTGTCGGAGGGGCGAGTGGCGGCGAGGCTTTCAACAGCCTGCTGCGTCTCGTCGACGTCTTCGGTGCTAACGGCGGGCGTCTCTAGCGGCGTAGCGACAATCTCGGGTCCTGTAGTTGGGGCATTATGTGCGGCAGCTGTGGCCGCGGTCGGAGCGCTATGTACAGCAGACGTGGCTGCAGCAGTGACGGCGACAGTAGCCTCTTCGTCTTCTTCGCCCTCATAGGTGTAATTCTCAGTTTCTCCAAATGTTTCTTCCAGGAGAGCTGCCACCGCGTCCTCCGTTTCCTCCTGTGATATTATGGCACGCGGCTTATCCTCCACTTGGGGCGGAGGAGTGGCAGGTTCGGGCAGTGTGTCTTGATCCTCTCGGCTCTGGCTCGATTGCAGGCTGGAGTTGCGCTCGTCCGGTTCAGAAATGCTTTTTACTGCGTTCTCATGTATACTTTCATCTATGTTGACACCAAAGCCGGGAATAAGCTTGTCCTTCTTTTTATCCGACTTAGCAGACTCAATTTCCTCGCTCGGGGATGCGACGGGCAGAGAGGCTGTAATGCTGGGCATACTCGCTCCAATCTTGGGAATAGGGCTGAGCACTTTTTCCGTAGGTGAGTGTAGCTGTGACGGCGAGAGCGAGGGCTTGGGAGCTGTTAGTGGACTGCTAGTTGGCGGAGGTGGGCTTTCGGCACCAAGGTAAGGCAAACCAGACGCACTCGACTTATCTGTTTGCTGTGGCTGTTGCTCCTGTTCCTGTTGTAGTTGTGACGGTTGTTGTTGCTGCTGCTGCTGCTGTTGCTGCTGCTGTTGTTGTTGTTGTTGTTGTTGTTGTTGTTGTTGTTGTTGTTGTTGTTGTTGTTGTTGTTGTTGTTGCTGTTGTTGCTGTTGTTGGTGGTGATGATGATGGTGATGATGATGGTGATGATGGCTGTCCTTGCGTGTACGCTCTTCTTTGCTCTTTTTGCGTTTCTTCTTTTTCTCCTTAAGTTTCTCGGGTGCGGAACTGACGTGTCCCGGCGTCGAGGGCTCAACGCTGTCATTGTCGTCAGTGAAGCGGAAAACGTCATGCTCGGTGGATTCGGTACAAGTGGCCGCGGATTTAGGCAAAGTGGGCAGCCCCAACAGTTTAGCTTCGATCTCTCGCCCAGCTTCAGCCAAGTCAACACTGTTCTCGTCCAGTGGTAGCAGCATTTTCTGCTGCTGTTCTTGTTGCAACTGTTTGCGCTTTTTTTCTGATCTCCGGCGCAGCCGTTCACTCTCCGGACTGTGCAAACCGTCGCTATCAGAATTGTAGCCCGTATGATTGTCGTGAGGCGAATCGGCCAGTTTCTCAAAATAGTTGTTACTTGATGGCTCATCCACTTCATCCGAAAGAGGTCCGAAGATATCTTCCATCCTCTGGCTGTCTCGTGCCTCTTGCCGATTTAGCCTTTTCCTTCGGGCCTTGAGTTTACTTTCGGCACTATTTCTGTCACGACGCTTATCTTTCTTATTACGCACTTTCTTCTCTTGATGGATCCTCTCCTCCGCATCGCTATGTTCCATCGTTATTGACGTATTTATGAGGCTCGTCGAGTTTGGTGAATCGTTCCCGATGCGAATTGAGTTGTTCACCGAACAGAGATTCATTTTGTTGCCTTTGTAATCTAAATTATCACAGATTTCGGCTTTGATGATGCCATCCTCGCTGGATATTGAATTTTTTTGGCGCTTCTGCTTCTTTTTGTGAGCTTTCTTGCGTGAATCGTGCTCGTGATTGTTCGTCACCAACGAGTGACTTGGGTGGAAAGACATTGTGTGCTTTTCCTCGTCATCGGACGTTTTCGGTTCTTCTTTGACGCGCACGCTGTTAACGACAATACTGCTGTTCATTGCTGCCGACATGTCACGAGGGTTGTGTTTATCTTCGGTGTCGGCAAAGCCAAGATCCATTTCGCTCTCAAGGAAGCGCTCGTTTTTGATTTTATCCAATTTATTGTGAAATGATTCATCTTCTTCGCTTGTATCAGAATGAATTTGGGACCTCGACCCTTTGCGTGAGAGGGACTTGGCTCTAGCAGAATCTGACTCCGAAGTGGCTTCGTCTTCAGTGAGAGCTTTGCTACTAACCGAATCTCCATCCCATGACGTGCTTTGTTTCTTTTCCTCTCGTCTCGCTCTGCTTTGTTTGAGCTGTGAAAATTTGTCTTTGAGCCGTACCTTAAATCATAAGATGGCCGGTTAGCGCGCTTGAAAATAAAAAATGTCAAAGTGATCATATTAAAAGATAACGACAAAGATGTTCTTACCTGGCGTTTCTCTTCTTCGAGTTTTTGCATATTTTTGGTCGATCTCGCTTTAACCTTATCGTACATACTGATGTAGGCCGGCTCGTCGTCGACAATATCGAATATAGAGTGCTTTTTAGGTTCGTCACTGTCAGTGTCCGTAGCCGAGGGATTTCGCAATCCTTGAATTTCATGCGTTGAAAGTGCGCCTTCGTCAATGTCACTATGGAGCATGATAGAATTAACGTGATGATGCGACTGGTGTTGTTGATTTTGTTGCTGCTGCGGTTGCTGTTGTTGATGCTGTTGCTGTTGATGATGATGATGGTGATGATGTCGTTGCTCGTGTTGTTGTTGGGGATGCGAATCCTTGGGATGGTGCAAGACTACGGATTGGTCATTAGACAAGCTATTGTCAATTCGTTTCGTCAATTCCAACCTCGAGAGAAAATCTTTTTCCGGTTCATTAAGCGAAACTCGAGGACTTCGTTCTCTTGATTCCTTCTCGGAGGATCTTTCGGAGCGGCTTTTCTTGTTGCGATGCTTGTCCTTGGACGATCCAAGTATGTCCCTGTTGTTCTCTTTGCCTTCTTTGTTGGATTCCCTAATGGAAGTGAGCTCGCTATGAGGATGGGCCTCCTTGCCGATATCCTTAGTCGTTTGGTCTCTGCAGCCGTCGCGATCAAGTTTATTGTCACGGCTCTCCCTGCTGTCCCGGGCGTCGTTGACCGAGAACGAGTCCTTGTTTTCCTTGCTATCACGGCTGGACCTATGCGTATCGGTGCTACGATGCTTGCGGTCCTCAGAGCGACGATTCTGTTTGGATTTGTCTTTGTTGTCTCTTCGATGCTCCGACGAGACTTTAATGCGTTTGGTTTCTCTGACTTCATCATCGATGGGCGCATCCTGCGACGAGCAACGTCTCTTGCTAGAGATGGAGGCTGGTACAGCAGCCGGAGCCGCAACCGACTGGGTGAGGGCCGACTGGCCCGTCACTTGCGCGTGACTCTCCCGTTGCTTGTCCTTGTCCTTGTCTTTATCTTTCTCCTTGTCCTCGCGCTCCTTGCGCCTGTCGCGTTCAGCTTTGTCCTTCTCTCGCCTCTCGAGCTCTTCGCGCTCCTTCCGCTTGTCGCGGTCGTGTTGCTGTGACTGCCTCTCCTTGTCTAGCCGCTCACGCTCTTCTTTCTCTTTCCTGCGTTCTCGCTCGAGCCGTTCGCGCTCGTCTTTTTCGCGCTTCCGCTCGCGTTCCGCGCGGTCCTTCTCGTCGCGTCGCCTCTCGCGCTCTTCCTTTTCTCGCCTGTCCTGCTCTTCACGTTCCTTGCGCAACCGCTCCTTTTCGTGCCTCTCCTTGTCAGCGCGTTCACGCTCCTTCCTCTCGCGCTCGAGCCGTTCCTTTTCTCGTCTGTCCTGTTCCTCCTGCTCTCTTCTGTCCCGTTCTTCACGGTCCTTGCGTTCCTTTTCTTGTCGCTCCTTTTCCAGACGTTCGCGCTCCCGGCGCTCCTCGTCTTTTTCTCGCCTATCACGCTCCTGGCGTTCACGTTCTTCCTTGTCCCTGCGCGGCTCGTCTCGTCGCTCCTGCCGGCTATCTTTGCTCGACAGCTGCTGATGCTGTGGCTGCTTCGCTCCGTCCGCTTCCGTGATCGCGCAGCCCCGCGACTCGTCATTGTCCTCGCGAACCTTGCGTATTGTTATGAGTTCGAGGCTCTTGTCAATCGGCCCGTCCTCTTCTTTGCGGGATGACGGTCTCCTCGACGAGGTGGATACCATTATTCCCGAGGACGATGAGGATGACGACGACGACGACGAGGAATTCGACGACGTGGAGGACGGTGTGGAGGTCGTAGACGAGGGTAAGCAGATTGAGGAGAACTGTTGCTGTTGCTGCATCTGCACTCGAGAGTCTCTGGCAGTTGTCTCCTTTCTAACACGTGATCGTGATGCTTCCAACGGAGTTTGGTGGCTGGCACTGAAGGACGGGCTGAGCGTCGGTGTCGGCGACGTCACGCATGAGGGACTGCGCACGGTGGAGGCGTGTGCCAGGCCCAGGTTCACGGGCATTGTCAGTGGTGGAAGTTCCGGGCTAGCGGTCTTGGCCTGAACCGCGCTAGGTGTGACAGGTGTGGCCGGGGTGCCCGGCGGCTTGAGTGCCGGCGACGAGCACGCGGAGCCGCAACCGGCAGCGGGACTCGCCGGCGGATGACTAGGGAAAGGGTACTGCAGTGCGGGCAGCAACTTGCCTGCGGTTGGCGCCAGAGCGGCGGCCGCAGTCGCCGACGACAGCAGCCCCGTGAACTCTCTGGGCTCGTACTTTTCACTGAAGTTCTCCAGGCGTTTGGAGTCCTCGTCGAAGACACTGCGCTTAGCCAGAACTGATTTGACGATGTCGGAAGGCTGCACCTCGTGCAGATCAAGGTCGAGCAACTTGTGCCGGAAACGGAAGCGCTCGGAGGCCTGGGCGTCGAGCTTGGCGAGGGCGTCGCCACCCGCAGCGCTGAGGGCCCGAGAGCCCGACCACTTCTCGTACTTCTCGTCGAGCGAGCGGATGCGCTCCTCGAGACTTGGCGACTGCGGCGCCGCTTCGCTATCGGAGCTCGTAGGGCTAGGGCTCAGCTGACGCTGGATGCCCAATGGCGCGGGCGTTGCGGCTGGTGGATCCGGGTGTGCAGGTCCAAGGCTTGGGGCCGCTGCCGGTGGCGGCGGCGACGCGGGCGGCTGAGCCTGGTTGCGTGGACACGCCAGCGATAGTGAACTTGGCGGCGAGCTTATCTTCGAAAGACTGCCCAGACCGGCGCCGGTCCTGATGTTCGGGCCGCTCGTACTGTTGCTACCGCTGCTGACGCTGGTGATACTGCTAAGACTGTTATTGTTCAGTAGCTGGCTGGCGAATCTCGGTAAAGGCAGCGACAACGGCCCATCCTGGTTGCGTTCGCGAAAACGCCTAGGCTCGCTCGGCAAGATGTTCTCGGGCCGCTCGTCCACAAGCGGCGTTCCAGGCCGGGAGCTTTCGTGGTGCTCGTGATGCCTGTAATCAGTTAGATAGTACTTAACTGTGTGTTCTATGAGACAACGAGCCTATCGAATGGCGTCGTGCTTACGACTGATCGATAACCCAACCCAACGACTGATATTTAGAAAGGCATGAGTATAATAGTAACTCATCGTTAGAGCTGCAATATTTTTTCGAATAAACAGAAACTGTTGTCATTTTAAAGATAACTTTCAAATTTCTTAATCATGTGACGTCTAATTTTGATCTCATTCTACTTGTCTAACGATTTTTTTCAGTTAAAAGTAAAGAAGTTCAAACACTAACGGTGCCAGTGGCGTTTGTAGATGCCCGAGTTGTCTTACTGAATGTGTGACAGTGGTGGACAATAATGTCGTCACGTGAACTAACTTCGTATTTTGGTCATAAAATTCTCCGAAAGTGTGAGATTGTCCTTTGTAATTTCGATGCAAACATTTTTTCAAACGATTGCAAACGTAGATAAAATCATTAGAACATCATAATGAAATTATTGATTCTCAAGACTTGAATAAAAAATAATTTTCAACGCCTAATCCGTACAAGTAACGACATGACAGATCATTTTGTATTGCATAGACAATGATAATCAAATGCTTTAAAAATAATTTAAGCATCCTTTGGTTCTCTAACCATGTAGAGCACTTGCTTGAAATCAATTCGATCTGGAGGCTTTCAATTTCGTGTAAAAATCAAGGATCGGGTAAAATCTACCGTATAGTTTTACTGATAACTGTCGGCAATCCAAATGTAACAGGTACTCAACAATTTAAATCCAATCAATTATGAACTGGGTAAAAGTGATAAAGTGTTTATTAGGAAAATCACAGTTCTATATAATAGTCTAAGATCATATAGCTATAACTTGCATACGAGAGGTCATTTGGAAGCTGGCTTGCGAATTGTTAGATATACGTCAGTCGTTCAATTCGTTACAGACACGTGATATAGATTGGGTTCCGACGACTGATAATATTTTGCAAAACTACGTCCAAAAAGAAATAATCGCCTTGATGAAGATGTCAAATCTAACAAGTTTTAAAAGACTATAAAAACTAGGAATAATGATGTAAGTTTACACTGTCGATAGATAATTTTTTTTAGGAAAATAACATATGAAATTCACGTTTGTTCCTGGTTTCGAGAATGAATTTTTATAAACCAATTATTGCATTTTTCCTCATGATAGGTACGATATATATTTACATGTTAGAGTTATTAAAATATTCTCGAAATCATCTCTCAGCAGCTATAATGGCGGATGACAATGGCGGATGATACACAATTGCAACATTTGATCCCATTTAATAGTGTCTCTCTACCTAATACAGTATTTTGAAAGCTTGTAACAGATCTACAATTTGAAATGATGTAAGAATATTAAAATATACTAGTAAAAGCCCACGTTGTCGTTGTATATAATGAACTACACAGTAAAAAGTAGTTGAACATTGTTTTAAAATTAATCAAGCAAAGGACTCTTATTATTTGAATAATTGCAAACTTCTTTTAATTGGATATATTTTTAGCATAATCAGCAATTTTTGAAATAGAAAGATATTTCAGTCGCTCCTCCGACTTGTACGCGCGATAAAGAGAAAGGACAGTTGAAATAAATATATTTGTTATTGAGACTTTATCAACTGTTGACAATGACGTAACCGAAATCTCGATGCTTACAGAATGACAGCTTACTCGAACTGATTCGAGAAGTCGAATGGAGTCCAATTGAATACGAAAGAAAAGTTTGCTTCTAGAAGCACTAGTACATTCGAAATGTTACGACGTTGAAGAAAATGAGGAAGACAAGCAGAAAACAGCCCCGACAAGTGCCTCGCAAGCGATCGCAGCTGTCATCGGTTTGGTCAATAATTACAGTCAAGTACAACGGACGGCTTCACGCACAACGACGAACGATCGAACGCGGCAACCACGAAGTGCTGCTCGCGACGACCCGAAGGGGCACTCACCTGGTGGCCGTGTCACGGCGCCGCTTGCAGGGCTGCTGCTGAGCGACGGCCGCGGACGCAGCCGCGGCGGCAGACGAACGGCTCTCGCAGCTGGAGCGCCGCGACGAGGAGCCCGAGGAGGCGAGGTGATGCTGCAGCAGCAACTTGCTGTCGGAGACTCTTCGCACTTCCATTCCCTTGCGGCCTGGATGCGAGGTGACCAAGATCGAGGAAACTTCCTCGTCGGGCAGCAGCAGCTCGTCGGGCGGCGGCGGCCCGTGGTGGCCGAGCAGCAGACCGGCGGCCGACGACGACGAGGACGACGAGCAGGACGAGCTGGAAGCGGTGCCGGCGAGAACGTCGCCCGCGGCGAGCGCCCCCGGGGGCTGCGCCTCGGCGTTGCCCAGCAGCAGCAGCTTTTGGCGCTTCTTGGCCGAGGGCCCGAGGCCCGCGAGCGCGCCGTGCACCCCGAGACCCGCGTGCGGCAGCGCGCACAGCAGCTCGTCGCCGCTGCCGCTGTGGTGGCTGCACTCCTCCAACTGCTCGAGCAGGTGCACACGCTCCTTCTGCAGGTGGCGCAGGTCCTGTGGCGGCAGCAGCAGGCCGGCCGCCGTCGCGGCGGAGCGCGCGTGCGCGGGCCCGCCCGGGGCGGCCGGCATCGCCGGCGGCGGCAGGCCCAGGCCCAGCTTTTCGTCGTCGAGCGGCCCGCCGAGCAGCTCGTACTCGTCGGCGGGCGCGTACTCGTCGCAGTAGGCCGGCGGCGGCGCGCGGAAGGCAGCGCGCTGCGCCCGCAGCTCCGTGTAGTCGGTGTGCGGCTCGTAGTAGGCCTCGGGCGGGCCGTAGGGTCGGCGCCCGGCGCGGCCCACCAGGCCGGGCGGGCCGGCGGGGCTGCCGGAGCGCGCACCCCCGTAGCCGCCCACGCCGCCGGTCCTCGAGCGCGGCGGCGTCTCGTAGCGGGCGAAGCGGCTGCTCGAGCTGTTGGCCGCCGTCACAGCCGACTCGAAGCCCCGCTCGCGATCGCGATCGCGCTCCCGGTCGCGCTCGCGCTCGCGCTCCCGGTCTCGGTCGCGCTCTCTGTCCCTGTCGCGCTCCCGGTCGCGGTCGCGCTCGCGCTCGCGCTCTCTGTCGCGGTCCCGCTCGCGCTCGCGGTCCCGGTCGCGCTCCCGCTCCCGCTCTCGCTCTCGCTCCCGCCTGAAACAGAGCAATGGGTCCGGGGTCAGTGTGCTGTCCTTCGCGGCGATGCGGCCGCGGCGATACTCACGGGTGCGAGGGGAACCTGTGCTGCAGGTGCTGCGGCTCGTAGTACTGCGTGGTGAGGGCCCGCTCGTCGAGGGTGTGCTCGGTGGCGTGGGCCTTGGCCGCCGACTTAATGTCCATGAAGGCGACCGTAGCCGAGGCGCCCTGGCTGGCCGAGCCAGCCGACAGCGAGCCAGCGCTGCTGGAGCCAGCACTGCCGCCGCCACTGGCCTCGAGGCCGCTGTCGCAGCCCGACGCTCCGTCCACGGGGCACTCCTCGCCCCGAGGCAGCAACTTGACGCTTTGCACGCGTCCATACCTGCAACACATCAACAGCCGCGATCAGCATGCGCATACGTGCGGGGACTGCGTCGCGCTGGGCGCGCGCGAAGTGGGGCGTCATCGCCACGCGAGGCGGACGGCCGACCCAGCAGTCGCGAGCCAGCCTCGTCTATGTATAGAACGCGGACGGCGCGGCGGCGCGGGGAGGGGGCGCACCAAGGTTCCGCGGCGAGCTGGCAACGCCGCGGCGGCCGACGCTGCATCTCCGCCCTCGCCACCGGCGAGCGGCAGCCGCGCCAGCGGAGTCGGCTGGGCGACGGGCGCTGGAAGGAAGCCCGCGGTTGATTTATTCGCAGTTCGGGCTCGCCCGCGCAGGCCGCTGACCGCGAGCGGCGGGGTTCGAGCGCGGTGGTGGGGCGCGCGCCGCGGTCGATCGGCTGGGGACCGGCTGCGCATGCGCCGTGCTCCCGCGGCCGCGCGCAGTCGGGCTGTCGCGCCAGTCGCGAGTCGCGCGGCGGCCTCGGCGAGGGACGGCGCAGCCGCGTTCGCGTCGCACGCCGACGCGTCGGCCGCCACGGGCTCTCAGTGTCTCGCTGGCTGCGCCGAGTGACGGGCCGGGTCGGGTCGGATCGGGTCAGGCCGGCCGGGCCGGGCCGGGCCGAGCCGAGCCGAGCCGAGCACTGGCGGCAACGCTTGCGCGACAGGCACCGAGTGCGCCTACTAGACTGGGTTCGGCCCGCGAACGGGAGCAGCGGGTGGAAGGGGCTCGGTCGAGGAGCAACGAGTCGGCCGGTCGGTCGCTGCCAGTGTCGCTAGCGCGCGCCGCGCCATGCGCTGCGCGGAGAGGGAGCGAGGAGTCGCGCAGTGCAGTGGACCGTAGATAAGTGTGCTGGCGCGGCAGGATAGGCAGGCAAGCCCCATCGCTCGTCGAGATCCGCGAGTGTCGGGCCGAAAGGCGCATTGGTCGTTGACCTCGCGCCTGCCAGGGCTGCGGCTCGGCCGCGCGTGGCGTGGCTGCCGCCATCGGTGCCGATTTCGCGCGAAAACACAGCCGCTGTCGTCGCTCGGAGACGTGGCAACAGCGCCGCCGTGAGTCAGCCGCGGACGTCTCTCCGCCCGCCGAAGACGGGGCGCGCAACGCCGCTGCCATTTTTCGAAGCCTCGAGCGAACTCATCGTTGCGGAGCGTACAGCAGCAGAAGCGATCGACGCGCGGCTGTCGGTGCTCGTTATGCGATTGCCTTTTTCCACTTTTTTCCGATGCTCCCTTACTCTCAAGCCACGACTACTCTGACGAAACTCAACCTGCAGTAGCAGGGCGCCTCGGCTCGTTAGCCTGGGTCCTGCCGCGTTCACAAAGGAGGATCATACTGCGAACAAAGCTCGTCTCGTTGCCTGCGCTCGCTCGATGACCTTGTTTCTCTTTTTTCCCCTCTGTTCACGATCTGCTCTTGCGTCGCACTTGGCACGCGAATCCAGTCTCATCCAGCGCAGGATGTGGTCGGCAGTAGCTCTGCAAGATCATTGGCCACCATCGCAATTGAGACGACAGAGACCGTCGAAACAGAAAGAGGCCTTGATCGTACAAAATGCCCACCTCACCTTCCACCCACTTTACACACAAATCTGCTACGTACTTGGGTTATTCAGGGCCGCAATCGTATTTGTCCTTAAAAATTATACTAATGTTTAACGTAGTAACAGCCAAAGTGCACATTGAGCCCTACGCAATCCGACGCATCATCATTTCTCGAGTCAGTCATTTCGACGTATGTCCGATAATTTATTGTGTTCAATATTTAAAAGGCGAGTCGATATATACAAATTACCATAAAGTGAATGCTGGCTTTTTTCACGTAAACAATGCTACGGTTAACAGTGAGGAAGGTGAGTACGCGTATATTTTTATGAAAAAATTGGCCAATCTTGGATAATATTATCCTTTTTTTATTATAAGCAAATTCAATGATTGACACGATGTTAAGCTGCAACGAATTCTATCTTCGGTTAAAATATACATTAACAAAATCATTATCTTCGTATTGTAACGTTAATCCATAGACTTATTGGCGATATTATGTTGCATTAGAGTGTTGAATTCAACGACTCGTCTTATTTTTGTTATACGTAGAAAAGCCCACATGCCTAATCTCAAAGTCAAATAAGCGAAGTGAACCAAAACTATTTGTTTCGATGGAACAAAGTATTCTATCTACGGTATTTTCAACGAAAAGTAACCGAAACTTTCTAGATACCATTCAAATGAAATGAAATTTGGTAAGATGTCGACAAAAATTAGCTGAGTAAGATCTGATAATAAACACTTAGTCGTTTCACGAGAGACATCGTCATTGCCTCATTCTTTAAAAGAGCTCTAAGAAATCTCAAGAAATTCTACTAGGTGGTGTACTCGAATTATTTATCAACGAAAGTTTAATAAACAAAACTAAGATATATACTGCTTCTATGTGTACGCGCAAGTTTACTATGTTTTTGCATCGTTTCAAAATACATGGAATATAGAATTGCTTATATCATAGATTTAATTAAATTTCGACTGCAAAATACAAGTCTCCAACGATCCCGCAAATAATTTGTTAATAAATGTTATGAGAAACAGTATAATATTACTGCTCATCAAAAAATCCAATGCGATGCGCACTTTCAAGACTTGGTGTCGGATTTCGCACGCAAGTCATTATACCCGCACTGCTTGTGCATACATCGGAGCGCTGAGTGTGAGAAAGGAAGAAAAAGAATCAGAATTGTTTGTTGTACCCGTACAAGGCAAGGTTCTACGTACACAGACAATATTGTAGAATTAAAAGCTAAATAGCACAATAGAAAGTTGGCGATACAGACGAAGTTGATGCTTACAGCGGAGAATATTTGTCCGTAGCGATCAAATATTATGAAGTCATAATCACATACGAGAGAGAATGAATAGCACGAGTGCCAATATGAAGGTGATCGGTCGAATGGAACTGGTGAAATACCGACAGGATGGGCTGCTTCAAGCGTGATATATAAAGCCGCAACAAAGAACTACATTTCTAAAGAAATCCCTTCTCGTTTTATTTTACCGGGCAACTTAGGCCACTGCTTCGCGCGAATGAAAGAGCGGATTTTCGTTGAGAAGCAGCCAAGTAAGAACGCGTGCCACCACGCAATTGACGCAGATGGAATAGTAAAGCGAACAGTGCACGAACCAGCAGAGTAAGACGCGTATATCGATGCCCAATACCTCGGCTGCCGGGCAGTGCACAAACGAGCCGGCTCAAGGCTTCGAGGGCGAGGATCGAGCCTCGAGCGAAGATGGGCTTCCGTGTTTATTGTTGAAGAGACGCGTTGAAATCGGAGCAACAGGTGCCTTAGCTACGCGCGCGCTCAATTCTCGAAATCTCCTGATGTTGAAACGTTCGGCGTCGAGCACGGACCACTCACTCGCTCGCTAGTGTCGCGTCGCTCCTTTGACTCTGCCGAATCGCTGCAGCGCGTGCATCACGCAGCAGCTCGCGGTGAAAGTCGAGAGTCGTCCGTCGATCTATTTCGAACGACAGTGAGTGACGCCGAGCGAGGGATCAACGGCCACTACGAGCAAATTCCTATTCGGCCGAACATTTGGTCGGCACTTGGTAAAGCCTAACGAGAGAAAGTTGCGCGGCGTCCATCCGGGCAGAGCCGGAAGGCCTCTGCCGAATTTCGACAAATCGCGCCACGATGGAATGCCTTGACGTGCCCGTTGTTGATTTGCGCGGAACGCCCCACGGCATCTCGTTCGAGTCTTATTCGGCCATAGGCATGCGCGCGCAAGGAAACGTTGGAAAGCGAGCCACCGGTAGCCGCAGTCGCTGAACCGGCGGATTGAAAGTCGCCACAGCGCTACCGCCCGCTGGCCTCGATGGACATGCTGGGCAACCTGATTCGACGAGACGAGGTGAGATGAATCGAGGGAAAAAAGGCCGTTCACTCGCGCGCCACAGCTCGGCAACTGCGGCTCCACATCACTCGTCGAAGACGCAGCGGCGTAGAGCCAAAGAGATGGGACCCGTACCCCTCCGCATCCCGCTGTTACATAATAGGCGCGAGCGACGAGTCGCGCACCGTTGCCGGAGCGGCGAGCGCCGCGCGGGGTTGCCGGCTCTCGGCATTCGACGTCGACGGCGGCGCTCGCGCGGATCGAGCGAGCGAGGCCGATGCAGCGCAACGATCGCCGTCCGTCGCGGCTGGAAAGCGAGTCGCGGCGGCGGCGGCGGCTCTTCCTTGGTCGCTGCCTGCGCTCGCGGACAAAGCCTCCCCGGGAGCGGCCGCCGACGAGCGAGAGAGCAGCAACGCGGCGCGACACAGTTAGGCCGAGCCGCGTCCCTCCGCCGCGCGGCGCGGCTGCTCCCCGTTCCGAGCTGCAGGGCGCCAGACCTTGAAGCTCAGCACGAGGCGGAGAGGAGCTGCGAATCCCTGTGGCTGGCCGCGCGCGGCGTTGCCGCTGCCGCTCGCCGCCGCCGTCCCTTGCCGACGCGCTGTTGCCGCTACGGGTGTCCGGCAGTGCACTCGATTCGCGCGAACCACGCCGTCGCACACGGAAATGCCCGCTGCGCGCGACTTTCCTCTCCGCAACGCCGACACGCAGGTACTGCGGAGTCGCCGCGGCGCTGTGCCAGGCCTTCTAGGGATTCACGCCTATCGACGACGATTTACGGCGGCCGACCCGCAGCCGGAGAGCGCGGCTCGAATGGAAAAATGGAATGGCGCGGGCGACGCGAATGCACATTGTCCGCAGTCCGTTGGTCTCGAGCGCGAGAGAGCTGCGACGTTGCCGACGTGTAGGCGGTCTGGGGCTGGCCGCCGCGCGACCCGGCAACAGCGCGCGCGGCGCGCAGCCGAGAGACGGCCGCTCCAGCCTGCATCGCGTGCATGCGCCTTTCCTACGGAGTTGCATTGTAGCTGCCAGAGCCACTTGCGCGCTCGCCTCCCCGCCCGCCTTCGGCGCGCGACGTCGCGCGGCGGCCCACGGAGAACCAGTTCCCCGAGTCCGAGCTTA